ATTTTCAGAGGTGTCTACAGTGGGGAACCTTATCCAGTGGCAAAAAACGTACCATTTTGCGACCGGAAAGTATCAAAAATGTGGCAGAATGCTTCCCTCTCCAAGTGAAAAACTTCGTTTTGAAGGGCCCTTTCCCTCACAAAAAGAACGGGCGCCTTTGAAATCGGTGTTTTTTTAATCGGAGAGGGAAGCATTTTGCCACATTTTTGATACTTCCCAGATGCAAAATGGTATGTTTTTTGCCACTTGATCAGGTCCCCCACTGTACATAGAGCACTCGTCAAGTGTTAAAATCTCGAGCTTTGCAATAGCAGCCGAGATATTCAATGATTTTTTCGCACTAAAAATCCGGTAACATGACAAGGTACGACCCTTTAACACATGCCCTATCATCCTATAAATCGTCTGAAACATTACGCCCCTATTTCAAGTCTCTGAAACCCATAGTTCGTTCACAAAGTATTCACGCATTCCCCTTCCAAACCCCGTCTTAACTCAACTACAACTCCCCGACCACTGTAACAGGTGCATCCACAAAATCCGCCTATTACGTCGTTAAATTCGAATTCGCAACGCACGCTGCAGCCGGCTAGCTTAGCGCGCCAAATCCCTGAGCGAAAAAAACGCACGTCGATATTACTTCCAAATTACGCTTAATCCGTCGTAGCGCCGATTGACTTTGGACTGCGATTAAGAGAAAAAGGAGATCACCGAGGAATGGTGGTGGGGGGGGGAAGATATCCGAGGATCGAGGGGGTGGTTTTACTCCAGCGGGCTAGACTAAAAATGGGCGAGCGGGTTTGCGGGAGGGCTCGTTCACTTTTCGAGGTAATTGGGTTAGTTGCAAACTCAGGAGTAAACTTTTTGGGTTTGAAAATAGATGCGGAAGGAATGGGGCGATCAGAAGTCAAAAGTAAGGAGATAAGGAAGTAGTTGTAAAAAGGTGGCTGACACTCGGGCTCAGAGAAATTTCCGGTTTTTCAGACGACATTTACCACTATTACACAATAAAATAAAAGTGGACACTGACATTTTATTATCATCCAGAGGCCATCTGCTCCGGTAGCAACCGAAAATATCCAACAAAACTCTTACAAGGAAAGTACTTCTATGGGGTATGGAGTTACAGGTCGAGACATACATCAAAAAATTCGCAAAATTTCCCTGATTCAGAATATCCAAAAAATAGCTGACTAATTTTGGTCTGTAAGGGCGAAAAACACCTCAGAACTTTTCTCGCAACACCACGCAAATGCCCCTTTTTCATATTGGAACTATACTGATTAAGGTGTAGTATTAATCAAGTTTGATATTTTAAGGCTTGTCAAAATGCCAGGGTTTACTTCAGCTCAAAACAAAACTTTTGATTTGTTAAAAACGTGGTCAATAAGGAATTTGCGTGGTGTTACGAGTTCCGAGAAAAGTTCTGAGGATTTGTTCACCCTTACAAACCAAAATTAGGCAGCTCTGATTCAGAATATTGTTACATATTCTGAATCAGAAAAATTTTGCAAATTTTTTGATGTATGTCTCGATCTGTGACTCCATACCCCATAGAAGTACCTTCCTTGTGAGAAACTCAAAGACGCACACCCTTTAGTGTAAGATTACAAAACAAAAAATTTAACGTAATATCCACCCCAATCCCAACCATCTGCAAAGTCAAACCGTCGATAAACCTCCCATGAAAAAAGGGGATCGAAACCATTTTCAGAAGGTAAAAAACAGAATTTATCTTTCAGCTTCCTATTTTTGCGATCAACGTGGGAAATGTTTTTTTTTATTTCGATGAAAACTGCGGCGCCGACTCCTCGCCAACCATAATTCGAGGAGTTTTGAATGGTTAGCGAACGTTTTTGCTCAAGGGGGGAAGTCAATAACCGAGTGGCATTTAGTCGGCAGCGCGGTGAAGTTTCGCTCCCCGCCGGAGGTAATAACTGTTTTTGGATTCGGAAAAATCACTTTTCTTACAGAGTTGTCTTTATTAGAAAAGGCGCTATCAAAATAAGTCATTTTCTAACCATAATTATTTCGGTTTGGGTCTCAGCACGATAACTGGGAAAATTGGCATTCCGTTGCAACCGGATTTTTTGTCTGGGACCATGAAAACTACACACGCCAAGAACAGTTTCTTTTTTATAATGCCTTAAATCTAGGTCTCCCCACGAAAGTTGGCATTCTGCTTCAAGCTCATTTCTTTAACCGGAAATTTGCCTAAAGCGACATGAAGTCACACGCAAATCAAACGCCATACTACATCCTCAATAGCACTACCAAGGTCCCGACACAAAAACAACCGCCTGCATTACGAAAAAGAACCGCAAAAACTGGAAAACATAGGCGCAAAACGGCTCGGTAATCTCTCCTTGAAAGTAAAACAAACCCTCCACGAAAAAATATCCGACAAACACGTAATTACTTCGAAAAAAAGTAATTAACACGAGCACTAACAATAACCATTAAACATCAATTTAGCGCGCGCTTAGCGCTTGATCCACAGGGCGCAGGGGAAGGAAGACCTCCGCCGAGGAAACCCGCTCACCTATCCGCGGGTGGGCAACGCTGGAGACTGAACCGGATCTGCCCGAAAAAGGGGGGAATGATAACGGCGGCGAACGGTGGGGTTGAGCGGTTAGGGAGCACTAGAGTTGGGAAGAAGTACAGTGGGGGACCTGATCCAGTCGCAAAAAGCGTACCATTTTGCATCCAGGAAGCATCAAAAAATGTGGCAAAACACCTCCCTCTCGAAGCGAAAAAACTCATATTTCAAAAGCGCGCCCTTGAAAACGAAGTTTTTTCACTTGGAGGGGGAAACATTTCGCCACATTTTTGATACTTACCGGATGCAAAATGGTATGTTTTTTTGCCACTGGATCAGGTCCCCCAGTGTATCAGTCTGTCGGGAAAATAATTAGCACTCCGTCGCATCAAAAATCGCATCGCCGCCGAGAAAATGAGTTGTGTCGCGGCAAAATCAAATTACCTTTCACTTCAGCGACGCGATTGGCTTTCCCGACAAACTAATAGCCACAAAGCCTAGGTATTCATTCAAAGCGGTATTTGGGATACTATTTTAAGTCCTCTAGCTTCTGCGCTTTGCAAAAACATTAGAGATTTTTATTAGGGCGAACCAAAAAAAATTTCCGATTCGCCAAAGTTCAGAAGGCAGGTGAAAAAACAAACTTCGAACTTTGCCGTCAATGGACAGCTGAAAACATCGTCAAAGATGTTAGCTATTTCTGAAACACATAAGCAAAAATTTTTACTCATTAAAATGGCCTATGCAAACACAAGTTCAAAACTAACAAACGCTGAGCGATGCACCCTAACCACTTCCCTTTCGAAGCTCGAGAATTAATGTTCTGTGAGCACATATAAGCTGGTTTCTATCCCACTAACAGTGTACTGATTACTAAAAATTCCCACTAAAATATTACCCCATCGCTTCCACCCCCTACTGACCACACTATGACCCTCTCTTGCCCACTGATTCCCAACCCGTCCTCACCGTTTGTCCCCGCCCAATTAATCTCCCCCTCCGAATTCATAATCAGCAAAAAAAGGGAATTGAAATACACATTTCAACCTGTTGCGCAATCGGGGCGACTTTCACCTGAAGATGGATTCGAAAAGGATATTTTCTCTCCCTTTCCCTCATACTCCAAATTTTGGCGGATATCCGGTGATTACGAACAGATCTTCTTCTTTCTCCCCGTCGCCTTTTTCGGTCATCAATCAAAAGCGAAATTTTAATGGGGGAGTGTCGAAACAATTCATATCTTCGCCGAAAATGCTTTCAAAAAATGGGGGAAATTCTGAATTCCAGTTACTACCGTTAGTTCGGGTTAAATTTGCGAAAAAATTTGGTTGTTGCGGAATGCCAATTTCGGCGGGAAATTTAGAATTCAAAAATTAAATCGCAATCTAATAAGAAATCGAATGTCACAACCAAACTACGACTAAAAATACTCAAAACAACAGCAAAATCGATTTAAAAAATGCCGAATTTTTCGGGAAACTTTGAAATTTGAGTTTTTCAACGAGAAATTACTGCCAATATCGGACTCCAATAATTTATGAAACCTTTCTTGAGGCATAATTAGACTTCACTCAGAAAAACACAACAACAAAATTGATATTCCAAAAAGTTGCAAACCGTTTGTAAAATTCCAAAAACCCGTAGTTTGTGTCATTTTCCATTTTTACGAAAAGCGAAAGGAATAATTCATCGCTCATCTTCAACAATCCCTCTTTTTATCAAAGGGTGCAAACTTGTTTTCTGTCCACAACAGCCGGCTTTTCCGAGGGAGGCAATTCGTTCGCGTTCTGTCAAAACATTTATTTTCACATCACTTTCGATGGAAATCGGCGAGAGAATGGTGGAAAAAAACTTCGCAAGAAAAAAAGCAATTCCGTATTTTAACATCAAAAAATTGTTAGGAATATATAAAAATGTGTAAGGAATCAGAGATTTCCCTCCGCCAAACAATGTAATTACTGCGAATTTCGCTTGCGCTAAAATTCAATTTGAATCGGATTTAAGTTTTTTTCATTGTCATGGATGTTTTGAACTCTGTTTAGGTGATGACATTAGTAACATAAAAAAGGACAACCATTAGAGAACAATCGAAGCAAAAACTAGTTTTTTATAATAGGAAAATGAATTTTTGAAACAAAAAAAAAATTTTTTTGTAATTTTAATTGTAAAATACGAGCGATGGACATTTTTTTAAAAAAATTTTATTTTTTGTGTAATAAACTCAAATGTAAAAAATAATTTTGCCCAATTTTATCACCAAAAAATAACAACGGCAAGACAAAAAAACAAAAAAAAAGTAAGACACTTGTCAAAAAACAAATAACACTGCACAAGACCATAAACAATTAGACTTTTATCTTTTTATAAAAAAAAATAAATTAAAATTTTTAAATTTTTTCAAGACATAATTGAACCTAAAACAATATAAAAAATCCGGGTTAATTTCCAATATACATCGTGATTATGATCTGAATTGTTTGAAGAGTGGATGTCGTTCTCTTGGGCGTCCTCTTTGAGTGTAGGACATGGCGGCACCGCCCGAGAAACCAGCGGCATTTCCCTCCCTTCGAGCAATCTAAAAATTGAAAAAATGTAACTGCCTTAGGCGTTTAAATTGAAAATTCGATTTCAATTGAGCCTCTGATTTATTCTTTTTATCGGATTCGTAAATTTCGCGGTTAAATTCGCCCTCCTCTGAAACTTAAAAACCGCGACCTGCGCCCAGTCCAACCTTCCAAACCCTCAATTTCCTCCAAATCTCTTACCTTCGCATCCCTCGGACCTTCTTCTCCATCCTTCACCTCTTCTTCTTCCATGTCCAGGTCCGAGGCGGCGATCACTTGCTGCAAGAGCTGGGCTTGATCCGCCGGAGTGCTCATTCCCAAATTTGTTTCCTTCTCCATGGCCGGGATTTTGTTCACCACCTTGTAGGCGTAGCCCTGATCGACCAAGAAGCGCTGTCTCTTCCTCGAATAGGCCATTTCCACCGTATCCTAAGCAAAAATTACATTATTTTAGGCAAAAATTAATATTACACTTGATAAAAACGAAAAAAATTATTTTTCTTTCCAAATTCTTACCTGTGATACCAGCGAATAAAAGAAAGCGTTGAATTCTTCTGTCGAATGTTTCTTAGCTCTTAAAATACGCCCAAGACGTTGGGCTTCTTGTCTTCTCGAGCCTCCATGAGCCGAAATTTGGATGAGAACATTTGCTTCGGGGAGATCAAAGGAAGTGTCGGCGACTTTGGAAACGAACATGGTCGACACTTTCGGGTTGTATTGGAAGTTTTGCAGGATTTTCATTCGCTCATTTTGCGAGGTATCTCCGAATAAGAAGGGGCGGCCAAGAGTGAAAGCGTATTTTTTGAGGGCAAACACATTGTCGGAGAAGACGATGATCTAAAATACCACAACTATAGGAGGTGTAAACCATAGAAACATATTATCAAGTATCAAAAAATTTTTTAACGAAATTCGGCAAAACCCAAAACCCTACTATACTAAAACTACCCTACTACGGACCTGATCGAGTTGCGATTTTTTTTTATGATTGTGTTCGGATTTTTCTGGAAAGGTTTGGGAAGTTTTGGCAAAAAAAGATATTTTTAGGTCTGTTGGAGGATAAAACTAGTAGGATTTCTATGACAGACGCCGTATTTTACCTTGAAAATTATCTGGAAAGCATGTCCAATTTTTTCCGAAAATTATTTCTTAAGATCATCAAATTTTGCCTAGTGCAATGTCGAAAATTTGAATGAAAACAAAAAGGATATCCTTTCTTTGCATGTAAGCTTGGTTGTAAAATACGCCCGGCTTATTATTGAATAATGAAGTTCATCGTAAATTCTTTGTATTGTACCGTGGCGGACCTGCTCCAGTGGCAAAAAACGAGCCATTTTGCATCCGGGAAGTATCAAAAAAATGTAGCAAAATGCCTCCATCTTCAATTAGAAAACTCCGTTTTGAAGGGCGCTTTTGAAACCGGAGCTTTTTTTCACTTGGAGAGGGAGGCATTTTGCTACATTTTTGATAATTCCCGGAAGCAAAGTGGTACGTTTTTTGCCACTGGATCAGGTCCGCCACCGTACTATACAAAAAATTTCCGCTGAACTTCATTATTCAATCATAAGCCAGGCGTATTTTAAAGCCAAAGTTACATGCAAAGAAAGCATTTCCTTTTTTATTTTAATTCAAATTTTCGACATTGTCCTAGGAAAAATTTGACGATGTTAAAAAATAATTTTCGGAAAAAATTGGAAATGCTTTCCAGATCATTTTCAAGGTAAAATATGGTATCCGTCATAAAAATTCGACTAGTTTTATCCCCCAACTCAAACAAAAATATTTTTTTTCCAAACTTCACAAACTTTTCGAGAAAATCCCAAAATAGCCTTAAAAAAATTCAAGACAATCCCTGCAACTCCCTCTTCAAATCCTACCTTATCATTTCTCCTTTCATGGTATCGAATCAAATACTCGCAGACTCTAAACTTGTTGGGATTCATCACAGCCAAGAGTAGCCTCCGATTGATGGCTGAGCTCAAATAGTACTCGTAGAAATTAGCGGTCATTGGGCACCAGACCTCAGCGCACTGTACTTTGGCGATGAATCCGTTTCGTTGAAGTTCCATCCAATTCGCTTCGTAGATTTTTGGGCCGATGAGGAAATTGAGATCGGTGATTTTATCGTCTTCTCGGAGGAGAGTGGCTGTTAATCCGAGTTTACAGTGAGAACGGACGATAGTAAGGACTCTTCGGAACATTTTAGCGGGGATTGTGTGGACTTCTGAAACGAAAAAAAAGCTTGTTTAAGCAAAAATTATGTTATCCAAATTATGAAAACCCCATAGTATGTGTAAATTTTGCCTTTAAAAATAAAAATCTATATCACAACTTTCATTCTTAAGCTTGATGGATTGCAATTCCATTAAAAATTTACAGCCCGGCAAGAAAAAATATATTACCAATGGCAATTCTTAAAGTCTGCCAATTTCACCCGTTTTACTCCCAAAATATTCAAATTTATCCCTCAATTATGCTACTTCTAGCCTCCACAATGCCAATCCAAATCAAAAACTCGAAAAAATCAACAAAAATTATATTATCCATGACATCAGATGATCAAAAAATTATGAAAAATCCTAAAACTTCACCAAAAAAAATTTCGTAACTTACCGTCGAGCAGTAATAATCCCCATTCCTGACTCTCAATGAATTGCATTGCCTCTTCCGCGAGATACGTCCGTTTTCCCGTATATGCCACCATGGAGTACGTTGATATGCAAACCACCGGTTTTTTGGCGTCCTCTCCTGTTGGCACTTTATCCCTAGACTCCCTGGTGAATCGAATGAGCTGTCCGTCCTTTATCGTTGACCATAATTTGAACTGAGATCTCCATTGTTCCACTGAGACATTACTTGTCGCCAAACAAAGACATCTTTTGTTGACCGTGGTGGCTGCCGTTACTCCGACCAAGGTCTTTCCGGCGCCACAAGGTAGGACAATTACTCCTGAGCGGGCTCGACTGTTGCTGAACATTTTTCGCAGGGATAATTCTTGATAAGGCCTGAAAATACCAAATTTCGGGTAAAACAATATAAATCTGGTGCTCAAATGACTTCAAATGCCCCAAAACTTCCTAAAAATCTCCGTCCTACCTCAACTTTGTCGCAGGTTTTAAATCAATGGCCAAATTGGGGTTATGACTGTCATTTCTGAAGTCGTATTCGGCCAGAAGTGGGTACTCCATCTCAATACATCGTTTCTGCACCGTTTCAATTGATGATGGCTTGATTTCAAAGGTCAGGATTTGAAGATTCTTGATGGCTTCGGCGTTTTCATCCTCTTCTTCGTTCATAATCTTATCGTAATACTTGTCAGCTTCATTTTCTTCGTCTGATTCATCTCCCTGAAGGATAATATCGGTAAAAAACATGAAATTTTTTCCAAATTCCCTAAATTACAAAATAAAAATTGAAACCCTCACATTTTTCTCGCCATTGGTCTCCGCCTTCTTCTCCTTCTGACCAGGTTTTGTCTCGATTTCGGTCGTTTTTGGATCAGCTTCCTCTTCCAGAATACAAGTTTGAATAACCGGGTCTTTCAAGAGTTTTTGCACCACATCCGAATGCGGAGACTCGATAAAATAACGATTCTTTTTGAGGACCAACTTCACTTTTCCGTAACTCAAGGTACAAACTTCGACGAATTTTTTAATCGTCTCCGGAACCTCGTGCTTACAGAGTCGATCGAGCATTCCGATGAGATCCGAGGTCTGCAGTCCGATGGAGACAGCGGCATAAAGCGAATAAGCGGTCAGTCGATACTCATGGATAAATTCCGGACGACAAACTGGCTGCAATTTTTTGATAGATAATATCGGGTAAAAAAGCAAAATTTATTCTAAAAACTTTTTTCTAAAATTCGGTACGGGCGCAGTCTCCTTCCTAAAAACACCAAGACTTTCGTATTCACCAATAGAATCACCTTGAAATCGAGAAAACTTTCACCTTCACCATGTGCAATATAAAAAACTCAGAAATCGCTGAAACCCCAAACAAGACAGCTCAAATCGCTTCTGTTCACCTGCCTTATTTAATTTACAACCTACCTACAACTAGATATTGCAGCTGATAGTATTCTTTAACACAAAAAAATAAATTTTGGACAGCACTAACTAAAATAACATAAATCGTCAAAAACTCCACCGAACATCGGAAATTTCACCAATTTATACACAATCCTAAATATGCAAAACAAATAAGGGATAAACAACATACTTCCGCGACTGTCACCAGGAAATCGTGAGCCGCCTTGTAATTGGGGCTGAAACTCTCCAAATATATCATACAGTCTTCGCCGATCCACATAGGCCTCCGTTCATGATCTTCATGCATTTTGAGGTGTGTAAAGTCCTTGGCACCATAGCGGTCACGCACAATTTCGCCATCGTCACGTCGAGTTGCTTGTCGAGGAAGAGGAATGTCCTTGGCTATAATTTCTCCTCGCTCTTCAGCGTCAAATGCCACAGCCGACTCGTACTGACGTTTCCGGCGAGACTCCATGATATGTTAGGGGTTGGAAGTTATTTTACCGGCTTAATGATTTGTTTCGGTCATTAACCCTAAAATGTAAAGTAATACTACACTGGTCAAAAATTGCGACAAATAGTAGAGAAACTCGAACAAACAGCTAAAAGCACAACCTTGGCTTCACAATAAAACCTATTGCTACCTTGTTTTACCAGTAAAAACCGTGGGAAAACTGTTATCAACAATCAAAAAAATCAATCATAACCCCTAACTAGGTTCCAGCCAAAATTTGATCTAAAAACAATTGCATTACTCATAAAACGAACAACAACTAATGCGCGAGAGAGCAAGAAGGATAAAAATTGTTTTCGAAAGAAAAATTTCGAAAGAATAATATAAGAGTCAGACTTGACACAAATGCGTCAAGTGTTTCTCTGTGGCAGGTAATGCTTGTATACAAAAGTTCTAAAAATGGAAGGAAGTGTATAAATAAGTATCTAAATTTTTCAAAATAATATTGCGAATGAAAATTGAGATAACTTTTTGTCAAATTTTATATGTCGTATATTATCCATGATGATTTTTCTATATTGCTACATACTATACGTGCTAAGTTTAGCGAGTTGAATTTTCCGCTCTGTTGGTTAATTATTAATTTATTTATAGCATCAATTATCAATGCACCTTTCAATAAACGATTTTTTACAAGCTAAATCATTCAAAGTTTTTTTGAGTCATGAGGATGTTTCCACGATGATCGCAGACTGTCAAAGTACATGGCATTCCGTTCCGTTGTAGTTAAGACTTTGGCCGGTTTCGAAATTTTAAGGCAAGGGAAATCTTTGCAAACAGCGTTGCGTAGCTGAGGGAATTCTTGATACATGTATAAGGTTGTAATTAAGCAGTACACATCGGTAACGGTGAAGACAACCTGCAAAACCCCAAAATTACAGTTAATCACCACTATGACAACATGTACAGTAGCGTAAAGTGTAAACACTCACAGTGAGGATAAATAAAATCAAAGGGTCGTCTTCATCATAGCCACGATTAAAGTGAAGGTAAGAAATGAGGTTGATAGACGGCAGATTGGCCAGAACTCCGATGAAGAAGGCTTTTATTAGGCGTTTCAACCACGCCAACACCGACATTATCTGGCGCATTTCATAGCTTTCGGAGAGGGATAGGGAATGGAGGTTGCTGACTTGCTTGGAGAGGCGGTAGAACACCTAAAATACGACGAAAAGTATAAATTTTGACAGTAATACATACTATTTCGAACAATAAACAGCTTGGTTAGTATTTCTGGCAATTTTTGTCTTGTGACATTTTGTTATTGATTTTTTGGACGAAATGTCACAAAGTTCCTGGAAAGGTATAACTGCCTTGCAAATCTTGCATAGAGATAAAAACACAATTTTATAACAAAAAAATGTAAAAATTTCGTTATTAATTTTTTTGCACACGAAGTTATTGCTTTTTTTAAACGTCGCAGAATGTCACAATATTATCAATTTTTCAAAAGGATTTTCAAAATGAAAAAGAAATTAAATGCATATACAAATAAAGGTCTCGATCTTAAAAACTCACAAAAATTGCGTAGAACATTCCAACGCAGGCTATATTATACGATAACAGCAATCCAGGTATATATTTGTCCATCATTGTAACCTTCCGCAACCTCTCGTCAAGCTCCAAATGTGCATTTAATCTCCAAGTAAAAACCGATCTCACAACACCCGAAACAATCGAAATCAGAAAGGCTATCCAAAATAGTTTATTCCCAACATTGCCTCCTTCCATTTCGTACGTTGCCCTTCTCTTGAACGCAATTGTCCGCTCAATCGCAACTAACGTATACTTCATGTCAAAATAGAAATGAGATACCACAGTTATCCACATAGCTGTATGGAATATCGTGGCGACAACGTAATTACCATCCGCATATCTAACGGATTCCTTTGGAATAAAGTTTGCAATGGCATGAGCAAAGGTTGAGTAGCCAAAAAATAGCGATTCTGTCACCTGGAATATTAAAGTAAAATGTTTCTATATGTCTTTCTTGGGAACGCGAAAAAAAGCAACCAAAAATTTTATGAAAAATTTAATTTTGTGAGAGAGTACGCGAAATACGGAGAGCAACATAGAGGATTTTTTTGGCCAATACAGACCATTTCGAGTTTTTTTTGTGTAATCTTTGAACTCTTTGTTACAAATGGGTCTTTAATTTCAAACCTCACAAAAAAAGTCTAAATTTTAAAATCACAAAGAAATATATTTAATATCTTTTTTTGATTCCGTTTTGACCTAAAAATCACAGCTATTTCTGCTAAGCGCGAGCTAGAACTCTCGCATATATGTCAAACAATTAATCCTAACCCAGATTTGTGCCAAGTTTTAACTGACCGTCGCACGTCAAACTGAGGAGTCCGGTGACCGGAATAGACTCTTCGCTATCGGGTTTTTACAATTCGTCTTGATTTCGCAGAGAAAGAGAGAAAAAAGACACGCAAAAACGTACTATCCCGCCCCAAAAATTCCCCATTTCTTCCCCGACAAAACGTTTTTTCGCGTCTTTTTTTGGCAGATTGCCAATCCATTTACGGGACTGTTTTGGCTTGTCTCAGCTTGACGTGCGTCGCCCTTCAAGCATTGTCCAAATCTGGCCAGCTTGAGGTATGCCTGCAAAATTTGGGAAAGAATTCAATTGCAAGGCGCACATCTTTTATTAAAAAAATAATAGTCCGTTTTTATAGTCGCTGGAGTGATTTCTTCGACATACTAGTCGCGACATAAAGTCCGTAGAATTTTCTGCACTGTGCATAAACCCGAAAAAGCATTTTGCACTGTGCATTCACCCGAAACACATTTTGCACTGTGCAATTTTGTTGATTTTGCCTTATTGTCGCGCGCGATTCCCGTTTTTCGCAGCGACAAATCAACATTTCGGAGCGCGACGGAATTTGGGGGCCGCGAAAAATTCTACGGACTTTATGTCGCGACTACTAGTCGCGGAAAAAAGTCCTGGGAATTTCTCGCGGCCGTCGCGCTCCGAAAAGTTGATTTGTCGCTGCGAAACACGGGAATCGCGCGCGACAATAAGCCAAAATCAACAAAATTGCACTGTGCAAAAGCACTTTTCGGGTTCATGCACAGTGCAGAGTCGCAGAAAATTCCCAGGACTTTTTTCCGCGACTAGTAGTACACTGTGCAAGAAAACTCAGGATGCGAGCGACAGACAAAAAAAAACAAAATTGCACAGTGCAAACTGAGCTTTTCTTTTCTCAAAGTGCATGCCGCCAAAATCACTCCGGGGCTTTCCTAAACCGTTCAGTAACCGGTATTAGTAAAAACTCACCAAAATAACCTTCAAATTGGGATTGATCGTTGCCAATCTGTACAACCGGACGGCGAAATAAACATTCAACGCCAAATTCGGAACTGCCAACGCCAACTCGATGCTAAACACGACATTGCTGAACAATTTTATATTATCGAACAACCAGTCCCACATATGGCCTGAAATAATTTTGTGTAATTTATTTCACGTTTAACCTTATATGTAACGTGTTGGACGTCAGTGGAAATTGTAGTCAAACTTGATACTAGACAGTAACACAATAACTACCCGGAATTAGGTCAGGTATAAATATTATATTATGATTGGAACAAACAAAAGAAAAGGGATGAAAAAATTAGAGGCCATAGAATTCTGATACCAAAAGATATGTAGGAAGGTTTAACAGGGAGTGTACAAAAAGTGTGATTTTATTAAAACTTGGTACGCTATAAATTCAACTTTCATAACATGTACACGACATTTCAAACTGGTGTTTCGCAGAAACGGCCGAGATTTTAGAGGTGAAAGCTGATGAAAATTCAATTTATGAGCAAGTGCTGTCACAAAAAATTGCAACCTCATGTCTACCGGAAAGGATGGTGTTTCCAAAGCACTTTCTTTCTCGCAAAATTTGTTGATGAAATGAGGACAAAAAGCGCCTTTTTCTTCGAGCCGCTTATCATGCCCTAAGCGGCAACGACGACTCTTTTGTTTTAGAAAAAGCAATAAGAGACTCGTTGGAGTTAGTGACACATGATCTTACTGCCCTGCATGTGAAGTATGCCATTAACGCCTTAAGCAAACCACTTGGTAGAAGCCGACCTCTAAATAATTGATCATAACCGCAGGCGTTTTTATTAAATCAGTCTGGAAATCCCCTACAGTACTTTTTGGTGCATACTGAAGAATGTAGGATAACAATCTCCCGTTATCTTTGCATTTCATGCGCGCACTGACGCAAAATCCGAAAAAAACGCAACTATTCCGATTTTGTAATTACGAAATGGTCAAAATTTGCCAAAAAATCCTCAAGTTTGCGTTTTCCTGGAGTTTCACCTCGACATTTCATAAGCCCGGGTCAGCACCAATATAGCTTTATTCTACTATATGTAGGGCTAAGCCATGTTTAATTTCAGCCAGTTTGGGCTGATTCTGAAAAAGTTACAGGCCGCTAAAGTCCGGCCGGCTGGTCAGTTTTGTAATGATTTTGCACATGCTTGATGAAATCCTTAAAATCCCTCGGTATGATGGACGGAGATTGACTATGTGTGATCAATTACATAATCCTGTGCGTTTTTTATCCTTCTAGCCCACCCGTCGTATACTAACAAAATCGCGTAATGCGCAGAATGCGCAACCCCTTGCGACGTATGTTGCTACTCCCCGATTTTTTGCCATAGATATATGTGTCTATGTCTGTGCTATGCAGTATTATCGATTTTAGCCCCGTATCAAACATTTTTCGGCAGTTGCAAACAATTTACCTAACAAGGGAAGTCGTTCAGATCGCAAATGAGTTGAGCTATGGGACCGGTATATTCTGATTCTCCATATTTCAAAACGGTAAGAGCTAAAACAGTTTTTGCGTCTGGGCCCTAGTTTTCGAGAAAATCGACCGTAAAGTTTGATCGGAAACCCCGCTAAATAGTCTTCGCTCCGAAAGACCTTTGGATCAAGAGCCAAATGGCGGAGGGCGAGTGAAAACGCTCTCAAAATTCTTTTGTCCGGGATGCCGAGGAAGGTTCGAGTCCCGCTAGGCTCAAACCCATGTTCAAAGAGCTTTGATATTAAAAATGATAAAAAATAAAAAAAATTTAGTTTTTTGTGGTGAAGTGTACCCCAATAATTTCAGATCAAATAGTTTTTTTAGGAATAAACACTTCATTTTTGAGTTCAGCGCAGAAATATGCCTATTTGGCATGCATTTCAAGATTTTCTCCAAAGTATGTAAAAGGAAAAATTTTTTTTTTGCTTTGCAACCACTATGAATTTATACATCAGGGTTTGCTCCTAGCGGGACTCGAACCTTCCCCGGCATCCCAGACAAAAGGATTTCGAGAGCGTTTTCACTCGCCCTCCGCCATTTGGCTCTTGATCCAAAGGTCTTTCGGAGCGAAGACTATTTAGCGGGGTTTCCGATCAAACTTTACGGTCGATTTTCTCGAAAACTAGGGCCCAGACGCAAAAACTGTTTTAGCTCTTACCGTTTTGAAATATGGAGAACCAGAATATACCGGTCCCATAGCTCAACTCATTTGCGATCTGAACGACTTCCCTTGTAAGTGATCAGAAAGTTTTGTCCACCATTTTTTTAAAAATGCCCAAACAAATGCCCTTAAAGTGCAAATATAAAAAATTCCGTTTTTCCACATGCTTTGCAGCTCTTTCTGATTGGGTAGTTAAAATTTGGACCATGTAGCTCAGTTAACAGCCGAGCTACAGGGTGGTCAGAGAGATATGTCCGGGAGTATACCATTTTGCATCCGGGAAGTATCAAAAATGTGGCAAAATACCTCCCACTCCAAGTGAAAAGACTTCTTTTTGAAGGGCGCGCCCTTCGTCCTCACGAAAAGAGCTGGCGCGCTTTTGAAATCGGAGTTTTTTTACTTGGAGAGGGAGGTATTTTGCCACATTTTTTGATGCATCCTGGATGCAAAATGGTACGTTTTTTGACACTGCATCAGGTCGCCCACTGTAATGAATAATATTGGACCGAAAATGAAAGAAATTTCCTTTGTGATGATGTCCGCAGTACTCAAAAATGATGGTGACATTCCACCTAGCCCCCTACTGCCTGCACAATGCATATGAAAAACATACGAAAAATCTGAGCGTCGCATTGATACAAGTCCGACAATTTTGAGCCTACAACTTTTGGCAGTAAACGGGATCAATGTTTTCGTCTTTCGTAACTACGGATTAAGCCTACATGTTCCCAGGCTTGCTAGTCCATAATTGAATACTATTAGTCACACATTGTTTTCATGAATAGTGTAGCAGGTGCAACAGAAAGTTTCCAGTACAATGAAGGAAAATTGGTGCTGCAAATACTACATGAATCAAAAATGCAAAACGTACGTACGGTAGAGCAAAACATAGAAACGGCAAAAAACATTAAAAAAACTTGTAAATTGTACTGTGAAATGTAGTAAACAGAACGAAAACGTTTTCACAGACAGCAAAATGTTACTGTTATTTTTTGTACCCGTACTAATTTTCGTCAACAGGAGAAGACAAAATAGGACGCAGATACATACTGTGAACACCAAAACAAAAGTGTAGAAGACTATTTTTGAAAACAAGGGCAAGGCAATTATCAATAACTATTTTTTCCGGCATATCGTTTAGTCTTTGAGCTTGGAATTACTATGTGTATGCGTTCGAAGAATAAGATTGTGCCTGCAGAAAAGGATGGATAAAAAAAGTGTCTCTAAGTGCTACTATTTGCACTCTGCAACAGGTGGGACAAACAGTCAACATATCATTTTCTGAGTTTCAGAAAATGATATGTTGAGTGGCAATCCCTAATTTAACGTTTGAATTTTTAGTTTGCTGTCACGTTGCATCGACTAGCTACGATAAGTCCTAATTTGAGGGCTATTTTGGTGCGCTTTCATTTTTTTTAATATGATAAACAAGAAATTGCACAGTGACAGAGTGGACTTTTGTTTCTCATAGTGCACGTCGCGAAAGGAAAAAATTCTGGGTTATGGTCATCTCTAGGGTAAAAAATAGTTTTTTTAAAAACATTACCCTCCCTTGTAAAATTAAGGCTGAAATTTTGAGTAAAAACCTTGCGAAAAAAGCCTGGAAAGCTTGAGCAAGGTGTCGTTATATACGACAAAACCGATTTTAAACTCTCAATGTGTGCCAGGTCTCATTTAATAAACCCATCGTGGATCATTTCCCCTCTAAGCGACCACAGAAAGCAAAGATTTGCGTGATAAATCATGACCCTCATCTACAGTTTCTCAAAGATTTATGCAGCCGAAGATTAAATATTAAAGGCGGTACAACATTTTTTAAGGTGTGAGTAGTTTATTCCAGAAAAATTAGTTTGTAACATAAAAAGCGGAATATAATTACATGTGACTGAAGGGTCCATGGAAGTCAAATTATTGAGTAAAGTAAGTGTAGAAAGATATCGTGGCACGTCTTCTCAGCCTAGACAGGCTATTTCCTGGTCGAGAATTATTATATTTGGTTCGGCACTTCATTAATCAAAGAATTTTGGAGAAAAATATTCGGCAAAAAATGAAGTATTTTTCTATAAAATTTTTTTAGGTAGATTGATGATTTTGAGGCTGAATGAATTGATTGTGATAAAGCCAAAATCTGACCGTCGCACTTGGGGTACTTCCCTTATTAGTACCAGAAGTTTTTTTGGAGACACGGGGTTCAGCCTTATGGATCATGTGGAGTATTTCCGGCCCTCAAAAAAAAATTTTTTGGAAGGCATAAATTGGGGTGACCAGTTTGGACTCTTAGCTCGATACGGTCGTTTCCTTTCTGCGAAGTAAAATTTTAGTTGGAAAGTCTTTTTTTCAACTACAAACAAACAGTTTCTTGTTTTTTTTAATTGTACCTGGCCCAAAATTCGAGCCAAGCCGTCTCTAATAATTTCCGTAGCTCCAAAGCTCTCTTGAAATACAAAAATCGAGAAAAGATGACGTCTTCTTCCATATCCAATCTTTCCTTCATCAAAATCAAAGCCAAAAATTCTGAAGTTTTCGACATCACAATTGCATTAGCTCCATAATTCAACAAACTAAATTGCAATACCAGGGGCCTGTTTCACTAACATAATAATAAATAAATGAAAGGTAGGGGGGAGCGAGAGAGCATCGAAAACGCGTTGGCGAGCGAGAGAAACCGGACGAAAAGCAGAAGTAGCCTACTTCTCTTTCGGAGTGACTTTTTACGTCCAAAAACCGGAGTTGGCCGCAGAATTTTGGCCATAACTTTTTTCTCAATTGGTATAGGAACACCCTTCAAAAAACCAAATAAAGCTGACGGTTGAGACTACAACATATCCAAATTTCGTTGTTTTATTTTCAAGAGTAGATTAGCTATATAGCTTAAAGTACAGAGTACATTTACACTGAAGATACGAAATGTTTTATTTCTCGGTCAATTTCAAAATGTTGACGCTTTAATTTATACCAGTCGATAGCCCGTCTTTTTTTCTATGAGGCTTTTTTAGAGGGCCAATTGTAGGTCTTATTATGGCTGAGTTATGGCAAATTTACCTCCATTTTTGTCATAAAAAGAGCCCTCAAATCAAAGGAAGAGGAAAAGTTAGCCCCTTTCGGAACGACTTTTTATGGTCAAAAATGGAGGTTACCTTGATTTAATTGCCCGTAACTCTATCAATTTATGATATATCGCCACCCCTCAAAAAACATAATGTAGCTAAGAAACGTCTTTACACACTGATATGAAATTTGTAATTATTCTTATAAAAATTGGTGAGAAAAATGCGTTTTTATTCCGCGAAGAAGAAAAAACGAGATGGTTGGCCGTACTACTGTAAAATTAGCGGTCCACCGGGCTATAAAAGGAATTCAAAACACATATTGTCTAAAACTACTTAAAAAAGTCTATGTGTTGTTTTTTGGAGGGTTTCAATCCGAAAAGTTTTACCCAAGTTATGGGAATTTTAAGCTCAAATTTAGTCGGTTTTCTCAAAAATTAAAGCACGCGTACTTTACGATTTTTTTAAGGACGGGTTTTGGCACCACAGCAATGAAAATAATCTTGGTGATAGCTGAAACTGTCAGCTTCATTGTAAATTTTGAAGGGTGTTCCTAGACCAACTGAGAAAAAAGTTATGGCCAAAATACTGCCGCGAACCGCGGTTTTGGACGTAAAAAGTCACTCCCGCAAAAGTAGGCTACTTCTGCTTTTCGTCCGGTTTCTCTTGCTCGCAAACGCGTTTTCGATGCTCTCTCGCTCCCCCCTACTTCTCTTTTATTTATTTTTATGTTAGTGAAACAGGCCCCAGGAAATGATACGGTGTTTAATCTATGGTTCGTTATATTCGTGGATGTATAATGGTATACCAACGGAATCTTTACGACTTAATTTAATTTCTCGATGTACTTACGGAAATTACATAGACAACAGCAATGAAAAAAATTTTATTTAAAGGACATTCTCCGTGTTAAAAGAAATTAAAATCTTTATTTCGAGATAATGCTAAAAATATTATAGGAAACAGCTGGTTTTATTGGAGGAACCACATGCATTCACAGCAAGGTAAATGTAAGCATAGAATTTGATTAACATACAGAGTTGCAATACCAGCTGTTTATAATTTTTAGCGAGATTTACAGTAGAGTTGATGTGCGACAAACACGTGTCGCAAAGCAATAGCGAAACTTAACAAAAAAAGGTTACGAAGAGAAGTTAAGATCCGAAAGTCACAATTTTTGAAAAATTATTTGAAGATAAAAATTTTTTTGCACAGTGAAGGCGTGAGAAATCAGTCCGGCGACTTTCCGGAAGGAACAGCATTACGACACATCCTATGAATTTTTCTTGCAATCTTGAGGGTTGTTTTAAAACTCAAAAAAGTTCACAAGATTAAGTAGCCAGCAGTTGAATAAATAAAATTATTTATGGCCTTGAACTCTTCAAGACCGGTGTTTGCCTTTGCCCCGTAGAGAACCTCCCCGCACCTTCCAATCCCGCACGTTCTAACCCCGTAACAGCTGTCCCGTACGTTCCGCCCCGTAAAGGCACATCCCGTACGTTCAGTCACCCGTCCAAAAACGCCTTCAAAGATTATTGAATAGCAGCCCTTTTATGGAGACCCGTAATAATTATTGACACATGGCGTAGACGGACTAATAGTGAAAAAAGTGAAAGGGAAAACAAAAATTCTTAAAAAAAGTTCCTCATATATGACATTTCACCGCCAAGACATGCCGATCTTTGACCCGAAATTTGGAGCAAACTTTTTGAGTAGGGGGTTTAATTACTCATCCTTCCAACGACTCGTTAAACTTCAAGGATGACCGGTTCCTGTTTCTCTAAAGGGTAACATCTTACGGCTTTTTAAGGCCATACATTTAACAAGGAAAGTACTTTTATGGGGGCTCCTACTTTTTGACGGGACATATCTCAAAAAATCAGAAAAAATGTGCTGATCAAGGATATATAAATCTTAGCTGCCCATTTTGGGTTTTTAGGGGTGAAAATGCCCAAAAACTGGCTTAATTTCCCTAAAAAAGGCGCAGGCATTCGAAACGATAAAAAGCGCATTCGGTCTCTTCCTTCGGAAGAGAGCGGTGTGGCCGAGTGGCTAGTGCCGCAGCCTGGGAATCAAGAGGGGGAACGCCGCACGGGTTCGATCTCCCTTTTGGGCCGAATCAACTATTTTTGAAGATGATGGTCGGAAAAATAAATTTTTGTGCCAGGACTGAATGATTACGTCTTAGAAGCTCAATAAACATCATTTTAAGCCCAAATAAAAATTGTAAACCCGTAAAAAATTGAGCGAAAAGGGGTTCATATGGGACTTTAAGTCAACTTCCGCTTGAGTTTTCACCCCTAAAAACCTAAAATGGGCAGCTAAGATTTATATATCCTTGATCAGCACATTTTTTCTGATTTTTTGAGATATGTCCCGTCAAAAAGTAGGAGCCCCCATAAAAGTACTTTCCTTGTAAAATTAGTTAGTGGAACTCTCCGGGTCACAATTAAATAGCAACTGATTATACTGTAAGTAAAGGCAATGCTTATACAAAGTTATGCAATGCGATTATAGCTTTAAAAACGTCAGGCTCAATTACAATTGTGGCGTAGAATATCCATACAAAAACACAAATTTATTACACAATAACCGTTTTTCGTGTGGTATTGTCTCCTGGATTGATTATTACGCTAGCGCATAAAAAAAGTTTTACTGATAAAACAGCAGTTAAAGCAATATGCTTTTATTTGTAAACTTTGGCTAATTACAACAGACACAATTTTCCCGCTATCCTCTAATCCCTTGGATGCCTCCACGTCGTTCTGAGGACTTCAAAATACATTGCATTGCATTCGTCTCGGCTTATGACCTTCGCTGGCTCGGCCCATTTCAGGAATGGAAAGTCTTTGTAAACAGCATTGCGCAGCTGTGGAAATTCTTGAAACATGAAAACCGTTGTTAAACAAACATAAAGATTTCCCATGTTGAACATAACCTAGAAAAAATCTTTATGTTACTACAGACTGACGACAACTCACCGTTACCATCATCAACATCCAAGGATGGTCCTCATCATAACCGAGAACGAAATAAAGGTAACAGGTGAAGCCCATAAACGGGAAGTTTCCGACAGTAGTGCACAAAAAGGCTCCGGCCAGGCGGCGAAGCCAAGCCATCGTCGCGACAATTTGACGTGTCTCATAGCTTTCGGAGAGGGAACTTGACTCTAGCTTTCGCAGCTTTTTGGAGAGACTACGGAACACCTAAAACCAAAATTTCACATACAGGGCGATAGAGTATTCCACAAAGTAACTGCAAATATCGTTGTGCTCTTCGCGGCTATCCAAGAAGTTCAAGTTGTCTTTGAAATTTTAAGTCGGACTCTTTTAGAACATGGAAAACAATTTTTTCTCAAGTCGGCGGAGAGACCATTTTTGGCGGGTCATTTGACTCTTCAAAAGTACAAAGATATTCGCAAATACTTTGTAAAAATCTCTTAGGATCTTAAGACACCATTATATGTATTATGTACAGAACGCTTACGAAAACCCCGTAAAACATAGCACACGTGGCCATTGAGAAGGCAAATAAGACCCCAGGGAAATACTTGTCCCACATCATCACTTTTCTCATCCTCGCATCAAATTCAACTGTCGAATTCAGTCTCCAAACAATGTCGCATCGTACAACGGAAATAACCAATGCCATAGCCAATGCAACTGTTACAATTTCTCGCCCAACATGACCGCCTTCCATCTCATATGTCGCCTTACGTTTAAAGGCGATTGTTCGCTCGATTCCAATCAAAATGAATTTCAGATCAAAGTAGAAATTTGTAATCTGCGAGGTGAACACTATTGAGTACAAAATTATGACAAAGGCTTTGTTGTCATAGACGTATTTTACCGCACTCAGCGGGATGAAATTTGTGATAGCGTGAATAACAGCTGTGTAGCTGAAGAAAATGGCTTGGGTTACCTGGAAAATCGAAAAATTGAGACTTGTCGCGGCAGGATGACATCGAAGTGTGACGTTCAAATTTAGGCAAAAGAGAACTCACCAAAATAATTTTCAAATTCGGATTTATCGTAGCTAGTCTCTGCAATTTGACGGCAAAATAAATATTCAACGTTAAGTTTGGGATTGCCAATAGAAACTCAATAATGAAGAATGTAAAACTGATCTCATTGACAGGCCAGTCGAACATATAAATCTGAAATATAACCGTATTAAGGTTTGGCAAATTTCGTTAGAGGTGCGCATAAAATTAATGCAAAACCCGGCAACTTTCGTGGGCCATTTAGTCACGGAAATTAAGGTTATGAAAGCCCAAAAAACATAAACCAAATTATTGAAGTGAAGATGGGAGAATACAAATATGATTACCTGTTTGCCATCACAGACGGCCACAAGTTTTGTTCAACAAGCGTCATGGAATATGTTTGTTCCTTTCAAGGGTTCTTGCCAAGACCTCCCACGCAAATTTGGTCGTACATTTGGTATACAAAACAAACAGTTGAAACGGCGGCTAGCACATCCAGTTAATAACAACAAGGGGATTGGGTTACAAGGATTGTGATTTTGGACATCCAAGACCATGAGCACTGAAAAAAAAAATTATCATCAGTCTGTCGGGAAAATAGTGGAAGGTCGTCGCGTGTTGAAGGACCGGGCCAAATTCTTCGCCGTCCTGGGGCCCGTCGAAACAATCAGCTTGCGCCGTCAAGAGTAGCCAGTAGTTGAATAAATTTAATTCCTATTTATTCCCCCGATACTCGGCAGGCTCGGCGTTTGCCTTTGCCCCGCAGAGAACCTCCCCGCAAGTTGCTATCCTACATATGTATATGTCCCCGTAACTGCTGTCCCGTACGTTCCGCCCCGTGAGGGCACATCCCGTACGTTCAGTCACCCGTCCAAAAACGCCTTCAAAGACTATTGAATAGCAGCCCTTCCACGGAGAGACGTAATAAATGGCGTAGACGGACCAATGGTGTTGTATAGGAGGTTCAGTTACTCATCCTTCCAACGGCTCGTTAAACTTCAACGAAGACCGGTTTCTGCTTCTCTAAAGGGCAACAACATGCGGCTTTTTAAGGCCACAAATTTAAAAGTAGCACCTGGAACTCTCCGAGTCACAATTAAAAAGCAACTGATTTACTGTAATCAAAGGCAATGCGTATATAAATGATATCCATACAAAAGCAAAATTTTGTCCACGCAAAAACAAAAGAGATAATACAATAACCGTTTTTTGCCTGGCCTTGTCTCTTGGATTGACTATTACATTGGCGCATTGTCCGATTCACCTTCGGATAGAAAAGAAATAACGAGATGGCTTGTGGTCTTGCGGCTGTCTCTGCAGTCGATTACCTTCAACACCTTCTACCTGGAAACACATGGCCTTCCAAGTGGAAGGTTGCGGATGTGGAAATCGGGTAATCGAATGATTTTGTTCCCCTTTAAAATAAACACGAGAATAAACGATAATCAACTCGATTAGATAAATTTATCACGGGAGTAACAAAAACAATAAATTAAAATAGCAATACAACACAACTTCAATAACGCAACTCTACAACAACACGACTCCTCACAACTACACAACAACACTAACCTTCACAACTACAACCCTACAACACAACAACACTGATCCAGTCAAGATGGGATAAAACCTCGGAGAAGGTTATGGTGTCGTGATTCAGGCGCTTCGCTTCGGGATCTCTCCATCGAACATTCTCGAACACCGGGGAAAAACAGCTGGGGAAACAGTTGACACGGGGGACATATCTCTCTCTCTCTTTCTCTCCATAAATTCCATCGAGTTGACACATCGTGCATAACTCTAGGTTCCGTGGAATCTGCCACGCATGAAAACAAGTTTTACTGATGAAACAGCAGCTAAAGCAACATGGTTTTTATTTCGGAAACTTGGTATGGATAATTACAACCGAAACATTTTTCCCGCTATCCTCTAATCCCTTGGATGCCTCCACGTCGTTCTGAGGACTTCAAAATACATTGCATTGCATTCGCCTTGGCTTATGATCTTCGCTGGCTCGGCCCATTTCAGGAATGGAAAGTCTTTGTAAACAGCACTGCGCAGCTGTGGAAAATCTTGAAACATGAAAATCGTTGTTAAGCAAACATAAATATTTCCCATGTTGAACATTACCTGGAAAAAAATTTGTATGTAACTGCAGACTGACGACAACTCACCGTTACCATCATCAACATCCAAGGATGGTCCTCATCATAACCGAGAACGAAATAAAGGTAACAGGTGAAGCCCATGAACGGGAAATTGCCAACAGTGATGATCACAAAGACTCTGGCCAAGCGGCGAAGCCACGCCATGGTCGCGACAATTTGACGTGTCTCATAGCTTTCGGAGAGGGAACTAGACTCAAGTTTTCGCAAATTTTTGGAGAGACAGCGGAACGCCTAAAAATAAAATTTCAAGCAAAGAAACAAATAAATGATTACGCTTTGTATTTACAGTGTGTTTCAAACAGTGAGAAAAATATCTTTGTGTTCTTCGCCGCTATCCTAGAAGTATAACACGCCTTTGAAATTCTAACAAGTAAGTCGGAACTTTTTAGAATATCAAAAAGAATTTTTTCTTGAGTCCGCGGAGAGACCATTTTTCCGCGTCCCGACATTTCGGGTCAGGGACAACTCGGGTCGCGACAACTCGGGTCGACGACAACTCGGGTCAACGACAACTCGGGTCAACGACACTTCGGGTCAACGACATTTCGGGTCAACGATACCGTTTCATATTTTCGCTTCGGGACTGTGAAAAAACAATTTTTTGGTGAATTTGAGAAATTTTTGAAATGTTTTCGCTTCGGGACTTGCGTTCTCGGAGGATAGGTTACCCCGAGGATAGGTTACCTGAAAAAAATTTTTCTTTGAAATGTTTTCGCTTCGGGACTCGGAAAAAAAGGACTTTTTGTGAAATTTGAAAAAATTTTCAAATGTTTTCGCTTCGGGAGTTGGAAAAAAAGGATTTATTGTGAAATTTGAAAAAAATTTGAAGTGTTTTCGCTTTGAGACTGGGAAAAAAAGATTTTTTGGAAAATTCAACAAAATTTTGAAATGTTTTCGCATCGGAAGTAGAAAAAAGGGTGTCTGACTGAATATTAACTGTGGTGCCGGCAGCACTAAAATTTTGTCTAAAACCAATGGTGCCACCTGGTACTATATAGTACCACGTGTTTTTGGGCTCTACTAAGCACCAAACCATCACCATTACTGCCTCATGGCCAAGTTTTCACTTCTCACAAAACAGTACCAGTTGGTACTATATAGTGCCAAGTGTTAAAACGTGTTTTTGGGTTCTACTAAGCACCAAACCAACACCATTACCGCCTTACGGCCAAATTTGCACCTCGTACTAAATAGTACCAGGTAGTACTATTTAGTACCAAGTGTTAAAAATGTGTTTTTAAGCAGTACTAGGCACCAAAACAACACCATTAACGTCTAAAAGTGTTATAAGTCGAAAAATTTTCAAAAAGAATCCCTAAAGGCAGTAAGGTAACAGAAACCCAGTTTTCATATTCAGTCAGTTCATACTCAGTCAGCTCGAAAACCTTTCAAATTTTTTTCAATTTTCACAAAAAATCCTTTTGTTAAAAGTCCCGAAGCGAAAACATTTCAAAATTTTTTCAAATTTCACAAAGAATCCTTTTTTTCAACTCCCGAAGCGAAAACATTTCAAATTTTATTCAAATTTCACAAAAAATCCTTTTTTTCCAAGTCCCGAAGCGAAAACATTTGAAAAATTTTTTAAATTCACCAAAAAATTCTTTTTTCCAAGTCCCGAAGCGAAAATATTAAACGGTATCGTTGACCCGAAATGTCGTTGACCCGAGGCACTGCAGGATGAGCCAAGTCTTTCTCCTTGGGTGGTCAACTCTTCCTCTCAAAATTCTTTTTTGTCAAGAATAATATAAATTTCTTTATGTTTTAATCTACATACATCGACAGGACAATAACTCTAAAAGTAAGTTAAATTAACCCTCTTTCTAAATATGCAATGATTTTTTGCATTACATAAGTTTATCCTTGCACATTTAGCCATTGTTGCAGGTATACAAATTTAGCTGAATGCTGTTCGTTCTTGCGATTCCATGAACGAAATTTGAAAGTCTTCCCCACAAAAGAACCGGCGTCGAGCCTTCTACGTGCCAGAATTGTGTCAGCATGAAAGGACTTACAGTTTTTTTGTTGATTCGATTTTAGATATTACACTAGGTACTTTCGTAAGTTTAAGGCGAGATTAGGTCACATTTTACGTCATATATGGTCTAAATGGACAACAAAACTTTCTTTTACCATTCTTAACGTTGTAACAGGGATGTCCCCCCTTTTATTGTCGTTTTTGAATTTTCTTCAGATTTTAGGTATGGAACAACTTTGATGTATCCGCGGCCATAGATGCGTATTAATACTTCGCAAACCATATTTCAATGGTCCCTAGTCGATCTAAAACATGTTTAGAACAGTATGAGAGGTATTTGAGACTTTTTTAGATCCACGTTGTACTTGATCACTTAGACCCTAAAACGTCTCAAACCCGGGTTTGAAAGAATATTTATGTTGGGGACGGTTTAGTAATGGCTCACCTTTGTAGATTCCCGGCTTTAAACTTCAAAAACGTTAGATTTTGCCTGCAATTTGACAAAAGTACCTAGTGTAATATCTAAAATCGAATCAACAAAAAAACTGTAAGTCCTTTCATGCTGACACAATTCTGGCACGTAGAAGGCTCGACGCCGGTTCTTTTGTGGGGAAGACTTTCAAATTTCGTTCATGGAATCGCAAGAACGAACAGCATTCAGCTAAATTTGTATACCTGCAACAATGGCTAAATGTGCAAGGATAAACTTATGTAATGCAAAAAATCATTGCATATTTAGAAATTTATATTATTCTTGACAAAAAAGAATTTTGAGAGGAAGAGTTGACCATCCAAGGAGAAAGACTTGGCTCATCCTGCAGTGCGAGGTGTCGTTGACCCGAAGTGTCGTTGACCCGAGTTGTCGTTGACCCGAGTTGTCGCGACCCGAGTTGTCCCTGACCCGAAATGTCGTAGCGCCCATTTTTCGACGGCGACATTTGAGCTCTATTTTAAAAATGACATCTTATTACAAAGCCCAAACTCCTTTACAACTGATAAAATTGAATTTGTCTCAACTTCGAAGATGTAGTCTGCTCGTCTCGGTTTCTTGACGGGTGTTTGAGACGTTGGCGAAGGCTCGACGGAGACCTTTTTTATCGGTGGAGGCTATTTTGGGATCCTGGCCTTTCGAATTAATAGCACGTGATATTCGCAAAAACTTTGTAAAATATTTCTTATAACTCTATGTATACTGATTAATAACAAACAATTCCCTCAGCTATTACGAAAAGCTTACAAAAACTCCTTGAAACATAGCACACGTCGCCATCGAGAAGGCAAACAGGACCCCAGGGAAGTATTTGTCCCACATCATCACTTTTCTCAACCTCGCATCGAATTCAACTGTCGAATTAAGCCTCCAAACAACGTCGCATCGTACAACGGAGATAACGAAGGCCATAGCCAATGCAACTGCTGCGATTTCTTTCCCAACATGACTGCCTTCCGTCTCATACGTGGCCTTCCGTTTAAAAGCAATAGTTCTCTCTATTCCAATCAACATAAACTTCACATCAAAGTAGAAATTTGTAATCTGTGTAGTGAACACTATTGAGTACAAAATTATGACGAAGGCTCTATTGTCGTCGTCGTATTTCAACGCACTTAGCGGGACGAAATTTGTGAAAGCGTGAATTACAGCTGTGTAGCAAAAGGAAAGGGCTTCGGTTACCTGCAAAATCATAAAATTGAAAATTGCAAAATGACAGAAGGATTCCGAAGCGTCATATCTTGATGAGACTTCATACAAATTTAGATAAAAAATTTACAATTTTTTGTCACTAAAAAAAGAAAACTCACCAAAATAAATTTCAAATTCGGATTTATCGTAGCTAGTCGATGCAATTTGACGGCAAAATAAATATTCAATGTTAAGTTTGGAATCGCCAATAGGAATTCAATAACGAAGAATGTACAACTTATCTCATGGACAGGCCAGTCGAACATGTGATTCTGAAATATAACTGTATGTATAAAGGCTAAAGAAGTTTCGTTAGAGTCGCGCGTAAAAATAGAGCTAAAAACGACAATTTTCCCAATCGAAATAAGTTTTACGAAAGCCCAAAATATCTTAACCATGTTGAAGTAAAGATGAGAGAATACAAAAATAATTTATCTGTTTGTCATCACAGACGGCCTTAAGTTATACTATGCTGAACAACCGTCTTGAAATATTTTCTTCCTCTTTAAGGGCTCTTGCCATGAATCCCACACTAATTTCGTCCTACATTTTGTATACAAAACGTGCAGAAAAAATGATACCACATCCAATTAGTAACAGAAAACTATATGTTTTCTTGAATTTACGTCATCGAACAGGGGATCGGGTTGCAAGGATTGTGATTTTTCCCGACACAAAATCGATTGCGGGGCATAGGGCATTCTTCGGGTGGATGCCCGAAGAAAGGTTGTTGGAAGCGCCTACAAATCCTGAGAATTCCGGATGCATGGTCGGCGGACGCTCGGCGAAGGCTCGGCAGAGATCTGGTGAAGTCTCGCATTATATGCACTTTTTATAATTTTAGTTATTGATAACGTCTGCTTTCTTTATCCTGGGTTATTGTAAGATATATTAACATGAATATAAAATACCAAAGCTTGCGGCAAAAAACTAAGATCCGTAACTTTTATTTACATAGATATTATTGGCGCGAAAGCATGTAAAATATTTATTTCAAGATAGGTGATAAGCTATCCTACAACCCATAAATCTTATTATTTCTACTAACTAAGCCTTCTCTTAGCCTCCCATATGACAACGACGAACCAACGCGAGCCATAATATCGTTGACCTGAACTCCCGCTTGTCCGAAAAGTGGTATCGCCAAAAAATACTGCTCATTACCGCCGCGAGTCGTTTGGGTGCCTCCATGTTGCTTTCAGAATTTCATAATAAAGAATATTGCTTTGGTCTTGGCCGATGATCTTTGCTGGCTCAGCACACCTCAACAGCGGGAAATCCTTGTAGACCGCGTTCCGCAGTTGCGGAAATTCTTGAAACATAATTACCGTCGAATACCAGCAATAAATATTCGCGATGTTGAACATGATCTAAAATAACCAGACATGTATAAATATAAATAGAATTACGTACAGTCAGCATCAGTGACAGCCAAGGATGGTCTTCATCATAACCAAGAACAAAGTAAATGTAACAAGTGAGAATCACAAATGGGCCAATCCCTGCGATGCCAACAAAAAAGGCCTTGACCAAACGTCGAAGGTAGGACATGGCTGCCGTGATTTGGCGGGTTTCATAACTTTCGGAGAGCGATTTGTGCTGGATTTTTCGGATTTTTTTAGACAACGAATTGAACACCTGAAAATAGACACGCGATTTTTGCTTCATACGCGTATTTACTGATCCAGCGGCGAAAAAACGTGCCATTTTGCATCCGGGAAGTATCAAAAATGTAGCAAAATACCTCCCTCTCCAACTAAAAACCCCGATTTCAAAAGCGCGCCCGCTCTTTTTGTGGGGAAAATAGCTCGCCCTTCAAAACGGAGTTTTTTAGTTGTAGAGGGAGGTATTTTGCTGCTTTTTTGATACTTTCCGGAAACAAAATGGTACGTTTCTTACCACTGGATTAGGTTCGTCATTGTAAAATCATACCGAAAAATCTTTTCTTCTGATAAATTTTTATGCACATTTTCCACAAAAAGCCAAGACCGGGTTGGCTAAATTTTTTGTTCCGCCTTGGAAGAAACCTTTTGTAAGTCGCATGCTTGAGGGTGGTAAGGCAGGAATGTGGTATTTTTGCGATCCCAAAGAATTCCTCGTTAAACTTACGTAAATCGCATAAAAAATCCCACACACCGCCGCCGACTATACGAAAGCAATTCCAGGAATATACTTGTCTACCATCGTCATCTTCCTTAGCCTTCCATCCAACTCCAATGTGGAAGTTTTCCATATGAAAACGCTTCGAACAATAAAAACGAGAACCGATATTGCCAAAGCGACGCCTACAATCTTATGTCCCACCGTAGCGCTTTCCTTTTCGTACGTTGCTTTGCGCTTGAACGCAATTGTCCGCTCTATTCCAATCAACAGAAATTTGACGTCGAACACGAAATTCATGAGTTGAGAGACGACCATTAGTGTGTGGAAAATTATGCAGGGAATTTTATTTCCATCAACGTATCTCACCGCCTCTGACGGAATAAAGTTTGCGACGGCGTGGACAGTCGATAAGAAGGAGTAGAAAATTGCTTCGGTTTCCTGCGACGACAAAATACAGTAGTGGACCAGTGGCAAAAAACGTACCGCTTTGCAGCCGGGAAGTATCAAAAACGCAGCAGAATACCTCTCTCTCCAAGTGAAAATACTCCGATTTCAAAATGCGCTCTCTCTTTTTGTGAGCGCGCCCTACAAAACAGCGTTTTTTAATTGGAGAGGGAGGTATTTTGCCACATTTTTGGTAGTTCTTTTGCGAGGGAAATGGCCCTTCAAATAGGAGTTTTTTTAACTTGGATAGGGAGGTATTTTGCAACATTTTTGATAGCTCTTTTTGTGAGGGAAATAGCCCTTCAAAGAGGAGTTTCTTGCTTGGATAGGTAGGTATTTTGCAACATTTTTTGATACTTTCCGGATGCAAAATGCTACGTTTTTTGCCACTGGATCAGGTACGTCACTGTACGACTCTTAACGCCGTCGAATGATTGTAAAACGAAGGCGTTCTACACTCAAAAAAAGAAAAGAAACCTACCAAAATCACCTTCAGATTGGGATTTATCGTAGCTAGGCGATGCAATTTGATAGCAAAATAAATATTCAACGTCAAATTTGGAATCGCCAGTGAAAGTTCGAAGATGAACAAGGCATAGCGTACCTCTTGGAGGGGGAATTTCCACATAAATAAAGTTCTGAAAATTTTGGTAGAAATGAGATAAAATAAAGCTCACTGACGAAGGGGGAAAGCTATTAACATAAAGTGGGTTTCTTTCTCAATTACATACAACCTGCTCACCCTTAGCAGGTTGTAGTTTCCGATAGCGTGGAAGCCAGAAGGCAGACGCCGATACAATCTTGCCTACTATAATATATAAAATGTGGCTTTAATTGAGGAGAAAATAAAGTCTGTAGCTGTGAAAGTTTCGTATAGCTATAACAAGGGAATTACTCCAAGTGCAGAGTTTCGTTGAGCTTTCCACTATTGTCGGGTTTCAAAAACAAACTTTTGAAGGCCGATTTTTAGCGGCCGAAACGTCAGCTTACTGCAACATTGGTATGTTACAGTAAGCCGAACGAGTCGACACCACATTTTTGAAAATGGAAAAAATATGTGATGACATAAGTATCTGCCATTTTCTGAACGTCTGTATTTTCATTACTCATTTTTGGAGGATTACTGTAGAGCCAAAAAATTGTAAAAATAACTGTGTTAACGGCCGAAGCGGGTAATGCTGTTTTGCCAATGGGCTTTTAAGCCAAGTACGGTCATATCAAAGCAAAAAACATGAGATCGAATTTTTCCTCCACATAAACCGCGTTAAATTTCATCAAAATCTGAGACTTTTTGCTCGCAAAATTAAGTTCACTTCCATTCCGTTTTCGACTTTTTTTATAAAACGATCGATAAAATAAACGTCGTTGAAGCCAAAAAACTTATCCAATCGTAAAATCACAACTAAAAATTCCAAAAATTAACCGTCAATTTCAAAATGAAAACAATTTATTTTTGAAACAACGAAGACCCGTCGGACAATCTCGAAGTGCAGGAATGAGCAAATAGTATTGTAACAAAGGTCGCTAATCCATTACAAAAAGACATAAATATTTTTCGTTAAAACAATCGCTAAATGGATCAAAAAATAAAGCTAAATTAAAAACTACTGAGAGCAATTCACAAAATAAAAGATTCTTGAATTTGTATTTTGCATTTGGAACAATCTTGTTGAGGGTTTTAGACGGTGCCTTGAGGTTCGATCGGGTGTTTCCTGGGGCGTCCGCGTTTGGCGCGGGGTTTCTCGGTAGACGGAGTGGAAGTTGGGTCATTTCGGCGGATTTGAGGGGTCTGAAAATCGGGGAAATCAGTAAAATTATTGCAAGAAAGGTATAAAAAAATAATTAAAATAAAAAAAATTTAAAATACGCCTAAACCATCAATTTTTAAATATTTTAGGTAACAAAAATGCCCAAAATACAAAAATCTTAATTTGGCAGGCTGCGCCCGACAATTTTCAAAAAAAAGGTAAAATACGGCAAAACTAATACGACAGCCTTCATTTGAAAAGAATTTCATTAAAAAAATTTTTTTTACATATCAAAAACTCAAAAAATCGCAAAATTATTAAAAATTTCAAAAGTTGCGCCCTAAAAATTGTAAAATACGGGGTCTAAATTAAATCCAGTTCACTTTTTTTATGCGGCCTAATAATCTAACTTTTAAACGTAAACTTCATAAAAAATCAAAAAAAAAATTCAAAAATCCTCGGCAGGGTGCGCCCGACAAATTTTTTGAATTCGGCAAGCTGCGCCCTGAAAAAAAATATCCGACCCAAAAATCAATCGTAAAACTCCTTACCGTGTCTACTTCCTCCTTTTCCACATGATTTCCAAGTTTGCTTTCGTCCAAGTTTTCGACAGCCTTCCTTTTGGCCGCGCGACTACTTGGCTCGGCCATATCCACAGTCAGCCTCTTCAATTCGTTGTTTGGTTTGGGCTGGCTTCCATTTAGGCTCCTTGTTGGTCTTCCATGTCGAATTTCATCAATTTTTCGGGCAACTTCCGACCGTCTTTGCGCCGATATTGCCTTAGCCTCCTCTGATTTCTCGCCGGCTCCGAAGCCGTTCGTTTGCGGGGATCCATTTCCATTGCAGCTGCTGCTTTCCGCCTCTATTCCCTCGTCGGCCTCCAAGGCGGTGCTGGTTTGACTTTGATCGGTGTCCAATGAATTCTGGCTAGGTAAAAGTTTGGGTTTTGTGGGGGTGACCTGCGGACTCTTCGAGGATTTCTCCTTCTTTCCAATATTCAAATTCTCACTTGGTGAGACGAATTTCTCTTCAATTCGTGGTTGTTTCAGCGGGATTTCGGTGGTGCGTTCCATCGGCTCTTCCGGGTAATCGTCTTCGGGAATTGGACCGGCCAAAGTCAGACTTTGTTGGCTTCGCGTCCATCCGGAATGTGCGTCATAAACGCGCGTGTTCCATTTCACGTGGACTGGCGCCTCCTTCGCAGCGTTTGTAATGTTCAAGAGGTTCTGCAAATGGCCGAATCTTCGCTCCACGGGCAGTTGATTCACAGTGCTCGCCAAAATTCGAAACATGGCCAGTTGATCCGGATTTTCGGTGAAAAATTTGGAAATCGCGGTTATATCCGGGTTCTCCGGAGGCGGCTCCGGCTTCGGTGTGGGCTCTCGCACCTCCGGCAAAACTGGCTCGGGGATCTTGTCGGTCTGCGCCTCGGAATCGACCATCTCCGGCTTCGGTGGCTCCGGAGTTTTCTCTTTTTCCGGGATCGGCGTTGGTTGCTTTGGCTCCACCTCCATTGGCTCTTCAACTGGCTTCTCCGAGGGCTCCTTTTCACTTCGAACCGGTGATTTTGGCGATGAAACTGGGCTGGGTGTGGACTCGGAACTCGGTGTGGGAGAGGCCGATATTGTGATTGGCTGCGCCTCCTCGCGGCCGGTTTGGTAAAAGGTTGAGGTCCTTGGGCTGAAAAAAAAATTAAAAATTTTCAAAGACTCATTACAATGTTTCAAAAAATTGAAAAAATAAATGTTAGGGTATCCAAATGCAGTGACGGAAAATGTTTCTTTTTGAATAGAATAGATGGAAAAAAATAATTTCAGAGTTTCGGAAAAGCCAAATTTCATACAGTGGCGGACCTAATCCAGTGGCAAAAAAACGTACCATTTTGCATCCGGGAAGTATAAAAAATGTAGCAAAATACCTCCCTCTCCAAGTAAAAAAAAAACTCCGATTTGAAAAGCGCTCTTTTTGTGAGGGAAACTCCCTTCAAAACGGAGTTCTTTAGTTGGAGAGGGAGGTATTTTGCAACATTTTTTGACACTTCCCGGATGCAAAACGTTACGTTTTTTGCCACTGGATTAGGTCCGTCACTGTTTGATACTTCGCTTTTCCAAAACTCCAAAAATTTTTTTGACTTATTCTAGACTAAAAAAATCATTTTCCGGCGGTTAGAATTTCGACATTGCATAAATATTGTACTTGACCTACTCTGCCAACGAAGAACGATCCACAAACGAAAGGGCCTTCAAGAACGTTGGTTTGACGGCATTTTCGTGCTTGTTGAACTGCACTTTGATTTCGGTATATTTCTTTTGCAGACGGTCAAATGTTGCCAACACCCATTCGGCTAAAACAATATTTAATAAAATCAAAATTTCAGTAAAAAATAAAAAAAATTTTTAGTTTAAAAGCCAATATCAAATTCTTCGACCCTCAACTTACGTGAAACATCAAACTGCGGCTTCATTTTCTCCGCCACCGACTTAAAAATCGCCTCTCGACCTTGCCTATCCATGGGAGTTAGTGTCCTTTTATAAATCGTCTGTTCGTCCCGCAAAATCTCGATTAACTTGTATTCCTTATCCGTAAGGGCGGGATCCGCGATCAGGACTTTGCCTAGCACCTTGTCGGAGAAGTTGATAGTCAGCGATCTGTATTTTTCATCAGTTTTCAGGATTTTCACAACATCTCCGGTTTCATCAATACAGGCCTCATCTTTTAGGCCCTCAGGGACTAACTGAAACAAAATTATGAGTTATTTTGGAAAATACGAAATTTTAAAATACGTACTTCAAAAAAATCAAAAAAAAAATTTTTAATCGTAATAAAAAAATTTAAATTATATTATCCATGTTTTTTGGATGCCAAAAAAATTTAATCCTTGCGTCAACGCATCTAAATTTCATTCAAATAGAAATAACTAGCTAACAGGGGAAGTACCCCAAGTGCGACGCTCAGATTTTGATGAAACTTGGCACAAATTTAGAATGTTTTTTTCCAAGACATATGCGAGAATCCTAGCTCGCGCTTTGCAGAAGCAACCGAGATTTTTAAATCGAAAGTCGGCGAAAATTTATGACTTTTTACCGAATTTCGGCACGAAAAGTTTCATGCCTATTTCTATTGTAATGGGTAATGCCTCCACAAAAAATGATTTTTTTCCGTACGAAACTAGCGAAGTTACGGCCAAAAAGTGTTTTTCTCTCTGACCGCTCTCCGCGGTTAGCATGCTCTCTCGGCGGCAAAAATCGTTCGATATCTCGGCGGCGCCTGCAAAGCGCGAGCTAAAACTTTCAGGAATTGATACTTTGTTCATGACCAACGTGTGTGCAAAATTTAAAGAAAATCTGAGCGTCGCACTTGGGGTACTTCCCTTGTAAGTTTCTAGTTTCCATTATCAATTTACGAATAAAATAACCAAAAATTATATTATCCATGATATTGGATATCAAAATTTTGGTTTTCCTTCGATTTAAAAAATCCTTAACCTACCTCAAAACAACTAAAAGAACCACTAATAGGTCTTTTCAAGTATATCCCAATATTTAAAAATCAAATTAAAGATTTTTTTGATACCTAAAAAACTTACCAACTGTAAAATCCCATTGTCAAAAATATTGAACCCATTGGAAGCCTGGGTCAACTTCTTTACCACACTTTCCCTTCGAACAGTCGAGATCATCATCAACGACCCAACTAATTTCTCAATCGCCGCCTTTTCACTGTCACTGGTGTTGGCCAATTTTTCGACAATCGCTTGGACGGAGCTGTGATCCACTGGCTGCAAACTTGGAGTAATAATTGTGTGTGTGGAGGAGTTTGTGACTCTGGGTCCATAGACGACCTAGAAAAATTTTGGGTTCAAATTTTGAACAAAAAAAAATTTTTTTTGTCAATTTTAAAATCGAAGAGTCAAATTGAACTTTTTAACTCACCTTCATGCCTTGTCCTGTACCCACAACTTTAGGAGGAGGTGTGGGTGGGATTACGAGCTCGTTTCCGGTATGAACAGTGTAGGATTTGTTGCGAATAGGCGCTGGAAGCGGCAAAGGCGGAGCTTGCGCCAATCCACGCATTCTGGCGATTCTTTTGAGGGTGTTCCTAAAAAAAGAAGTTGAAATACAAAAACTGGCAATTGCATACGGAAGCACGGACTTATTTTATCCCCAATTTTACCCCGATTTCCCTCGCAAAGACGAAGAACGCAGGGAGGAAAACTTGACCCAAACTGGAGGAAACGGGTCAAGTGTTCCGCTAGCTTTTGGAAGCGCGAAAATAAAAAGGAGGATGACCAGTGAGTGCGGAAAACCGTTGTATTCCGCGGAAAACAAGCCACTTACTGATCCACCGTGCTCAATCCCCGCTCCAGGAAGTGTAATCGTTGATAAAACGGGGTGGGCTCGATTCGCCCCTCCATTCTCGTCATTTTTCTCGCCTCCTCGCGGTATTTCGCCTTGATTCCCTTGAAGATGGCGGCCAATTGTGGCCCACTGGTCTCCAAGCCCTCCGCCGTCATCTTCTTCGCAATCTCCGCGTACGAGTTGGACTTGAACTGGTTGTGCGCAAAGTTCTTGTCGTTGGGATCGTAGAAGCAGGGGTAGTCGGGCAGGATCTCGATGAAGCGCTCCTCCAGCGAGTTGCGCAGCAGGGCCGGCAGGTTGATCAACGACCGCTCCATGGCCATCTCGCTGAGCGTACGCTCGCCGGGCGGATAGCACGGCGACGGCGAGTTATTTTTCGTGGATGGCGGGGTATTTCGCGGGGAAATGGACGAAGTCCCCATGGCTTCGCGGAAAATCTCGAGCAGGTCCGGCTTTTGTTCCACATCGTCGTCTCCGAACATTTTGCGGAGCTTTCGCCTGCAAATAGACCAAATTCTTCGAACTGATCGATTCAAAAAAATATTTATTTTTTTTTGGGGGAAAATAATATTTTAGGTATAAAATCGCGTGGAAAATTTTTTTTAATAAAGAAAAAATATTGGTCTGATGATTTTGCATAGGAACAGACGACTTGTCCGCAAAATCATACCGCAGAAAAAACTTTAGGGAGAAAAGAAAAGAAAACGCGTGGAAACTTGACTCAACCGAGCCAAGTGTTTCTCTCGACGAGTTGAATGATGAAATGAATGACTCAAATTACTGATAATCCAGATAGTTTTGGGCTCAAACGGAGTTAGAGTTAGGGAAATATAAATTTTTAGGACCACTTTGTACCAAGTGGACCATAAATAATATAAGAAAATTAGTCACAAATTTAAGATGTATTATTCTACATAATAAGCGGTAACAAAAATTTCTGCAGATCAAAAAAGGTTTAACGATGAAAAGAGCACTTGGAAGGGTCTAATTTTTATTTCGAAATCAGTTTCCGGCGGACGAAAAAAGACAAAAGAAGCGGGGTTTTGTATAAAATTTTACGACATCTGACCGATGTCTGCACTAGTGCCGTAAAATATAAGTCGTAATAAAAAATTATGGCGGTAAAATAACCAAAATCGGGGCACAGTAGATGTTGCTGTTTTTTGAAAATAAAAAAAAAAAAAAATAAAATTTATAGAGATTTTGGGAAGGATTTCGCACGCCGTATTTTACAAAGATTAATAGAAGTCAAAATCAGCCGAGAAATATGAATTTTACCAATTTTTCTCTCTGCCCAACAAGTACAATATAAATAAACCTCCGCAAAATCCCAAAAATATCCGAAAAAATGGCTGCGGCCCTTTGCGAATTTTATCAAGGAAATTTCAACGCCAATTGATGGGGAGAATTTTTATACAACTTTTTTTGTGGGCAGAAACTGGCGAGGCGAGGGGTTCGAAGAGCGATCCCAATATTTTTTGCTCGCTCTCCGGCTGTTTCTCTCCGCTCCGCACACCTCTTCGTTCCGAACTGAAAATTTTTTTATAAAACCCCATTGGAAAATTTTGGGAGACGTGTGAAGACCCAAGCGGAATTTGGCGGAGAAATTTTTTTATTGGAAATTAAAAAAAATCAAATGAGAAAGTATAAATTGAAAAAAAAGTATTTTTTCTTTGCAAAATGTATTAACGAGTTGAAAAAATTTTATTTTTTAAATTCTGAATATTTAAAAAATAATACAAGATGGGACCTAAGGGCCGAAAAATTTTTAAAAATTTTGGCTCGGCTTTTTTTGAAGGCTCTAATTTTTTTGATCTAAATTTTCCAAAATTACCCGCTGCTTTGTGGATTTGATGTTAAAAAAATTTGGTGATTCAAAAATTTATTTTGTGAAAAAATAAAAATATTTTTTCTTTTTTGTTTGCAAAATTTGATGTTATCATAAAAATCCCGACCTCTTAACGGGAAAAAAATGTTTTTTGATGCAAAGGAAAATCTCCGCCGAATTAAAAAAAAGTCTTGGCCACGGACAATTTTCATAAATTCCGAATGCTTTTTTGGAATTCTAATGAATCATAAGTGTGGAACGTTTTTTGGCCAAACAAAGTTCGGAAAGAAATAAAAACAAAAATAAAATTTTTCGCTTCGGCGGAGTCAAATTTTAGACTCTAGAATGCAAAAAATCATCGGGGTTAGTTTCCGCGGAAAAAGTAGCAGAAGAAATTTCGATTTTTGGGATTTTTGCGGATTTTTTGCTTCTGTGAAAGTTTGAGTCAAGATTTCTCCGCCGAAAATCAAAAAAAATGAGCCGCTTTTGTCATAGCAGATTTCCCAATCACATAAATTCCCAGAAATGTCGAAAAATCGCGAAAAAATCGACCAAAACTGGGCAGCATGGCCAGACCCGATGGGTTCGCGGTTAAGCAGCAGCGCTGAAGGATTCGTAGGCGAAGACCGAAGAGAATGGGGGGCGAAATCGAAAAATGGTGGAGGCGAGCGGCGAGAGAAAAAACGGAGGGGGGGGATGCCCTTCGAAACAGCCAGCGTCTGCGCTCCGCTCCACCACCGACTCGCCTCACTTCTTTCCATCGCACTCTGCTGACGCTCTCCGCACGCCCGCTGCCTCGTCCTCGGCTTCAGCGGACCAAAAAAAAAATTCTCCCCTCGCTTGCTTCGCGGCTGGGCACCGATTCGAGTCGGCCTTGGCGAGCGGACCCTCCAAAAGAATTGCCGGCACACGCGGAGAAAAGTTTTGTTCATTCGAGAAATCCGGAAGGATTTGGAGGAAATTTTGACGGAATAAAAAGTCAACCAAACACAGTCAACGACCATAAAATGTAATTTAGCAGAGTAAAAATTGCGATCAAATTTTACGACAGATTTTTTTATAAAGGAAAATTGAATATTCGTCGCTAAGGAACGTCAAAGTCATTCCTGATGGATATTTTTTGCTGTCCAAAGTTGTGAAGTCGGATTTCAGTGTCATCAAAAACTCTAAAAGAGATCAAACTGGGCTCAAATTTGATATCAAAAAGTATCATGGAGGCAGATAGACATTAAAATTTTATTTTGAGATTTGACCGCTAGGATCTATTTTATGTAGATTATATTCTTGTTGACTTGGAGTCGAACCAGAAATTGAATCGGTCAAAGAAATCTTCAACTGAATATTTCTGTTGTGCCATTTTATAAAAACGTCCGAATGCAAACTTTACAGCGCTAGATTTTTATTAAATTTTACATGCATGACGCTCTTAAGGCACATATAACTTTTTAGAAATTTTAGCCCTTGCTTCGCAAGCCCGGCTGTAATTTAAACGATCCTTGCAGATGAGTGAGAGAGTCGTAAAATATAGATAATGGGCGGTGAGAATTTTTTTTCACTATGCATACGTTAATTTCGAATTCTGGGCAGAGTTCGAAGTTTTTTGGAATGCGCGACGTACAAAAAATTTCATCTTTCGGCCTATTTTCAGCTATAAAGTCTTGGTTATATTTACGAAGTGGTAGCTAGAAACGGTTGATTTTTAAACGAAAATTCAGTCGAGATATCGCCAGATTTGATCATATCTGAGCGCAGAATTTTCCTGTAAAACGAAGCAAAGAAAATAGAATTTTGATTTATTTGAAAGCCACCAAGTGTAATAAAAATTTAAATAAATCCAAAAAAATGTCAAAAATCTCGCAAAGCCTGCTGTCATAAATAAATAGCACCAAGCTTAATCTCCGATTTCGTGCGGTGGCCAAAAAACATGTGGATTTACCGTGAGAAGGCAGGAAGGAGGGCAAGTGGCGTTTTGAGAGCCAAACATGACACGAAATTTTCGCGCGTTTTAACGGTTTATTTTCTCTCTCACGTGAGACTTGACCAGAAACGGGGCAGGGGTCGGGTCTTCGAACCTTGCGCCGGCAATTTTTAAACGCCAGAAAAAAACGCTCTCGTATTCGGGTTAAGTTGGGCTGAGTTTCGGGATTTTTATGGGGGAAAGGATGAGGAATGAACATGAGTAATTTTGTTGTTGAAAATTGCCCGACTTTTTTATTTTTGTTTCAAAAAATCATGGTTAACTTTGGTAGCTATATCGTATTTTAAAGATTGGCTATTATGATGAGATTTAGAGCAGGTTAAGAAACACTTTTTTCTTGTGCTATGCAACAGTCGTTAAAAATTGTATGAAAAAATTTGAGATTTTTTGAATGAAAATTTCGGTCTTGCTCGAGGTAGTGTATAGTACAAGCTTTATTCAACAAATAAAAATTTCACATACATAATCGAGTCGAAGGAAATTCCAAGGGCAAAATTCAAGGCACGGATTCTTGATTATAATGGCTTGTGAAAGGACGTCTTTGAAGTTCGTCCAATTCTACAGCGTGAAGTAGCCCATCCTCCGTGGATCCGTCAGTTTTGAAGAAGAAATACAGTCCGTAAACAACTACAGTTAGAGAATAAATAACTGGAAGAATAATGGCTCCAACAATCAGCTCGTAATGCCATAAAATGGTGGGAATTCCAACGCCAAGACCCAACCAAAGAATTGAAAACCACAAGTCTGCGGTTTTTGACATATCTCGCAAGAAGAGTTTTTAGAAGCAGTCAAAGGCTTGCTATCGGCTATTGATTAGCGTTAAAAATATTACAATAAAATATAATTGTACGACCAAAAATGAAATTGAATAAAAAATTGAAATGGAAAGGCGATGATTGCTTAATTTCCCCGCTAGTCTTATAATGGCAGACTGGAAAACGACGGGCGACTTGTATACGAAAAATGGTCCAGACCAAGGCCAAAGTTAACTTACGTACTCTTTATTTCCAATGACAAGTTGATATTAAAAAATTTGGGACTAAAACGCACATAAATCCAGCATAGTTGAAGCTATTTCCTGACCAAGTATTAATCAATGTGACGGTTCATCACAAACAGAATTTTAGAGAATTCTTTGGCTGTGTTTTTCGAGGCTGGCCTGGGCAAAATCTTGCTTTCTGGTCAGAAAATGACGTATCTTGATTTTCGAAGCTAATTTTCTCCTCCAAAAATTCTTCCGAAAGAATTTTGATATACAAAATCTTTTGGTTAATCGATAGTGTGTGGACGAAACGTCTAAACGGGTTAGGAATTGCGCTGCATTGACCTGAAACTGGTTGCGCAAAAACTGCAACGTATTTTTATCGCTCGAAGCCTTGAAGTTGAAGATTAACATGATTTTTAAACGTGACAAAGAAATTATTCTAATATAAATATTACATTATTATTTTATTTTTATTCACAAGCTCCACAAATATCTTCAATACTATTCTCGTCCTGATATTGATACTCTCGCATCATCTCCTTCTGCCGGAAGTATTCGGGGATGGCGTTGGACAAGAGTAGCGCAGATGTGGTCAACAGCAGTCCACTGAGCAATCCAAACGCGTAGCACATTACAATCGTCGAAATCATAACCGAAACGGCTTGCCAGAAGGGGTCTTCCATAGCTATGCAAAAAAAATTAAAATTTAGAAATCGTCGAAATGATGGCGAGAAAAATATGAACAATAGATTCAGAAGGCCTTGAGAGTCGATTTCAAATTTAAGTAATAATTTCTCCGCCAGACCTCGGTCATGTTTTTATAAACGAAGATAAACAAGTTTCCCTCTTGCGAAATGGCTTTGGATACTGTAAAAATATTAGAAAATTTATCCGAAAAGGGAAGGGCTGTTAATAAATTTTTGACAAGTAAGAAAAAGTCTAATTTTTGTCATTTGTCGGGAAAATAATGAGCACAATGTCACTGCGCCATTTGCGTCGCTAAAGTGAAAAGCAATTTGTTTTTGTCGCGGAATAATTCATTTTCTTGAATGCGATTTTCGATGCGACAGAGTGCTCATTATTTTCACGACAGACTGATAGTTGTGGCGTAGTGCCTCAAAAAATGGATTTTTGGCACTTTGAAATTTTGCAATATTTTGACATGCGTCTGACTGTTCGTTATTTCTGACACACTCAAATTTAAAAAGGCAGTCTGGTCGTCAACCTCAGGTACTCTTTCTCTAAGCTCATCTTGCTTGGTAATTTCGAGAGATACGTTTTATTCAGAAGTTAAAAGACCGAAATAAGGAATGACAGTAAAATTACAGAGCAATTACAAGCGGTTATTCGTAAGAATATTCTTTATCGGTATGACGATGAAACCCCTTCTCCATCTCGGGATTTAGCTCTTTGATAATAAGCCGTCTCAACTTCCCGGGGATGATCGTAGTCTCGCGACGACGTCGGATCAAAGCGCTGACGCAACATGGAACGTAAGCAATCATCGCAACGGAAAAGAGAATGGCAAAAAATAAAATCGTTGCGGTTTCGTTGATTTGGCGCGCAGTGTCGTGCTTGACATGGATCAGCATCTCGTAGATCATCATGTTCACGTCATGGAGAGAGCCGAAATTGTCTTCGAGGTCGTTCGCTTCCACTGTGGTCATATTCATGGTGATCGGCGGACTGAAAGGCATGATATAAATAAAAAATTTGCAATAGTCATCGTGGAAACAGAAGCGATCAAAAAGGCGTCAAACTTTTGCTTCAAACAGTAACTCAGAGACACCAAGAATATTAAATCGTTATACGATGTCTTTACCTATGATTTTCCACAAATTTTGGCGAACCTCAAGCCAACGCCTTAAAATTTTAAGCAAATTGAATAAAAATTACGGTATCTAAAAAAAATAGCGGAGCCGTCCGATTGAAAAATCTCCACAGTCTTTACTGGATGCCTGCAGCTCCTACCATTCGCTCCTCCTACAGGGCGGCGACAATATTTTTTAAAATTACGACCTAATGTGGACGACCGACAGATTTCGCGTCTAGACAATAAAGTTCGCGCTAGACTTATAGATAACAAATGTATTATACTAGTTATTATTATTAATCTATTTATTTACCTTCAAGTCATCCTTACACACTTTACACAGAATTTTATACAAAACTTTTTGAAGGCCTCTTTTTTGTTGCTGTCAACTTTGCTCGGCTGAATCCAATCCGCCGTAGTCCGAGGTCGTAGATTTGACAATACGTGCGGATAAACGGATCGCCCAAAATCCATGTCGGGTCATTTTCGATTTGATTGTAATCGATTTGTAGGACACAGCCGTCGGAGTAGTGGATCTGCAAAAGGCTGAATTGATAGGGTAGTTTTTGTGTGTGCTAGGGCCTCAAAATAAAAGCATGATTTTTTGAAAGCAACGATTTTGCAATTGGAATACATTACTCGACAGTTACGATGGAATAGACAGTAGATTTTTTTCTCCCACAACGACCGAAAAATCAGAAAATTTTTGGACCAAGTTGGGTCGAAAATCTCCAGGCTTGTGCGATATCGCCAGTTAAGAAATCGAAAAATACTTTGTAAGCTTCCCCATTTCGTCTCTTTTCTTCTAAGCACATTTAGATAATTTTTTTCGTATTTGCTACCATTTAAAGATACTTACAATTAAATCTTGTGCTGTCAAGACATAATCATGTCCGTTGATTCGAATAGTCATCACAAACGATATATTACAAGGAACATATGGCAATCCTGTCGTTGAATTAACATCAATGCTTGCCAAAAGCTTCCGAAAAGTCTCTTTCGGCACAACAATTGCTGAAGTGCCGGTGTCCGAGATGGCGTCGACATTCTTCACAATTTCCTTGAAATTGGCGATAAATAAGTTTACAACGCTGCTCCTACTTTTCGACTTTTTTCATGGTCAATTTCAACTTTCTCGACAGAAAATTGCCAATAATCCAGACTACTCAAACCAACGTATCTGACCTCTTTCTGACAATTTACAGTGTCCTCTTCGCCGAATCGGATCTCACCACCGAGCGCGTCCACTTCTCCGCCCACTTTTTTCAACCAAATCGTATAAATTGGGCGTTCCAGTTTGCCCTCAGAAACCGCTCGCTTCACCAAGGATGCGGGATCGCCATCTTTGTGGAATCCCAAGCCCATTACACCGTCGATGACGTCTTCGTCGGACGCGGTGTCGATGATATTGGCTAGGCCGAAAGTGACGTTGGCAGTGAGGAGGGAATGCGATTCGACTGTGCCTATCTAAAAAGGACTGACAATCTGGGTGTCAGTCTGTCGGGAAAATAACGAGCAGTGTTGCTGCGCCAATCGTGCCGCTGAAGTCGAAAAAAGCAGGTGCGGTCACGCAAATTTTTGCCTCCTGGATGGCTCACTTTTGAGCCCGAAAAATAATAAAAAATTAAATTTGTAAAAAAAAATTAAAGGCACAGTTTTGCAGAGGAGAAAAAGCTGTACCAAACGAGTATATTCACATTGCCAAGCAATAAACAAATTCTTCTAAAACAAAACAATAAAAAACGACAGAACATTCTGAACAACCCAATAATTTGATTTTGCCGCGACGCAATTCATTTTTCCGCGTTGATGCGATCTTCGCTGCGACAGAGTGCTCGTTATTTTCCCGACAAACTAATAATAATTCCGGTTGGACCTACTCCAACAACATCCTGTGCCAGCTCTCCATGAGCGAAGCCGATTTCATAAAGCTGTGTGAAATTTCCGTCCAATTTCTCATACGTTGTCGACTCGTTTCTGAAGTACAAATTTTTGTCCGCACACAGCTCTCCATCCTCCTTTTCAACTCGACATTCATCGGACATGATCCAAAAACTGGTCGATCCTGTGTCAAAAACCACTCGATATTCTTGTGGGGGAGTCCCGATGACTATTGTACCTACACGAGAAAAAATACAAAATTTGGCGGCCTACCGTAATATTCAACATCCCCGTAATTGCTGAGCTTAAGTCCGAAAGTTTTCTTTTGGTGAGACATCATCGCTTTCTTATTGACCGGTTCAATTGCCATACGAAATGACGCTTTGGCGCTCGTAATTAGTACGATAAGTGTAAAATATAGAGGAATAAGCTTCATTCTATATCATAGTAATATGTTCTATAGAATAAACGGTCTTCTGTTTGGAAAGCAACATTTTGATCTCATAACGGGAAGAAATAGAAATATTTATCTGCTTCTCCATCAAGCTTCCCCATAACATGATTTTCCTCTCTGATTTCGTAAAAGGAACATTTCTTTCGATTTCAAAGCCGGAAAGTTATATCTTTATGTCTTGGATAAGATCTGTAATTTATCTAGGGAAAAGCGAATTGACTATTTAGGGAGGAATGCCTACATAAAATTCGACTGACTTTCAAGGGAGGTACTCAAAGTGCAATGCCCCTGGGCAGAGCTGAAATAAAAGGAAATTCCATTTTTGTCGCGATACAGTTAACCTACTCGGCGGCGATCCGATTGTCGATGCGACGTTGCGCTCATTATTTTCCCGACAAACTGATATTTAAATTTTATTTTTACTCTAACATTGTAAAGCGATCTTCTTTGTCTTCCAATTACATAAAAGTATGGGGCTATAAACTTTCTAATCGATTCGTATTTGCATCCATTTCCGTCTGTTCTACACTATCGTCCTCATACTCCTCCAAATTTTCTTCAAATTTACTTCCATTCTCATCTTTTTTAATGTCATCCTGCATCATTTCAGGGTTTCCATTGAAATGATCCGGGTCACGTTGATGAGTCTTCTTCCATCGTTGACCTCTCCCACTTTTCACGCATTTCTTCCCGCATTTCAACTTTTTCTTGGTTGCAACTTTGGCCTTGGCAAACCCAACTCTTTTCCGGCCAAGATCATAGATTTGGCAATACGTACGGATGAATGGATCCCCCAGAACCCAGCTCTCATCCCCTTCAATGGCGCTGACATCGAACTGCAAAACACAGCCGTCCGAGTACTTGACCATCAAATCTTGTGCAGATAACGAGTAATTACGGCCATTGATTGCGAAATTGAGCGAGAATTTCGTGTTGCACTTGACGTATGGAAGGCCAGGAGCATTGGATTTGATTCCAAGGGCGGACACAAGTGTTCTGTACATGTCTCTGGGCATAACAATAGCAGAAGTGCCGGTGTCAGAGATGGCTTCAATTTTCTGAGCAATCTTCTGAAAAATGGCAAAGTTTCTTTGCAAAATACTGCATGTATAGCATTCCGGCTACTTCCTTACCTTTGTTTCTCCTCCAATATTGATTTCAACATCATTCACATCAAACTGCCAATAATTTGTCGAAGTGAGATTCGTATATCCAACGCTTGCCTCACATTTTTCGGAATCCACATCTCCAAAAAGAATTTCCCCACCAAGCCGGTCAACTTCGCCTCCAACTTTTTTCATCCAAACAGTATACAGGGGCTTCTCCAACTTGCCTTCAGCGACAGCCCGATTAATTAGAGACTCGGGTTCACCGGGCTTCGGAAATCCCAGGCCCATTACTCCGTCAATGACATCATCTTGCGAAGCGGTATCAATCACATTGGCTAGACCGAAGGTGACATTCGGAGTGAGGAGAGAATGGGACTTGAGGGTACCTATCTAAAAGGAGAAGGAATGAAAATTGTGAGGGTTAGTGAAACATCTTTTAGATATTCCTTCAATCAGATATCCCACAGGAATTTACTTTTCAAGGCAAATTTGTGGACTAAACTGGACCTTACCGCCACAACGTCCTGCGCGAAGTCGCCGTAGGCAAATCCAATTTCATAGAGCTGACGAAATTTTCCGCTTCTTTTTGTGTACGTAGACGATGAATGCTTATTGTAGAGCGACTTGTCTTTGCAAGCTTTGCCAGTCTTCGTCTCAACTCGGCATTTGCTGGACATGATCCAAAAATTTGTTGAACCCGTATCAAAAACCACTCGATATTCTTTTAGCGGAGTACCAACGACTACCCGTCCTAGAAAGAATTATTTTGGAATTTTATCGCCCTAACAAAAAATTTAATTGTAATGGTATTACCATAATACTCAACGTCTCCAAAGTTATTGAGCCGAATCCCGAAGCCATCTCCTTGGATTTTACTAGGATCAATCACCAGCGGATTTACTGGCTCAATGGCCATGCGAAACGCCCCTTCAACATGAATAAAATACAGTGGCAACAAACAACAGAGCCAAAGATTTAACATGTTGAAGACCACAAAAGGTTAGAGCCCGACGAATTTAAATATCTCAAATTTGTTTGCATAAGACATTCATGGAAATGTTTCTTTGAGTCGCATTGTTACGGATTATGACGCTTTATCTCCGTCTGCACGGATAATAATAGTTTTATCGCTAACTTCAAGAACGGAAAATTATAATTTTGTGGTTATTTTACAGACGTCTAGGGGTTCAAAAATACGATAATTGGAAAGTGCTAAAAATAGATCATTGGGTCTTAAATATATTTCAGATTGCTTACGATTAGACTTAATATCCGCTTTTTTCCAACAACGAGAAAATATTGAATGGCCCTTCAAAATGGATGATTATCCAAATTCTTGTTAACTGAATTGCTATTGCGCCGCAGCCGCAATAGCATTCAACCCGTGGCTGCGTCCCGCCGCGAAATATGAAAGGACATTGACACTCCGCCGCAATCGACCGAAACGTGGATTTGGGAAAGAAGGAAGGTCAGTTTGGAAGTTGCAGCCTGAGCGAGTGGTTGGCCTTCAGAGCGTGTGGACAATTGGTGAAAAAGCAGCGGAGTGAGCGGTCGGCTACTTGCCCCCAGAAGATATTGGACTCTATTATGTGTATTTCGGCCATCTACTCGGCCATCTTGTGTCTAGAACAGCGTATTCAGAGATCGAGTCTGATCGTGTTGACGAGGAACCGAGGATCTCTTCTATGATGTCACAAGTAAGGACACAACAGGCAAAAAATAGACTTTGAACGCAATTTCCGATGATTTAATAACAGCTAAATTCCACAGTAATCCTCTGCCCACTAGTAATGTACAATTAGCGGTAGACGAGGAAACTTTTTATCGCGTCACAGACCCAAGTACATTATACGGTTATACCACTATGTATTTAAACTGTGGATTGCTGCGTATTATTGTTGTTTTGATTTCTAGAAACTTTTTTATGGTATCATAAGGCCTCCAGTTTGCTTTTTCCAAGTGCAGTAACCAATTTTGTAGTTGACTTTAATGGTTCATTCTAAATACCTTTCTTTACGACTGCCACTACACGTAATTACCGGTCTTGTTACTCTTACGTTTAACGCTTACAAGGGAAGTCACTTAAGTCACGGATCGATTTTTAAAAACGACTGTTACGGCAATATAGAGGGTGGAATGGGGATATCCAATCTGAAAACCGCTACCTCCACCGGCCTCTGGGAGCCGAGATAATCAACCAACAAGTTTTACCAAAAAAAAGTTGCCCCGAAAAGCTCTCCTTTTCGAAAAAAGGAAGGCAACGAACCGAATGGTCCGGTGGTCTGGAAGCGCGCTTCCGGGCCTTTGCCTTTTCAGGTTCGAGTCCGCATGGGTTCGAACTTGTAGATAATTTATCAAACTCTCTGTAATCCAGCAAATTTACTGGTAAAATAAAATTTTCTATTTTTCCATATTTTGCAATGAAATTTCACTCTGTTTGAATTATAAAGTTAAAATCGACGTAAAATATGGAAAAACTAGAGAATTTATTTTACCAGTAACTTTGGTGGATTACAGCAACAGTTTCGTAAATTTTTTAATATAAGTCCGGACCCATGCGGACTCGAACCTCAAAAGGTAAAGGCCTGGAAGCGCGCTTCCAGACCACCGGACCATTCGGGTCGCTCCCCCTTTGCTTTCGGAAGGGAGACCTTTTCGGAGAGAATTCGGCCAAACTTGTTGGTCGATTATCTCGGCTCCCAGAGGCCGGTGGAGGTAGCGGTTTTCAGATTCGATATCACCGTCCCACCCTTTCCATTGCTGTATCAGCCGTTTCCCAAAATCAATCCGTGATTTAAGTGACTTCCCTTGTTAGACCTTTGATAAATAATATCACCCAAGGTACTCCGCAGGTTCAACACATTTATTTTCGGAAATTCGGTTAACTATATATGTATATATATATTGTAATTGCCGTTACCTTTCGAATTGCTCTATGAGGACCACTTAACTTTCTGTGTAATCGTGTGGCACATCAACCACAAAAAAAAAAGTTTCAAATCGGGAAAACTGTTTGCATAACTTTGTTAAGGTGCCCAAGGGTAGCTCAAACTAAAAATTGGAAACGAGTCGGACTGACCAAAAAATAGTAGTAGTTGTAGATTTGAAAACCTTATTTTAGACATCTTTTGCTACTAAATCGTTTCGTAACGAAGCAATTGCCCAAATTCTTTTTTCTGTGAGCATAATTAGAGTAGTTTTAAAGAACTATAAGCAACCCTGTGTCATATACTAGCTTACTCACTCAAAATTCCAAAAAAACTGATATTTAGGTGACTAAAATAATATTTTAAAAATCGGTAAATTTTGACTCAGCTAGGTCCACTATGATCTAAAAAGACAATAAGAGCATAATTAGTGGCGTCCGCACCAGTTTAGAAGCTGTTCTAAGAACCTTGTTTTAGGTGATATTGGTCATTTTTGAAATTGGCGCAGCGAAGTTGAAACCAACTCCAAAAGCTCAGTATAGCCTTAGAAAGCCATCTCAACTCACATAGATAGTCTTAAAACTTTGACTTCAGTCATAAACTTTCATTATTTTTGGTATAAGATCAGGTATGCTACTATAAGGTAAAACTTTTTTTCGGCCTAAGAGTTAAAATTTTTGCAATTAATCTCCCTTAGCAGGATGTTATGAGATAATATAGTTAATTAATTAGACTATTTAACGCTGTCGGACATTAAAACTTGCCTAAAGTAATATAATCCATAAGGTAAAAAGCTTAAAATCGCATCTACTTTTTTATTATCTGTCCGATTTGCTTCAAACTTCGCATACTACCTTAGAATACAATATTCTGAAGATCGTTGCAATCACTTTCCGTGTTTCAATCGTTTTAGACAAGTTATTCCGCCGCAAAGTTTGCAAAAATTCGATTTTCTCCGGCCGTTTGTCGCTAACCTGGTGGCCGAAGAACGCCAAAATCTATTAATTTAAAAAATATGGGTCCTTGGCAATCTTTTAATCGCAGGTTCATGTTATTTTGTTCATTACCCACTGCACAGTAAGCCAAAACATTAGAGACCCTTAAAAAACCGAATGCCAAAAATCTTGGCATTCTGTTTGTGGTTGATGTGTGTGGGCCATTGCCGGCAAGATATAATCTTGCGGTAACCCTTCAAAGTTTGGTATGATTTTACATACGGGACCGACGAAGCAGAATCCATATGCCTGGGATTTTGCCGACAATATTACCGGGCAATTTCCAAGCGAACCCTATGATGAATTGGGCTATATTTCATGGTTATTTAGGATGAATTACTTTTTTTCTTGCTCAGTGGGAGGAACGGCGTCACTAACATTATTATATTTGATCTACAGTAGGACTAATGGAGTGTTGAAGCCTTTCCGAGGAATGCTTTTTATGTGTGCCATCACCGACTTCACTTTTTGGATGATGGATATGTTGGTTCAGATTGTAAGCCGGTTGCTTTCATAATAAGGGCTTTCAGAAAGGGAAGGAGGCCAACGGAATAGTCCTGATAAAATTGGAAGGCCCAGTTGGGTATTTGGACCGGAAATCGCAACTCTTGGGGACCACTGCGTACGTGGTGTCGGCCTGCTTGTCAATGACTGTATTGCCAGCACAAACCTATTTTAGGTATCACTCAATTACGCGGTAAGTCTCTCCAAAATGAGGTTGATTTTTGACCTGTGTTTTTTCAGCTCGATTTCCATCAACGGTGTGAAAACATCTGTACTATTCTTCATATCCGTGTTGTTCTGCTTTCCGTTGGCATGTCTTTGCTACACAAGTTACAACATCTCTGCCGAGGCCTCTCCAGGTTTTAACTATGGCACGTTATGGTATAGAGAGGTTCCATTACCAACTTTGTTGATTGGGAACACTGTGAGCTAAGAATTCAAATTCTTTAAAAAAAGTTATCATTTTAGGCTTCGATGTACCAAAAGCTCTACTTTGCAATGTGTGCCCTTCTCTTTATCTTGTCGTATACTGGCGTGGTAGTCCTTGGGTTTTGTACGGCAAGAGCGCTGAAGAGACGGGAGGGCCTGTATACCGTCAGAACAAGGCGACTTCAAAAACAAATGTCTTTGTTTCTGGTGTGCCAGGCAAGAGATACTTTAACTTTTAATTGACTCAATCCCTTAGGCCGTTTCATTGCTGTGCATATCAGTTGTACCAGGAATTTTGGTCATCGTCCCGTCATTTTTTCACTTGGATTCGGGCATGACTTTGGGCGTGGGACTACTGTCGCTTAGTTGGATTCCGGCTTGCAATGCCGTAACCACAATCTGTGTAATTGTCCCATTTCGGAGAGCCGTCTGGGGCAAGATTGTATCAACAAGGGCGCGAATCTCGAACTTCTCAACAATTAGATGAAATTTCTACACCGTTCCGAAAACAACACATGCAAATAAATATAATATTAAAGCCTTTAAAAAGCAATAAAAATATCTTCTTAAGAGGTTAATGTCCTTAACCAATGTGGCATTTTATGGAGTCGTCTGATTTTCCGGACATTTGGGATTTTCGTTTTCGATTTTTTAGTCTCGGTATTTTGTAAAGATACAGCCAAAGTTGCGGTTCTATCTGTAGGTTCAACACATTCCTCACAGGAAATTTGGATAGTTTCAGCCGTATAATTACCAATTTTGTATCAAAATAATTGCCGACAAAAGTCTGAAATTGATAGGTTGCTCTGTTGCCTAATGTAGCGGGTGGTGCTGACCCGCTGGTTCCAGTAGCGCAGAATATGCCGATACTATAGTAGGACCCAGACCAGCACCTTGACAAGCAACCACGAGTTCAAACACATTTGGAGCCCGTCAACACTCTTGGAGCCAGTGGAACATCAAGAACAACCCGCACGGATACCCGCAAATGGTCTCACCACGGAAACACTCATTGGCATTCTGCAGCAACTACGATAGGATCAACGAAGAAGGAGGAATTGATATATTGGACAACGGATAGATGGAGATATAGGACAGGAGGTCGGAGGTTGGAGACGGCCAGAAGGAGGACAGAAGAAGGACGCGCGAGGGCGTGAGCCCGAGTATTATCAGTTGATACAGTTGGTCTTGGGTTTTATTGTTGACTTGTTTACTCTTGCTCGTATTTTCCCCAATTGTATCGTTTGGTTTGGATAAATCTATCACTCGTACGTGTTTGGCGAGTCATTTCTAGGAGATCTCCGGATCTTAATCCTACGAACTACCCCTAAATAGTTCTAATCTATAAATTGTAACTTGTGACGAAAAGTGGGTCTACTTCAGTAATCCGGACAAACAAAATCGATGGTTGGACCCCGGTTAATCGGCGGAACCAGAAGCAAAACGCGATCGTTTCTCGAGAAAGGCTCTTTTGTGTGTTTGGTGGAATTTCGAAGGCGTAGTTCACTTCGAGTTGGTTCCAAATGGTCGGACCACGAACGCAGACCTCTACTGCGCTCAACTCGATCGAATGTACGTGGCGCTTGGCGAAAAAGAAAAATGCCCTGCTTTAATCAATCGAAAGTGCGTACTCCTGCAACAAGACAACGCCAAACCTCACACCGCCAAACAAACGAAGGAAAATATCAAAACTCTCGACGCCATTGAACTTTTTCCACATCCAGCGTATAATCCGGACCTTGCGCCATCCGACTTTCACCTTTTCCGTTCCATGGCACACTTTCTGCGTGGTCGTAGCTTCAATGATCTGGACGATGTTGAAAACGGGTGCCGCGAGTTTTTCGCCTCTAAGAACAAGGAGTGGTACCGCAGTGCGATCGCACAACTTGCCGATAGATGGGTTCAAGCCATAGATTCAAATGGCCTTTACTTCGAAACTTAGTTTTCGTTTGTTGTAAAATTATGTTTAAAGTTTTAATAAAAAATCGAAAAAAATCTTTGGTTCACACTAATACATATATTGAACAAAAGGGACAAATGGGATGCCAAGATTGTTCGTCGTTCTAGTCTTGGGACTCAACAAAAACACCTTCAACTTGGCTAAAACACAGTGGCGACAAGCAACAAAGCCGGAGATTTAGCGTGTTGAAGGCAGCAAAGATCAGAGCCCGACGAATTTAAATATCTCAAATTTGACTGCGTAAGACATGGGAATGTTTCTTTTAGTCGCATTGTTACAGATTATGGCGCTTTACCTCCATCTGCAGAAATAATAAAATAATAGCTTTATCGCGAACTTTCGAACGGACAATTATAATTTTGGGCCTATTTTACAGATGTCTAGGGGTTCAAAAATATATTCTTGAGACGAATTTTAATAATAATTACATATTTCCCACAGTAATCCGCGACCCACTAAATTAGCGGTAGACGACGACATTGCAATTAGCGGATGACGACGACACTGTTTAACGTTTCGCAGAATTAACCTACTTATTAAACAATGTGTTATTGCATATTACTGCAAATAATTGTTGTTTTGCATTCTAGAATAGGTCTTAAGATAGTTTATTTATTCATTTGATCTTTTGCAGTAGAATGGGAATTTAGCCGGTTCCTCCAACCGATTCCACAGCTAATAGCCGGGAAATATCGAAATGACACGAGGGATGCACAGTCAACCAACACAAATAAATGCCAATCAATTTTTTTCTCATACTTCTCCTTCAATCACAATAATGGCCAAACAAAGTCGTAAGATCAAAATATATAGTATCAGCAGTCCTCTGGCAACTATGAACAACCGCTCACGGCGTTGCTTTTCCCAAACTCCGTCGCATTTCTACCGTTTTAGTCCTCTTACGATCATTGTAGCGGAATGCAGGCTTCAGGATATATTCGTGCCAGGGCGCAGGTTGGAGTACAATGTATTATAGTTATGACGGCCGTGGATCACAATGGATAAAAGATGGATTGCATTCTTTTTATTCTTTGTTTATTTGGACTGCATTTCAGCAAATCGACATTTTGAGCTCTTGAGCTCTTTCAACGCCCGCGGGCGGTAATTATAAAGCCGCTGGTTCCAGTTCTCTTTTTCTAAACAAAGTTTTCCGTTTTGTAGTTGGACTTTGACCGTCCTGTCTTAGTCTAGAACATGTTTTGTTTTTGTACGACTTTGGTTTCTATATAGCTACTGCCAACACATTATAATTGCCGGCCTTGCTACTCTAACGTTTAAAGCTTGACCTTAAACAATTAGATAATATCACCGAATGTAGGTTCAACACGTTTGTTTTTGGAAGTTCGGTTAACAGTATAATTACCGGTGTTTTTCGAATTACTCTGACATTTATGAATAATCGTGTTTACGGTTTCTGAATCTGTCTGAGCTGTTGCGGCTACGGTATTATGTATTTTCCTGTAACCCTTCAAACTTTGATATGATTTTACAAACCGAACCTACCGATCAAAACCCGTATGCCTGGGATTTCGCCGACAATATTACTGGTCAATTTCCCAGTGAACCCTATGATGATTTGGGTTATATTTCATGGCTGTTTAGGATCAATTACTTTTTCTCTTGCTCAACAGGAGGAGCGGCGTCAATAACATTGCTGTACTTGATTTACAGTAGGACTTATGGAGCGCTGGAGCGTTTCCGTAGAATGCTTTTCATGTGTGCCATCACTGACTTCATTTTCTGGACGGTCGATTCGTTGGTTCAAATTGTAAGTGGATTAATTTGATACATACGGGTTTCCAGAAAGGTAAAGAGGCCAACGGAATAGTCCTTGTAAAGTTGGAAGGTCCGATTGGGTACTTGGACCGGAAATGGCAAGTCTTGGGTACGACCGCGTACGTGGTATCGGTGAGCTTGTCAATGACTGTGTTGCCAGCACAAGCCTACTTTCGGTATTACTCAATCACACGGTAAGTCTTTCAAAGGAACGCGAAAACTGTTGTAATCATGTGTTCTTAATATTTTCGCTCTAAGCAAAAATATTGAATATCCTCAGTTAAAAAGAACTGCTCGTTGCAGCTGGATCTCCCTTAACGGTGCGAAAACGTTTGGACTATTCTTGATATCCGTCTTGTCCTGCATCCCGTTGGGATACTTTTCCTACACAAGTTACAATATCTCTGCCGAGGCCTATCCTGGTTTTAACTATGGCACGTTGTGGTATCGAGAGGTGCCATTGCCAACCTTGTTGATCGGGAATACTGTAAGCTGAACCGTAAAATTTAATAGTCTAAAAATTTCATCATCCTAGGCCTCCATGTACCAAAAGCTCTACTTTGCCACGGCTGCTCTTCTCTTTGTTCTGTCGTATATTGGCGCGGTAGGGCTGGGCTTTTGCACCGCAAAGGCGTTGAAAAGTCGGGAAGAAATGTATTCCACAAGAACGAAGCAATTGCAAAGGCAAATGTATTTGTTTTTGGTGTGTCAGGCAAGAGATGCGCCAGTTTATAATGCGATAAATACTTTAGGCCCTCTTAATTCTATGCGTATCAGTGGTTCCCGTCCTTCTCGTCATCGTCCCGTCCTTTCTTCACTTGGATTCGGGGATGACTTTGGGCGTGGGATTACTGTTCCTAAGCTGGATTCCGGTTTGCAACGCGGTTACCACAATTTGCGTAATTGTCCCATTTCGCAGAGCTATCTTGAGCAAAATTGTCTCAACAACGGCGCGGATCTCGGACTTCTCAACAAGTGCATGAGATTTCTACACCGGTGGAAACAACATATGCACATAAATAAATATAATATTAAAGCCTTTATAATGCAATAAATATGGTTTGTTAAAAGGTCAATGTCCTTAACCTATATGGCACTTTATGGAGCCGTCAGATTTTCCGGAAATTCGAGATATTTCTTTTCGATTTTTTAACCTTGGTACTTTGTTCGGTTCTGACTAAATAATACGCCTAAAGATAGTATTCCATCCGTGGGTTCAATACATTCGTTGTTGGAAATTTGGATAGTTTCAGCCGTGTAATTATCAGCTAAGTATCAAAATAATTGACGACAAAGACCTGAAATTAGTAGGTTGCCGTATTTCCTAAGACAAAATTGTCCGGCTCCTTATTAATACACAAACGTCCGCTTCAATAGATGATGTTGCACACGGCACCGACGAATCAGAATCCGTATGCTTGGGATTTGGCCGACAACATTACTGGGCAATTTCCAAGTGAACCCTATGATGAATTGGGCTATATTTCATGGCTATTTAGGATGAATTACTTTTTTTCTTGCTCAGCAGGAGGAACGGCGTCAATAACGTTACTGTACTTGATCTACAATAGAACTAATGGAGCACTGGCGCCCTTCAGAAAAATGCTTTTCATGTGTGCTATCACCGACTTCATTTTTTGGACGGTAGATGTGTTGGTTCAAATTGTAAGCTAGTTGACTTCATAATAAAGGTTTTCAGAAAGGTAAAGAGGCCAACGGAATAGTCCTTGTAAAGTTGGAAGGTCCGGTTGGGTATTTGGACCGGAAATGGCAAGTCTTGGGGACCACTGCGTACGTGGTGTCGGTCTGCTTGTCAATGACTGTGTTGCCAGCACAAGCCTACTTTCGGTATTACACAATCACACGGTAAGTCTCTCCCAGAAACGCAAAAGTTGTTGTAACATTGGGTTTCAATATTATTCTTCAGCTCGATTTCTCTGAACGGCGTAAAAACTTTTTTACTATTCCTGATGTCAGTGTCGTCCTGCATTCCATTGGCATACTTCACCTACACAAGTTACAACATCTCTGCCGAAGCCTATCCAGGTTTTAACTATGGCACGTTGTGGTATAGAGAGGTGCCATTGCCAACTTTGTTGATTGGGAATACTGTAAGCTAAGCTATTAGATTCTTTGAAAAAGTCCTCATTTTAGGCTTCGATGTACCAGAAGCTCTACTTTGCAATGTCTGCCATTCTCTTTGTTCTGTCGTATACTGGCGTTGTGATTCTCGGATTTTTTACGGCAAGAGCGTTGAAAAGACGGGAGGAAATGTACACCGCCAAAACAAAGCAGTTGCAAAAACAAATGTCTATGTTTTTGGTGTGCCAGGTAAGAAGTCAATTATACATTTTTACATGACCCTCAGTTGGTCCAATTTGGCTCGAGATCAATATCTTTTTTTTGCTATACTGTAACATAACACAATATAGGCCATATCAATGCTATGCGTATCAGTGGTTCCCGTCCTTCTCGTCATCGTCCCGTCATTTTTTCACTTGGATTCGGGCATGACTTTGGGCGTGGGATTGCTGTTCCTCAGTTGGATTCCGGTTTGCAACGCCGTAACCACAATCTGTGTAATTGTCCCATTTCGCAGAGCTGTATGGCGCAAGATTGTCTCACCTACGGGAAGGAGCTACTCAACAAGTGGATGAAATTCGAAGATCCTTCTAAAAATGATATTATACATAAGTTTAAAATCTTTAAAATTCAATAAAAATATCTTGCGAATTGTGTGGTGTCTGGAAACACCGCGCTTTTTTCTATCAATTGTAGTCGCGAAAAGCGATATTCTGGGCAGTCAGTGGTGCCGACAAGCATACAATTGCGGACAACCACTCTGGGCAGCCCGAACCACGGAAATCTTGCGGACACGTCCCCACAGTTTATAATACTTTATAGCAGGAAATCCTCACGATTGACTTGGCCGTTAGATGTTGCGAATTACGTTTCCAGGTGTAAAAATGGTCTGAAAAGTCACCATAAGGTCGAACATGCACTTTCAAAAGTTCAGACACCGTTTTTTTTTGAAAACAAACTCCCATAAATTTTTATGCGGTGGATAGATTCAAATGAAATCTTTTATTTATATTAGTCTACCTACACATGGATTGTAAGTAGACTCGATAGTTGTCAACGCAAAATTTATTCCATACTACGGTAGATATTACAATAAACACCGATGAACGATGTTGTTCATCGATCTTGAAAATAAAGTTTCCGTACACAACATCTTGAGAAAATGTACATAAGTTAAGGATACAACACTCTCCTTACAAAAAACAAATTATTTGTAAGGCTCTTTATAAGTGGGTCTGTTTATTTGCAAGAATTTATTTATCGAGACTCAGTTTTTGAGCGATTTGGATGATTGGTGCTTGTGACTTCTCGCATTCCTTTGTGCACTCCAAGCTTCTGAAGAATGACCTGCCGATACGGTACAATGACAATCATTGTAATCAGCGGATTTAAGATCGGAATCCAGCTGAACAGAACGCCGTAGAAGAGGCAAGCTTTTCCAGTGTCACTGTAGAGAAATGCTGGGACGACGATCAGCATCAGCGGGGTTACAGAGACGATTAGAGGAATTATGGACTGAAATTATACGAGATGGCAAAAAATACATACATTTATGTAAATGTACAAGGGAAATCTTTGACGTGTTGCAAAAAGAATCAGCCCAAAGTCGACTCAAATTCACCATGTGAGATCTATAGCGATCGCCATTTTGAAACGAAATTTTACAATTGAAAGCCAAGGAAATTAATATTACATTTTTGCAATTTTGTAAGTCTTGTGAACACAAGAACGATGTGCAAAGACGCACCCAAAAGTCAGACTTTCCTGCGCGGATGTCAAAATTTTATGGGTCAAAACCTCTCTTATTTTTCGAAGCAAAATTATAATGAACTCTGAGCGCCCCTCTTGAAAGACCTCCCATTTTTACTAGAAATAAAACAGTACCTGAACAATTAGATACTGAGAAAGTTGAGTTTGCAATCGCCTTGTTCTTTCGGAATACGATGAATACAGAAGATTTATCTTCTTGACCGTCAAGTATCCCATAACGCTGGCTGCAGTGTATGAGGCGGAAATGAGAAGGCCACCATAGAAAAAGTAGATTTTTTGATAAACCGATCTCTGAAATGGCAAAAATATGTTATTTTTTATACCACACATCTCTCGTCTCGGTTTTATACCGAGAAATTCGCACGCATATTATGCGAATGTAACTCACCACGTCCGCATAGAACACCGGCGGCAATGGGACCTCTTTGTACCACAGTTCGCCGTAATTGAAGCCAGGCCGAACACGCGCCGTGAAGCCGTACCCGTTGTAGGCGAGGAAGAAGGTCGGCAGTGCAGCGAGGAATGACAACAAGAACACTCCCAACGTTCGTCCGGTCGACAGGAACTGCGATCTGTCAGGGCGACTCAAATTCGTGATTATTCGGGCAAAAAAATTTTTGAAATACGACGGAGAAAATTGGTATTTCCTCACCTAGTCAAAGCGTAGTATCGGAAGTAGACTTGAGCCGGCAGCACACTGTTCACAAAGCAGATTGAGCACACGTATGCCGCGATAAGGACAAGTCTTGTTGGTCGATCGAAATCTTTCGCCGGGCCTTCGAACTTGACCATGTAAACACCATCTTTTTCTTTGAGTTTCTATAAAAAAAGCTTATTTTTTCGTGATTAAAGCTGTGTAAATATTGCGTGGTAGAAGTGGCATTTCAAGAGCTTTTTATAATTATCGAATTTTAAGTGAACCCACGTTTAAAGTGTACCCTCATGTAACCGTATACGTACAGAATGGTGGCTACAGTTTATGTAGTATGCAATTGTACTAAAAACGGTCAAAAACGATGTAAAAAGTTCAGCTAATGTTATACACTTAAATGTTGTGTCTTTTATGACATTGCCGGTTTGAAAGGAGATGCTCAGACTTTAATGACACTTGACCCAGATTTAACCTCACAATCAGCTTTTCACAAACACGTTTTTGTATGCTTGGAAGCAAAAAATTGAGGGTATTGAATGCGAGTTTTGGGTATGAAAAGTTCAGAAAATTATCAAGGCTCAGGACACGGCAACCCATCGCATTTGCTGAAACGAGACATTTCGTCCATACACTATCGATTGGCGATGAGATTTTAGGTGTCAAAATTATTTCGGAAGAATTTTCAGAGGACAAAATTGGTCCGAAAAGATCAAGAAAAATTTAGGACGTTATTTTCCGACCATGAAGCAGGTTTTGCCACGGCTAGCACAAAATGCCAAAAAGGAATTTTTTCTGCGATTTCAAAAAAAAACACAAATAAGTAATTATTCATTTTTCATTGTTTCAAAATATTAAATTTGGAGGGCTGATCAACCATCTTTCATCAGATAAAACTCCTGCTCTTTCAACAACATTACAGTTATAATAGTTATAGACTTCAACATGTTTTCCACACGCTATGATTTCAATTATGGCTGTATTGGCAAATGCCAGAACAACAACTGTTACACTTATTTGGCAATTAACTATATCTCCACTTCCGCAATTTTTCACATGACTCACCAATCCAAGCAAGTTGTCAATAGCCCAATATGAAATATCCGTTACTGAGCAAATCAACAGCATCTTCCGGTAGTTCTTCAACGCGCCATTGGTTTGAAATATAATCAAGTAAAGCAGTGTGAACGAAAGTATCCCCCCAACAAATGTTGTTAGGACGTAATTTATCTTCAGGAACTTGGTAAAGCTGGCCAGTTCGTCATAGGGCTCCACAAAAGACTGGTCAGTGTCCTGTATGATGTCCCAGGCGTAGGGATTGTCTTGGGTTGGCTCAAAGTGTAGAGTGGACATGTCTGAAAAGCACTCGTTGCATACGTTAAGAGGGAAGAAAAAAATCGATTTTTTGCGAAAATATTATATTATACAGGGTGGGCCACTCGAAACTGACAAGTTGTTTCTTTGAATTTTTCCGCGGAGACTCTGCCGATTTTTCTAAAATTTAGATTTTTCTGGAGCTGAGACCCGCCATTTTCAACCGACTGAATTTCAAAAAAACATACTTTGAATTAACCTTTCCGTGCCTTCTCAAAGTTTTGAAAAATTATTTTCAGGCCGAAACCGCTAAAACTTATAAAATTTTTGAAATGATTTTCAATTGACTTTCTCGGACTTGGAAAATGTTTGGTTTTTTTTGGGGAAATCGTGGAGTAAAAAGTTGCTAGTGCTCGACTTAAACTTGTTTAAAGCAAATTGAAAGCCACAAGAGGGTTGTTTGTATTACCATTAGGGCACGAACGCTCAAAAAAAAAAAAAAAAAAAAATTCAAAAAAAGATTGAAAAATTCGACGTCAATGGTTATGGAGTCAGGCCTGGGGCATCTTGAAGCTCAGATACGTAATTAAAATTACGTATCCACGATACGTAATTTTAGCTGCTCATGACTCTCAAAGGCACTGCAAGTTTGTGATGCGAGAGGAGGTGGGCATAATAACTCAGATAGAAACATTAATAATCAGATCGTTAAATAAAATTGTTTTTGGAACAATATTTGATAACTATCTGAGGTAAAACAAAGAAAATTTCACCCAAGAAGTCGGAAAAATGACCAATTTTTCAAAATCATTCCAAAAAATTTCCAAGTTTTAGCGGTTTCGGCCTGAAAATAATTTTTCAAAACTTTGAGAAGGCATGGAAAGGTCAATTCAAAATATATTTTCTTGAAATTAAGTCGGTTGAAAATGGCGGGTCTCAGCTCCAGAAAAATCTAAGTTTTGGAAAAATCGGTGGAGTCTCCGCGGAGAAATTCAAAGAAACAACTTGTCAGTTTCGAGTGGCCCACCCTGTATTACCCGTATAATCTTCTGTAATTCTACATATACTACACAATTTTATTTTTCGAAGTGTCATCCCTATAATATATGTCAGGAACCGGCACAAGACGTGTTTTCACATCCAAATTTGCAAAAAGGCTACATTTCCGCCGACTCTTGGCCAAATCAAAAACAAGGCCAACTCGGCCGAGCAAAGCCCATCCTAGTGTAACAAGTATTGGTAAGAGTCAGCAAAAATCTAAGAATTCCCCCAAAATTCTTAAAAACGGCGGCTGGAAAGCACACACAGGTGTGATTCAATTGTGATTCGGTAATTTAGAAAACATCTTTACCTCGTTTCCACCTTCTGAGTAATGAAATGTTACGTTTTCGAAGTAAATAACATAATATGCCGGTCATATACAAACCAGCTTTCGTCGAAAAACTGCTCTATAATTTTATAAAAAAAACCAAGTTTGTAAGGAAAATTACTAACTAAAAATTTATGATAGATATCCCAGACCGTTGTCCTGACTTCAGGAGCAACCGAAATTTTTATTCCCCTTGATGACAAGAATTTTGATGTATGAATTAAGCGGTTAACCGATGGAAATTGAAATTCTCTTTCATGCCAACAACAACATTTGTATAAAGACAACAATTTTTTTAAACAACACACGCAAAACCAGCCTAGATTATCACTGAGCGCCCTCCTAATTTCTCTTACCCTCTCCCCTAACTACGTCGACAACCCGTTCAAAACGCAGGCTGAACGTTTATGGAGTTGGTATAGGGCCTGCTTATGTCAGGACTGCTCATAAAGTTCTCAACTTAAAAAATTTAATGCATAATAAATAAGGGTTAGTCACAATAACCCAAACTATACTTCACCTGTTGTACGGCCCTCAATTTTACTGTCTGTAAATACAACAATAGCCTATCATCAAAAGTGACGACTACGCTCACTTTTAGTATTTAAAACAATGCTTAAAATTCGAGCTACACCTCTTGACCCACGCTCGTTGAAAACGAACATCATAAACCCATCAAACCGTCTTTTTCAAGCGTATTTTGGTCTTTTGAGACCCTGTTTTATAATTCAACAATTGAGACAAAGATATTAAGGCAGTACAACAAAAGACCCCAGAATCGCCGGACTACCCTTGTTTTATTATAGAACGCACAAGTTTAATGGTGTAAAGGTGTGGAACGTGACCAGTTTAGGGAAAGACACATAAGTCCTGTCATCTTGACACGCACCAAATTTAACATTTACATATACATATTGTAATGAAAATTTGGATTTTGACAATTATATATAGTAAGCGTGGGAATTGTATTGTACAGAAAGTATACATAAAGATCTCACAAGCAGCAATTTTGTACCGGAACAGTATGATGCGTACTTTGCTTGAGTTGTATGTTCTAATCGCTAAAATAGATTTTACGGTTGAACTGTGCGAAATACAAAACGTAGATTTAGAAAGGACTTGGTGTATTGCTGTGTTGCAGCAGTATTTTTATTGCAGAGGCCTACTCAAAGTACAAACCTCAAACACACTTGTCTTTCGCACTTCAATCCGTCTACAATGTCCTATTAATATATATTACGAACCGACAAGCCAAGTGTAAGTTCAAACTACGGAAAATGAACCATCCCCTGAATTTGAACCTTTCTAGAGCCCCAGAAGCTCCATGGACGTGCCCAGCCGAAGCTCGTACACCTGCCCCATGTCAACCCAAACCAGAAAGAAGAGTGGTAGAATAGGACATGCTGTTGAAACCCAAAGACTACCTTAATTTTTGATTAGAGTATCGGCGCTACAACTTTTCGGGTCAGCAACAGTTCGGGTCATCGATACTATGGATCATTGTACTATGGACTTTCTACGCTGAGGGAGGCTCGGAAAAAGCTGAGTTAGTGGAGATAATAAAATCATTCCGCTCCTAGGAAAGCTTACCACCTATTTTGAGGTATTTTACAATCAATATAATATCTAGGTAAAGGTTACGGACCTTCGGCTCTTGCCGAAAATTTTGATCTTTTATTACATGTTACAATAACTCATATACAGAAAACTAGCGGTATTAACGACAAACATTAGGAAATACGAACACGCCGCAAATATTCGCCAAGTCTCCGCCGAGCCTTCGCCGAGCGCCCGCTAACCATCCAACGGCCATGTCAGGCCTCATAGGCACTCCAACTGTCTTTTTTTGGCTATCCACCTGCCCTGCGCCCCGTGTCGATCGGTTTTGTGTTAACCTGAGCTGTTGTTGACCCGAAGAGTCGATACGTGGACTTTTCAAACAAGGAAAGTGTTTGACGCAGAGAAAGCAAAGCATCTTTTAAAGAGTTTTTTGCCATCTTAGCTTTGAAAGTTTCTGGATCGCCAATTGACAGATTTACAATTTTTCATAAAAAAATTCAAAGGCTTTCCTACATCAATGCCTTTACTGCATGCATATATATGCACGTACAGGTTGTATTTATAATATTAAATATTATCAACCAGATCCCGTCGACCTGGACTTGTAGTCTCGAATGCTGGTGGCTCCTTTACACATATCGGGTAGAACTGAGAAAATCATCCTCATAAGAAACCTTCTATACGGCACAATCACAATCATCGTAATCAGCGCGTTCAGCATGGGAATCCAGCTCAGCGATACGCCAATTAGCAAGCAAGGTCTTCCCGTGTCGACGTAGAAAAATGCCGGGATAACAAAGTACATCATAGGCCCCACACACACAACAAGGGGAATGATAAACTGAAAATGAAATCTCTAATTTCCAAACGGAGAAAAATCTATCTACCTGCACAAACAGATAACTATTAAGTTGCCGTTGAAGTCGCTTTGTGTTTTCAGAGCAAGAGTCGTACAATGTCGACATTTTCTGCATTGTTTTGTAACCAAAAAAGACCGACACGCCATAGGACATGCACACGAAGCATCCACCATAGATAAAGTAGATTTTTTGCTTCGTTGAGCGCTAAAATTTAAAATTACGGTGAGCAATCATAGCAATCAAACTTATTCAACTCCTTACAATGTCAGCATAAAAGACCGGAGGCAACGGAACCTCCCGATACCATAGCTTTCCGTAGTTGTAGCCCGGACGGACCTCTGCCGAGCTTCCGTACCCGAGGTAGGCCAGGTAACAGTTGGGTGCGGCGGCCAGGAACGAAATCAGAAATAAAATTGTTGTTTTTGCGGTACTTAGCGGCTGAGATCTGCAAAGGGTTTTGCGGATTTTCTGGAAAAGCTCAAAGTTCAATTAAAAATTGTGTATTGCGACCTATACTAAAGGACACAAATTTTTGTCCACCATGCTTCAATTGAAGGTACCTCACCAATCATGAAATTTGGTATGTGTATTAGTGAATACAGACAGAATCTGCAACAACTTATTTTTCCTATGTACCTATTGCAATTGGTAAGTATACTTTGAGTTGTTCAAATTTTCAAAAAATCCGTAGACACAACCTTCTAACCGCCTAAAAAACTAACGTCTTCTCTGTCCCTATGAGTCAGCAAGATGATTCACTTATTGTAAGATACCCTCTAACGTCCTACAAAGACCGTGAGCATAATTATTAGCACCCATTTCGGAGTGTGCCTTACAGAAAAGCTTTCCTTGTAGGTAAAATAACAAGTACTAGGCAATATCTGTGTGACTCCAACCATTAGCACTGGAGAAAAAATGACTATTCAGCAATGAAGCTGTTTGCTTACCTTAACAGTGAGCAGTATCTGAAGTAAACCTGAGCGGGAAGCAACGAATTAACAAGGCATGCGGAGAAAATGTAGACTGAGAAGATTCTTAGCCGCGGTTCTCGCTCCAAAAATCTTATTGGACCTTCCAATTTGACCATGAAAACTCCATCCTTCTCTTTGAGCTTCTGGAATACACTTTATTTTCATTTTGCTTTGGCATACTTACCGTGCCCATCAAATTGTCGAAAGCCCAATATGTAACGTCGTTGACAGAGCAGATAAATAGCATTTTTCGATAGTTTTTTAGGGCTCCTGTGGTCTTGAAACATACCAGGTAGAACAAAGTGAACGACAAGAGGCCGCCAATTATTGTGGTGAGAAGGAAGTTGGCCTTCAAAAGAACACTTATACAGCCGAGCTCATCCAACGGCTCGGAGGGAAATTGACCGTCATGACTGGGGTAGTCCCAGGCGTAAGGCTCATCAGTGGTGGGTGCGAAATGTAGGGATAACATACACACTTGATTCGTTGGCAAATATCTTTAATTGAGTAATAAATTGCTTATACGGAGGCTAAAAAACAGCTCCATTAATCAAATCAAATTTAGATATTTAAACAAGATTTAGTCGATTGTATTTAATTTGGGAGCAGACGCGGAAAACAATCACAGAATTCAAATGGATACACCGCATTCAACCTCTCAATAATGCCTAAATAAGGGCGGTGAACTTGGTGACAATTTAAAGAAGGTGTATTGACCATCATAGGCAAGCAATAAAACCATTTTCCTGCACAGTGAGGGACCTGATCCAGTGGCAAAAGCCGTACCGTTTTGCATCCGGTAAACATCAAAAATGTGGCAAAATGCTTCCCTCTCCAAGTGAAAAAACTTCGGTTTTAAGGGGCGCGCCATTTCCCTCACTAAAAAGCGGGCGCGCTTTTGAAATTCGAGCTTTTTCATTTGGAGATGGAAACATTTTGCCACATCTTTGATACTTCCCGGATGCAAAGGGGTACATTTTTGCCACGGGAGCAGGTCCCTCACTGTAGTTTTAGGCAACCTCCTTTTCTCGGTCGCGACATAGGTTGTGAATTTGTGAATTTGAGCGATTTATCCTGTGGTTTGAACAGGGTAGCCCACATCAGATACAAAATTTTTTTACTTAAATCGAGAAATCTGATTTGGAGGTTCTATTAGTATTGGTCCATATAGGAAATATCCAAAATATTATCAAAATTCGTCTATACAAAAAAAAGTTGATGCGATTTGAAAATTTGAGATTAAAACAGGCGTTTTTGGAACCGAAAACAATTGCGATTGCAGGAATTGCGGGTTTTCTTCACCAATCATGCTCATTTAGATCTAATCTATCAATTACCGGGTAAAAAAGATGGTTTTCACAGTGTGCCATAACGTCAGCATGTTATACATGACAATATTCACCACTAATTTTTTTAAGGTTTTGAAGCTGCAAATCATTGTTACAAGAAGTGATATTGATTATAAGATCAAATTAGTTTCAAAACATCCGTTTTTACCCTAAAAAGTTCAAACATTGAGGAACTAGGTTGTTGTATAGATCATGTATAATATCGAAATTTGTACCAAAAAACGGATGATAGGCTTCAAAAAAAGAATTAAAAACTATGTTACTAACTAAAACCGTCGATGGGTCAAAGAAATAATCCGTATGTTTCTCACTTTGCATGTCTGTATCAATTCCGTATTATCCATGATAGTGAGACCATCTTAGGAGGCTATGTCGCCGGCCGGCGCTTTAGCAACGCGGCAACGTCATTCTAGTTTTTATGAAAAGGGGACACCTTAACAAGTCCAAACGAGGTCTGAGACCAACTACTAGCCCTTTTTTGAATCTTATTTTAATCATGTTGTACAAGGTAAAGTTATGAAAACATATGGTGGAGATTCTTTTCCATCTAAAAAGAAATACGTAGCCAACGAAAGGACGTTATTACGTTTTCAAAACATAGATTACCGATGCAGCAAACCCAAATATGAACATGTGAAGACGTATGTTATTCATGCTAAATTGATGGCAAAATGTCATTTAATTTGGCATTATGGACTCTGAAAGAAGGTTTTATAAACTGAGATACCCTATAATGAATGTGTCCATGCAGTGAGCAGCCTTAGCCGTTGCAAAACCGAAAAAATTTTTTGATATACCAAGTTTGATTTATTTCGCCATCATCTCCAAAACTTGCAGACCAATTCTTCCGAAACTTTTCATATAGAAAGAAAATAACATTATTGATAACTCCTCCAAATCAGATTTCTTAATATAAGTTGCGTATTGGCAAAATTCGAATCAGCGTTTTCAAAAATTCCAAATTTTGCAACCTTTTTGTAGGCTTCCCATGAGGTCGCCAGACCCCAAATTAATTTTTAAAAATAGGTAGATGTCTTTTCTTTAATTTGGTTCATATATTGGAATAATGCCGCAATCATACCTTGAAAACTATCAATTTTCCCGAGGTCCATAAAAAAATTTAAAAAAAATAAATGCCAAAAATCCTTGGCATTCCGTTTGTATCTGATGTGTAGCCACCTTGGCTTGTTAGCCAACCTATTTTCCAACTGGATATAAATATTGGCCCGATTCCCAGCAAGTCCCAAATGAATAAAGTTTCTTTTGTTGCTGCCGCAAACAAAAAGCCCCAAATGAAATGTTGCGATAAATTCGCGTATACTCCGCAGGTTTGATTTGGAGAAGTGCTTATGAAGCTTGAATACGGTGTTAGCTATAAGCTGCCTTCAACAATTTTCTCACCTGTTGATTCTATTTTCTGATGTTGCAAAATATTTACTTTACCTTGGGGCGCAGAAAAATTGGAGTTTTTAATTTCAGCTGGCGTAAAAGTTTGGACAAAGCAACAAAAATTTGCATTTCTTTACTTCTTTATTTCTGCTTTCTTTTTTTTCTTTGCCAGACGAGATCAAGACAATGATAATTCTCCGTTCACAAAACAAGTTCACGAAATACGAAATAAAGCATCATGATTTGTTTAGTAGATGCGTGGGATTGCAACAGTTTGGCGGTAAAAATCTTCAACTAGGTCATGCCAAAAAAGCTTTGAAATTTGTGAAAACCAGTGCGGATCTTGGCAGCATGAAAATTAAAGTGTGCACTGATTTTTCAAAATTCAACGACAAGCCATTTCAGCAACGAATTTCGGTCTAACAGAAAAAATAAAAGTCGAGAACTTCTGTGACTTGTGTAGAAGCGGCGTCCCGGAAAATAAGTAACACTGCCAACTGAAAAAAACATGAATTATATAATCATCTTTATAAATAATTTTCCAATAATTAGCCCCGCGTAACTTGCGTCTTACAGGTCACACCTGGTTAGTAAGGGAGTACAATAACAGAATTAATAACTTCTGTAACTGCGCTACAAAGTATGAATTGAGGATCACATTTCTCACCACGTATTCCTCAGAATCACGTATTCCTTTTACAGGAATTAAGATAAAAAGTGCACTTTGTGACTAAACGCGACAATTAAGTCTTATGGTTGCAAAGAAAATACCACAAAAACAATCCACTTAGTGGATGTGCCCAAGGCGACTATAAGTATAGGTATGCGTGTTTACGCATGTAGATATGTGCAATTGAACAGTAGCTAAGACCAGAGATTGCCGCGGTAAAAATTTCGGCTTCGGCTCCAGCTCCCGGCTTCGTGCAAAATTTAAAAAGGTCTCCGGCTCCAAATCCCGGCTCCTATGCAAATTTTTTTTTAAAAAATATTTTTCAAAAATAAAAGTTATTAGTTCCAGATACAGCCAACATTTTTGCAGCCACGCGACACAACCCCCAGTATTTTCCAAGCAATGGTTTAAAAAGTTCATGAAATTTTCACTTTTCTGAACGCTGAGAAGCCTGGCTTCGACTCTGGGCTCGGGAGCCGGAGCCGCACCCAAAATTTCCGGCTCCGCCGTAGACATGGCTGGGGGGCCGGGCCGGGCCGAAAATCGCGGCCCGGCCCGGAGGCCGACCGGGGGCCGAACTGTAAATATAAATACTGCATTCATTACGAGATATAACACATTTTTTGGGGCTTTGGTAGTTCAGCCCCCCACGAAAGGTAGTTCAAACCCCCACTGTTTTGTCCATTTCACACACCCCATAATTAAAAAATTAGAATAATACAAAAAATGCAAATTAGAGTAAAATGACCCGCGGCGTTTTAGCTCAAACCCTCAGTTACCGTCCAAATTGGTTCTTGTGGTTCAGGCAACGATGATCGTAGCCGAGAGAACCCAATCCCGAGTAGGCGCTTCAGATTGGATGAGAGGGTTTATACTGGGTCAAGGGGGCTGAACTGGACTGGGGGGTTGTACTATTTACCTTAGCCCATTTTTTTGTCATAACAATCAGAAAAAATTTTTTTGAAGCAAAAAATTACCAACCCTTGCCATGTATATACTTCAAAAGACCCAATCGGTTCTTGGCTCTGCATTTTATTTTTGTTGCCAACCCTAATTTTCGCTTTGAGACTGGGAATTTTAGTCATTGGGGGCCGATTGGGGGCCTGGCGGGGGCCCCCGGTCGGCCCGGCCTCCGGGGGGCTGGGCCAGCCCGGCCCACTAGCCATGTCTACTCCGGCGCCATGGCAATCTCTGGCTAAGACATGGCGAAATTTATTATTGTTGTCTAGACAGTTGGCAAAATCTACAAAGAAAATGTATCGCGTTGAGGCTCGAGCACCATGCGCACAACTTCCATTGATAATATTGTAGTTCTAATGAGGTTTACTGTTTACATAAAGGGCCGCTTTATTGTTGCTTCAATCTTGCGGTATTTGTATAACATAGCAGTGATGTGTAAAAAGTACAATAAAACGTATTCTTTGTATAAAAACCGTAAAAAGTTTATTAGGCTCTGTAAAGTGAACTAACGATGATGGCTCAAATCTTGCTGCGTAAATGACGCCACTGATGCCTCGTTCGGCTTTTTGAAGCAAAGGAGTCGTTGTAGAATCCATTTTCTGTATGGAATGATGACAATCATTGTAATCAGCGAGTTTAGAATCGGCATCCAGCTTAGGAAAACGGCGCTTAGCATGCAAATCCGGCCTATGTCGATGTACAAGAAGCCGGTCACGATGACAAATAATAACGGTGTAATGCAGACAACCAAAGGTACCACAGACTGAAAATGGGTTAGTTAGCAAAAGATCCAGCCATTGTTTGGAAGGATATTGACTCACTTGCACGGTGAGGTAGTTATTCAGCTGGTTTTGAAGCCGTTTGGTATTGTCGGAACAAGAATCGTACAATCGCCGGGTCTTTTTCAACGTTTGCACGCCAATAAAGAGTGAGAGAGCATACGAAAAGGAAATAAGTAATCCGCCGTACACAAAGTATACGATGTGATAAAACGAACGCTGAAAATAAGTAAATAGGAAAGCATAGAAGGGCAAAGTGAAATAATCATAATCCGTCAATCAACAAGTCTAAAGTTCGCGTTTCTAATAAGAGTTTCTGCACCTGACTTGCCACGGTGTAAAGTGGTTGGCTTCAGGCACGAGTCACGGAAACCTGGGGCCTGTTTCACGAACGCAAAAACTCATATTTCTAAAGAAAATAGAAATATGAGTGAGCGAGGGAACAAAGGAAATGCATGTGAAACGGGAGAGACGGCAGAAAAATGAGGATTTCGCCACTTCTAAATCGGAGTGACTTTTTACGTCCAAAATCAGGGTTGGCGGCAGTGTTTCGGCCATAACTTTTCCCTCCATGGGCGTAGAATCACCCTTCAAAATTTCGAATAATGCTAACTGTTTGGACTGTCATGTGTGCAAGTTTCGTTGCATTGTTGCAAAAACTCGCTCGAAAATAGCAGTAGTAATGCGCATATTTCTATTTTCTATAAAATTTTTGCAATTCTAGCTTAATTCCCTCATAACATCGCCCAAAATTGTCGGATCGACACCATTTAAAAAAAATCATGTAGACCTGAGTCCGCGGTTTACAGTAATGCAATTTTTTAGGATGTTTGGCGATCTACGGCACGAACAAATTTATAGTAGTGCAGCAGTTTGCAACATTTTTCCATTTTTTCAGAATAAAAATAGGTTTTTGTTCCAAATAATAAAATATTAGTATAAAATTTTATATAATTGTAAAGAAAATTGTCTTGGCTACCTCATTTTTTTAGAGGGGCGTCTATATCTCACCAACTGATAAAGTTATGGGTGATCTAGTCCAGCCGCATCCCATTTTTTACCGTAAAACTTCTCTCTTGTTTTGATTTGAGGGCTCTTTCGAAAGATTTTTTGTGATGAAAATCGAGGGATTGTCAAAGTAAATCAGTTATTACTCAGCCAAAAAATTACTTACAGTTGGCCCTCTAAAAATGTTTTGTAGAGAATTAAATTGTCTATCGACTGACATAAATTAGAATTTTTTACTGTTTCAATTAACGCGAAAAAAGGCCTTTTACCGTTATAAAGTAGAAGAATTCAACACTACAACGCCTATGGTAACTTTGTCATTGGCGGTAGAGCAAAAATTTTTATAGATCTACATAGCACGAAGTCTCAGCATTATTTGAATTTTTGGAGGGTGCTTGTAGGCCCAAGTAGAGGAAAGTTATGGCTCAAATACTACCGCCAACCCGTAATTTTGGACGTAAAAAGTCACTCCGATTGAGAATTGGCGCAATCCTCATTTTCCTGCCGTCTCTCCCGTTTCGCATGCATTTCCTCTGTTCCCTCGCTCACTCATATTTCTATTTTCTTTATTTTGCGTTCGTGAAACAGGCCCCTGACGCACGCCACGAAAAAAGTGGAAATAGAGAAATTCGCGGAAAAATGTTTTCGACATTTCATACGCTGAAACCTTTACAAATAAATAATAAAAATGATCCCAAAGTTCTAATAAAACAACAATTTACGTGTGAAACCAACGAGAAAGCATCGAGGAGGTGCAACCCGAACTTCTCAGATTGATCGAAGAAGAGAAAAGAAATTATATTGCATTAGGCAAAATTGGATCAGAATCGACGAATCTGACCGAATTCGAGCTTTCCGGGGGTAAACAAGACTAGCAGGGCTTTGATATTGCTACAAAACACCCCTACTAATTTGAAATTCATCAAATCTTCTTTATTTCCACCTAAATATCAAACCAACAAGAATAATTAAAATTACATAAGTTTTCGACAATCCATCGAATTTGCCGGATGCAATCTGAACTCGGAATTCCATCTCCACACCCTTTGGTACGTTATGCTGGCCTTCACATTCTACTTCAGCATGGACCGACTGAAATATCAATTATATTATTTTAGGTAACACCAGAGAAAATTGTTAGCTCAATGGCCTAGAAAAACAAAAAAATCAAAAAGGCAACGTCATAAACTTACCTTGAAATGTTCTGAACGTCGTCTGCTTCCTTTGATCCAGCTTTCCTCACGCCTTCTCCAGCCCTTTCTCGCATTTCTCCATCAGTTCCTGCAAAATGATGCAATTATCCATTGACAAGTGCCATTTTTCCATTGTCAAATTTCGAGATTTCTTCTTTATAACGTGCGCAAGGACATTTTACACAAAAGGATTGGCTAATTTGATCCTAATCCGGATGCAAAAAGAGAAATCTCACATTTTCTGGGACACTATCAGCTGATGCAAAATGATGTATATAATCTATCGACAAGTGCCCTTTTACTATTGTCAAATTTCCAGATTTCTTCTTTACAACGTCCGCTGGTATGTTTCGCACAAAACAGATCAACTCCTTTGTCCCTAAACCGGATGAAAAAAGAGAAAACTTACATTTTCTGGAGACACCATCAGATACTGCAAAATGATGCATTAATGAACTAGGAAGTGACCTTTTTCAACTACGAAATTTCCAAATTTCTTCTTTAAAACATCCGCTAGGATGTTTCACACAAATGAATTGGCTACGTTGTTCCTAAACCGGATGCAAAAAGAGAAATCTTACCTTTTCTATAGACACATCAATAGCTGGAGAATCATTTTTGTGTCAGAGCGCAATGGGCTGGCCTCCATGAACTCATCCATTATATTCAACACTTGAAACTGACAAAAACGTAATTTTTGACATATTATTCATCTCTAAATTATTCCAACTCTCAGAGTTACAATAATATCTACCACAATATTCATGCGCTCAAAAAAGATTAAAAATATTGGGCGCAGCTCGAAATCTCTATTTCCAATTTTGCCTTACGTTTTTCGTGGCGTGCTGACGTGTTTCCTGGCTACTTGAGTCGCCCACTTTGACGCATTGTGATCCAACGAAATGTCACAAAAGATTTTTTCGTGGGGCTTCTTTGTGACAAATATTCTTCTCGGAATTATGTATTTTACTTCTTACAGTAAAAAAAATCTCATTTTGCGAAATTCCAACACTCCTTTTGGACCAAGGTCAAATTTGGGCGTGAACACAATACTGGTCTTCTGTTTCGCGGTGATTTTGTGTACACGTTCGGAAATCAGCCGACACTTAACGATACGTAAGAAAAATCATATTATCCCAAAACCATGGGTGACTAAAGTACTGCGGGCCGCAACTTCATACCAATTTTCGCCTTGATAGCTTCACACATGGACAAAAAATCGGTTGCCCACAAACGTCGGCTAATTTCCAAGAGTGTACCTAAATCGCCGTGTTTTTTTCCTGTGGCCCGTAAGTGTACGCCAACTCAAAGTCAGGGCTCAAATCAGAAAATGAAATGCAACGAATTACGGAATAGACAATTCAAGATTAGAGCAGCAAGGATAAATATGCTTACCGCATCGCTGAAAAACACATCAGGAGCAGGCAGCTCTTTATACCACAATGCGTTGTAATCCACTTTCTTCCGTAGCGCATCCACCGAGCTTAGCGTCATGTAGACGAAGTAGTAGTTGGGCGAAGCAACAACTAGCGACAACAAGAACAGTCCAACTGTTTTGGCGGTTGTCAATGGGCGCGGTCTGAAGAAATATAGAATTAAAATCAATGAGACGTCTTTCCGCCCACCTGGTTAAACAATGATACCTAAAATACATTTGGGCTGGCAATTGGCTGCATATCACACAAACCGCAAAAATGTAAATTGAAACAAGTATGAGGCGAACGTCGTGGCTAAAATATCTTGCGGGGCCTTCAATCTTGATCATGAAGACTCCATCAGTCTGCTTCAACTTTGGCGCTAACGCATTGTCCAACGCCCAGTAGAAGATGTCGTTGAATGAGCAAATTAGCAATATGCTTCGGTAATTCCGTAGGGTCCCTTCGGTTTTGCAAATCACGAGGAAACAGAGAAGTGTGGTGAGGATTCCGCCGGCGAAAGAGGTAACGATAAAATTGAAACGCAATAGAAGGGATATAACACCCAATTCATCGTATGGCACAATTATTTCTGTGGAAGTAAGGTTAATAGTGCTCATAGTTACGATTGTAGAGGTTTGTAGAGATCATGACAGAGCTGTAGAAAGATAAAATGCCTGGGCAGTCACTTGAGAGCCCCTCAAACACCCCTAGATGGCAAATGTTCACCGTCCTCCTTGAGATTAAGTGGAGCTATTTGTTGCGGGGTTTACCCGCTGACAAATGCAAAGTGTAAGAAGAGAAAAACTGCAACAAACTGAAATGCCAAGGCATAAAGGACAGGGAGTTGACGTGCTCTCAAAGAACGAAACGACCAAAGTTTTCGTACAACGTTTTCCTGGAACAACGCATTACAATTAGCGAACAACGGATACAAACGTAATGGATATAAAATTGCAAAATTAGGTCCAAAAATATGGTTAATTTTAGTCCATCAGCGTTGCGTTGCGAGTCGGGTCAAGTGTTTTTTCTCATGGGAGTGGTCAAGTCTTTCCCCGTAATTTTTTTCCCGGACCTTAGTCGGAAGAATAAAGCAGATATTGTTCTTCAAATAATCAACACGAACTTGCTAGAGTTCCTCTGATTAACCTCCGTTATAACTGTCTAAAGTTTTAAGAAAAAAATATTTTTGAGGGAAAGACGACCACCCTATGAGAAAAACTTGACCCGACCAGTAGTGCGGTCCTTCGAACTTTTGTTTTTATAAGACGCATAACTCACTTGGGAAGTGTACAAATGAACCCTCACCAAATGGCAAGTGGTATACACCATTGGAAAGCCACACTTTTTACTTTTTTTAATCGTGAAAAACTTGTAAGTTTGATGGTCTTAATCGTAATCGACGGTCTTTCAGAAAAATTAAAACGCCTGTAAAAGTTTAACGCAAATATTTTCCTAACTGTAAGAACGCAAAAATGATCTTGCCTAGGCTGGGAACCGAACCTGGCTTGCTTTAGTTTACCAGCCTGCTCGGGAACCATTGCAGTATTGAAGCAATCCTTTTTGAGGATTTTTCCTGCCCAAGAGAAAGAAAGGCTTTTGTTGCAAAATGACCTAAAAATAAAACAATTTACAGTATATCGTCGCATTCTGCAAAAAATGAAAATTGTGTCTTGTACCATTTTTCAAAGGCTCTTCAATGACGTATGTCACTTATCATTTGGTGAGGGTTCGTATGTGCACTTCCCTAGTCAGGGTACAACTACAAATTAAGGTTTATGTCCTTCTCCAATTCGTTTAATAGAGTGCAAAGTGGCTCAAAGTTTGATATCCTCAGCATATGGGAAAAATGGGGTTTGTGACAAAGCTACAGCTTTCACGCTTAAATTAGAGATATTTCGCGGCTAACAAGGGATGTCCTACAAGCACGATACTCAAATTTTTTAATTTTGTTTAAACTTGGTACAAATTTACACTTATCTTTAGTAATTTCGGGAGAAAAGTTTCATACCATATTTCCGAGGGCCATGTTTCTACAGAAAAATTTTCCATGCGAAACTGTCGAAGGTACGGACGGAAAAATTTTTCTCTCTGACCGCACTCCGCTGTTACATTCTTGACGGCAAAGATCGTTGATTCTCGGCTGCGCCTGTAAAAAGGCGAGCTAAAACTTTGAAACATTGATATTTGACCAACTCCCAAACACTATGTAAAAATTTAAAAAAATTTGACATTGTGGGCTTCGAACTTCAAACACTTCCTTTGTAAACATGCAGCTGAAAAAATTATGTTTTGTATCATCAATGCTGAACGATCGGAATTTAATTTCAAAGTAAATCACATATCCACAACGCCTTAGTTGGATCGTGAAAAGAAATGTCCGGTGCTGTCGACTTGATACGACCGCTTTGCACAGCACAGCTTGCTCAATATCAAACGTCGATATGGTATGATGACAGCCATTGTTATAAGCGGATTGATAATTGGAATCCAACTGAACGCCACCGAGTAAAACAAGCAAGCTCTTCCAGTGTCAATGTAGAAGTATTGAGGGACTACCAGCAGCATCATTGGAACGACGGAGACGAGCAGTGGAATGACGGACTGCAATAGGTTTCAGCTTCTCCAATGCTTACCTGCACGATGAGGTACTGGGTGAGCTGAGCTTGAAGTCGCCTCGTTTTGCCGGAAAACGAAACGTACGATCGTCGTATTGTCTTCATGGTCTTATATCCAATTACAATGGCGATAAGGTAGGATAACGCGACTAAAGCGCCGCCATAGAAGAAGTAGACCTTTTGTATTTGGGAGCGCTGAAAACAGTGTACACACATTTTTTATATTTTTGGTACAGGGTGTTCCAAGAATTATGGAAAAAACTATTCATTAAGTTTCAGAGGATACAATATAACCTTTTGTTGGGTTCTAACCCAAGTTCCCAGGAAATTTCAATAAACTCGGAGGTATAATAAATACAACAGACAATCCCAATATCATTTAATTTCTGTCTCCGGATTCCGGTCGTGTGTGTGTGCTTCATTTCGTCTCAATAAACCCTATACTCTTCTTACTTTGGATTGGTGACCACCTCCCTCCTTCTCCCAGCGCCTCCGACGTTATATGGGGGCTGATATAATTTCAAATCTTTGTGATTCGGCGGAGACATTTTTCAATCTCGGCGGACGATTTTTCTTCGACTTTGGGGAGTCAAAATTGGCTAAAACCAAAACGTATGGTATCCCTGGTGGCATGGCGCCTAAATACGACTTATTTGACCGACGTGTTTGACCGACTGGGAGAAGAAATAAAGACAATTCGGCGGAGAAATCGGCGGAAAAAATTAACGCACTTCTACAGCCTCATTTGTGAAAAAAAACACTCCGCCGAATTCAAGGCGGATTACGGAAGTCTCCGCCGATAAAAGAAAATTTTTTTGATTCTAAAAACTCCGATGTTTTTCTGCAAAATGCAAAAAAAAAAATCGAATTGGACCACCGAGCACAGAGTTATTAATGAATAGTTTTTTTTTTCCATAATTCTTGGAACACTTCGTAATATATGTGTGATTATAGGATGTACTGTGTCAAAGGGGCAAAAGTTAAGAGTTTGAAGTCAGGTCGTTAGAATTTTTTAGCTACAAACAAGAACAGGCTGGCTTTTTGGTTTCTTAAAAGGCCTGGCATTTACGGACAAGCCTCTGTAGAGCTTACCACATCCGCGTAGAAGACCGGCGGCAACGGAACCTCCCGGTACCACAACTCTCCGTAATTGTAATCCGGTCGAACGCCCGCTGAGCCTCCATACCCAAAGAAGGAAAGAATGGAGCAGACAACGGAAACGCCCACCGAAACCGAAAACAAACCAATCGTCTTTGCCGTAGTCAACGGTTGTGTTCTGAAAAAAGCCGTTGGAATATCCACAGCACTTCATACCGTGTCAACGCGTAGTAGCGAAAGTAGACCTGCGCCGGAAGTACGCTATTCACCATTGAAATTAAGCCAATGTATATCGAGAGGAAGATCAGACGAGATTGGTAGCTGCAATGTTTGATAGGACCTTCCATGGCTACCATGAAAACTCCGTCCTTTTCTTTTAGCTTCTGAAAATAATATTTTTTTGGGAGATTGCGAGAAGAACTGCTGCATGTGAAAAATAAATTATCAAAGTGTTAGAAATTGATGATTTATTGATGGAATTTAACTGGAAAATAACCAAGGTAGCCTTCCTCGAAAATTGCCTAAAGCAATGTAAAATGACTTTTTGGTTATGTTTAAAAAATGCTTCTATTTTTTTAGCCGCTTTTTGGCGAAGGATAACACCGGCTTCCCTTTATGGTCATCATCAGTCTGTCGGGAAAATAATAAACACAATGTCGTTGTGCTGAAGTGGAAGACAATTTGGACAATTCATTTTTTCGGCGGCTATGCGATTTTTGTTGCGATAGAGTGTTCGTTATCTTTTAGGTGATATGGGGGATATACAATTCTTCAGAGTTTATGTTCATAGCGGAATTCTTCACAAGCGGGCGCTCAAATACAGAAAAGTATATAAGTAAATAGGTTAGCCGCCTGTAAGCTTCAGATTTCTCGGAAAGCGGACAAGTTTTTCTTTTTTTTGTGATTGCCAATGAGGACCGGCATAAGACTCTGCAGCCGTATGGTTATATAAATATCAAATAAGAGAATAAGGTTAAATGCCTACCGTCTGAATAATATTGTCCACCGCCCAATAAGAGATGTCGGTGAACGAGCAGAGCAACAAAATCTTTCGATAACTTCGCAACGCTCCATGAGTATGGAAGATGACCAAATACAGCAGCGAAAACGACAACACCCCTCCAATAAGTGTTGCTGCAATATAGTTGCAATGCAGCACAAAACTGATGGACCCCAATTCATCGAACGGTTCACTCGGAAACCTCCCATCTTCGTCGGGGAAATCCCAGGCGTAGGGATTGTTCGGACTTGCGCCGAGCTTTATATCCAACATTTTCCAAGACGACAGACCAATGTCTAAAGCCGACGAACACAATGTGTTACAAATACACCTGTATGGTAGGCTACAAAAATCTGAGTGCGCCAATGTCGTGCTTAAACGTGAGAATCAGAGCCGCCGTGTTTTAACAATAACCATTCGGATGTAGTCGGAACGCTCCAGAAATCTTCTATTCTGGTTAAAAGAGTCTCCAACAAACAGTCAGCTACAATAAGGAGCACGTGAATTCGCAGAATTATTTTGCAACAAGTATAGGATCTTCGGCAGGTCAGAAAGCCATGCTATTAACGTTCTTTGAAAAGTGCTTGTATCATGCCCAATAACAGGAATGACATGTTTTTGTCAGAATTGCTCCAAACCAAAGGTTGTTTTATGGGCCGGCTTGTTTCTTTTGTTACACTGTTTTTTCACAATAACACACGCAATGGTTTACACTATTATGCTACAAAAGCTGGAGCTGGACGGAGATCATGAAAGTGCCGTGTATCATAATACCCGGAGAAACAGGACAAAAACATGTAAAAAACAAAAAGCATACAAAAGTAAAAGATTGTGTCCTATAGCGATAAAGAAATATATACTGATGCTCCCCTTAAGGCCCGAAAAAGTAAAGGAATGAAGTGACCAGGGATGGCAATCATGATCAAGAAAAAATTGAAGCACTGGACCGGCCTAATCACTTCTGCCGGCGGGCCTGGCCGCAAAAATTGGCCCGATCGCTACCTCGAGGCGGGCCAAGCAAGATGTTAACATTGGGCACGGAATCAACCTTTTTTTGAACAACACGAGTACAAGTTTCTAAGAAAGATACAAAGCCTTGATGGACACACAAGAGGCACAGACGTTTGGCAACTATCCAGCTTGGGATCTTGACATAAAAGTTTGTTATTTGATGTTCAAGTTATACGATACCTCTGCCGGCTCTCAGCGGCAATTTCCTTCTATGATGACAATGGTGAGACACTCTCCAGTACAAATAAGTCAGACCGAAGTCCTCTGTGTCCAAAGAGATGAAAGTCGGCGCTACAATATCAACTCCAAAGACCATTTATTGCGATTGTAGCGAATTTAACTCATCTTTGTGTTTAGCGTTTTGTATTAATACAAGACACAATCTACATCTATGTAATTTGTTGATTGAGCGTGGAGAGTCGTTGACTTTGTTGGAAGCTGGCCTGCGAAAAGATTCGCTTCTTATTGCAACAAAACGCGCCAATAATACTCCTGCGATACGGGCCAATAATGATCAACGTCATTAGTGGATTTATGATTGGAAGAGAGCTCAAAGCGATGTTCATGAGATAGCCGTGATGTCCGGTGTCACAGCGGAACATCACCGACACGATCATCCAGAAAACAGGGACTTCGTAGACCACCAAATGGGTCAATACCTACAAAAATGTTGTTTGTTTTGAAGGTCATACAATACCTGAGTAGTTAGGAAACGAGACAACTGCATTTGTAGTCGTTTTGTTTTTTCGGAGAGTCCAGCGGCTTTTGCTTTTAATATTCGATGAGTTTGATATGCGTAGTACAAAACAAGACAATAGCCAGTGACCACTGCTGACGCACCGAGCAGGAAGTACAGCTTGTGGTGAATTGAGCGCTAAAACTTACTTTGTATAAAGCTCTGTCAAAAGTGCAGTTAGAAAACACGTCAACTCGGTGAATTTTCTGACACGTTTCGTACGCATACTATCGAGTGATGACAAGATTTTAGACAGGAAAATTGTTTCGGAAAAACGTCTGGTGGGCAAAAATGCAACGTGCGCTTTCGTACCACGTGTTTGGTACTGAACAAGACGGGAGGTTCTGAAGAAAACGAGGAAAAAGAATCTTCAAATTTGGCCAGAAAAATAAAGTTGCCGTGGCGGACCTGGTCTAGTGGCAAGAAACGTACCACTTTGCATCCGAGAAGTATCAAAAAATGTGGCAAAATACCTCCTTCTACAAGTGAAAAACTTCCAAAAGCCGCTCGCGCTTTTTGTGAGGAAAAGGGTACGACGCACGAACTAGAAACTGAGGAGTCCGGTGATCGGAATAGACCCTTCGCTATTGGTTTTTTACATTTCCTCTTGATTTCACAGAGAAGTCAGAGAAAAGACGCGCAAAAACGTACTCTCTCGCCCTGAAAATTCCCCATTTCTCCCTCGACAAAAAGTTTTTTAGCGTCTTTTTTTGGCAGATTGCCAATCCATTCACCGGACTGTTTTAGCTTATCTCAGTTTTACGTGCGACGCCCTTCAAAATGGATTTTTTTAAGTTGGAGAGGGAGGCATTTTGCTACATTTTTGATACTTCCCCGATGCAAAATGGGGTGTTTTTTGCCATTGGATCAGGTCCGTCACTGAATAGCCAATTTAAGTCAAGCATAAAATCTGTTTAATGAAAAATATTGGCTTGGAAAACAACTCACAATGTCACCAACGAGAAGATTCGGAACCGGCACTTCATCATACCACAATGTCGCGAAGTTAAAGCCGGCTCGTTCCGAAGCCGACCATTGGTATGTTTGCCAGCACGATAAACCGGCCGGACAACAAGATAGTATGGCAATTATGAATAAGAGCAACGACATCCGAGTGGTCAAAAATTGGAATCTAAAAATTAGGCCCAAAATGTTGACTTGTTTCGTTAATCTTACGTTTTCAATGTGTAGAAACGAAAGTACACTTGAACTGGCAGCACGACGTTTATGAGACATGTAGAAAGAACAAAAATTCCCATAACTTTGGCACGATTTTCATAACTCAAATGAGCTGCGAGCCCTTGCATCTCCACCATTGTGACTCCATCTTTCACTTTCATCCTCTGAAAATCTGAGAGTTCTGAGGAAGGTACAACATATCATGTGCAATGACGTTTGATTTGCGCTTTTAGAAAATCAAAACGGCCGCAATTTTTTAAAATTTTGTTTTTTTTTGCGAATTTTGTCACCAAAATCTTCCATTTGTTTTTTGCCACATAGTGTTGTCTCCGAAATAGACAGCCCCGCCCCCAATTGACCCCTCTGCCTTTCCGCCGTGTCCACGGCGGTCAAAGGCCTTGAGAGGGGTCGGGCCATTTCGGTCTTCAAAAACCGTCTTTACAGTATATCTTATAATATTTTACGTTATTTCGCGTTGTTATTATAATATGGTTTATTAACCCAAGTTTGAGGTTGTCCAATAAAGACTTCATTCACATGGCGACCACGGCGGCGTCCGATTCCGGACGCCTCAGGACTGAAATCGGCAAATCCAGGGCACATCTGATCAAGGCAACTGAAAATCTTGATGGCATCCTGTCCAAGGTTCCACCCAATCTCGATATTCCGCTGGAGGAACTAAATGCTTTCCGCCACAGCGTTGCTACCGCTGATGACCGCTTACTCCAGCACTACACCTCTCTAATGGAGCTAGAGTCAGAATGGAAGAAGTTAGCAGAAAAGATCCCAGCTGAAGTCCAAGAACGTTCCATCTACTATCGCAAATTTGGTCCGTTAAATAAACCGCTCAACGCTGCAGCAACCACACACAAGCATGCGCAACGAGTCTGCGCCGAATTGGACAGAGCAATAGATGCAGCTACCGACCATGCCGTCGACATGCCCATCCGTCCACTAACTCCAATTAAACCTGGCACTCAAACGGATTACGACTCAAGTTTGAGCGAAGCAGACCCGTTCTCACAATTACAAATCGCGTCTCCAAAACCAGCTACGCCAGCTGTGCAAGGCCCACCAACAGTACCTGAGATAGCCAAGCCAATCCCGGTTCAAATTACGAAAGAACTCAACGCCAATGTCCAAGCCAGTCCAGCATTGCCAGTTCCCGCCAGAAGTCAGAACGAATTGCCCCTTCCTTCCGGTCCCTCAATTACAGCAAATCGCTTGGAACAGGTAGGCCAGGTTAACGCACCATTTTATCAAACTGCTATGTCTCTCCAACTTCCTCAATTCACCCTTCCTCGATATTCGGGCTCATCTTCATTTCACGAGTGGTTTTCATTATTTTCCGAGCTTGTCGATAAAGCCCCAATCGCAGACGTATTAAAAATGTCACATTTAGTAAATTCGTTAAGCGGCCATGCAAAATCGGCCATTGAAGGTCTTCAAATTACGGGGCAAAATTACCATATAGCCATGCAGATATTACGCGAAAGATTCCTCGATTCTGAAGCAACAAAAAATGCACTAATCCGCGACTTGATAGCTATTCCTCCAATCAGTGGAAAGTATTCCGTACCCAACCTTAGAGCGCTGATCGACAAAATCGAAGTAATTTTACGCCAGTTACACGTTTTAGGCCTTACTTCAGATGGAGATTTTTTGATAAACTTGGTGCTATCCAAACTTCCAAAACGCGCAGTGTCTCCGCTTTTGAACGCAAAAGTTTCCAACCCACATTCTTGGAGTTTATCTTATGTTCGTAAACGTCTCCTGGAATTCGTAAAGATTGAAGAATCTGTTGATTCATTCTACAGTACTCCGGAGAAGCGACAAGGGTCCCAAAATGCAAATTCGTTTTTTCATCACCCGCCGCAAATTCCCAAGTCAGATCACTTAGAAGGTCATAAAAATTCAATGCCTTCGAATTCAAATTCAAAAAATGATCCCCGGCCCTGCATATTTTGCTCTAACGGTCACTCGGGACTTAATTGTATAAATTATTCGACCCCTCAACAAAGAGTTGAAAGGGCAAAAGCACTGTCCAGATGCACTCGGTGTCTCCGCATGAGTCACACAAAAAATTGTTTCACCAGATTGAGTTGTCGAAATTGCGAAGAGCAACATCATACCTTTTTATGCCCGAAAACTGCAAAATTCAAAGCCAGCAACAGCAATGCAATCCCTCTGGAGAGATCAACTCCATCATTTACTCCAATCACGCCAGCGGCGCCACAAATCGCAAAAACCAAAAATGCACAGCTTTCTCAATCAGCAGCGCCTTTTACTATGGGCAGCGGACCACACATAACCTTGTCCACAATATCGTCTGAAGAATCAATAACCTCTTTGAGCAATCAACTCCTTGTTAGCCCCTTTACCGCGCTCGGATATCCAACCCTTGTCACGTCTCACTGTCTATTTGACACAGGAGCAAACAAGAATTTCATCACGGATCAGTTGGCTACTCTTCTGAGTCTGCCCTCGATAAGCGAGGTAATGGTCGATAACATATCTTTTGGAGGAACTTCTCCTCGAAAAATTCGATGTAAAAAATACAACGTTGTTCTCAAATTGGCGTCGGGGAATACCATGTCCGTTGAATGCCTCTCAATGCCAGAGATCACAGGCAAAATTCCGAAGTCTTCCCTCCATCCTTCCTCATTGGCTTTCGAGGATGAGTCAAGTTCTATCCAGATTCATCTACTACTCGGAAATTGTACCGTTTGGTCTCTCATTTCGGGCCCTTCGTTTTCGGACTCCAAGGGCGATCGGTTCATTCCCACCCTTCTGGGAAACCTCGCAATTCCTCAAATGCCTATCGAAAATCGCGTCCACTCTCTCTCTTCGATTTCTTCTAACGCGCAAAAAGATGAGGACCCCTCTCAATCGTTTCGGCAACTTATTCGTTATGACACCAAAGCTCAAAAGTACTTTGTGTCACTTCCGTGGAAGACTTGCACTCCACATCTCGGTGACGACCACTTTTGGCTGGCATTCGGTCGTCTGAAAAGTCTACATCAGACACTTCGAGTAGAAGGATTTTTAGATGATTTCGACGAAAGCATTTCCGAATTATTACGAAACCAATTGTGTACAAAATTTCGACCTAAGGATATCACCAACCCTCTAAGATACTTGCCTTTACAGGCGGTACACCGCCCAAACAAAAAACTCCGAGTAGTTTACGACGGAGCGGCCAGAACAAAGGCATCCAAAGCTATTAATGAATTTCTTGACACAGGGTATAATGACCTTCCCACAATTCCCACCGTCTTAACTCGTATCCGATGCCTCAAGCACTTTCTTATCGCGGACGTGTCCGCAGCTTTCAACCAAGTTGGGATCGAGGAAGAAGACAGAGATGCTCTTCGGATCTTGTGGTTAAAAGACAAAGAAAAAGATGTTAGCCAATCAAACTTGTCAATCCTTCGGTTCAAAGTTCTACCATTCGGCCTAACCTGTGCCCCAGGGATCTTATCCGCGGTTCTCCACAAACATTTGGAAAATTTCGGAGAGTTAGGCAAAGAAGTCGAACAAACCCTGTACGTCGATAATTTTGCTATTTCTTGCTCAGCCGAGTCATTTGAAGACAAGTTCAACGCAATCTCCGACATCTTTCGAGCAGCCAACATGAAGCTTCATGATTTCAACAGCAACTCCGATGCGATTCGTGCTCAACTTAATTCAAGAGGTCATGAGACCCCCATCATTACGAAAATTTTGGGCGTTCATGCTGATTTGAGAGCCGATTTGTTTTTCGTAGTCTTCCCTGAAATTGAGGAAGGCATGGTCCCAACTAAGCGCACAGTGCTTCAAAAGCTGTCCAGCGTTTTTAACCCGCTGGGCATGGCCGAACCAGTCCTCTTGCTTGCGCGCCTGTTAATTCAAGAGATTTGGAAACACAAGATTCATTGGGATGAATCACTTCCACATCCGCTGGCGTCAAAATGGTATCATATTTGCGCTGACTGGAATTCCATATCCTTGCCCTTCAGTCGTTATTTTGATTTGAGTGGCGCTCAATCGATCGAGGCACACGTATTTGTAGACGCATCCTCGGTGGGACGAGGCACAGTGGCCTATTTAAGGGTCGCACATCTGGATCGCGTCGCTGTACATTTCTTCTCCGCGAAGAGCAGGTTGATCCCAACAAAATCAGTCATCTCTATTCCCAAATTAGAGTTTGCGGAACTGGTCCTTGGAGCAGAAACTTTAATGACAATAAGGAAAAGCATGACAATACAACCAGATGGGCTTTATCTGTGGAGCGATAGCAAGGTAGCAATAGCGTGGGCAAAAAGAGATTCAACGAAAGGAATGGAACTTTACGTTTCTAATCGCTGGAAACGTCTCAGAAATTGCCAGGACATAATTATTCAACATGTACCCGGTTTCATGAACATAGCCGATGTCGGCTCTAGAGGATGCACTCTGGCTGAATTATCCAAAAACGAAGACTGGCAGCGAGGCCCTAGTTGGTTGAAGGATAAAGAAAAATGGCCCGTCCAAGACCCACCAAATGCTCTAGTTGACACCGTGATCACAAATGTGACAATCTCAGACATGCCTCCAAATCCCCCTCCATTCATTCTTAATCCAGACAGATTTTCAAATTGGAATACTTTTTTCCGGTCTGCTACTTTGGTTTTTCTTTTTCTTTGCCAATCATCGAAAACCTTTGCGCAAAAACTGGCCAAATTCGATCCCAGCGCACCCTTTTCCCCCGCATCTTCCCGCGTCGTTTTTCTCCACCTATTGTTCATGGCACAGCAGGCATGTCCCCCGACCGAGGAAGAAATAAAAAATTACGGCCTTATTTTGGAGAACGGACTTCTTGTTCGAAAAACTCGGCGTTTAATCGAGGGCACAGATTCAACATTCAATCCCCCATATCTCCCCAAAAATCCCCTTTTGTAAAGCTTTACATCGCGTATTTACACCAATCACACCATCACTCCTCATATGAGTACACCCTGCACGTGCTCAAGTCCCAGTTGTTTATGCCTAAGCCCCGTACATTGATAAAAACAACTGTAAGAGAATGCGCACACTGTAAACGCTTCACAGCTCAGCCATATGCGCAACCACCTTTCGCGAATTTTCCGCCAAAGCGAACGTCCCGATCAGCTCCCTTTACTCACACAGCAGTGGATTTTTTCGGCCCGCTAATTACATCGGATGGAAACCACACCTCAAAGAGGATGGTAGCCCTTTACACTTGTTTTTCGACTAGAGCCCTCTGGCTTGACCTAGTTGAAGATAACACAGCAGAGAAGTTCTTGAATTCCCTGCGGCGATTTACTTCCACCCGGGGCTGCCCCATCTCATTCTATTCGGATTCAGCCAATAATTTTCTTATCACTTCGCAAATAATCAATAAGGACCCAGTATCAGCCGTTTTGACACCAGATCCATCAATTGGCCGGTTTCTTCAAGAACAAAAAATAAAATGGGATTTTATTCCAAGTAAAGGAAGCTTCATGGGTGGCATTTACGAACGTCTCGTTGCTTTATGCAAATCAACATTACATAAGTCGCTAGGCCGCCGACTTATTCCAGACGATGAACTACGAACACAACTACTGGAATGCGCAAGCATAATAAATTCTCGTCCACTTTGTTATCAAGCCGAGGGTGATACCCCCGTCCTCACGCCAAACGACTTCCTCGGAGTAATGCCGAAGCAGCTCCCGTATCCTACAGACAACGATGACGACCCCGACTGGCTGCCCGAGAACGATGATTCTGCGCGCGCAGCGCTCTTAAAACGATGGAAAGACTCAAATTCGCGTCTTGAAAAAACGTGGAATTATTGGAATAAAGCATACGTAACTACACTGCAAGATCGCGTCAAAAATACACACGATAACCCCCATCTTTCTGTCAAGTCTTTTCCTCAACTCAATGAGATTGTGATTCTGCAGGAGGATAAAACACCCCGCCAATCATGGAGATTAGGCCGCGTTTCTGAAATTTCAAGCAACCGTCACGTGAAAATTGCGCTGGGCGAACGAAACGGTCAAAGAAAAACCGTTGCACGCCCAATCAATCGGATCTGTCCACTAGAACTTCGCGCTTTCTCAACTTGTCTAATCTCTCTATTATGTCTGGTGCGTTTAACCTTGTCTTGTTCAGATTTAGCTGTGTTGACGGGACAGGCTCAGGATTGTCAAATTTCGGATGTAATCAAATGCCGATATCAACAAAGCACGCTGTTTCCGGTCACGCCATCAACGCAAACAGTATGTGCAGAACTCCGCGCACCAAATAATGAAGCCTCAACACGATTGGTGATCAAGCTGAAATCCGTTAAGTACAAATGCCATCGATCGACTCTCGCGTATACTAGACAGGTGGCTGCACACGTGGTGAAATCCGTGAAATCCGTCCGTTGCGACCAGGCTCTAGGGTCCGAATGTTTCTCCAACTTTTGCGAATCCACGAAATCGGAGACAAAAATCCCGGCCTTTGGAGATCAGCCGAACTCAGCACCTGGACATACGAACTGCTTCAGAAGATGCGGATGTGCGTGGTGCGGTTGCGGATTATGCTCAGAAGGATGTTTGTTCTACCGATACTTCCTGGAAAGTGATGTACCCGACATTTTTACAGTATTTTCATGTCCATCATTTACACCTACGGTAGTAGGTGAATTTACTCTGAATAATATCACTAAGAAATTTGTTCTTACTCCAGCCTTGCCATATCATTTTTCTAACATTACTTTAACAGTCGCATCTCTCTCAACTGCCCCTGCTCCAATTTTTAATTCCATGTTTCTTCAAAACCTTCGATCTAATTCTACTGCTATAATCCCAGAAACTGTCCGATCTTCTCCTTCCAATCCATTATCTGTATATCCATGTGCATCAGCATCAGCTGCAAGAGACATGTCATGCCCAGTACGCAAGGACATCTGTCGCTGTTCGCCTGATTCATATGACCCTCATTGTTCTTGCCATGTCTTAGATCTCCCTGAAATCCTTCGTTCGGACCATGCGCTGCCGCTCAGGCGGGGGGACCTCATGCTCTCAGAGCACGATGGCGAAGTGTTGGTGACCGCTTCTACTCCACTACAGCTTCAAATACAAATCAACGAAACTCTCGTTTTGCAAACACACCTCTCTACCTGCACTATTGAGGACACCAACATAATCGGATGCCTAGATTGCACAGAAGGAGCCACAATGTCAATGAAGTGTTCTACCAATTTTGGACCCACCACCGCCAGATTCGAATGCGACAGTACTATTATAAAGGAAATCGAGTGTATAACTGGGGAAAGAATATCAACCTCCATCTACTCCACTACCTCCGACATCAACGAAGATTGTAAGGCAATTTGCGTGGGAGGCGAAACCCAATTCTCCCTGAAGGGCAAGTTGGCTATAGCGCAGCCCATTATCCCATCAGATATGGAACGGGCGGCCAAGGACCTGACGCCAGAAGTCGTCAGCGTGTGGGAAGCATTGAAGGATATCTGGGGTTCTTATAAAACAATATTCATAACAGTTCTGTCTGTAGGATTGTTTCTGATCGCCGTCTATCTACTCCAATTGTTTATCCCCCTGTTCATGTTGGCCGGGGAGTGTCTCCGAAATAAACAGCCCCGCCCCCAATTGACCCCTCTGCCTTTCCGCCGTGTCCACGGCGGTCAAAGGCCTTGAGAGGGGTCGGGCCATTTCGGTCTTCAAAAACCGTCTTTACAGTATATCTTATAATATTTTACGTTATTTCGCGTTGTTATTATAATATGGTTTATTAACCCAAGTTTGAGGTTGTCCAATAAAGACTTCATTCACAGTGTAAAGTTTTTACATAAAAGTAATTTTTTCCGCACAAAACTGGCAAGTTATGGCCGAAAAAAGTGTTTTTGTCTCTGAACGCTCTCTGCTCCTGATCGTCGAATATCTGGGTCGCTTTGACAGCTAAAAACTTTTATAATTGATATGTGGCCTATGCTCGAATTGTGTGAAAATTTTCAAGAAAAACTGAGCGTCGCACTTCGAGTGCTTCTCTAGTTAAAACGCTAAAATCTTAGTTTATCAACAGCCATCCCTTACCATCACCGTCAACGAATCCATACTCCAATAGAACATATCGCTAAGGCAACAAATCAGCAGCATATATCGGTAGTGTTTTAGTTGCCCTTGAGTCTTGAAAAATATGAAGTAAAGCAGCATTGAGGATAGTACCCCTCCCAAAAAGAATGAACAATAGTGCGTAATATGCAAACACAGATTTAGGATTTTCAAACGATCCGTTTCGGTAGACGAAACATTTCTTTCGAAGTCCCAAGCGTACGGATTTCCCGACCACGCTGTGGGATGCCAGTTGTTAGCGGTGTAAAACATCCAACTACTATTTACAATGACAAAAAGAGTGAGGCGTTACACTCACTAACGGGTTTGTAGCTTCCAAAACGTGTTGGTCCCTCGGCGAAGTACTCAAATTTAACAAAACGCCATGTGATACATAAGTGCTGTTAAAAAGCGTGTAAAAATAATGTGTTTTAAAATGTAAATGACTAACGTACGATTTACTAGATACATCATAGAAAAGACTAGTGTTGGGGGAACGTCAATTTGACGTGTCAGCCACATTGTCAAATTTGTATTTATAATGCCGTCGTACATCAAAACTATAGCTTGACCCAGATGAGGGCAATTTGAGTACATGGTGGACTGCTCCGAATTGCTCCAAAATTGGCAGTATATCAATGCAGGTTTCAATCGCTTTATTGCAAAATATTTTTTCAGTAGCCACAGATTTTAAAACTGTAGACACAAGACGCCCCTTAAAGGACCGCAACAACTACATTTGAATCGAGTTTTTACGGCTTGGAGGTGCGCCTCGCCAAAAGTTGCGAAAATCCCGCGAAAAATACAAATACAAAAAAGAGTCTTTATCGAAAATGCAAAATTGAAGAAAGCTTGAACTAGTTCATGATAGGGTGCAAGTCGAGGTAGATGAGTGTAACTAAAAAACGTGATGCATGTACAATATAAGAATAGCAAAAATGTAATATAAATTCCGGCCCATCACGTTTAATCCAAGAATTACGCAAGAGAAGTTGTGTTGTTGGCTACTTGGCCTATCCGTTACTCCCTTGGCCAAGATAATATTTGTCCATTAACAAGACATTTCTAGTACCGCAAATAATATTGTGTTTATTTACGCTAATCATATCAATCACAATGTTCAGTAACGCTTAGAATGCCTTGCAAGATGAACATCCCGGTTAGTTCTCTGAAACTTTGATCGTATAAAATGGCTTTCGCAAAAACAAAAAAAGTTTTTTCGGACGTTTTTTTGTCGCTTTGGGCAAACCGTGTGGTCCTTTAATTACAAACAAAGATGATAAAAATACGATAATTAACCCCACTGATCCAGTTAGACGGTTCCAGTACCAGTTTCTATTTTCGGATCTACATCCTTCCTTCTAAAGATCCTGATCAGCGCTCGTCGATAGGGCACGATTACGACTATTGTTATCGTTGCGTTCAGGAACGGGATCCAGCTATACATCGAGACGCATAGCGCTGCAAGTCCTTCAATGCTCAGCCCACAAAATTGGCTGATCACCAAACAAAGAGTTGGCGCCACAGCTGTAGTCAGCGGAATCAGCCCCTGGAATTTGCAATTACGATAAAATTCCTGCTGATTGGCTTGAAATGAAATGTAGAAAAAATGACGTGCCTGTAGGACCAAGTAGCGAGGCAACTGCGATTGTAGTTGTTTCGTCCTCTGGGAAACGTTCCTTGACTCTTTGTCCAACGTTTTGAAGGTCTTGGAACCGTAATATATTGTTATAGTGTAAGCAGTTGTCATCAAGAATGCGGCGTAGAAGAAGTGGAGCTTCGGGTGGACTGAACGCTAAAATAAAAGCCTGCAGTGAAAATCCATGGCATTGCAATGACTTTAGGCATTTAAATTTTTATGCTTTATAATGTAAGACAAAACAGTGGAATGTGTAATTTCGGCATTGCACTTGCTTATATTTATAGTATTAGAACACTTACAATATCAGCGACAAGAAGAATTCCCGGAGTTTCGCCCTCGTACCACAGAAGCGCATAGTTGAAGTCTGGTCTTACCTGCCATGAGAAACCAAAAGTCTTATAAGATAAGAAGGTTGTAGGTAGGATCCCCAGGATCGAAAGACCAAACAGTCCGGCAGTCTCGGAGATGGTGAGTGCGTGGCCCCTATAACAAAGATGCAAAAAAATAATTTTGGCATCGCAAAAAATCTCACGAGGAAAGTACTTGTATGGGGTTACATCGACTCAAAAATATCAAAAAATTTGTAAAATTTTTCTGTTTCAGAATATGCAAAAATTAGTGCCTAATTTTGGTTTGTAAGGGTGAAAAAGTCCTCAGAACTTTTCTCGCAACACCATGAAAATGCGCCCTCCTGGCGGCAAAGATCGTTGAATATCTTCGCCGCTCCTGAAAGGAGCGGGCTGAAACTTTCAGGAATTGATACGTGGTCTATGTCCGGCATGTGTGCATAATTTAATGAAAATCTGAGAGTCGCACTAGGGGTAATTCCATTGTCAGCTATGAAAGTTGGAGCTTTTTCTTTGTCTTGAATTTTTACTATAGTCTAATAAATGGGTATAACATATTTGGTTTGCGTGGTGTTTCGAGAAAAGTTCCGAGGCGTTTTCACCTTTACAAACCAAAATTAGGCAGCTATTTTTTACATATTCTGAATCAGAAAAAATTCGCAAATTTTTTGATACATGACTCGACCTGTAACTCCATACCCCATACAAGTACTTTCCTTGTCAAATACTTCCTATTATCATATTTTGCGTGACTTACCGAGTAACCGCATAATACCGAAAAAAGGCTTGTGCGGGCAACACAGCCTGTATCAAACACAGACCTGCAATATAAAACACAGAAATCAATACTTGGCCATCTCTATTCAAATGCCGGCCCGGACCTTCCAGAGAGCACAAGAACACGCCATCGTCCAACTTTATTCTCTAAAAGTATTTGGTTTGCAATAAATCGGCGAAGGAAAAGAAAAGAGTAAAATTATACAAAGACTGGAGAGTAAGGCGTGCCGCGGCAAGACCTTGTTTTCTGGTCGGAAAATAGCCTTCTATGTAAATTTTTTTGTATGTTTAAAAACCAATTTTGCACACCAAAAATACGACTACAAAGAGGGTCTAAAGATGATGTGTTCATCTCAAATTTTTACCACTCAAACTTACGAACTGACCAACGGCTTCATTCAAAAGGAAGACGATGTCAACCATAGAGCATGGGAGCATCATCTTTGCATAAGGCTTAAGGGGTGACGTTGTTCGGAAAGCGATTAAAACAATTAACAAGGAGACGGCTGTAGAGCTAAATAAAACGGAGAGAAGGTAGTTCCAGTAAATCAGAGTGGCCAAGCTCAATGACATTGGGGGGATCTAAAATCGGGAATAGTTAATGTTTTCGTAGGTGGGGTGTTTACAATTAAAGTCTCGGAGAAATTAATTTGGATAACTAGACGAAGTGGGGTTCTATCGCAGGTTTCCTAATTTTGTATTACAACAAATTGGTTTTCGAGGAAAGCGGAGTAAAATTGTAACCGACAACACGGATTTGTCGAAATTCGCATGAAGATTCCTAAAGATTCAGGCTGGCCTACAATAGTGACATCCGAGACATTAAAAAGTCTTTGCCTCCATAGAGAGTACACAAAATACGAAGAGAGGGCACAGAAAGAAAAAGAGACAATTTTTTGTTATGTCTTTGCCAGTTTTCATGGGAAAAATTGGCCCAGATGAGGACAATTTGAGCACATAGTGGATTTCCTCATGCTTCGACTCGATCCAAATTGGCAGTAAATCAATGAAGATTTCAATCGCTTTATTGCAAAATATGTTTTCAGCAGCCACAGACTTTAAACTTGTTGGCACGAAAACCCCCTTAATTACAATTAAAGAATGGCAAAAATACAGAGAGCAATAATGAACAATAATGAATAATGAATAGTCGGCGCTCCAGTTAGGAGGTGCTGGTAGCAGTTCCTGTTTTCGGATCTACATCTTTCTTTCTAAAGATCCTGATTAGCGCTCGTCGATAGGGAACGATTACGACTATTGTTATCGTTGCGTTCAGGAATGGAATCCAGCTATACAACGAGACGCATAGCGCTGCAAGTCCTCCAATGCTCAGCCCAGCAAATTGGCTGATCACCAAACAAAGAGTTGGCGCCACAGCTGTAGTCAGCGGAATCAATCCCTGGAATTTGCAATTACGATAAAATTCCTGCTGATTGGCTTGAAATGAAATGTAGAAAAAATGACGTGCCTGTAGGACCAAGTAGCGAGACAACTGCGATTGTAGTTGTTTCGTCCTCTGGGAAACGTTCCTTGACTCTTTGTCCAACGTTTTGAAAGCCTTGGAACCGTAATATATTGTTATAGCGTAAGCAGTTGTCATCACGAATCCGGAGTAGAAGAAGTAGAGCTTCGGGTGGACTGAACGCTAAAATAAAAACTTGCAGTGCAAATCCATCGTATTGCAATGACTTTATGCACAAAAAAGCTTCAGAATGTAAGGAAAACTGGATCGTCAGAGAACAGTGGAATGTGTAATTTCGTAATTGCGCTTGCTTATATTGGGGTACTTACAATGTCAGCGACAAGAAGAGTTGTCGGAGTTTCGCCCTCGTACCACAGCAGCGCATAGTCGAAGTCTGGTCTTACCTGCCATGAGACATCAAAAGCCTTATAACATAAGAAGGTTATAGGTAGGATCCCCAGAATCGAAAGACCAAACAGTCCGGCGGTCTCGGAGATGGTGAGTGCGTGGCCCCTAAAAATGGCCTTAACTCATGTTACAAAGAAATTATCGGCATTTTAAACTCTCTATTATTGACTTACCGAGTAACCGCATAATACCGAAAAAACGCTTGTGCGGGCAACACAGCCTGTATCAAACACAGACCTGACACATACAACACAGTAATGAATATTTGGTCATCTCTATTCAAATGCCGGCCCGGACCTTCCAGAGAGCACAAAAACACGGCATCGTCCAATTTTACTTTCTAAAAGTATTTCGTTTGCAATAAATCTACGAAAGAAAAAAATGAAACTACAAAGACTGGAGAGTAAGGCGTGCCGCGGCGAAACATTGCTTTCTTGTCGGAAAATAGCCTTCTAAAATTTTCTGTTTTTTAAAAACCAATTTTGCACACCAAAAATACGACTACAAAGAGGATCTAAAGACGATGTGTTCTTCCCAAATTTTTAACACAGAAACTTACAAACTGCCCAACTGCTTCAATCAAAAGGAAGAGGATGTCGGCCACGGAACACGGGAGCATCATCTTTGCATAAGGCTTGAAGTGTGATGTCGTTCGGAAAGCGATTAATACAATTAACAAGGAGACGGCTGTAAAGCTAAATAAAACGGAGAGAAGGTAGTTCCAGTAGATCAGCGTGGCCAAGCTGAATGACATTGTGGGGGATCTGAAATCGGGAATTTACTAAAAATGGATTTTTTTCTTTTGTACAGGTTGGAAGTCTGTTTACAACGTTAAGACTCAGGGAAATTAAAGGTTGAATATCTTGGCTGAGCCTGCAAAACGCGAGCTAAAATTTTCAGACAATGATATGTGGCCTATAACGTACAAACTTAAAATAAAACCCGAATGTCATACTTGTAAGTCTTCTCTTGATAGAAAGGCCCCGGGTCTCCCTACTGCCGTCAGGTTTACAACAAAAATAAAATATAATATGAACTCCACTCATCGTGTTCGGTCACCGAAAAAACAATTCCTGAAACTACATTTTCTTATCGTTTTGGAGTTGCATTCGATAACTTCGGTTCAAGTTTTTCATTGCTCTCCCGAAAGAATACCGCTTACGGTTAGCATGCGACCATGGCTGATAACTAGCCATGGGTGCCCCTAGTGCTAACACCCTAAGTGATTACACATATGGCCAGTGAATGACCGGCATACAAAATTTTGTGAAAATTTGCAAATAAACACCCAACGTGGAAGAATTCTGATGAAAAGACTATTACGAGAAAAGCGACAGCTGTCGACCGCCCAGATTTGAGGATTTTGAGGTCCGTTGGAAACACGGTCATCCTTAAGAGTATCAACTTGAATGAGAAACTCAACTTATCACATAAAATTATGAACCTTGCTCGTTGAACATGACAATTTCCTTGCCCTTTCAGAAAGCATTGTAGTAAACCCAACGTTGTTGTTGTACTAATAACTCGTCAAGTGTTTTCTTGATCCCCTATCCATTTTTCACATTTTTTCAGTTTAAAAAAAAGCACCGACAGTGGCTTGAGCCAGCCGCTATTCCTTAAATTTACGTCATCTTCAGCTCAAGAGTCCCTCGTTTAAACTGGGTTTGTAGTCCGCAACATTTAACAAATCTCGTTCCATCAAAGCACGGAACCAGAAAAATGCCCGTGGAACGTGCGGAAGACGAACTATCGGTAAAAGTACGGGCACAAAAGCGTTTCAGACATTACAGTTATGGAATGCTTTAAATTTTTTTTAGGTGTTGGAAACATGGTTGTCCGGAGACAATCCCAACGAACTTTGGTCTTACCAGTACAATTTGACGTTTATCCTCAAAAGGGCGAGCTGAGAATACCGTAAACTCAAGACACATAATTTTGATAAGCCAAATTGCGATTGGTTTTTCACCCCTAAAACCAGCGATTGGGCCACTAATTTTTGCATATTCTTAATCGGCTTGATCATACGTATCTTTTGAGATACGTCCCGTCTAACAGTAGGAGCACACATAAACGCGGTTTCCGTGTGAGGTATATGCTAAAAAGTGTTTTCATCTCTGTCCGCCCTCCGCGTTCGCGCCTCGGCGGCAGAGACTGTTTAATGTCCCGGTTGCGCCTTGAAATGGCTAATAACATGCCCCAGATTCAAAGTGAGTGTTATTTCCGTGGGTGATCAAAAATTTACGTCTATAGAACATACTTGTCGAGCAAAATTGATCGCGAAAACTGCCGAATTTTTGCAGACATTTTGAATTATAAAAAACTTTCAAGTCTTGCCTAAATCAGACGTAAAAACCTCGTATATCAATAAAAGTATAATCTAAGTTTGTCGCTTTTTCCTTGATGATCTCAGCGCGGCATTTCGAGCACCTCCGCTGTTTTAACAAAAGCCCTTTTTTGTGGATTCAACCGAATTAGTCGCTATAAATATTTACTATCCCCATTTTGAATGCCCCAAGTGATCAAACTTGAAATTTGATAGTAAATAATACTTTGTCTCAACAAAAGGGGTGGCATTCTCATGTATAATCCGCTAGTAACTCAATTTGTTACAAAGACTGAATCAAACTTGAGAAAATCTTATTAAACTTACACCTAGTGTTTCCTTCAAATTCTTATGATTTAATTTTGATAAGGCTTCACACAAAATTAGAATTATTTCGCGACTTGCCGAAGACGTTGGGATCTCTGCTGAGCGGTTGATGACTCGGAAATTTGTAGCACCTCATTTCGTGTACGAAGCTTTTAATTTATAACAAGTAAAAATTATTTTTATACTTTCTGGTTTTCAGAAATGTCGGCGATAATAAAAAACTTCAATTTTAATATAATAAAATATTATATTTTAATATCGGGAGAAGGAAGATCGTGTACCGTTCCCGCTGCTACTCGTAGTCAAACTATGGGTTCTACTCTTCGGTTTTTTGATCCATCGACAAACTGCGTTTCGGTATGGTGCGATGACAACAATCGTCAACAGTCCGTTGAGGAATGGGATCCAGCTGTAGCAGAGGACGCATAGAGCCGCCAGCGACCCCAAGTTGAGGTTGAAGAATTGGCCGAGGACCAGGCCTAAGGTTGGGCCGACCGCGGTGAGCAGGGGGATTAGACCCTAAAATGGGAAACTTGACTTGTAAAATATGTGGAATCTTTCGGTTCTGATATGCATTTTTGGCCAATGTGTTCTAAACATTACCTGAAAATGCAAGTGAGCAACTCGGAAGACTTACGCAGCTTGCATCTTTAGGACAGTCCTGGTACGAGCTGCACCTGCGCACATTTTCCGAGCTGCTCCATAGCATTTTCAGCTAATTTTCGGTTATTTCATCGGGGCGTCGCGACACTTGCGGGCAACCAGTTTGCGGGCAAACTTTTTGCGGGCAACCACTTTGCGGGAAAAAGTTGGGGGGTCACATTTGCGGGCACCTGGAACATTTGTGGGCAGATGAGACACTTGCGGGCAGCCGACATTTGCGGGCAACATGAAAAAACAATCACACAGACTGTATAGGAACTTTTGGAACTGTTGCCCGCAAATGTCGGCTTCCCGCAAGTATTGCCTGCCCGCAAATGTCGGAAAACTGACATTTGCCAAAATATCGAAGTCATTTTTCCACCTCCACCTTGTAATCTTCAAGTGCCGGTTGCCCGCAAATGTCGGCATATTTCCAAAATATAATATCATAGTAATTTTTCCACGTAAACCATGTTACCCTCACAATCAGGTGTCGGTTGCCCGCAAATGTCGGCTGCCCGCAAATCTTCCAGGCTGTCCGCAACTGTCGACCCTGCCCGCAAATGTCCCAGGCTGCCCGCAAATGCCGGTGCTGGCCGCAAATGTCGGCTGCCCGCAAAGTGGCTGCCCGCAAAAAAATTGCCCGCAAATTGGTTGCCCGCAAAGTGGTTGCCCGCAAGTGTGCGCCCGCCTTCATCGGCCCTAGATCGGAGTAAAATGCGAAAGACTGTTTACGATTTCCGGAGTGAGCCTACCTGGCAAAATAAATACATCGAAAGCTGTGATTGTATTCGCTTTGTTTTCGTCGACACGACTCTTGATTTGTCATGAAGCGTCGCCAAAGTCTGTGTTCCATAGTAAAATGCGATTAAATAAACGGACGTGATGAAAATGGCGCAGTAGAGGAAATAAAGCTTTTGATAAGGTGATCTCTGCAAATGTCTTATTGTTTTTTTAATTAAAAAGAAACGTATCCGAAGTACGTCTTTGCGAGAGTGCTTACAATATCGGCAACCAGCAGTACGGTTGGTGTATCGTTTTTATACCACAAACTCGAGTAGTCAAACTCGGGCCGTAGAAGTTCGGAGGTATTGAACGCGGTATACATGAGCACAGTTAGTGGGACGATGCCAACGATTGAAAGGGAAAACAAACCGGTAGTTTGCAGAATAGACAATGTACTTCCTCTAAAACGTTTTGTAAATTAGAGTGCACCTCGAAAAAATCTGTAAAAAAAAGTGAAGATTAGGTTGGCAACTAACAGGGGAAGTACTCCACGTGCGACGCTCAGACTTTGATGAAACTTGGCGCAAATTTAAAGTAATTTGTTCTAAGGTATATGCCAGAATCCTAGCTTGCGTTTTGCAGAAACAACCGAGATTTTTAGATCGAAAGTCGGCCAAAAATTTAGGAATTTTTGCCGAATTTTGGCACGAAAAGATTCATGCCCATTTCTACCGTTAAGTTTCTACAAAAAATCAAATTTTTCCGCACGAAAATGCCAAAGTTATGGCCAAAAAGCGTTTTTCTCAAAACGCTTTCGACCGCTCTCCACGTTTAGCGTGCTCTCTCGGCGGCAAAAATCGTTCGATATTTCGGCGGGACTTGTGTGCAAACTTTAAAGAAAATCTGAGCGTCGCACTTGGAGTACCCTGTCAGTTATTCCGTTTTTTTCTTGAATCTTCCGGGTTTTACAGGAAGGTTCTAGAATGTCATATAGTATGGTATATATAGGAACGCTCGAGTACTGTACAGCTAAGTTGTTTCAAGTTTGTAAGAACTGTGGATATGGAACCTTCGCACCGTCGGACTTCCATTTATTCCGCCCACCATCTTGATGGAAAAAAGGGGTACGTCGTAGATAACGACGGTAATTATTATGATTCTTGATTGTAAAGCTTGAAATTATTATTAAAAAACAAAAAATAAAAAAAATTTGGATAACTTAGTAGCCAACCTAATATCTTTTGGTTTTGTCATCGGAAAGGATTACTAAATAGCCCGCGTGCAGGCCACTTTGTAAAAATGTTTATTAAAAAACATTTGTTGAGATACCAAAAGTATACCTTTTCAGAGCATGAAAGCGAAAGTAAGCTTGTACGGGAATTGACGACTGCACAAAGCAGAACCCGGCCACCGATAAAACAGTCAACAGAATTTGGTTACTCCGGCTCAAATTTCGGCCCGGTCCCTCCAGCGCGCACAGGAATACGCCATCTTCCAGTCGGGCCTTCTAAACGTGTTTTCGATTGAATTTTATCAGCCATTTCGCTCACAATTTGGCCAATCGCATCTACTGTCATGAATAAGAGATCGGCGACAGCGCAAGGCAACAGCATCTTTGAGTAGGGCTTGAAAGTCAAGGTGGTTTGGGTTACAATGAGAAGGATTAAAAGTGGTAAAGTTGCAAAGCCAAGCAGCAAGGCAATTAGGTAGTTCCAGTGAACAATTGTTGAAATCTCCATAGCTAAAGCTGGAATTCAAAGAAAAAGATAATTATTACTTTTTTTAAAGACGTTGCAGAAATACATCAGAATCACAAAAAATAGCAACGCCTTATAAAAACGAGCCTACAAAATCGATAGCCAAAGGTTGGTCTGTCAGAGAACATCTTCTAGCGCTACGCCTTTGGTATCTAGTAAAGTCGCTGGAGGCCAAAACGCCAAAAATTTTACATAATAAGAAGCTTTTGTTTTTTACAGTGTATGTCGCTGAAATCACCCCCAGCGACTTTGAGAACGGACAAGTATTATTGTATGACTAGCCTGCCTTTTGCGTGTTGGGCTTGAATATTTATGGCGACAAGCCCAATGATTGTAGACTTGCGAGCATTCTGATGTACTTACGCAGAACTACAGACACATTCTTGCAAGAAAAACGACAACATTAATCTAAATATGTCTGTAGTGTCAGTACTTTACAGGGTACACAAATAAATGCAACGATATTGAATCCGCACTCGTGCCTACATAAAGGAAAGTGATTATCACAACGTCGCTATCCCGATGTCGCTGACATATCAAGCGATTCGATTTCGTCGCGACCAAATATTATTTATTATTTCCTTATTTGTGTGTGGCTTAAGAGTTCTCACAATCGAAGATCCTCGGTTCCTCGTAAACATCAGACACGGGTCGCCTAACACGCTGCACAAGACATCACGAACTCCGACAATATGAGCAGCCTCGTTTATCCGCAGAATATCACAAGCATAAGGTAGCCGAGCAGATGGAATATGTACATACACACAGTAGATTTCAATATCTTCTGAAGCGAGTAGCCGCTCACTCCATTGCTTCTTCCCCAATCATCCACACGTCCTGACAACCAACCTCTTGCTCATTCTACGACTTCCGAAACTGATCTTCCTTCCTTCCCAAATCCACTTGTCGGTTGTTTACGACGGAGTCGTAATAATGAATGTCCTTTCGAGTGTCGTGGTGGGCCGTATCTGCCGCTTGAATTGCGGCGGCCATAGCCTCATTCTCATCTTGTTCAACCTCGTTATTGCGAAGTACTGACGGTGACCTTGCTTTGTGGGAAGACGCATGCCAATGTTTTCCTGGCCGCCTTACGATACGGCGCGATAACAATCATTGTAAGCAAAGGGTTGATGATTGGAATCCAACTCAACGCCACCATGCAAAACGTTGGCGTCAGCCCTGCGTCCAGCCGAAAAAATCCGGCAAATATGATAACCGAAACTGGAATCACAGAGGTCAGAAGTTGAATTGTAGTCTGAAATTCGCAGAAATACCGAGGTAAATTTGTTGTAGGATACCTGTAATAAAAGATACCGCGACAACTGGACCTGAAGATGCTTCGTTCTTCTACTGCTGGTATTTTGCACGATCCGCAGGTTTTTCTGCCCCTTAAATCCTATGAATAAAGTCAACGAGTAACAGATGAAAGCGCACAGAACACTGTAGATGAAGAAAGAGCAGTGCCAGAAACCGCGCTGCAAAAATTGAAACATTGAGTGCCAAATTATGCTTACAATATCGCCAATGACTAAAATTGGGAGAGGGTACTGGTTGAACCATAATGAGCCGTAGTTCAATTCAGGCCGGACTGCTGGAGAATTGCTGTAGCCAAGAAAGGAAGTGAGAAAAACCGGCAAAATTACTATTATTGAGACCAGAAAGAGCAGCAGGGTCTTCCAAGGACCAAGGATTTTGGATCTGGAAGTATCGTGTATCAGGTATTACACATGAAACTATTGAGTATATGGTATTAGGTTGATGCATAATTATCCGGCGTTTATACTGGCGCGTTTTTTGTTAATGAAAATAGGCGTTTTGTTAATTTTTTTTTCATAAAAGTAATCTTCTCTGTATGTTAATAATGGGTCCCTCACAAACGCTCCGATAACAACAAAGCCGATCGTTTGAAAAAACGCCGGATAATTATGCATCAACCTAATATTATAGTTTTGAATTTGTGACAAAAAGAATCGCTAAGATGGGCGACTCACCTTGTCAGCGCATAATACCGAAAATAAGTCTGAGCTGGAAGCAGCGTGTTTACCAGACAAATTGCAGTCACATACACCGCAGTGATTGTCACTTGGAAGTCACGGCTGAAGTATCCAGCAGGTCCATCCAGTCGCATCAAGAAAACTCCATCGATTTGTCTGGCCTTCTAAAAAATCGACCAAAAAAATCAATTCCACTTACGAATTGACAAAAATTCTCGATGATCCAATACGTAACGTCACTCACTGCGCAACACAAAATAATCTTTTTGTACGGAACCAGACTTTCGATTGTATGGAATACGACAAGATACAGCAGATACAGGCTGAATATACCTCCACAAACAGTGGAGATTCCATAATTTACCTTGAGGTAGGGCGACAGCCATTCTAGTTCATCGTAAGGCTCGGGTTTTACGCATCCATCATCATCCAGAATATCCCAAGCAAACGGGTTTTGTGGCCATGGTGCTAGATGAACCTCTACGGCAGACGAAGTTGAGTTACAACTCATACACGTAGCAAAATTTACAGCAATGTGCTCGTTAGCAAAATCCAGTCCTCACACGAGTATACCGACTACAATTCAAGTCATTCAAAACTCTTTGCGAAATGTAGTTAGCACTAAGTTTTACTGTGTTCGAATTGAAAACATGGCCTTTAGAACCGACCGAAGACAAGGAAATGGCCTACAAACACGAAAAATATAAAAAGCAGGTGCTGACAAATGTGTCAGTGGTTGTTCATGCGCTAATTTCATTTTGTATTCCGCTTCCAAAGAGTGTACAAAACAAGCAACAGGTTCTTGGGGTTTGTTTGGACTTTTCTGCTAAATAAATCAACAAAACCACCTGTTCCTGAGTTTGCAACGCGTGGGAGAAATGGGGGTCCAATAGACCAAAAAACACGGCGGAGAAATATAATCGGCATGGGGCTAGTTCGTTCGCAAAGTTCTGCACTATGCAAGTAATTGCATAGTGCAGAGTGAAATTTTGTTTTCTCACAGTGCATGTCGCCAAAATCACTAATTTCCGAGCGTGCTATTGTACAGTAAACCCTTAATAAACCACTTGAGCTTGTCAGGGAAGTGTTTGAGGTGCAACGCTAAGATTTCTTTAAATTTTTCGCACAGTTACCGCATAGACCACACATCGAAAAGATTTAGCCTGTGTTTTTTGTAGGCAGGCCAGACATTCAAAAATTTTTGCTGGCGAGAAGGTAGTGTGGTCAGAGATAAGAACACCTTTGCCGGTTTAGCAAAGAAAAAAATTATTTTTTGTGATGATATTACAGTCTATAAGCTCTGGGTCGTTTTGGAAAAGCACAAGCTAGGAATCTCACATATTTCTTACGATTAGAACGAGTTATTATAAATTTTTGCCAAACTTCATCTAAATTTCGAGTGCTTCAACCCCCTCTGGGATCTGTCCGACTAACAGAGCGTACGTTTTTTCCGTACGCTTTTGGTCAGAGTAGCGAAAAGATTTCGAATTAGCGAGAGAGTCCGAGAGAAACCGCTCTTGTTGATCCGAAACCTAGAGTAGGTCTCAAAGTTAGAGTCATAACTTTTGAGCCGGTGGTCGTAAGTTGATGAAACTTACAGGGCTTATGGAGTACACAATTAGTTTTGCAAGAGTATGAAAATCGTCCTCAAATGTTACAGTATACCAAAACCCGCCTAGATTTTACCCAACTTATAAACAAAGTCAGAAATCAACAAACAAGTGAGTACCTTAATGGTCAACTTGTATTAAAACAGGACCGCTATCGCCTGAGGCGACAGAGGTTCGAAACACCTTTCTGTAAAACCAATATAGGACAAAAAAACATTTAAATTTCGTGCCAGTACTGTGTCTAACCAATCCTAACCGATTCACCACCGAACCGGACGATCATGGCGCACAGGCAATTTGTCTAGCGCAATAAAGTTGAAAGTTGAAAGTTGAAGTTGAAAGTTTACTCCAAAAACACAAAAAATCCGTATTGTTTCAAAGTTGGGCTTATAAGTCAGCTAGAAGTTCAGCTAGAATGCTAAAATTAAAAACGGCAGTTCTTGACACAATTGTCGTCATTATTTTGGGAAGATGGCAAAAAAAATTGGCCAATAACGTGCACAGTAAGCCCAAAAACTTTATTGTGCACCCCATTTCCGATCATTTCGCGCGCTTTTCTTTTCGCTTTTTTCGATGAAAATGGAGGATCGATTATCCTCGATGGGGCTTTACAGTTGGGCCTGTAACTTTGTAGTCGTTGACTGCAGATTGATGAAATTTTATCAACTTATAGAGTGGACATTTAGCTTTACAGAAATATAAAAATTGTTATTTAATGTTACAGTATAGCCAAATCCGCCTTGATTTTCCTGAAAAAACACAAAAAATCCAAAAGTTTTTAAAGTTGGGTTTATAAGTCAGCTGAAAATTGAGCTAGAATTCTGAAATTAACGCAAAGTGTTCTGCGCAGTAGCGCCTTGGATAATTTGAAAAGACGGCGTAATTTTTTGACGTGTACCGGATACTGTAAGAGCGGAAATCTTTTTGGGGGCGCCTTTTCTCGAACTTTTCTGTCCACAAAAGCGAAGGAAGAAGGGAGAGATACGGTAGAAAATGTGTGCATAAAAAGATTTCCGAGGTTACAGTATCCGCTACGTGTCGAAATGTTATACCCTCTTTCTAAATTATGAAAGGTGGTACTTCATAGGACACCCAGCTTTAATTTGAGCATTCTAGCTTACAGCTGATCTATGAGCCCAACTTTAGAAATTGCGGATTTTTTTGTCTTTTCATGCGGATTTCTTATGTTTTTGCAGTAAAATCAAGGCGGGTTTGGGTATACTGTAATATTTAATGACGATTTTTATACTCAAACAAAGCTAATTGTGTGCTCTATAAGCCCTGTAAGTTTTATCAACTTGCGACCACCGGCTCAACAGTTATGGCTCCAAATTTGGGTCCTACTCCAGGTTTTGGATCAAGAGTAACGGCTTTTCTCGGACTCTCTCGCTAATGCGAGATCTTTTCGCTTCTCTGACCAAAAGCGTGCGGAAAAAACGTACGCTCTGTTAGTCGGACAGCTCCCTGGTGCAAAGAAAATAATTGCGTAATGATTTATTGAATTTAACCGTTTTTTGAATTAACCGGAACAACCGTTGACGGAACAGTGGACAAAATTTTTGCATTATGTAACACATGACATAGCCATCCCTTGAGCACTCGACGATAAGGCACAATAGCAGTGATTGTTAGAAGCGAGTTTAGAATGGGGATCCAGCTGGCCAAGGTGACGGAAACAGTTGTCGCAATTCCTCCGTCTATACGAAGTAGTGCGCTTGCTGCAAGAAGGGAAGCCGGGACAATCGATGTGGTCAGCTGGATCACCACCTAAATAATATGTAGCTTAGAGTCGCAAAGAATATGACAGTCGCTCGGGTGTGGTACACGAGAAGATACGGCAAGGAGCAGATTGGTTAGTCTGGAGACGAGATCGACCGGTCAAAAAAGAGAGTTTATTCGCCAAAGACAAGAAAAGAATGAGACAAAAGTGTATTCTCGTGGCTTTCATAGCCAAATCCATTATTCAAATTTGGCACTATCACCAACATGTGGAGACAATTTCACACAAACTATTCTTACCTGAAAGAACAGGAACCGAGCCAACTGGGCTTGCAGTACCTTTCTTTGGCGAGTATTTGTCGGCGTAAACGCAGAGTTGTCTCCACGTCCTGTAGCTGAAGTACACAGTGCCTAGGTAGCCCAACGAAATCAGAAGACTGGCGGTCGCAATAAACGCCCTGTCCCAGGAGGAGCGCTAAAAAATAGACATCACATTGACAAATAAAAAATTGATTGCGACAGTTTGATAATTGGAACATTGAAAGCGGCATGTGAGACTTACGGAATCGAGTATGAGTAGTAGTGGTATTGGATATTCCTTGAACCAAACAGTGCCGTAATTGAAGCCGGGCTGGACTTTCGGAGACTCAAAGAAACTGATAGAGAGCAAGGCAAACGGAGCAATGTTCACGACAAATGGAAAGGCCAAAATCAAAGTCGTTTTTAACTTGTCGCAAGTCTTCCCTCTATAATGCTGAGATTAAATGTTCAACGCTAAAATTTTGATGAAGCGTCTTGCGCATGCCCCTCATTAGCTTAGAGCCCAATTTGCACCAAAGTGTTTCCTCACCTGGTCAACGCGTAGTAGCGATAGAACGACTGGGCAGGAAGTGTCGCATTGGTGAAGCAAACCAAAGTCACGCCCAGCGAGGCGGCTATAAACTGGCCCCAACGAGGCAACAGCTTAGCAGGACCAGCGACTGTCCCCACCAAAACGCCGTCGATCGTTCTGACTTTCTACAGAGGCTAAAATAATCTACTTCATCGTTGAAAAGACGTACCAACTGTCCGCAGCTGTCTAACAGCCAAAAGAAAAAGTCTGACGTGGAACAAACGAGGAGTAGCTTCTTGTAGGGCAATAATGCGCCAGTTGTATGAAACAGAACCATATAGATCATGGAGGGCACCAAAATTGCCCCAACGCTTATGGTCACGGCATAATGAATGGATGTGTACCAGTTCAGGACCGCCAACTCATCATAGGGAGAGGGTGGAAACATCCCATTCGCATCTGGAACGTCCCACGCAAAGGGATTGTCAGCAGTCCGAGCTGCATGAAATATGCTGCTTGGAGTTGCCATCAATAAGGAGGAAACGACAGCGCATAAGAAATGCAGAAGATGTGAGACAATGCCTTGAAGAAGCAATAATTTTTGAAGATTTTTTTTGCAGAAGACATATTGTATTTTAACACTCATACGCGAAAAATATAACAATCCTCCCTCTCAGAATCAATTCAGCATATTTTTAGTTATTGGAGCTGTTTTAACTTGTTTTTAACTTCTTATGTGTATGAAGAAGAACGCTTATATTTCAATGCTATTCAAGACCTACTACTCGTACTGAGTTATTGCAAAGCCACCGCAAAACCTAGTTTTAACCGGTTCATCAGGCCACGGTTTAATCGCTGAAAAAAATGGATTCGAGATTTGCGAGGGAGCCTAAGAAATTCTCCAACCTTGGTCCTCGACAGAGTACGCGAAACAAGGACAAGGAAGAAATAAAAAAGGTTTGGCAATACCTCTATCACACCTTTCGCCCCACTGACTTTCAACACTTATTACTGTCAACTTATAACCTTCCCAAAAAACATCAAAAAACTTAAAAATTGTATGGTGTTGCAATACCAACGCCCACTCTGCAATACTTCCAGTCGTGTCAATACGATTTCTCCGCAGCGGATAACCGACAAAATAAAACACTTATTGTCAGAAATAGCGACAAATGGAGCCAGATAGCTGGAAATCGTTGCTCGAAAGATTTCCCATCTCACATTGTAATACATACATACAATAGTAATAATTTTTGCAATAGCCTCCTTCTAGCATTAAAAATCTAGCGTTCTTTGTACTATCCAGGCTGACACGGTCCTTCAAACCACCGGCCTTCAAGGTCTGCGGCATCGGCTTGCGGAACTGTTTCCCGCACCAGTGTGCTGGAATATATTTATTATACGAATGAAGGCTTTTTTGCAGGTATGATCCTTTCCTTGTTTCTAATCAAAAAATGGGTTTTTACTGCGTCCCGATACGAAAGCCCTCGTCTGGCATTCCGTCTTGTTCTCGAAGATTCGACGGAAAAAAATGTTTTTTATTTTTTTTTGTCAGGAAATGAATTCCTGCGGGTAATTTTATGCCGTTATTCTGACTCGCTTTTACTATTCGCGATTATGCACGTGTTACTTTCACTAGAGCTCTAAAATTGTAACGAACTTAGGAACCACAAAATGCAGGTTTTGCATTGTGTTTTTCATTTCTAGATGTGACCGGCTGTTTCCCAAAGGTTATTTCTCGTCTTTTTCAGTCTTATACTTACCATAGCGAAACTGTAGCCACTGTAGTACGGCGACATCCGCCTGGACATTCTGGAACGTACGAGTCTTGAGAATGAACAGCAATAATTTGAGTTGGAATTTCACAAACAGAACAGTGAGAAATATGCGGGCGAATTGACGTTCCGGGAATCTGAAAAGAAATATTTTCTTACTTCCTCCGTTCAAAAAAGTCGGGGACATGAACAGTGATATTTCTTACTGGATTCATCATCGCTGTCATAGGTTCACCAGTGGAAACCCAGAAACTGTAGAAGTGGCAAGTCTCCTTCATGTTGCAGGAAGGAGACTTGCTGCTGAGAGGGTACGCAGAAGGCGGAGTGTGGTCAGAGATAAGAACACCTTTACTCCGTACCTACCCTTTCCGGTCTCGCGTGGAAAAAACAGTTTTTTTGTGGTAACATTGCAGTCTATAAGCTCTGGGTCGTTTCTTCATTGCACGATCTAGGAATCTTACATATTTCTTCCAATTACTACGAGTTATTTTACATTTGTGCCAAATTTCATCAAAATCTGTGCGCCGCACTTCGAGTACTTCCAGACAACAGAATCCGTTGCAAAGAAAATGATTGCGTAATGATTTATTGAATTTAACCGTTTTTTGAATTAACCGGAACAACCGTTGACGGAACAGTGGACAAAATTTTTGCATTATGTAACACATGACATAGCCATCCCTTGAGCACTCGACGATAAGGCACAATAGCAGTGATTGTTAGAAGCGAGTTTAGAATGGGGATCCAGCTGGCCAAGGTGACGGAAACAGTTGTCGAAATTCCTCCGTCTATACGAAGGAGTGCGCTTGCGGCAAGAAGGGAAGCCGGGACAATCGAAGTGGTCAGCTGAATCATCACCTAAATAAAATATAGCTTACAATAGGATCGAACCCGCCTCTTCTGGCGCAAAAATCGAGCGCACTGACCACTCGGCCACCACTGCAGATGAAACAAACCGTTTCTTTTGAGGAGGCGGATATTCGCTCATTCCGGCTAAGCTTTGCGGTCGATTTTCTCGGCCGAGAAGCCCCGTAAACACTTTTGGAAATCTATGATCGCAGACGCTTCACGTTTGAAACCTACTAGGTCCCGTTCCAAAGTCCGTCTGCGAAAAAAGTGAATTCCCTTGTTAGAGTCGTAAAGCATTTAAGAGTAGCTTGTGTGTGAAGACAATTTCACACAAATTATTCTTACCTGAAAGAACAGGAACCGAGCCAACTGGGCTTGCAGTACCTTCGTCTTTGGCGAGTATTTGTCGGCGTAAACGCAGAGTTGTCTCCACGTCTTGTAGCTGAAGTACACAGTGGCCAGGTAGCCAAACGTTATCTGAAGACCGGCGGTCGCAATAAACGCCATGTCCCAGGAGGAGCGCTAAAACATAGACATAACACCGACAACATAAAATTAATCGTGACAATGAGAAAAGAAGAACATCGTAAGCGATTTTTGGACTTACGGTGTCTAGTATGAGTAGAAGAGGCAATGGGTACTCCTTGAACCAAAGAGTGGCGTAATTGTAGCCGGGCCGGACTTTCGGAGACTCAAAGAAACTGATGTAGAGCAAGACAAAGGGAACAATGTTAACGACGAAAGGAAAAGCCAAAATCAGAGTTGTTTTTAACTTGTCGCAAGTCTTCCCTCTATAATGCTGAGATTATCAACGCTTAAATTTGATAAAGAGTTTTGCGCATGCCCCTCATTAGATTAGAGCCCAATTTTCATCAAGGTCTTTCCTCACCTGGTCAACGCGTAGTAGCGATAGAACGACTGGGCAGGAAGTGTCGCATTCGTGAAACAAACCAAGCTCACGCCCAACGAGGCCGCTAAAAGCTGGCCCCAACGAGGCAACAGTTTAGCAGGGCCTGTGACTGTCCCCACGAAAACGCCGTCGATCATCCTGACTTTCTACAGAGGCTAAAATAATCTACTTCATCGTTGAAAAGACATACCAACTGTCCGCAGCTGTCCAACAACCAAAAGAAAAAGTCTGACATGGAGCAAACGAGGAGTAGCTTCTTGTAGGGCAATAATGCACCAGTCGTATGGAATAGAACCATATAGATCATGCAGGGCACCAAAATAGCCCCAACACTTATGGTCACGGCATAATGAATGGACGTGTACCAGTTCAGGACCTCCAACTCGTCATAGGGAGAGGTTGGAAAATTTCCATTGGAATCTGGAATGTCCCACGCGAAGGGATTGTCAGCGGTTGGAGCAGAATGAAATGTGACGCTGCTCGGCGTTGCCATCAACAAGACGGATAAGAATGGAGAAGCAATGCAGAAGATGTATGACCAGGCCTTGAAGAAGTAACAATTTTTAAAGATTTTGTACAAAGAATACAAATTGCATTTCGAAACTTGTATACGAAAAATATAACACTTTTCGCGGTACTTCCTACCTTCCCAGAACCTACTCTCCATGTTTTTAGTTATTGGAGCAGTTTTGACTATGTACGAAGAAGAAGAATGCAAATATCTTCAATGCTTCTCAAACCATTTCTATTGCTCTCGCTAAAGGGTTGTAGAACCCGGCCGTCACAAAAAGGCAAAAAAAGTGGTTTTTAGTGCCGGTGGTCAGTGTGCACGTATTTATCGTTGAAAAATTGGTTCGCGATTGTCCAGGCAACTCAATATATTCTCCGACCTTTGTCGTTGAGAGAGTACGCGAAATAAGGAGAACGAAAGAGAAAAATAGTTTGGCGATACTTCTGTCACACCTTCCGGCCCTCTGACTTTTGACACTTGTTACTATCAACTTATCGCCATCCCAAAATACACCAGAAAACATAAAAATTGTATGGTGTTGCAATACCAACCCCCAATAATTCCAGTTGTGTTACGATTTCTTCGTAGCGGATAACCGACAAAATGTAGCTATAAAAAAGAACGAAAAGCTCGAAATCTTTGCTCGATAGATTTCCCATCTCACGTTCTACAATGTAAAACATACATACAATTGTAACAATTCTTGTAATAACCTCCTTCCAGCATAAAAAATGTTGCGTTCTTCGCATCCAGGTGTGTTTTGACATGAATAAATAAATTATTATACGGTTTTCTAAATTCACTGAGAAGTGATGACATTCGTTTTGCTGTATGGTATGGCCCAAGCCAACGTCTTTCTGACAGCTCGACGATACGGAACGATAACAATCATTGTCAGCAAGGGGTTTATGATTGGAATCCAACTCAACGCCATGAAGCAGAATGTCGGCGTCATTCCGGTTTCCAGCCGAAGGAAGGCGGCAAAGATAATGACGGCTACAGGGACTACAGAGGTCACAAGTTGAATTGTGGTCTGAAATTTTCAGAAACTAGGAAATAATGGACCAAACGGCACCTGCAGCAAAAGATACCGCGATAATTGGGTTTGCAAGAGCTTTGTTCTTCTACTGCAGCTGATTTGAAGGACCTTCAAGCATTTGAAGCCTTTTAATCCAATGTACAAAGTCAACGCATAACAGGAAAAAACGCAGAGAGATCCGTAGAAAAAGAAGACTTGATGCCAAATACAACGCTGAAAATAAACGTTCAGCGTGTCAGTTGTGGTCTCACAATATCTCCAATAATCAAGATGGGCAAGGGATACTGGTCGAACCACAATTCGCCGTAGTTGTATCCAGGACGGACTGCCGCGGAATTACTGTAACTCAAATAGCCGGAGACTAATATGGGTAGTGTTGACACAACTGAACATGCAACAAGGCCGATTGTCTTCCATGGTGCGAGGATCTCTGATCTGGAAAGACAAGGTGATGACTTTATACGTCCATAGTTGGCTTTTTACAAGGCGGGCCATCAAAAATGTGGCAAAATAGCCCCCTCTACAAGTGACAAAACGCTGATTTCAAAACCGCCCCGCTCTTTTTTGAAAGGAAGCCCTTCAAAACGGCGTATTTTTAGTGCAAAATGGTACGTTATTGGATCAGGTCCGACTTAGTTGCGAATTCAATTCTAAAGCCTTCAACCCACCTCGTTAATGCATAAAAACGAAAGTAAGTTTGAGCAGGAAGCAATGTATTGACAAAGCACATGGATGTTACGTAGATTGCGGTCATCGCAACTTGAACCTCTCTGCTAAAGTAGGCGGCCGGCCCATCCAACCTCAACAAGAACACTCCATCGCTCTGCTTAGCCTTCTAGCAAACTGGTCATGCAAGCGTTGACTTACAAACTGGCAAAAGTTCTCGGTGACCCAATACATGACATCGGTGATGCCGCAGCATAATATGATTTTTTGGTATGGGAGCAAACGTTCGGCAGTATGAAATACGACCAAATATAAGAGATAAAAGCTGAAGATGCCTCCACAAATTGTGGAAATTCCATAATTTATTCGCAGATAGGGCGAAAGCCATTCCAACTCGTCGTAGGGTTCGGTTTTTACACATCCATTGCCATCCAACGTGTCCCAGGCGAAGGGATTTTGCGTCCAAGGGGCTAAGTGAATTTCAAGGGTGTTGGGGGTTGAGTTACAGCTCATATAGGGGACAAAATGGTTTATAAAGAGGCAAAGAGTTCAACAGGGCCGCAGCCTGGGACTGAAAACGGAGAGTGCAAAATTAGCACGTACAATGACGGACCTGATCCAGTGGCAAAAAAACGTACCATTTTGGGAGGTGTCAAAAAATATAGCAAAATGACTCCTTCTCCTTTCTTTCACAAAGGAGCAGGCTCGCTAAATCGCAGTTTTTTGGAACTGGGACGATTGGGGAAAAAGACGATTGGGGAAAAGGACGATTGGGGAAAAAGACGATTGGGGAAAAGTACGATTGGGGAAACCGAAAAGTATTATTTTTCTTCGATGCAAATGTCGAAATTAGGATAATCGAGGGTGCTCATTTCGAAAATGACATTCTTACGTCCACTACGCTTTAGGCGTTCGTGGTGTTGTTCTGGTGCTTAGTACGCCTATTTTTACTTCGTACTACATAGTATCAGACAGTACTATATAGCACCAAGTCTTTAAAACGTGTTTTTGAAGAGTACTAAGCATCAAAACAACACCATTAACGTCAAAAGCCATATTTTCACTTTGTACTATATAGTATCAGAATGGGCTGCCTGGAGACAACGGCTACCCTGGAGCACCAGGCTTGCCTGGAGAGTTTGGAGAACGAGGATTGCCCGGACTTCCGGGAGAACATGGTCTACGGGGAATCGATGGAAAACGAGGACACGATGGACTTCCTGGCCTGCCTGGATTACCTGGAGCTCCTGGATTCCCAGGAGAAAAGGGCAACAAAGGAGCCTACGGCCCACCTGGATTCAACGGTCAAGATGGACAACCTGGCTTCCCAGGACAACGAGGCGACAATGGGCCACCTGGAGTACCTGGTTTCCCTGGCGACAGCGGTCTTCTTGGCCTTCCTGGATCTCCCGGATATCCTGGTGAAAGTGGCGACGCGGGTCTTCCTGGCCCATCTGGCCTTCCTGGTCGACCAGGACCTCAAGGAAAACCAGGTCTTCCTGGCCTCCCTGGCCCATACGATCAACGAACTCACTCACCAATTGGAGCCCCTGGAGATTACGGTCTGCCCGGTATTCCTGGCCTTCCCGGTGATGTCGGAGACCGTGGACTTCCTGGACCACCAGGAAAAGCCGGCTTCCCTGGACTGGCTGGAGAACATGGAACCCCTGGATTGCCCGGCTTCCCAGGAGAACCTGGAGTTACTGGAACTCCGGGAGTTCAAGGCGTTCCCGGCCGTGATGGCCGTCCCGGCTTCCCTGGACCACCTGGATACCCTGGCGGCCCTGGTGGATGGGCTCCATCTCGAGGATTCACAATTACCAAGCATTCGCAGACCACCGAGGTTCCACCATGCCCTCCGGGATCGAGCAAACTCTGGGAGGGATACTCGTTGCTCTATGTTCAAGGAAATGGACGGGCCGCCGGTCAGGATCTGGGATCACCCGGATCTTGCATCCCCAAGTTTTCCACGATGCCATTCATGTTCTGCAACATGAAGGAGACTTGCCACTTCAGCAGCCGAAGCGACTACAGTTTCTGGCTTTCCACTGGCGAACCTATGACAGCGATGATGAATCCAGTAAGTAATATCAGCGTTTATGTCTCTGCTTTTTTTGAACGGAGGAAGTAAGAAAACATTTCTTTCAGATTACCGGAACGTCAATTCGCCCACATATTTCTCGCTGTTCTGTTTGTGAAATTCCAACTCAAACTATTGCTGTTCATTCTCAAGACTCGTACGTTCCAGAATGTCCAGGCGGATGGTCGCCGTACTACAGCGGCTACAGTTTTGCTATGGTAAGTATAAGGCTGAAAAAAGAGGAGGAACTTTGGCAACAGCCGTTCACATCTAGAAATAAAAAAACAATGCAAAAAAATCTTCATTTCCTGACAAAAAAAACAAAAATATTTTCTTTTTCGTCGAATCTTCCAGAACAAGACGGAATGCCAGACGAGAATTTTCGTGCCGGGACGCCGTAAAACCCCATTTTTTGATTAGAAACAAGGAAAAAGCATCATACTTGCAAAAAAACCTTGGTTTCTTTGTTTTCAATCATTCATTCGTATAATAAATATATTCCAGCACACTGGAGCGGGCGCTGACGGTACCGGCCAGAACTTTGAGTCACCCGGCTCTTGTCTGGAGGAGTTCCGTGCCGTGCCTTTCATCGAGTGTCACGGTAAAGGAACCTGCAACTACTACGCCACGAATCATGGCTTCTGGCTAGCCATTGTTGAGCAGAACAAACAGTTCCGCAAGCCGATGCCGCAGACCTTGAAGGCCGGTGGTTTGAAGGACCGTGTCAGTCGTTGTCGTGTCTGCATCAAGAATCGACAGTAATATTCGAATATAATTTTATTTTGACTTTATTCTGCCCATCTTGCCATTTCTTTTTTTAGTAACTAGTGTCTTCTTAATCTCGAGTTTTCTAATCCAAGATATCTTTTTTTAGTTTTCTTTAAAAGTGTATGGTTTCACTGCCGTGAATGATAATTCTGCCATAATTACGAAATCTCGCCGCTTCTTTCCTTGAGTATGTTAAGTTTAATTTGAATAAATTAATCATAAATATATACCAAAGTTTTTATCAGTGTATACGTTTTAAAATTGAAAAAAAAATTTTAGGGATGCAGAGACCTGATTTGGCTGGTAATTGGTACAAATTGCGGCACGGGCTTTCAAGATCCGTTGGATTGGAACCATTCGAAAATTCATGACTTTTGCACGATAGAATAGAGAATTTCCTTTCTGTGTGGAGTGAGGACTAAGGTGCTCCTTCCCATGAAAACTAGATTGCTCGCTGTTGTTGCAAGGTAAATATTTTTAATGTGCACCTTACAAGGGAGGTGTTCGAAGTGCGACGTTCAGACTTTCTTTTTGATTTTGCGAACGGGTCGGGTTTTATGTCACATGTCAGGAATACCTAAAAATTAAGGCATTAGATTTCGCTTTGCAATGACTGCTAAGATGTTGGGCCATCCTTGTCGACGAGGGAATGCGCCGAATGCAGAAGCCGGTCCAGTGACACCGCCTTGAAGAAGTTGTCGTAGCATTTGTTAGAAACAATTCTTCCTGGTCCTTTAGCAAAAGTTCACCAATTTTTTGCTTCCTCAACTTTTCAAGGGTTATATAACAACCGAAAAAACAAACAAATAAGTAGATAAATTAAACACAAACACTTCTGCTTTCACCTTTTTTCCATCTTAATGTTTACATTGACACGGTTTCAAAAGAAAAAAAAAGCAATGACACATCTTTTTAGTTTTGCTGTTGCTGATCGTTTCTTGCAATGAAAATGCGACGTTCAAATTTTTGGTAGATAATTCTCTGCGACTTTTGTTACACAAGAGATTCAGTTTGATTTTTACTGGAGATTTTTTGAAAAAGAATACATTCCTTCACAAGGATGATTTTATGAAATTTTGGCTAGAAAATGTTTTATAAATCGTGCGATAATAATATCGCTACAGCTGAACCTGTGTACAACGTCCCTCCGAAATCCCTCAAAAAAGATTTTTCTGTATTTTAGCAGTTGTATTGAGGTTTGGCTATACAGCGCGCTCATTTGCTCTCTTTGAAATTATCAAAGTCGGCGAGAAAGTTCGCATGGTTAAAACTGTTACCTTGGTTGCGAGGGACAGGTATAAAACAGTGTATGAAAGACCAAGAATAATCGGTTCAAACGAGTAATCTCTGGCTTGTTGTTTCGTTTGTAAACAACCGCCTTTTCGTGGTTAGTTCCCACACTTTGGGATTCTTTCGGATATTTTCAGCTATTTTATATGTTCTACTACAATGAGAGATGAGATTCAAGGGCTGCGCGCAATCGCTGTTTCGGCCGTCTTATCGTTTCACGCATGGCAAGCGGCGTTCCCGGCAGGATTCCTGGGAGTTGATATGTGAGATTTTTTACCACTTTTTGGACACATTTTATACGATGAAACATATTTTGAGATCTTTTGTCTTCATCTTGCCTTTTTTCAGATTCTTTGTAATTTCCGGATATTTAATGGCCCATATTATGGCTAGGACTGCGATTACAATCAAAGTGGTTAATAAATTTTATTTCCGACGACTGAGTCGAATATTGCCGTTATATTTGGCAGTAATCATCTTTATCCTAATTGCAACCGCTTTATTAACCTCTCCAATCGAGTTTGATGCAGTTTTGAATGATGGCTTGCCTTCAGTTTTACTGATACCTAACTGGCATATGATCAAAGCAGCGTCGTATTTTGATGTGGTGAGTATTCATACACAACTTGGCTATTTTTTCCGCAGAACTTTGATTTTTCGCACAGGGGAAGACTTGACTCATTGAGAGCAGGACTTGACTCATTCGCGGTTTCAGTAAAAAAAATATAGACTAGTAAAAAGATGTATACGCAGTCGTCTTTTTTGGACACCCGAAAAAACATGCTCACTGTATAGAGAAAAACTTGACCCATCGAGGGTAAGACTAGACTTATTTTTTTCTGGCCTGCTATTTTGGTAGATTTGATAAATTTATGCTCTTTTTTGTAAAATTTTTCGTTTCGCTAACGGTAGCGAGAGCTTTAACATTGAGGGAAACACTTGACCCTTGAAAGAAGAGCACGATACTCCATTTCCTTCCGCTTTCTCTGACCTTTCAGGCTCAAAACCCCACTTTTTTCAGTTAAACAAGTTTAATTTATTCACTCATTTCTGGTCGTTGGGCGTTGAACTGCAATTCTACCTAGCAGTGCCTCTAATATTCTTAATCTTCCATAAAATTCAACGAATATCGAGGAATAATGCTATTAATTACGTGCTCATCACTACTGGTGCTATAATCTCTTTTGGATCTCAATGGATTTTATCGTTTTCAAACCAAAACCAAAGCTATTACGCAACTTACAACCGGTTATGGCAATTCTTTGTCGGATTCTTGGCGTTTTTCTGGTATAATCGGGAAGAATCTCGGGAATTTCATGGCTTAGAAGAACGGTGTAGTCATACCAGTGAAGCAAGCGTCTCAAGTAAGAAATAGTTACAGCAGGGGACCTGATCCAGTGGCAAAAAACGTACCATTTTGCATCCGGGAAGTATCAAAAATGTGGCAAAATGCTTCCCTCCCCAAGTGAAAAAACTCCGATTTCAAAGGAGAGGGAAATGTGGCATTTTGCCACATTTTTGATGCTTCCCGGATGCAATATGGTACGTTTTATGCCACTAGATCCCCACTGTACGATCTGCAGAAGGAAATAACCGGAAAAATCTTTATACTGATACGAATTTCAGGTGTTTTGGTCAGTTTCAAGCAAATCTTGTCCAAAATACTTGCCAACATATCATTACTGCTACTATTCACTTTTTTACTCTTTAAAATCTTCCCCAGCGACCACCTCAATCGACTAGCTGCTACATTACTCACGGGTCTACTGTTATCTCAGCATTACTGCAATCCAATATTCCTCGGTGATATTTCATATTCCGTTTATTTAATTCACTGGCCAATCTTATCGATTCATCGATACTGCAGCCCGGAACTGTATCATTACAAAAATCCGGAGGCTCCTTTTTCTGATGGTATTGTTTTGATTGTAATCTCCGTCTTTTTCGGGTATATTTTGGAACAGGCGTTTGCAAAACTGAGAGAGGCTGTAACATCTTGGAGTTTGTTGTGTTACACTCTTGCTGGAGAGTACTTGTTGTTTGGGTTTTTGTTCATGCTACTGATGTCGAGCAATGGCCCTAAATACGTGAGTAACAGAAAGTTTGCCAGAGGAAATTAGAAAATTTACGAAGTCAAGGCGGAACCTCTGTGCAACGAAACCTTTCTATAACAAAACATTTCAAAGGTCACAAGAGAAAATATTAGGCTAAAATCCACTTCTGTAAACAAATCCCACTTACGACGATATCGTTTTAGTCAGCCTTAATGTTAAGGAGTTTCGTCTTGCTTTCTTTTCTCCAAAATTGATGGTAACATTTCAGAGACCTCTTGACAACACAGAAAAGTTAGAAGTCCAAAAAATCATCGAGGGCTTGTTTGAGAACAGCAGCAATTCCTCAGACTTTCTAAATTCAGAGCAACTTCAACTCAACGCAGACATGTTTACATATGCCGAGAAGTGGCTGGCGTGTGACGATCCCAACGTTGATTTACCGACTTCCTTTCCATACAAAGACGATTATCGGTTCAGCTCTACTTGTCATGACAAAGTAAGAAACTTCAGAACCGGACTTCATGGTGAACCAACTCATTTATGGTCCCTAGACAGATATTTCTAAACTGTCCTTAACTTGTTAGAGAGGCTTCAATTGCGAAGTGAACACTTGACACCTCATGGAAAAACTTGACTCAAAGTTTTCTTTTAGGGTCATGGCAGCAAGCAAGTAGTCGTCATCGGGAACAGTCATGGAAGAGCACTGATTGACGGTCTGAAATACTATTTCCGAGATATTTACGACGACCTTTACGTCATCTCACGGGATCTTTGCACGCCTTTCATGAGTCACACAATGCCGGAACATAGGGTAACCTGGTTTTCTAAGATGATTCTGGTTATGTTCAGGAGGCCTGTCAGAAGTTTGAAGGGGTTTGGGAGCCTTTATTGCAAAATTGGGGCAACCCAATAGACATCATCATCGTTGGCCTGCAATATCTCCCGGATTTGGACCCCATAATAGTGGATTGGAATAGTGACGAGTATCTACAGGCCATGGAAGAGTTTTACCGCAAAATGAGCAGCATTGCAAAAGAAATCGTCTTCATTCCAATGGTGCACTTCAACTGGGAGTTGGAGCCGTTTATGCAGATTTTGCAGCAAAAACTGTATTTCGGAAAAAGTTTAGAGAGGTTTCATAAACATTTCGAGGTAAACGAGTCGTAAATAAGCAACTACAAAACTAATTTAGATTGAAGACAGCTACTTACGCAATGTTCAAAGACGCTTGGATCGAATGAAATGTAAAAAATGCGTAAAGGTCAATTACCGCGAGGCTTGGTGCCACAACAATCTTTGTTCTGCACTTGACAGTAAGAACATTTCATACTTCAGAGATACCACTCATGTTACGCCTTATGGATCGTTAGTTTATGGGGGATTGTTGAGAAAATTGTATGATCAATATGTGGGCTACGAAATTGTAAAATAAATTTGTGTTTGACATTGAGGATTTAATTGCGACACGAAATATACTCCATGTCGAAAAAAGCAAGTGGTTTTCGTCATATCACTTTTAGAAAATATGTAAATCACAAGAGCTCCGAAAGATTTTCGTTTTATGTGAAGTCATGTAAAGTAGACCTTGCCATAGTTAACATATATCGTGTGTGGCGGTCGTTTCCCTTCTATAATTGTTCTCCTTGGACCACATCAGACCAAAGTCCATTCGTATTTCTGAATGTCATGTCCGTTTGAGGTCAGAATTTTGTTTAAAATTGATGGTAAGTCGTAACTACAAATTTCAAGTTTTAACTGGTTAGAAAGTACTAATTATTATCTTCCACATATCTACAGCTGATCCATTTTCAAAAAAAGTGCGATTTTGCATCGGGGAAGTATCAAAAATGAAGCAAAATACCTCCTACTCCAAGTGAAAAAACTGCGGAGTTGGACGATTGGGGAAAAAGACGATTGGGGAAAGGGACGATTGGGGAAAAAGACGATTGGGGAAAAGTACGATTGGGGAAACCGAAAAGTATTATTTTTCTTCGATGCAAATGTCGAAATTAGGATAATCGAGGGTGCTCATTTCGAAAATGACATTCTTTTTTTTGATTCTTACTTTTTTTCTTAAGTACAGGGTGTTTCAAGAAATTTGGCAGAAACTAGTTGCGAATATTTTTGAGCTCTTGCTAGTTATCGCAGAAATTCTTTTTGTTTCTAAAACTTGACAGCGGGCGGTTTTGTACTGAACAAAAAAAAATTTTTTCGTCGGCGGAGAGGCCAGTTCTCGGCGGAGACATTTGGGGCCTTTTTTAAAAATCACACCTTATTACATCGTGGAAACTCTGTTACAGTGGCCAAAATCATGTTTACGTTAAACCTCCGTGGATTTTGCGGTATGCTTTTTTTGCGTTTTCGATTTTACGCAACATCCGCGGAGGCGCGACGGAGACCGCAGATTTCGGCGGACTTTGTTTTGGGCCCTCGGTTTTTGCAAATCCATGTTGGAAAAAAGGTTGGGGCGATTTTTTGTTGTCATCCGATGCACAGAGGGCAAAAATTTTGTACTTTTTTCCCCGGCGGAGGATTCGGCGGAGGCTTTCTCAAAGGGTCAAAACAAAATTTTGACTCTTTTGATAAAGCCTCCGCCGAAACCTCCGCCGATGTGTCCGCCGGATCAAAAAATAAGAAAAATGGTGTTGCTGTGATGGATTCTTGTAGCTGAGTTTTTTCCCGGACTCCTAAGACTGTTCTGACCCTTTGGTAAAGCCTCCGCCGAATCCTCCGCCGGGGAAAAAAAGTGCGAAATTATGTGCATCGGGTGACAACAAAAAATCATCCCACACTTTTTTCCAACCTGAATTGAATGATCCAAAGGCTCAAAACGACGTCCGCCGAAACCTGAGGTCTCCGCCGTGCCTCCGCGGATGAGCGAAAATCGAAAACAAAAAAAGCATACCGCAAAATCCACGGAGGTTTAACGTAAACATGATTTTGGCCACTGTAACAGAGTTTCCACGATGTAATAAGGTGTGATTTTTAAAAAAGGCCCCAAATGCCTCCGCCGAGAACTGGCCTCTCCGCCGACGAAAAAAATTTTTTTTTGTTCAGTACAAAACCGCCCGCTGTCAAGTTTTAGAAACAAAAAGAATTTCTGCGATAACTAGCAAGAGCTCAAAAATATTCGCAACTAGTTTCTGCCAAATTTCTTGAAACACCCTGTAGTACTGTAAAGTAGTAATTTTTGATTTTTTTCATAAATACTCGATTTAGGGGTTTTCGAGGGTGCTGATTTCAAAAATCATGTAAATTTTTCCTCTAGTACTACATAGTACTATTCTGATACTATATAGTACAAAGTGAAAATATGGCTTTTGACGTTAATGGTGTTGTTTTGATGCTTAGTACTCTTCAAAAACACGTTTTAAAGACTTGGTGCTATATAGTACTGTCTGATACTATGTAGTACGAAGTAAAAATAGGCGTACTAAGCACCAGAACAACACCACGAACGCCTAAAGCGTAGTGGACGTAAGAATGTCATTTTCGAAATGAGCACCCTCGATTATCCTAATTTCGACATTTGCATCGAAGAAAAATAATACTTTTCGGTTTCCCCAATCGTACTTTTCCCCAATCGTCTTTTTCCCCAATCGTCCCTTTCCCCAATCGTCTTTTTCCCCAATCGTCCAACTCCGCAGTTTTTTCACTTGGAGTAGGAGGTATTTTGCTTCATTTTTGATACTTCCCCGATGCAAAATCGCACTTTTTTTGAAAATGGATCAGCTGTAGATATGTGGAAGATAATAATTAGTACTTTCTAACCAGTTAAAACTTGAAATTTGTAGTTACGACTTACCATCAATTTTAAACAAAATTCTGACCTCAAACGGACATGACATTCAGAAATACGAATGGACTTTGGTCTGATGTGGTCCAAGGAGAACAATTATAGAAGGGAAACGACCGCCACACACGATATATGTTAACTATGGCAAGGTCTACTTTACATGACTTCACATAAAACGAAAATCTTTCGGAGCTCTTGTGATTTACATATTTTCTAAAAGTGATATGACGAAAACCACTTGCTTTTTTCGACATGGAGTATATTTCGTGTCGCAATTAAATCCTCAATGTCAAACACAAATTTATTTTACAATTTCGTAGCCCACATATTGATCATACAATTTTCTCAACAATCCCCCATAAACTAACGATCCATAAGGCGTAACATGAGTGGTATCTCTGAAGTATGAAATGTTCTTACTGTCAAGTGCAGAACAAAGATTGTTGTGGCACCAAGCCTCGCGGTAATTGACCTTTACGCATTTTTTACATTTCATTCGATCCAAGCGTCTTTGAACATTGCGTAAGTAGCTGTCTTCAATCTAAATTAGTTTTGTAGTTGCTTATTTACGACTCGTTTACCTCGAAATGTTTATGAAACCTCTCTAAACTTTTTCCGAAATACAGTTTTTGCTGCAAAATCTGCATAAACGGCTCCAACTCCCAGTTGAAGTGCACCATTGGAATGAAGACGATTTCTTTTGCAATGCTGCTCATTTTGCGGTAAAACTCTTCCATGGCCTGTAGATACTCGTCACTATTCCAATCCACTATTATGGGGTCCAAATCCGGGAGATATTGCAGGCCAACGATGATGATGTCTATTGGGTTGCCCCAATTTTGCAATAAAGGCTCCCAAACCCCTTCAAACTTCTGACAGGCCTCCTGAACATAACCAGAATCATCTTAGAAAACCAGGTTACCCTATGTTCCGGCATTGTGTGACTCATGAAAGGCGTGCAAAGATCCCGTGAGATGACGTAAAGGTCGTCGTAAATATCTCGGAAATAGTATTTCAGACCGTCAATCAGTGCTCTTCCATGACTGTTCCCGATGACGACTACTTGCTTGCTGCCATGACCCTAAAAGAAAACTTTGAGTCAAGTTTTTCCATGAGGTGTCAAGTGTTCACTTCGCAATTGAAGCCTCTCTAACAAGTTAAGGACAGTTTAGAAATATCTGTCTAGGGACCATAAATGAGTTGGTTCACCATGAAGTCCGGTTCTGAAGTTTCTTACTTTGTCATGACAAGTAGAGCTGAACCGATAATCGTCTTTGTATGGAAAGGAAGTCGGTAAATCAACGTTGGGATCGTCACACGCCAGCCACTTCTCGGCATATGTAAACATGTCTGCGTTGAGTTGAAGTTGCTCTGAATTTAGAAAGTCTGAGGAATTGCTGCTGTTCTCAAACAAGCCCTCGATGATTTTTTGGACTTCTAACTTTTCTGTGTTGTCAAGAGGTCTCTGAAATGTTACCATCAATTTTGGAGAAAAGAAAGCAAGACGAAACTCCTTAACATTAAGGCTGACTAAAACGATATCGTCGTAAGTGGGATTTGTTTACAGAAATGGATTTTAGCCTAATATTTTCTCTTGTGACCTTTGAAATGTTTTGTTATAGAAAGGTTTCGTTGCACAGAGGTTCCGCCTTGACTTCGTAAATTTTCTAATTTCCTCTGGCAAACTTTCTGTTACTCACGTATTTAGGGCCATTGCTCGACATCAGTAGCATGAACAAAAACCCAAACAACAAGTACTCTCCAGCAAGAGTGTAACACAACAAACTCCAAGATGTTACAGCCTCTCTCAGTTTTGCAAACGCCTGTTCCAAAATATACCCGAAAAAGACGGAGATTACAATCAAAACAATACCATCAGAAAAAGGAGCCTCCGGATTTTTGTAATGATACAGTTCCGGGCTGCAGTATCGATGAATCGATAAGATTGGCCAGTGAATTAAATAAACGGAATATGAAATATCACCGAGGAATATTGGATTGCAGTAATGCTGAGATAACAGTAGACCCGTGAGTAATGTAGCAGCTAGTCGATTGAGGTGGTCGCTGGGGAAGATTTTAAAGAGTAAAAAAGTGAATAGTAGCAGTAATGATATGTTGGCAAGTATTTTGGACAAGATTTGCTTGAAACTGACCAAAACACCTGAAATTCGTATCAGTATAAAGATTTTTCCGGTTATTTCCTTCTGCAGATCGTACAGTGGGGATCTAGTGGCATAAAACGTACCATATTGCATCCGGGAAGCATCAAAAATGTGGCAAAATGCCACATTTCCCTCTCCTTTGAAATCGGAGTTTTTTCACTTGGGGAGGGAAGCATTTTGCCACATTTTTGATACTTCCCGGATGCAAAATGGTACGTTTTTTGCCACTGGATCAGGTCCCCTGCTGTAACTATTTCTTACTTGAGACGCTTGCTTCACTGGTATGACTACACCGTTCTTCTAAGCCATGAAATTCCCGAGATTCTTCCCGATTATACCAGAAAAACGCCAAGAATCCGACAAAGAATTGCCATAACCGGTTGTAAGTTGCGTAATAGCTTTGGTTTTGGTTTGAAAACGATAAAATCCATTGAGATCCAAAAGAGATTATAGCACCAGTAGTGATGAGCACGTAATTAATAGCATTATTCCTCGATATTCGTTGAATTTTATGGAAGATTAAGAATATTAGAGGCACTGCTAGGTAGAATTGCAGTTCAACGCCCAACGACCAGAAATGAGTGAATAAATTAAACTTGTTTAACTGAAAAAAGTGGGGTTTTGAGCCTGAAAGGTCAGAGAAAGCGGAAGGAAATGGAGTATCGTGCTCTTCTTTCAAGGGTCAAGTGTTTCCCTCAATGTTAAAGCTCTCGCTACCGTTAGCGAAACGAAAAATTTTACAAAAAAGAGCATAAATTTATCAAATCTACCAAAATAGCAGGCCAGAAAAAAATAAGTCAAGTCTTACCCTCGATGGGTCAAGTTTTTCTCTATACAGTGAGCATGTTTTTTCGGGTGTCCAAAAAAGACGACTGCGTATACATCTTTTTACTAGTCTATATTTTTTTTACTGAAACCGCGAATGAGTCAAGTCCTGCTCTCAATGAGTCAAGTGTTCCCCTGTGCGAAAAATCAAAGTTCTGCGGAAAAAATAGCCAAGTTGTGTATGAATACTCACCACATCAAAATACGACGCTGCTTTGATCATATGCCAGTTAGGTATCAGTAAAACTGAAGGCAAGCCATCATTCAAAACTGCATCAAACTCGATTGGAGAGGTTAATAAAGCGGTTGCAATTAGGATAAAGATGATTACTGCCAAATATAACGGCAATATTCGACTCAGTCGTCGGAAATAAAATTTATTAACCACTTTGATTGTAATCGCAGTCCTAGCCATAATATGGGCCATTAAATATCCGGAAATTACAAAGAATCTGAAAAAAGGCAAGATGAAGACAAAAGATCTCAAAATATGTTTCATCGTATAAAATGTGTCCAAAAAGTGGTAAAAAATCTCACATATCAACTCCCAGGAATCCTGCCGGGAACGCCGCTTGCCATGCGTGAAACGATAAGACGGCCGAAACAGCGATTGCGCGCAGCCCTTGAATCTCATCTCTCATTGTAGTAGAACATATAAAATAGCTGAAAATATCCGAAAGAATCCCAAAGTGTGGGAACTAACCACGAAAAGGCGGTTGTTTACAAACGAAACAACAAGCCAGAGATTACTCGTTTGAACCGATTATTCTTGGTCTTTCATACACTGTTTTATACCTGTCCCTCGCAACCAAGGTAACAGTTTTAACCATGCGAACTTTCTCGCCGACTTTGATAATTTCAAAGAGAGCAAATGAGCGCGCTGTATAGCCAAACCTCAATACAACTGCTAAAATACAGAAAAATCTTTTTTGAGGGATTTCGGAGGGACGTTGTACACAGGTTCAGCTGTAGCGATATTATTATCGCACGATTTATAAAACATTTTCTAGCCAAAATTTCATAAAATCATCCTTGTGAAGGAATGTATTCTTTTTCAAAAAATCTCCAGTAAAAATCAAACTGAATCTCTTGTGTAACAAAAGTCGCAGAGAATTATCTACCAAAAATTTGAACGTCGCATTTTCATTGCAAGAAACGATCAGCAACAGCAAAACTAAAAAGATGTGTCATTGCTTTTTTTTTCTTTTGAAACCGTGTCAATGTAAACATTAAGATGGAAAAAAGGTGAAAGCAGAAGTGTTTGTGTTTAATTTATCTACTTATTTGTTTGTTTTTTCGGTTGTTATATAACCCTTGAAAAGTTGAGGAAGCAAAAAATTGGTGAACTTTTGCTAAAGGACCAGGAAGAATTGTTTCTAACAAATGCTACGACAACTTCTTCAAGGCGGTGTCACTGGACCGGCTTCTGCATTCGGCGCATTCCCTCGTCGACAAGGATGGCCCAACATCTTAGCAGTCATTGCAAAGCGAAATCTAATGCCTTAATTTTTAGGTATTCCTGACATGTGACATAAAACCCGACCCGTTCGCAAAATCAAAAAGAAAGTCTGAACGTCGCACTTCGAACACCTCCCTTGTAAGGTGCACATTAAAAATATTTACCTTGCAACAACAGCGAGCAATCTAGTTTTCATGGGAAGGAGCACCTTAGTCCTCACTCCACACAGAAAGGAAATTCTCTATTCTATCGTGCAAAAGTCATGAATTTTCGAATGGTTCCAATCCAACGGATCTTGAAAGCCCGTGCCGCAATTTGTACCAATTACCAGCCAAATCAGGTCTCTGCATCCCTAAAATTTTTTTTTCAATTTTAAAACGTATACACTGATAAAAACTTTGGTATATATTTATGATTAATTTATTCAAATTAAACTTAACATACTCAAGGAAAGAAGCGGCGAGATTTCGTAATTATGGCAGAATTATCATTCACGGCAGTGAAACCATACACTTTTAAAGAAAACTAAAAAAAGATATCTTGGATTAGAAAACTCGAGATTAAGAAGACACTAGTTACTAAAAAAAGAAATGGCAAGATGGGCAGAATAAAGTCAAAATAAAATTATATTCGAATATTACTGTCGATTCTTGATGCAGACACGACAACGACTGACACGGTCCTTCAAACCACCGGCCTTCAAGGTCTGCGGCATCGGCTTGCGGAACTGTTTGTTCTGCTCAACAATGGCTAGCCAGAAGCCATGATTCGTGGCGTAGTAGTTGCAGGTTCCTTTACCGTGACACTCGATGAAAGGCACGGCACGGAACTCCTCCAGACAAGAGCCGGGTGACTCAAAGTTCTGGCCGGTACCGTCAGCGCCCGCTCCAGTGTGCTGGAATATATTTATTATACGAATGAATGATTGAAAACAAAGAAACCAAGGTTTTTTTGCAAGTATGATGCTTTTTCCTTGTTTCTAATCAAAAAATGGGGTTTTACGGCGTCCCGGCACGAAAATTCTCGTCTGGCATTCCGTCTTGTTCTGGAAGATTCGACGAAAAAGAAAATATTTTTGTTTTTTTTTGTCAGGAAATGAAGATTTTTTTGCATTGTTTTTTTATTTCTAGATGTGAACGGCTGTTGCCAAAGTTCCTCCTCTTTTTTCAGCCTTATACTTACCATAGCAAAACTGTAGCCGCTGTAGTACGGCGACCATCCGCCTGGACATTCTGGAACGTACGAGTCTTGAGAATGAACAGCAATAGTTTGAGTTGGAATTTCACAAACAGAACAGCGAGAAATATGTGGGCGAATTGACGTTCCGGTAATCTGAAAGAAATGTTTTCTTACTTCCTCCGTTCAAAAAAAGCAGAGACATAAACGCTGATATTACTTACTGGATTCATCATCGCTGTCATAGGTTCGCCAGTGGAAAGCCAGAAACTGTAGTCGCTTCGGCTGCTGAAGTGGCAAGTCTCCTTCATGTTGCAGAACATGAATGGCATCGTGGAAAACTTGGGGATGCAAGATCCGGGTGATCCCAGATCCTGACCGGCGGCCCGTCCATTTCCTTGAACATAGAGCAACGAGTATCCCTCCCAGAGTTTGCTCGATCCCGGAGGGCATGGTGGAACCTCGGTGGTCTGCGAATGCTTGGTAATTGTGAATCCTCGAGATGGAGCCCATCCACCAGGGCCGCCAGGGTATCCAGGTGGTCCAGGGAAGCCGGGACGGCCATCACGGCCGGGAACGCCTTGAACTCCCGGAGTTCCAGTAACTCCAGGTTCTCCTGGGAAGCCGGGCAATCCAGGGGTTCCATGTTCTCCAGCCAGTCCAGGGAAGCCGGCTTTTCCTGGTGGTCCAGGAAGTCCACGGTCTCCGACATCACCGGGAAGGCCAGGAATACCGGGCAGACCGTAATCTCCAGGGGCTCCAATTGGTGAGTGAGTTCGTTGATCGTATGGGCCAGGGAGGCCAGGAAGACCTGGTTTTCCTTGAGGTCCTGGTCGACCAGGAAGGCCAGATGGGCCAGGAAGACCCGCGTCGCCACTTTCACCAGGATATCCGGGAGATCCAGGAAGGCCAGGAAGACCGCTGTCGCCAGGGAAACCAGGTACTCCAGGTGGCCCATTGTCGCCTCGTTGTCCTGGGAAGCCAGGTTGTCCATCTTGACCGTTGAATCCAGGTGGGCCGTAGGCTCCTTTGTTGCCCTTTTCTCCTGGGAATCCAGGAGCTCCAGGTAATCCAGGCAGGCCAGGAAGTCCATCGTGTCCTCGTTTTCCATCGATTCCCCGTAGACCATGTTCTCCCGGAAGTCCGGGCAATCCTCGTTCTCCAAACTCTCCAGGCAAGCCTGGTGCTCCAGGGTAGCCGTTGTCTCCAGGCAGCCCAGGAAGGCCAGGTTGACCGGGTCGGCCGTCTTTTCCGGGTATTCCGCTCAATCCAGTTTCTCCGGGGGCTCCATAATGATCTTGGCCAGGAAGTCCAGGGAATCCAGGCGTTCCGGGTTCTCCAGGGAAGCCAGGGGCACCACTCTTCCCAGGGATTCCGGGAAGTCCACTGTCACCAGTGAATCCTTTAGCTCCGGGGATTCCGGGTTGTCCGGGGTATCCGTCTTCACCTCGAAGTCCGGGAACCCCAGGCACTCCAGGATTTCCGGTGTGGCCAGGTGGGCCACGCAGACCGGGTGCTCCGGGATAGCCGTCTACTCCACGTTGTCCTTTCAGTCCAGGGAATCCGCTTTGACCAGGTATTCCAGGAAGACCATTTTCTCCCTGCTGGCCTGGGTAGCCAGCTGGTCCAGGTGGTCCGGGCTGACCCTAAAGATTTTAATTATCAAATATTCTGTCTGTAAACCTACGTCCACTCCAGGGAAGCCATTTGGTCCGGGATAACCATCTTGTCCGACTTCACCAGCCAGTCCAGGCAATCCATCGCGACCAACTTCTCCAGGCAGTCCAGGAAGACCAGGGATGCCAGCTTCTCCAGGAGCACCAGGTCGTCCAGCCAACCCAGCAATTCCGGGTAATCCAGAACGACCGGGAAGTCCTTCCAATCCAAAGTCTCCAGGCTCTCCCTTTAGGCCAGGCTGGCCGGGGATACTAGCGCCAACTTCACCGGGGAATCCTGGTAGACCATCTTCTCCTCGAGTTCCTGGTGGGCCCGGAAGACCATTTTGTCCGGGGTATCCGTTGTCTCCAGGCAAGCCGGTTGGTCCAGGATAACCTTCGTCTCCAGGGGCTCCAACAATTCCGGGGAGTCCGGGTGTGCCAGGTACGCCAGGCAGGCCAGGGAAGCCATCACGACCAGGAAGTCCGGGGAGTCCTAAAATGAAACATAGAAACGTTTAGCCATATATTAAAGAAGTCACATTAAGTTGCTTTACCGTCTTCTCCGTGAGGTCCGACAGCTCCAGGATGTCCATCGGCTCCTCGCTGGCCTGGCTCTCCACCGAATCCAGGTGCTCCAGGCAATCCAGCGTCACCGTGTTCACCAGGAATTCCAGGTAGACCAGGTTCTCCAGACTCTCCAATAGGTCCGATTGCGCCCGGAACTCCACTAAGACCTTCACGTCCAGGGAATCCAGGTTGTCCAGACTGTCCTTTTGGTCCGCTGAGTCCAGGAAATCCGGGAACTCCAGCTTCACCGCGGTAGCCGGGTTGTCCGGGTGGACCAGCCAAGCCAACTTGTCCGGGTCGACCATCTTTCCCGGGGATTCCGCTCAATCCGATTTCTCCTTTAGGACCAGGAAGTCCAACGAGACCTTCTTGCCCTGGTTGACCATCAAGTCCTCGAGATCCGGGGATGCCTGGTAGTCCAGGAAGACCAGCCTGGCCAGGTGCTCCAGGGAATCCATCATCTCCAACTTCTCCTTTAGGTCCGGGGAATCCAACCATTCCAGGGGCGCCAACTCCAGGTGTGCCGGGTTCTCCGCGGTATCCAGGCAGTCCAGGAAGGCCATCATGACCTCTTTCTCCAGGATAACCGGCTTGGCCAGGGAATCCGTCATCACCAGGTGCTCCAGGAAGGCCAGGGGCTCCAGATCGCCCTCGTTTTCCATCAATTCCTACCAATCCTTTCTCGCCAGGAACTCCAGGTAGTCCAGGCAGGCCAGACTCTCCAGGTTGACCAGGGTAGCCGGCTTGTCCATATTCTCCTTTTGCTCCAGGCAGTCCGGGAAGACCATCTTTTCCACGAATGCCTTGCATCAAACCCGCAAATGGAGGTCCGGCAGGTCCTTCAGGTCCGGGAAGACCAGCAAGACCGGGTGCTCCAGCTTCTCCTTTGACTCCGGGTAGGCCAGGCTGGCCGGGATAGGAGTCTCCAGGCTCTCCACGAGGTCCAGGCAAACCGATGAGGCCATCGCGCCCTCGTTTGGCATCAATACCGGCTAATCCCTTCTCTCCATGAGCTCCAGGGAAACCGGGAAGACCGGGGGCTCCAGGTTTTCCATCGAGTCCAGGAAGTCCGTGGGCTCCGGGATATCCAGGTTCACCTCGGTCTCCTTTGAGTCCAGGAATACCAACGGGGTTCTCCATGGGTCCGATAATTTCTCCTGCTTCTCCTTTCAGTCCTGGGTAGCCGGGGACACCAGGGAGACCTTCTGATCCCTAAAATGCACGTGGTCATAATTTTTATTGTATTGAACTACACGCCATAAGGAAGCCTCAACCTACCGGATATCCAGGGAATCCAGGCGCTCCGGGCTTTCCAGCCTCTCCTTTCGGGCCAGGGTATCCCATTGGTCCGTCAGGACCACGAGGGCCAGGATAGCCATCTGGACCAGGCAATCCACCGTCTCCTTTCTCTCCAGGGATTCCATCGGGACAGTAGCCACAGTCGTCTCCTCGAATACCCTTTTCTCCAGGTGTTCCGGGCAATCCGGGGATTCCAATCCTTCCATTCTCTCCGGGCAGACCGACAAGACCGATCTGACCTTCTGGACCGACTTTATTCACTCCCGTTCCAGGGAAACCCTTTTCTCCGGGAGCTCCGGGATCTCCGACTTCTCCGGGAATTCCAGGGAAACCATCACGGCCAGGAGTTCCATCAAGGCCTGAAAATTAGGAAAATAACATTTTTTGTATTTATGGTTAATGGAAGTTGTTTTAATTGCACCTACCAGGAGGTCCTTGAATGTCGTATCCGGGAAGACCATATTCTCCTTCAGGTCCACAGGCGCCAGGTTCCCCAGGCAATCCAGGTTCTCCGATATAGCCGGGGAATCCATCCTCTCCTCTGTCTCCTTTCTCGGAATATCCAGGGAATCCGTCCAATCCCCGTTCTCCTGGCACTCCCGGCGCTCCGATTGGACCACGAGCTCCAACAGCACCAGGGAATCCGTCCTTTCCGGGCAATCCCTTCTCTCCGGGAATTCCATCCAACCCTTGGACGCCTCGAGGTCCGGGAAGACCATGGCCAACTCCATATTCTCCAGGCGGTCCTGGATCTCCTTCAGGGCCGGGTCGTCCGGGATATCCAAGATCTCCAGCTGATCCCTTGGGCCCTGTGTAGCCGGGAAGACCGGGATTTCCAGCGGTTCCGGTTTCTCCCTTTGGTCCGGGAACTCCGTAGCTTCCGTCCTTTCCTTTCTTTCCCTAAAAAATGATTCACGACATCTTATGATATGAAAAATTTGCTTACTCTGTTTCCAGCTTCTCCTGGGTCTCCCTTCTCTCCTTTCAATCCAGGATATCCTGGTGGTCCATCAAAACCAGGGGCTCCAGGTGGTCCAACAGGACCATCACGTCCTTTTTCTCCCTTTTCACCTAAAACGATGACATTTCGGTCTTCATGCGTTTATTATCTTACCCATTCTTCCCGGTGGGCCTTGGATGACCTCTGTTTCCTCTGGAGCAGAGTGACCGGCAAAGTTTCCGGGTGGTCCTGGAGGGCCGGGAGGTCCGGCCAGACCCTTTTCTCCCTTCAAACCGGGCGTTCTCGGTCCCATTCGTCCTTTTTCTCCAGGAGGGCCGGGGAATCCGGGTGGTCCATACGGTCCTGGATCTCCCTTCCAACCTTTTAGGCCATTTCGCGCATCTTGACCGGGGTGACCAGGCAATCCGGGCACTCCTGGATTTCCTCGTTCTCCCTTTCGGCCAACCGAGTTGATACCGCCTTCTCCAGGTTCTCCTGGATATCCGGGACGGCCAGGCTCTCCATTAGGTCCTCGAGGTCCAGGAGGACCGACCAGACCAGGACGTCCAGGCAGACCCTGAAATTTGAAATTTGTTTTATTTCCGATTTTCAACAATTCTTTGTTTTTTAGTTAATTTTTAATTAAAATACGTGTACTTCTTGTCGGTCGACTTCAAAGAATTTTTTTGGAATATTAAAAAACTGCATAAAAAGCAACATTTTTCTGGCCTATAATTCCTCATTTTCCAAGAAAAATCTTATCAGTCAGAGAGATAAAAGACCGGCCAAGATGAGTCATCTCCCCCTCTCCGTTGGCATCAATTCCCCTTCCCGATTTTCCATTTGTCCCAAAAAAACTCACATCTGTTCCATTGCATCCGGGAATTCCTTGTTCTCCTTTCAAACCGGGCAAACCGTCCAGTCCAGGGAGACCAGGACGGCCGGACATTCCGGGGAGACCGGCGGGACCCTGAAAAGTGATTTTGTAGAGGTAAAAATAAATGCTATGCCATAATAATAAGTGATGTGGAACTTACTCGAATGCCCTTGACTCCAGCGTCTCCAAAATCGCCCTCAGCTCCTTGCATTCCAGGGACGCCGAGCGAGCCTTCTAGGCCATCATCTCCAGGAGGTCCAGGATGGCCACGTTGGCCGTCAAACCCTGGAGCACCCTGGAAACATAAAATAAATAAAAATTAGAGGATTTCGGCCAAAAAAGATTAAATTTCACTATTAATAGCACAACCGAATTAACAAAAATGGTCTTTAGTCACCCAAAAATGGCAAAAAAATCGTCAAAAGCTGATAAAACCCCCAAAATTTTACCTTTTCTCCTTTCGTGCCCGGACAAATACACGGCGGCGCACAGCCTTTACAAGCAGCACCATCCACCCCAAATCGATGCTGATCAAAGAAGTAAATGATGGCAAAAAGTAGTAGGGGCACACGGAACGGCGCCCGCCATCGAGCGGATGGTCGGGCGCGCATTCTTCACACTGTTCTTCGGGGATACCGGGCGGTTCCGTGTGAAGATGACAGGCCCAATCCGAAGTGGTCTATTCTAGTCTGAAATGGGCGAATGGGAAGGAAATCAAATCAATGTGTTGTTCATATACAATATAGCGAATTTTGAAGGTAAAATACGGGGCGAACACAAGATGTATTTAGTAATTCTCTAATATCATGAATAAAAAATTATACGCAGACACTTAAAAATTGAGAAAACGGGAAGGTTTTCGGCCTCAAAAATTTCCCATGTTTTGCTTTTTTAGCACCTTCCTAGATACCTTTAGGAAGAGATTTTTTTGTGCAAAATAATGATGCATTTTCCCATGCATGACTTCCAACCACAAGTTGGAAAAAGGTCTAGTTTTTCACTATTTTTGTCCAAGAAATCTCTGAAGTATTTTGAGCAAGGGGGTAAAAAATCTCGCAGAAATTTCGCAAGATACTAACCTTGATTAGTGTCAAATTTCATCAAAATCTACATAGTTTGTCTCCATCCCGTTTCTTATCATATTGCTTAAGTTTTGGAATTTTTCATTTCCCCGCGAAGCTTTCGAAAATTAAAGGCAACTTTTCCTTCTATTATAAATGGCCCAAATTCAATCAATATCCCATCAAATCCCCCTTTCCCAAAAAACACGACCCAGACACCACAAATTACAAATTCAAAACAAAACGCAACTTCTCGAACGAAGAGTCGGAATCTCTTCGCCAGCAACGGAAAAATGAAACAATAAAAAAGAGCCTCCGGCAGCCCCAAGATGACTTGAACTAAAGACCGGACAATGCGAAGGAATAGCCGTTGAATCAAAGGCCCAGCAAAATTTCTACGGCTAGGGCTTTTTTTTGTATTTTTGAGACGACTGTTTTTCGGTGTGCGAAAACACGGAGACTGTACGAAACGGGGGAAGAAAAGCGGGCAGGGAGAGAATATTATGGCCACAAAAATCGATTGGGACACAATGGCACTGGGTGGAGGGCGAGGAGAGAGAGAGAGAGAGAAAGATGAGGGGGCCATTGATCCGGGACGGGGTTTTGAGTGAAAATTCGAGGGGAAACGAGTAATTTATAGATTGTAGGGGGTGATCATGATGTTATGAGAAAATGAAAGCAATGTGCTTGAAACTGAAAACAAGTATATGGGATATAGCATGTTTTTCACGGAAACTAGATGTTTTAGTGATAAAATTCAATAAAATTCTTCTATAAAACATGATTTTGTTACACATTAGCACTCAGAAAAAGTTCAGTTGTCCTTTTGAAGATCTGAAAGAAATAGAAAACAAAGATTCAACCTTCTGCAATTTTTTTAACGATTTTCGAGACAAAGTGCGAACTTCGGAAAAAAAAGATTTTTAGAGATCTAACGGCATAATCTATGCTTAAATTGGGTCGATATTACACCGGAAAAAAGATGGTAATATAAGCCAAAAAATTTCAGAAAATGTTTGACCTAAAAATAAGCCCAGAAAAAAATTGAAAATCCAATATGAAAATTACGGTAATTATTCAAGCTTTTTTTAATAAAAAATAAAAAAATCGATTTTTATAATCAAAAAATCGCACTTGATCCTTTGCAGTTTAACACAGCCAGAAACCCCATTTTCATGCCAAAAATAATACAATTCTTGGCCGTTGAAAATTGTGCGAAAGGTCGTAGTTTAAAACAATCCGCCGGCCGAACAAGCCCCAGAGATTGGAAGTTTTTTCGCCAAAAAAGATCGGTGTGTCTGCAGGGACATACCGGGGCCGGAGAGAGAGAGAAGAAAGCGGCCGAGCGCCCTCTGCCGCATCTTTAATCCGATACCAACTGTTGCCATTGATCTGATGGGCCAAACCTTGTTCCTGCAGCGGACCCCCAAATCCCCGTTGGGCATAAACAAATCGGAGAGAAAGCGAGGGGCGAGGATGGCCAAAGGCGATGGAAAAGTTCATGCAGATGGGTTATTTTTATTTACTTTTACAACACCTTTGCGAAAGGTGGGATATTATTAGCGGCGGAGGGAAAGGATGACGTCAGAAGGAAAGTTAACAGAGAAAGTGCAATTTAGAGGGTGTGAAAAGGCTAAGCAAGGTCAATGGAGGATTTTATTGGCCTAGTAACACGGTAGAAGTTTCGTAATTTAAATTGCGGCAACAGCAAAAAAGATGCACAGAAAAGAAAACATTGAACTTGTTTTCAAGTTCAATGGCCATGTTTTTAGCTGCGCCAAAACATGGTACAAATTTAAGTCATCATTTTCTAAAACATATGCGAGGCGCTTGCACTTTTTTTGGTCTGACCAATGCTCTTCATTTCCAGTACAGTCTAGAAAAAAGTTTATTGGACATATCAAATGCGCCTGTAACGGCTATTTAACATTTTCAAGAAACCTAATAAATTTACAGTTTATGCATGAAGAACATAGCATCAGACCAAAATGACTCACGAGAGTTGATACTGTCAAAACTGAGGGTCAAAAAATCACAAAATATTATGAAAATCTCAGTTTTCTCCAAATTCATCTTTGATCATACTTGTAAGAACACGTCCTAGACACCTCAAAGAAAAAACAAAAACTTTACTGCAAAAGTTGTTTACATCATCAAGCCGTATTCCGATCCAAAAACCACTAAATTCCCCCGATTTTTTTTGATATGCCTTCTCCATACCCCTCTCGTCCAAATGTTATGTTAATGAGAGGAATGCCGAAAGTCTGGCCGCAAAGTCGTCGCTGCCCGACTGACCCCCGAATCGGGGGGAAAGCAGGGCCAAATGCACCTTTTTACTTTTGGGAAATCATTTCTTCGGCCGTCCGAAATTTGTCGCTTCGTATGAGGAAGTGTTTGATCTTCAAAAAAAAAGAAAACTGACTTATGGTCATTTGGGTGAGAGTAATGAGTAAGGGAAGCAAGAGGATTGTGGAGTGAGTTCATGGGGTCATATCAGTCTGCCGGGAAAATAATAATTCACTTCAGCAACGCTATCGGTCATCGACACTGTGCTCAGTATTTTCACGACAGACAGATATAAAGGCATATTGTGGATTTTGCAGAGTTAACAATTTGATTTCAGTCGACAAAAGTTGCCTGATTGAAGGTGTTACTATAAGATTGGCTTCAAATTTTGCTCATATTTTCTGTCTAGGCCGAGAACTTCTAAAATTCTTTGATTTTGCATTCTCGACTGAGATATCGAGCTGTAGTGTATCCTTGCATATGACGGATCTTCAAAAATGATGGGAGACCATTAAAAAATCGTGCCTTGCGTTCTTTTTCGAATTCTTAGGAAATCCAAAATTAAGTGTCAATTGTTCATCGATATTTTCGTCATAGCGTGACCTAAAAATCTAGTCTGCTTTCCGAAGAGTATGATGTTGACTTTGTGACAAGATTTATCAACATTCGTTGGTCTCACGGCTCCCTTCAAACAGCTTCTAACCGCTTCCTTGCCAACACTCTGATTACCGTGACAGACTCTTCTTGGCTTTCAATTTTTGATCTTTATCCTACACTCTAGGATCTTCAACTAGGCACTCTTTTTTTCGCCCCTTCTTAGCAGACAACTTTATTCGCTAAACGGGGGTCTAAAAATGTCATAAACATTTGAAATAAACATCTTACGCATCAGCAAGAACAATGGCTAAAGACTCTTGTATATTAGCGAGCAGTAGGCGAATATGGACGTATTATGACATCTGCGTTACAATTATGACTAGAATTTGTTTTTAATAGAAGTTTTGAATGTTTTAAAAAGTAAAATTTATGATTTTTCTTTGTTGAAAAATATGGCTATTTTTGAAAAATCGATAAGTAAGCATGGCAGTGGGAGGATGAATAATTAAGGTATTTGAATATAAGTCTGTGGGAAAGTAAAAATTGAAATTTTAAAAGTTTCAAATCAAATGAGTATTAGCTGAGCCAACGACTTCACTCTGCCCATATCTCGGTTCAAAAGTGGTCTCGGGCAACTCGGTTTCCCTTCTCAAGAGCTGCTCGTCAAAGTTTCTGACCGGCGATTTTGGTGGACTATGAGACGGCGATCTCAACGGACTTCTCGGCGGACTTTGTCGTTGGAATTTCGGCGAACTCTTCAACGAACTTTTCCCACTTTCCTGAGAATTGGAAGCCTTATGCAATGACGGTTTATAAGAAGAATCAGGGGAGATGTCTCGAGTTCTCTGCAAGTTCTCCGTGCTTTGCAGAGCTTTGGCACTTTCGTATGAGTCCTTCGAAGGCTGCTTCTTCAGCTTCTTTTTTGGTTTTGGCGACCGTTTCGATGTGGAATTGGAGTCATGACTGACGGCGTCATCGTCCACGTCGTCGATGACTTCGATTGGAATCGGAGTCTCTGAATCATCGGAGCCGAGACGATTGCCCTGAAGGAAGGTTTCTGATTATTTTGGAGGGGAAATGTCAGGGTTCAAGAAGCACGTAGGAGTGCTGAGCTTCAGAATAAAGCGTTTTCTTTGTTGTTTCACCGGAAAACTTTAGATTACAGTCGAAAAAAGACTAAAACAAGATGATTCCTAAGCGCGCAGAGCTCCTATTTTGACGAAACATAACGAAAACGATGACTAAAATTTTTCTGACATATACATATGTAAGATTTTTAACTCGCGTCCTGATGAATTGGTTCAGATTTTTTGTCCACAAAATTCACAGAATTTAGTATTTTTACGGTAAAAAACTAATGAAGAAATAAAAATGGAGATGCTTTCGAGAGAGTACGCAAAATGAGGAAGCAAAGACGAGAAACGTTTGTTTTTTGAAAATGTCGCCCAAAAAATCCTTTTATAAGACTTAACGATTATTCCTGTTTCAAATTGCCCTCTTACCTTCACAATCAACTCATCGGTCTTTCCATTATAGCCAGCTCTCAACGTAGCAAGCACACAGTCTTGCGGAATGGTGTACGTTCGACTGAACGTCCGCTTCACCCATTGACCAGTATTATCTTGGTTGACATGCGTTCCCTTGACTGTCACGGAATTTCCTTTCCGAGTAATCTAAAAATTAAAAACTCTAACAGCTTTTTCCACAAAATCTCACTTTAATTCCACTAATTGGGAATTGGTTAAGCGGGATTCGAATAGCGAAGGCGTCCGGGCCATTGAGAATATGGGCATTTCCAACTGGTTCAATCGGGGATCCAACGCGTCTAGGGTAATGCTCACTCGGCTGAATGAGTCGTTGAGTCTGGATTTGAGTTGACGGATAATTCTCTCGCTGATGGATCAGAGGAGGCTCATAAGAAGGCAGAAGGCTTTGATGGGTTTGTGGACGTGGTGCCGACTGGATTTGATGATGAACAACCACATGTTGGGGCTGAAAATAACTTATTTTTGAACTTCATGACATTTGTCAAAGATTTGGACAACGAAAAAAATTATTATTGTTCTTAATCTTACCTCATATTGCGACTGATATTGACTGTGAGGCCTTGACACCACTTCTGGTTGATAACTCGGCTTGATCTCATGATGCTTCACTTCAGGCCTATATTCTTGATACGAAATCGGATATTGGCTCCTGTTGACCTCCGGCTCATGGTAACTCCTTGCCTTCTCGGCTCGGCTTGGATACGGATATTGCTTAAATTCCCCGACACCAGTTCGCTTCGAATCGCTGAACTCTTGCGGTATCTTTGTCGCCTCTTGCTCCAAATATTTGGCTCGAACCTTGTCGAAGGATTCTGTCTGTCGAGGAGACAGTTGATGAGCCGATTCCTTGGCGTATAGTGGAGCATATGGATCGGGGACTCCGGTGGCCCTATAGCTGGGGTAAATCGTCGGCGCTACGGCATGGGTTGGGCGGATTGGCTGAGGCCGGTAAGGCAAATCTCTTCGTGGAGGCGGAAGAGACAGTTGACGACGCTCAATGCGGTCTGAGGGAGTTCGATATTGCTCGACGGGGCGAGAGGCATACCTAAATCAGGAGCAAAATGTATCGTGTATTGTCGAGAAAGCACTGGGATTTTCAAATCTTTGGAGAGCGAGGAATGCGTTTACTGCAGCGTGGATGGGTTAGAGTAGAGGTGGCAATCGGGCTGGGCCGGCCCGGCCCGGCCCGGCCGGGCCCGGTGATTGGGCCGGGCCGGGCCGGGCCTGAGCAGATTTGAAAAAGCCCTGGGCCGGCCTGACCGCTTTGGCCCACGGGCCGGGCCGCGACTTTCGGCCCGGCCCGGCCCGGAAGGTGGAAAAGTAAAAATTTTTAATATTAAACCAGCAAAATAAAGCACAAATGCTTTGCAGAATTGATGGATGGATATTAAATTAAACCTTTTTGACCTATACGCTGTTTTACTTCCTTATAAAATTAAAATTCCTTAAAATCCCTGATTATGTATATGTAAAATGCCATCTAAATCTGCAAGGGTCGGGCGAAAATCTTCGAATTTTTGATGGTAAACTTAAACATTTCACTGTAATTTGATGACTTGATTTAAATAAAAGTGTTTAAGCAGTTTTTGATTAAACATGTTGCCTTATAACGCCCATATATTTACATAGCTAACTTCCTATGGGATAAAAAAAATCGACACAATCCAATTTTTCGGCTAGGTTTTAGGTCCCTGCTCGGCTGTCCTAGTCATCCGACCTGACGTTTTAATTTCACCTAAACGCACGTATAAACCTTCTGGAAAGCATAAAAACTTCCAATAGAAAATGCAAAGACCTTTATCCAACCTTTTTGTATTAGCGGGCCAAGCAGGGCCGGGCCGGGCCGGCCTGGGCTTTCACCGGGCCGGGCCGGGCCTGAGCAAATTTGAAAAAGCCCAGGGCCGGTCTGGTCACTTCGGCCCGCGGGCCGGGCCGCAAAAATCGGCCCGGCCCGGCCCGATTGCCACCTCTAGGTTAGAGGAGATCACGATAAAAAATGTATATACTGTCTTCTCCTCTCACAAACGAAGAATGCGAAGCCTTCCAAGAGGCTCCTGCAGTTTGCTAACGGCTTTATGAACAAGTTGTGGCCATAAATCAATCGTGTACGTACATTATAAGGGAAGACTAGGTATGTATTCATCATTTTTTGGTTAGGGAGAAAGACGAACGAGGAGCTTTGGCAAAACAAAATCGGTTTCTCGTACGTAGTTATATACGCCCATATATTTTTTTAAATCTCTGCCCAGACGTGCGGTGTGATTTAAAAATTTCTTACCGCGTTTCCACTTCCCGGAGCCTTGGCGAAGAGATGTTATCGTCATATTGGCCACTAGTGTGTCGCTAAATAGGTTGTGTAAAAAAGCTTCCTCTAGTGGCAATAAGAATTTTGTCTAACTTACCTTTTCACGTAAGATCTTCTCTCTGAGGTACTCTTCCCTCTCGGCGGAGTACATTTTGGGACTGTTCTCAAAATGTAAAAAAAAACGAAAATCTAAAAAAAATTTCATTTTAAAACATAAAATACATAAATTTTAAAATACGTCAAACACAGTTTTTTGAATTAGTAATCGAATAAAACATTGCTTGTAGTATTGGAAATTGTCTAGAACCACAAGGACTTCAAAAATGATGACAAAAAAGTTGTAAACCAAGAATAAACAAAGGGCCTCAAAAATTATGCGTGTTTAAAATACGACAGTGGCTCGTCAGGCTGTTTAATTTAAATATCCAAGAAACAGAAAAAAATGTTTCTTATATAACAGCACTATATATAACACTACACAGTCAGCTCGCACAGAAACAACACCACAAAACGCCTCCATCGAATTGTGTCCCAGGCCGGAATCAAAAACAAATTTAAAACCTGATCGAATTGACTGTGTTTGGTGGGGGGAGGAAAGGAGGAGGCTGCGACTATTCGGGCCCCTCCTGGCCAAGATCGTGAGGTGCGGAAAGGAGGGCGTGAGTCAAAACGCAATTCCTTTGCGAGGAAAGAGCGGAAAACAAAAAGCGAATCTCCTCAGGCGCAATCGACTCATCGGCCCGCCACGGAAGGCCTATACGATTGTTTCTTGGAGCTGTACGGAAATAATTGCGGATGCCGGCCGCGTTGGAGCCAAGTTTACAACGGAAGTGTTTCGTCATAATGAGCTGGGATGAGACATGTTTGTATAGAAGCGTTTTAATTATTCCGGAAATGACTAGGAACATCAGGAATAGCAAAATATTCGAATAGAAAAATAACGATACGTGACAAAAAAATAGAATTTTCTGAAATTTGGGGATGAATAATTTGTCTGGCACACTTGAATACCGTACTGATCAAATGTTTCAATTCTCAATTGAAACCTGTGAGGCGGAACGACCGAGCTTCGAGGATTTTCCCAGCGGAATGATCTGCATTTATTCAAATTTTATTCTAATTTCCTACGTGGAGCTTCCCTATAAAAGGCCTCCTTTCCACTGAATAAATCACTTGACTCTTGAGCTCTCGTCTTGTCTCGTTGCTGGGTTGTTGAGCCTTTCGACGAAACCGTTTTCCGCATTGTCTGAGGTGACCTCATCGCCGGAATCCATGATCATGTGTAACTGTTTAGCCTCGTAGCTGAAGATGAAGCCAAAATTCAAAGTGAAAGCTCCGTAAACGCTTGCACTCTGTTAAACGTCATCATCATCGCCGATGTGTCATCGGCTCACCGTTCATCGTAGAAAAAAACAGGACTTAAGTCGTCAACGTCAAGACCTGAAAAGCCGACCAGTCGTTTAAAACGGGCTATATCTTACCCAAAGAGAGCTGCTAAAAGCTGTCGCTTTTTCAAGGGAAGCTGCGACATTCAGCGACCTTCTTTGCGAAAAATCACGCAAAATGAAGAGAGGCAGCCAGATGAAAGTTGATATAAAGGGGTCACCGGAGAATTCAGTCCTATTTATTATACTAAGTGTGTACATGCCTGAATATATGTGTCATTGTACTTATACCTTCTCGTTTTGCTTAATAAATGAATGTGGAAACGCAAGGCAACACAGGGATTCTCCCGCTAGCAACTTCTTTTGCAAAAAAAAATCTTTTTTGCATAAGAAAAACCAAACTTTTTTGACAACTTGCTTCCAAAAAGTAAGTGTCAACGGTTGCGAAAAGAACTCCTAAAGAGCTAGGCGTTTTCTTGCAGGCACCTTACCATCGTAGATTCTCCTGTTTTTAATACAGTTGACAATACAAAACTTGAACTTGGACTCTACTTAGACTCTGGGATGCTTCCATCGCTCTTCCCATCCATTATTTTTCAAGGGCTTCCTTGTCAGATATCAGAACTGTCATAAACCGTAAATTCTTTGCAAAATAATCAAGGCACTCCTTTAACAGGAAGTAGATCATATTTTGTAGCATGGAAATGCAGTATGATCTTCTTGTCAGTTGAACAAATAGTTCTTAAAACCTTTTTTTTCGTTTTCAAAATCTTCATCCATTTGAAACACATTTTTTGTCATGTTACCTTATCAAAGTACCTACTTTACGTAGCCGTTGAACTTTGACTTCAATTAAGACTTCCACAATCGGTTTTCCTGGTTTTTAAAGAATGCGGAGAGAGTTCTTTTAACTGGTAGTTTTTCCTGTCCTTGATAACGTCCCGTTAATATTGCCGATCATAGATAAGGATTCTTTGAATTTTGGGACGCAACAAAGTGTATTGTAGGAGGGTCCGGGTTTGGCGCGGTGTTCTCTCCGACCTCTCTTTTGCAGTCAAATTTTTATTCATTTGAAGCGTTATTTTGCTAATTTCATTGACAACATTTTTTCAATTTATGAAACTCAAATATTCGCATTTCAAATTTACGCACTCTTAATACGACGCTTGGATTTTGATATTACTTTTCGAAAATTACAAGATCTTTCAAGGAACGTAAAGGAAAGTCGGAGGCTATAACTCCCGGCAGGGGTAGCGCAAAGACTTCCTTTTTGGAACATGCCTTTTTAATCGACGTTAAATTTTGTTTATAAAATAACAAGATCATAAAGTGCAAACTGAGGTCGCTGCGACCTTTTGAAGTAGGGCCCATTACCGCAAAAATCAGGGGTTTTTTGGTTGAAAATAACCAATAAATACCTAGGAAGTATGCGAGACCCTTAGGCCGCGCTTTGCAGAAACAGCCGAGGGAGGCTTTCAGGTCCTAAGCAGGCAATAGCGTGACTTTTTTTGAAAATTTTGGCATGATAACTTTTCTACCGAGTGTAGCGTTGTCACAACATTTTTTTCTGTACGAAGTAGGCAAAGACATAACCAAAATGAGCTTTTGATTGCATTTTTTCACACCATAAACCCCCGTTCAAAAATGGCGTGAGCATTAAATGGTTTTAACCTATGATTCTTCTAAAGGTCTGTTGCACCCAATTTTCGTGTTTTCAACGAAATTCCGTGATATCAACTTGTTCTTTGCAATGATCGGGTCTGAAACCGTGGGTTTCAAGGGTCTTCCAAAAGGGGCGGGACGTCTCAGACTATAACACACACATTCGATAACATAATATAATATTTATCGAATCCTCTAAGCGGCTTCGATTACATTTTCCACCCCCCGCCGGCCTCCAGTACAAAACTGGCATGGCCTGTGTAAATAGCGGGAAATTTGGTCAGAAAAATGTTGACGAAATTTCCAGTGCTGAAATTCCGATTGCGGCGCAGACTTTATTTCTTGTAGTATAGTCGGCACAAGACACGAACGGATTGTCATCATGTGAACCGCCACACATACGTGCGATATAAATACGCGAGCAAATTGATGTTTTCGAAGCAACCCTCTTGCTATTTTGCAGCGATCATGGGCAGAGATGAGGGAGTAAATCTGGAATTTGTCGGCAAATTCATTGGATGGCTCCTTTATACAATCTGGCTGGGGTTCTATAACACGTTTGTTCCGTATTCGTGGAAAACGAAGAAGAGATTGACATCGAAAGTAAGCGGTTTTGAGCATATTAACAAGGGGAACGGTCCACTTTCGCCCCTCATAAATGTCAGATTTTTATGAAACTCGGCATAAATTTTCAATAACTTCTTCGAAGAGCTATGTGAGGTTCTTCATCCCGAGGAAATAGCCGATCTTCGCTGTCAAAAAAAACATCAAAATTTCACATTTTTTTCGGGTTTACTAATAAATTTTTTTGGCCTTTTTTTGTCAGTCTGGCGGGAAAATAATGAGCACAATATCACTCCGCCAACTTCGTGACTGAATTGAAAAGGAAGTTGCCTTTGGAGCTATACAATTCATTCTCCCAGCAGCGATGCAATTTTCAATGCGACATTGTACCAATATTTTCCCGACGGACTGCTTTATGTATGTGTAGAAGAGAGCGACGGTTTTGCAAAAGAACATGCTTTTCAGCGGAAAGTGGCGTGAACCACTTTCAGAAAGCTCTCTTTTCTCTTCTCGCTCTCTTTATTTTGAAGACTATCTCGCCTTCGTAGAATTTTTTGGTTTCTCCTGCAAACCATGAGATAAAATTTTGGGCAATTGATATATGCCCCATGCAAAATTAACGAAATTCCGGAGTCTGCACTTGTGACACTTTCTATATGATTTCTTTCTTACCGCTAACAAATATTTTCTCTATACAGATACTTTTCAGAAAGTACTAATTACTGGCGGTGCCAGTGGAATCGGCGCTGCTTGTGCCAAGCTTCTGGTGGAGGAAGGCTGTCAAGTCGCAATATGGGATATTCACGAGGAAAATCTCGCCAATATTCACCGTGAGCTCGAGAAAACTGGATACACTGTAAGTTATATGTTAGTGCGAATTCATTTTTGCCATCCTTTCAGATCTACACACAAAAAGTTGATCTTTCGAATGAATCGGAGATCCTCAAAGCTTGTGATGACTTGAAAGAGCGCTTCGGAGACGTCGACATTCTCTTCAACAACGCCGGGCTTGGCAATGCGTCGAGTTTCCTCCAGAGCAACACCGAGACAATGAAATACATTTTCGATGTGAATATTTTTGCTCACATGCATGTAAGTTGGAATTTTCGACGAATTCTCTGGAAAATTTTTGAGTGTTTTGATATAATCGTTTGCAGATTGTCAGACAACTTTTGCCAAGGATGATAGAAAAGGGCGAAGGGCATATTGTGGCTACAAGCTCGTTCGGAGGGATCTGTGCACTCGGAGGTAGGCGGTTTTGATTTTTAGGACTCTCAAAGCCTTTAACTTCTTCTGCGTCGAGCGGCTGCATGATGAAAGAAGAGCGGCAAGAGAAAATTTTATGGCCATAATCTCAAAAATTTAAATTTATGCCAAGTGTCATGAAAATCAAGGCATCCCACTTGGCATACACAATAGTGGAGGACCTGATCCAGTGGCAAAAAAGCATACCATTTTGCATACCGGAAGTGTCAAAAATGTGGCAAAATACCTCCATTTCCACGTGAAACACTCGGATTTCAAAGGCGAGCCCGCTTTTTTTGCGAGAGAAAAGACGCGCTCTTCAAAACGGAGTTTTTCGCTCGAAAAAGAAGGTATTTTGCTGCATTTTCGATACTTCCCGGATGCGAAATTTTACGTTCTTTGCCAGTGGATTCTGTCCTCTACTGTACATATTTGCTGTACAAATTCAGAGCGAATTAATCACCTCTTTTCAGAGTTCGTTGACTACTCTACCACAAAATTTGCGGTCAGAGGATTCATGGAAGCTCTCAATAATCAACTGGAACTTCAAGGGGTATCTGGGATTGAGTTTACCACAGTGTTCCCGGGGTATGTTCGAACGCCCATCTGGAAGGAGTTCAATCCCGGAAAACAGTACATCCCGGTGATCGACGCGGACGAAATGGCCGAGGAAATAGTCCGGGGGATAAAACTGAACCAAAAAGAAGTCATTTATCCAAAAAGGCTTACTTGGATCATGATTGCTAAAGCGTAAGTGCAATTTATAATGTTTTTACAGTAAAAAATATATATATATTTAGGATCCTACCACTAAATGTTCAACGGAGCCTGTTGCTGCACAAGTTTTGCTGGTCGTGAAAGCAGATGATTAATACTACACTTTTTGCACATATGTAAATTTAACTGTATTTTAAATATTTATAAAAATATAAAAGATTTTTGTCGCAAAATTTGGTAAGAAATGGTTGAAAAAATCTTTTTGCTAGGCTGATTCTCATCATTTTGTTTATTTTGAAGAAAAAATATAGCGGAATATGTCCACTACAGGTCTAAAGCGTAAGATAATTTTAAGGGATATATGTAGCCTTGTAACGCGTAAAAAAATGTAAAAAAATCAAATGCTTTTTTTCGATTCCGATTTTTTAAAAAAATCTAGACTCACATGTACAAGTACAGCCATAGAAATTAGCATCAAAAATCATTTGATAAGACCAGGGCAGTTCGCTTTTTCCACAAAATAAAGCGCACATCACTCGGGTTTTTCTTATCGCTCTCTTTTTGAAGAACACAACATTTGTGGTTAGACGAGACGCTCGTTGAGGGCAATTTTTTGAAGAATATTCGCTTTTTTGGAAGAATATCATTAATTATATTGGCGGCGTCTGCAAAGTGCTAGCTAAATTTTCCGAATTGGATATGTGGCCTAACAATAAGGTATCTTCAAAATTCATATTTTGAAGGAAATCTGAGGAAGTTTTTCAATTTTACTCTGATTTCTTCGGAAAAACATTTTTTTTACTATGTTAAACAAAAGCTTTCATCCAATCTTATTCGAATTTTGGTCAAAAAACTTTGTTTATTTAGACTTTGAGTCCCTATCAGTCTGTCGGGAAAATAATGAGCACAATTTCGCTGGGCCCATCGCTTCGCTGAAGTGAAAAGAAATTTGATTTTTCCGCAACACAATTCATTTTCTCGGAGGTGCTGCATTTTTTTTGATGCGATATAGTCCTCATTATTTTTCCGACAGATTAATAAAAAGACCTTTCAATATCTGTAAAATTTAGAATTTTTTTAATTGCCTCTTTTTTCGTCGCCTAAAATCAATTTTTTTGTCAATTTTCTCAGGCGCTCTTTTTATCTGAACGCTCCACAAAAGAGTGATTTCCCGACTTTACACCAAAAACGCGAACGTATTTCAGCTGATTCTATGATGATGAAACTCAAACCAGAGTTGTTAAACTTTTAAATTTGGGTGTAAAGCCGGTGGCTTCCGATTCATTTTGAAGTTAAAACGGTACACAGTTAATTAATTGGAATTCAGTGTTGTTGCGATCAAAATTTGTTGTGGATGAGGGTTTAGGGTATTGGAAAGTAATGAAAATAAAGCTTCATCAATTTTTATTTTTTTGAATATCAGTCTGTCGGGAAAATAATGACCACTCTGTCGCATCGCCGCACGTCAAACTGAGGTAAGCTAAAAAAGTCCGGTGAATGGATTGGCAGTTTGCCAAAAAAAGACACGAAAAAACGTTTTGTCGGAGAAGAAATGGGGAATTTTTGGGGCGAGAGAGTACGTTTTTGCGTCTCTTTTTTCTCTCTTTCTCTGCGAAATCAAGACGAAGTGTAAAAAACCGATAGCGAAGAGTCTATTCCGGTCACCGGACTCCTCAGTTTGACGTGCGCCGCGGAGAAAATGAATTGATTCGCGGCAAAGTCAAATTGCTTTTCAGTTCAGCGACACGATTGGCGTATCGACATTGTGCTCATTATTTTCCCGACAGACTGGTCATTGAAAACCTTGTTGTAAAATACGGCCCTCGTATTCTTTCCTGAATATCAGTTCGATCAAAAATTTCATTGATTTTTCCTCGTTGCGCCTATTTTTGTAAAGCATCGCAAAAACAAAGAGGCAATTCTTTTCCAACCAGACTCAAGCCATTCCAGATGCCCAACCGTCTTCTCGACCCCACGGACAACCCGGATCTCACGGCCGAACGAAAGAATTGCCAATTTGACACCGACGCCTTGGCCGCTCGATTTTATGGCGGCGCCGAGAAAATTCGTCGACGTCGAGAGATTTTCAAGGCAGTCGAGAGCATCCCCGAACTTCGAGATGCTGTTCAGGACACCTCGTTTATGGATCGAATGCAAAAATTGGAGAATGGGACCAGAAACGCGATAAATGTGGCCAAATACGCGGAAGAGATTATTTCAAGTCCTTTGGCACAAGAGGAGGCCGCTTATTTGAATTCGTAGGTTGGTTTGGAGTTGTGAAATACGCAGTGTGTTTTTTGACAAAATTTGAAAAAAAGTCATCATTTTTTTAATTTCCCGAAAATTGATCATTATGACATGTTAAGTTTTTTTTAAAAACGCTCTCTTTGTCCCAGGACTGCTAAAACATTCTTAATTGCAGCCTAGTTGTGGGCAGAGATGGATTTCCCTTCATTATTCACTATGTTATGGTCATCCCAATGTTGATGAACAATGCCGACGAAGAGCAGATGGATTGGTGGTTTTCGAAGGCCTTCAATCGCGAGTTTATTAGCACCTACGCGCAGACAGAGCTCGGTCATGGGACTAATCTCAAGAAACTGGAAACAACCGCGGTTTACGATGAGAAAACAGAAGAATTTGTTCTGAACACACCTACAATAACGGCCACAAAATGGTGGCCAGGTGAGAAAATTTTTTATTTTTTTGTGATTATAGATTATTTGATAGTGTCTTGAATGTACGTTTTTTTATTTTTCTCATAAAAAAGTGCAAAATTATCGAAAAAAGCTATAAAATTTCAAAAAATTATATCATTCATGGGAAAATTCCAGGAAACCTCGGAAAATCGACCAACATGGTGATGGTTATGGCCTTATTATACACCAAGGGGAAGTGTCATGGAGCTCACGCCTTTATGATGCAAATTCGAGACTTTGAAACGCATAAATTATTGCCGGGAATCGAAGGTAAGTTAACATACTTTACCTGTTGAAACCTCAAATATCCGAATTATGACGTTTCTGATTTTTAGTGGGCGATATCGGACCCAAATATGGTATGAACGCGAATGACAATGGATTCATGCGTCTGAATAACGTCCGAATTCCGCGACGAAACATGTTGATGAAGAACGCGAGAGTGGAGAAAGACGGGACTTATGTTGCTCCAAAGCATTCGAAATTAGCGTACACTGGGATGATGTTTGTTCGTGCGGTCATGATTAGAGACCAAGCTCTGCAATTGGCTTCGGCTGCAACTATTTCTACAAGGTACTCTTGTGTCAGACGTCAAGGAGAAATGATTGAAGGGTAAGAGTAGTAAACAACGTGGAATGACGTTTGTAGGTCTTAAAAAATATTTTCTTCTCATCTGCCATTTTTCTTACACATTTTCGCCTCTCCTAAGACGTATAGAAAATTTTCCAATAAATTTGTGACACTTCGTCAAAATCAATAACGAAGTGTCAACACCCTTTTATACTGATTTTTAAGATTTAACATACTAACTACGGCAATTTTAGCGACGGAGAAGTCAAAGTTCTCGACTACAAGACTCAGCAATACCGCGTTTTACCCCATATCGCAAGATCTATCTGTTTCCTATTTGCGGGTGATTATTCAATGAGATTGTACGAAAGACTGGTTGATGACCTCAGCAAAGGTGATACAAGTCTTATGGCTGATCTACACGCTCTTGGCTCCGGGCTAAAAGCTGTTGTCTCGTTCCAAACATCTCAAGGAATCGAGCAGTGTCGATTGGCCTGCGGTGGACATGGTTATAGTGAAGCTGGCGGATTCCTAAGGCTTTATGGTATCGCTACGGGTGGGTGCACCTACGAAGGAGAGAACATGGTCATGTTGTTGCAATTGGCAAGGTAAAAGAAGCTCATTTTTTGTGGTTAACATCAAGAATTATGCTAATCTATAGGCAAAAATTGATGACTTTTCGAAAAAAATCCTTTTTCCAGGTATATTATGAAGTTGATTCCGCGAATCAGAGCCAACGATCTCTCATACAAGCCATCGCCGTTGACCGCGTACTATTTCCAAGGGCAATACAAGCCGAAATTTTCCGAATATAGCCCGGAAAATCCGCGGGAAATCAACTGGAGATGCATTCAAGACGGGTTTGAGTACGCCTCTCGACAACTGGCCTTTTATGCACATGTAAAATACGAAAAATTGGTAAACGGTGGAATGAAACCCGAGCTCGCATGGAATGAAGTGGCTGTGGATTTGGTGAAAGTGAGTTGTATGCGATTTTACGAGTTTATGACATCGTTTTAGGCCTCAAAATCGCACACTCGGACATTTTTGGCCAGAAATTTCATTGACAGAGTGAGAGAAGAACGAGATCCTGGTATAAAGAATGTATTAGGCGATATTCTTCATCTTTATTTGCTCTATGAAGTGTTGGATTGTCGAGCGGATTTGCTAGAGGCAAGTGGGAAATATTATAAAAAATTGACGAAATATCACAAAAATTATAGGAAAATTTTAAAATCATATCTATGGCGACAAAAGGTCCAAGAAAAATTCTCAAGGCTATAATAATGTCATAAATGACAAAAACACATTCTAGACGGGCTACATGACCCACAGCCAGCTACATTCCATCCGCGAAGACCTCAGCCAAACCTTGACCAAGATCAGAGCGAACGCCGTAAATATTGTGGACTCATTCGATATCAGCGACCGAGAATTGGTGTCGGTTCTGGGCCGAAAAGACGGTCATGTCTACGAAAACTTGTACAAATGGGCTCAAAACAGCAGCTTAAATCAACATGAGGTCCTGCCATTCCATCATGAGACTCTGGGAAAAATGATGAAAGACGCCAGAGAAAAAAGCAAATTGTAAAGGAATTATTGAAATGTTGGAATGAACTTGTAATATAGCAATAAATGATAAGTTGAAAGCTTTGGAGATGGGGTCAAAAAGCTAAAACTTTGTTTTTTATTAACAAGTGAAGGCTTTTGTCATATACTCCCCGTACAATGTTTTGACCCCCCTCCTAACTCGGTCCAAGGTGTACTAATTCGGACCAAATTTGGTATGTAGTATACTCACAGGTTAGTAACAAAAAATAACATGGCTGGACCTACCTTATAGTTGAATATCAAACTCTGGGGGCAATTTTCAAAAATCACCTTAAAAAATCGAGGAAAAAGTTTTGACCCCCCTTAACAAAAAGTTAGATATCGCCAGCGGATGCCACGCAAACTTATTGTAATCGACGTCCCATACCTGAATACAGATTAATATATGGTTTTCCGTTGAATGCTTCGTTGCATTTGAGGATTCAACGCGTTAAACCGTTTTTGATGTAGAGCTGCCCAAAATTGTAAAAATCTTGCCCTAGCGCTTTCCTAGAGCTCTAAATTGGGTTTATATTATGTGATTTAGACCTGTGTTAACCTTCTCCTTTCGATAAAAGTGCGTGGTGGCCTGACCGTGTAGATTCAGCAGATACCCTCTTGTCATGCCCAGCCTTGGTGAGCTATTTGCTCTTTGACTCAAGGTCGAGATGTGGTTATTAGGTCCTCAATGCAATCCTGAGACTCCTAGATACTCTCAAAGAAAAAATAAACTCCGGCTGACACGGTCTCATATGGTTTGCAGGCGCATCTTCGCCGATCTGCACCTTAACGGAAAACCCGCGTTTTTCAAATGGATTTTTAGCCACCAAAGACAGCTTTCATTTGATGGACCAGGTAATTTAAGACGCTACAGCACTTACCATACTCATTTGAGACGTATGAAATGCCAAATGGGAGGTGGTGATGTCATCGTACTCGGGGTCATCTACAGTAACGGCAAAGTTAAGATTAAGGTGAATGAAACCCATTACAAAACGTGTCAAATCAAAACATTTTAAATTGCTGAGAGTAACTAGGAGTCTCAGGATTACATTGAGGACCTAATGACCACATCTCGACCTTGAGTCAAAGAGCAAATGGCTCACCAAGGCTGGGCATGACAAGAGGGTATCTGCCGAATCTACACCGCCAGGCCACCATGCACTTTTATTGAAAGGAGAAGGTAAATACAGGTCTAAAGTACATAATATAAACCCAATTTGGAGCTCTAGGAAAGCGCTAGGGCAGATTTTTACAATTTTGGGCAGCTCTACATCAAAAACGGTTTAACGCGTTGAATCCTCAAATGCAACGAAGCATTCAACGGAAAACCATATATTAACCTGTATTCAGGTATGGGACGTCGATTACAATAAGTTTGCGTGGCATCTGCTGGCGATATCTAACTTTCTTTAAGGGGGGTCAAAACTTTTTCCTCGATTTTTAAAGGTGATTTTTGAAAATTGCCGCTGGCTTTTGAAATTCAACTATAAGGTATGTCCTGCTATGTTATTTTTTGTTACTAGCCTGTGAGTATACTACATACCAAATTTGGTCCGAATTAGTACACTTTGGACGGAGTTAGGAGGGGGGTCAAAACATTGTACGGGGAGTATAGATAAAAGAAATTTTTTGGCCATAACTCTCGCTATTTTCACTCAAAAAATTATTTTTTGTGGAAACATTACCCTCAACGGTAGAACAAGCTTTGCAACTTTCCATGCCAAAATTTGAAAAAAAAAACTGTTACATTTTTGCCAACTCTACCAAAAATATTGGTTGTTTCTGCAAAGCGCTACCTAAGAGTCTCGCGTATGTCTTGGAAATAAAATTATCTAACTTTGGGTAAAATTTCATCAAAAAAAACTGAATGTCATACTTTTCCATCCCTCTTGTATAAACTCAGATTTCAAAAGCACTTAGAGAGGGAAGCGTTTTGTCACATTTTTTATTCTTCCCGGAAGCAAAATGGTACGTTTTTCGCCACTGGATCAGGTCCCCCAATGTGTGAATATTTGGTTTTTATACATCGGATAGAATCTTTCGAAGTCAAAAGATTCGTACCATTGCAACTTTTGACGGTGCTCTAAAGAAGCCTCAATTTATGATGGAAAAACAACAACTTTTCTTTTCGAAACCTTTCTGCAATTCCAACCAGAATATAAAGTTACAATTAGAGCGCTAAAGTCGCAACACACAAAATACCAAACGGTAAATATTTATCTACCTTCTAGTTCTCTTTAAAACAATAGCCTATAGCGTACACATTCACACGTAAACCAGCTTCGAACACGTTGAATCCAAGTGACCTGCAACGAATATCCTGTGGTAAGTTGCATTGATAAAGAGGCCTCCCCCTCCAGCGGAACCACGATGTAATGTGAAAAGGTTTGTGTTTTGTATCGGTCAAAGAGCGATTCAACACCAGGAAGGAGCTTTTCTGTCTCGTATTTTGGTCGATAAACAAAGCATGCTCAACGAATGGAGTGTAGCTAGAGATATTGAGCCCTTGTCTTGCCTTTTGCACGTTGTTGTCCGCAAATTACGTTCATTTCCCGCAAAAATCGGCACGAAATCGGTGTTTTTCTTGCATCTGTTACGGCCAACAAAATACAAGTTTTGTACATTGGAAATCATCGATAGCGGAGAGGTTGGCGAAACATTTTCGCAAGCAGTCGATAGCGCAATGTGCGCTCCAGCCGTGGCTACAATCCTCGTAGTTGTGGCGGCTTTAAATGGGTGCTGCTTTTGGGGGAGCGTCTGCTAAATTGTTGGGGAAATGATCCACAGAGAGGTGGGCTAAAAGGATGGGCTGAGGATTAAAGGAGGGTTGAGCACGTCAGGTCTTATCTTGAAGTTGACGTACTTGAATGAAAGCTTAAAAGATGTCGAGCTCAAAGTTGTACAACGTTTTTGTATGCTCATTTTTCGCTGATAATAGCTTTACTCTTTGACACATTGAAATTGACACTTGGCCTAAGCATTGGTCACATTTTTCTAGCGCACTTGGCCCACGCATTGGTCAAACTTTTTTAGCGACATTTTTGGCTCTCGCATTATAGGAACCATCGACATTTTTTAGGTCGAAAGCTGGAAAAAAAACTGGATGGGGTAGTTTTCTACAGTCTCGCTTCAGCCAAAATTACCTGTATATCAGTCTGTCGGGAAAATAATGAACACAATGTCACTGTCGCTGAAGTGAAAAGCAATTTGATTTTGCAGCGGCACAATTCACTTTCTCGTTGGCGAAGCGATTTTCGATGCGACAGAGTGGTCATTATTTTCCCCACAGACTGAAAAACAATTGAATTCTCTTGGCCACTCTTCGAATTTGTGTCTTTACCTATGTAGCTAAGCGAATAAACCCTTTCCGTTAATCATGATTGTAAAAATGCTTGTTTTTTGCTCTCAAGGATGCATGATATTCTTCCTAGACTATCACTTCTATAGCCAAACTACTCACTACATTGAACAGGCTCCATTTTAATTGGTCTTCTTTACACAGTTCCACAAGTTTACAAACACTCCAACGCACAGTAACGTGCTTTTTTTCGTCTTTCCTTGGTCTTTTCACTTTTATTTCCACCCTATTTTTCTCTGCCCTCCTAATGCGCTAAATTAACATTTTTCCCAGTGCATTAAAAAGTTTTGCTGTAAATTTTTCTTGGTGTTCCAACGGAATCGACCACACATTTTTTGTTGAGTTTTAACTTTCTGTACGAAAAAGAAAATTTCCCTCAAAAAGTCACGAAGTTCCTTCAAATCATACGCAGGAAGTCTTATCACTGATGTGTTATATAAAAAAGAGGTTCGTTTGTGTGGGAGACAAATGTTTTGGAGATGTTTTGTGTCTACTATAATAAGGAGATACAACTCGAAAGCTGTCTAAAAAAGGTCGAAACCAAGATCCAGGGTATCCTTAATTGGAACTACATGTATCGTCGGGCGACTGAAAAAAACATTTTTTGAGGATACTTTTTATGGCTCCCTGATACTTTTTGAACTCAAAAAAAAATAACTAAATGTGGGCTTTCTTGATCTCTTATCACTTTTTTGGGAAGTATTTGTCTTGATTTTCTCTTTTATTTCAACTTTCGCATCTTTGCTTCGCATTGACATACATATTTTTTACCGCGTTCTCTTTGAACTTGTGTCACCTAAGTCTCGACCTTTCAGAATGCCGAACCACTGCTTAGAACCAAACCAGAATGAGGACCTGGCCTCGGAACGCCGACTCTGTCCGTTCAACACGCTGGAAATGACCGCCAGAATTTATGGAGGCGAAAACTTTGTCAAAAGTCGACAGAAGATCCAAAAATACGTCCAAAGCGTCCCAGAACTGCGCGAATGTTCCAGTGATTTTTCATTTTTGAGTCGATTGGAGACCCTGGAGAGAACGGCCAGAAACGCAGTGGTCCTGATGAAACACGCACCAAAAATCTGCGATCCCAACGAGCCTTTCGAATTCGAGTATTTGAGAAAGTAAGCGGAGATTTTAAACTTTTTTTTTGACATTGCTACCAAAATTATATCTTGTTATTCGAATTTTCGGCCGTTTTAATAGTCACCCTTTCTAGGCAAATTTGTGGAGATGATGGCTACCCATACGGACTTCACAACTCCATGGTTGTCCCCATGTTGAAAGTCAACTGCTCCGAGGAACAAATGAATTTGTGGCTGCCCAAAGCCCTGAACGGAGAGTTCATCGGAACCTATGCGCAAACTGAGATGGCTCACGGCACAAATCTCAAGAAACTCGAGACCACAGCCACTTATGATCCAGAAACCAAAGAGTTTGTCATGAACTCCCCAACCATCAGCTCAGCCAAATGGATCCCCGGAAATCTCGGGAAATCCTCAAACTTTATCTTGGTTATGGCTCAGCTATGGACTCAAGGAAAGTGTTATGGCCCACACGCTTTCATGGTGCAGATCCGAGACCCCGTCACACACATGCCAATGCCGGGAGTGGAGGTGGGAGATATTGGACCGAAGATTGGCATCAACTCGAATGACAATGGTTACCTTCGCCTGCACAACATCAGAATCCCGAGGCTCAACATGCTCATGGGAAATTCTCAAGTCACCCCTGAGGGCAAATTTATCCCACCAGCACACGCGAAGCTTGCATATACCTCGATGATGTTTGTAAGATCAGTTATGATCCATTTGATGGGTCAAGGATTGGGTGCAGCGGCTTGTATTGCCACAAGATATGCTTGTGTGAGAAGACAGGGCGAAGTCCTAGAAGGACAAGGAGAAGTGAAGATTCTGGACTATCAAACTCATCAATACAGAATTTTACCGCAGATTTCCCGGGCCTATGCCTTCATCTTTGCTGGACATTACAGTAAAGATCTGTACTTTAGAGTCATGGAGGATGTCAAGAGAAAGGATGTAAGTGGAAGAAAATGTTTTTATTTTGATGAGTTAGATGTGTTATGGCTTTCTAAATACCTTTTTAAGTATTTTTGAATGATTTACCATCAAAATTAAATCATTCGATCTGACTTGCAACCAAAACTTTAACGTATCACATTCTAGACTTCCTTGATGGCCGATTTGCACGCTCTCAACTCGGGCCTCAAATCCGTTGTGTCCTGGCAAGCATCTCAAGGCGTGGAACAATGCCGCCTCGGTTGTGGAGGACATGGCTACACCTGTGCTAGCGCCCTCCCTCAAATTTACGGCCTAGTTGTTGGTGGATGCACCTACGAGGGAGAGAACTTGGTCATGTTGTTGCAATTAGCCAGATATCTCATGAAGTTGGCTCCACAAATTGTTGCCGGACGTCCCAACGGGAAAATCAGTGAGATCGCTCAATATCTCTTTGAGAAAAAGCCGACAAAATCTCGGCTTCAAAAGAACCAAAGCCGCGAAGCTCAGTGGGAAGCCATCCAAGAGGGCTTCGAACATGTGGCCAGACGGCTGACTCTTGAAGCCTATCAACGACTCTCCGATCTGAAGAAGAACGGAGTTCCTCATGAAGTCGCCTGGACCAAGGTTGGTCTGGACTTGTCGAGAGCCTCAAAGGCACACACAAGAACTTTCTTGACACGAATCTTTATCAACTCCGTGAAGAATGAGAAGACCTGGTCACTCAAGGAAGTCTTGAGTGATGTTCTTCATCTGTACTTGCATTATGAGCTTCAAGACTGCAGAGCTGACGTTTTGGAGGACGGGTATTTGAGGTAAGCATAGAGTTGCGTAAAAAATAAAAAAAAACAATGAAAAAATAATTTTTTTTAACAAAAATTTATTCTTTCAGCAACCAACAAGCCGAAATCTCCCGTGAGGAGCTCGCTAAAGCTCTTGAGGCTGTCCGTAAGAACGCTGTGAATCTTGTTGACGCATTTGACTTCCAAGACCGCGAGTTGAACTCGCAGCTGGGCCGAAAAGACGGCAATGTCTACGAGAACTTGTGGAAGTGGGCGCAGAATTCGGAGGTCAACAAATATCAAGTGCTGCCGTTCCATCATGAAACAACTGGGAAAATCATGAAAGACGCGCAACGGCAGCATAGTAAATTGTAATCATCCCTGTACTTTTTTTGTTCTGTATTTATATATTTTTGGTCATAAATTTGATATCAAAAGTTGCGACAGAGAAGATTGATTAGAGACTTACAGAAGCCGTATTTTACCAAAAAAAAACTATTTATTTTCGCAAAAAAATCCCGTAAATTATGTCTACTAAACTTCTCAAGACCAGCACAACTTCCCCAATAGGATACTCCTTTGCACGGCCAATGGGAAACAAGCTTTAATAGCCATCCAAACATTCAGTTTGGCCGGGTATAACACCTCTCTTTCGTTCAGTTTGATCGCTTGAATACTCCTTTCAATAAGGCCATCCAATTCTACAGCCGGAAAGGCTTGATGGAAATGTTGTTGGCCGTCCAACAGCGGGGTTTTCACATACCATGGGCAAATTGTAGTGAATTCGATCCCGTCGTGGCCAAGAATTACCATTTGATTGTAGAGTGATTCCATAAAGCCGCGAACACCGAATTTCGCGGCACAGTAGTCGGCAATTTCTACAAGGAGAGATGATTTTTATTCGGATCGACTTACCGGCCAGGCCAAGATGACCAGCAACAGAACCCGTTGCAACAATATGGCCTTCGTTGCGTTCGATCATTTTGGGAAGAAATTGTTTTACAGTCTAACAAAATGATAAATGTTTAATATTGCTTACGTAAAAATGAGAAAGAAGCATAACCCTAACGAGCCTTTCCATGGCGGCGGTGCTAGTGTCCAAAAAGTAGCTGTTGTTGACTAATCCGGCATTGTTGTAGAGAATATCGATGTCACCAAAGTTTTCTCGCAGCACATCGGCAGCTTTGTTGACGTTCTCTTCCTTGGAGATGTCGACAGCTTGAATATAGACCTAAAAAATTATATCTGTCTTTTTTGGTATTATCGTCTTGTCTCCATAGGTCATCTTTTCTCCTTTTTACACAGAGGTACAAATAGCTGCATAGTCAACCCGAATCGAATGTAAAGAGGTGTAAAGCAGAGTCAAATACTGGTGCTAAACAGCATTACCAAGTTAAACTTACATCAACCCCATATTTCTCCACCTCCTTTTTTGTCGTTTCCAGTCCTTTTTCGTTGATATCCCAAAGCGCCAGATGACATCCTTCTTGGGCCAATCTTTTGGCCATTGCAGCTCCAATTCCACTTCCACCACCGGTTAAAAGTACTCTCTAAATCACAAAGAACTCAATGCCGTATTATTAGAGCAAAAATACTGTGAGATTTTGCGGTCGAAGGAGGCTTTTTTGGATACTTTGTGGACGAAAAACGCCTTTTCTTTGACAATTGACGTATAATATTTTTGTAAATTTTCACAAAAATTATAAGATTTTTTTGGGAAAATATAGGAAACGAGATGACTGCTTTACCTTTCCCCTGAGATCCTTCTTCTTCTTCCACTCGTATGGCACCAAATTATTGTACAAACTTTGCCCAATCAAGTAGAAAATCCATCCCAAAAGCTTCGTAATATCCGTAATCTCCATTCCACCGATACAAAACGTACAAAACCTTTGCCTTTATACTCCAAAACAGTTTACAACCTGTTGGTAACACACCTTATCCGCAGCGACCGCGCGCGGCAACCCGAAATAGAAGAAAAATGTTGTGTGTTTATGTATGTGTAGAAGAGAGCGACGGTTTTGCAAAAGAACATGCTTTTCAGCGGAAAGTGGCGTGAACCACTTTCAGAAAGCTCTCTTTTCTCTTCTCGCTCTCTTTATTTTGAAGACTATCTCGCCTTCGTAGAATTTTTTGGTTTCTCCTGCAAACCATGAGATAAAATTTTGGGCAATTGATATATGCCCCATGCAAAATTAACGAAATTCCGGAGTCTGCACTTGTGACACTTTCTATATGATTTCTTTCTTACCGCTAACAAATATTTTCTCTATACAGATACTTTTCAGAAAGTACTAATTACTGGCGGTGCCAGTGGAATCGGCGCTGCTTGTGCCAAGCTTCTGGTGGAGGAAGGCTGTCAAGTCGCAATATGGGATATTCACGAGGAAAATCTCGCCAATATTCACCGTGAGCTCGAGAAAACTGGATACACTGTAAGTTATATGTTAGTGCGAATTCATTTTTGCCATCCTTTCAGATCTACACACAAAAAGTTGATCTTTCGAATGAATCGGAGATCCTCAAAGCTTGTGATGACTTGAAAGAGCGCTTCGGAGACGTCGACATTCTCTTCAACAACGCCGGGCTTGGCAATGCGTCGAGTTTCCTCCAGAGCAACACCGAGACAATGAAATACATTTTCGATGTGAATATTTTTGCTCACATGCATGTAAGTTGGAATTTTCGACGAATTCTCTGGAAAATTTTTGAGTGTTTTGATATAATCGTTTGCAGATTGTCAGACAACTTTTGCCAAGGATGATAGAAAAGGGCGAAGGGCATATTGTGGCTACAAGCTCGTTCGGAGGGATCTGTGCACTCGGAGGTAGGCGGTTTTGATTTTTAGGACTCTCAAAGCCTTTAACTTCTTCTGCGTCGAGCGGCTGCATGATGAAAGAAGAGCGGCAAGAGAAAATTTTATGGCCATAATCTCAAAAATTTAAATTTATGCCAAGTGTCATGAAAATCAAGGCATCCCACTTGGCATACACAATAGTGGAGGACCTGATCCAGTGGCAAAAAAGCATACCATTTTGCATACCGGAAGTGTCAAAAATGTGGCAAAATACCTCCATTTCCACGTGAAACACTCGGATTTCAAAGGCGAGCCCGCTTTTTTTGCGAGAGAAAAGACGCGCTCTTCAAAACGGAGTTTTTCGCTCGAAAAAGAAGGTATTTTGCTGCATTTTCGATACTTCCCGGATGCGAAATTTTACGTTCTTTGCCAGTGGATTCTGTCCTCTACTGTACATATTTGCTGTACAAATTCAGAGCGAATTAATCACCTCTTTTCAGAGTTCGTTGACTACTCTACCACAAAATTTGCGGTCAGAGGATTCATGGAAGCTCTCAATAATCAACTGGAACTTCAAGGGGTATCTGGGATTGAGTTTACCACAGTGTTCCCGGGGTATGTTCGAACGCCCATCTGGAAGGAGTTCAATCCCGGAAAACAGTACATCCCGGTGATCGACGCGGACGAAATGGCCGAGGAAATAGTCCGGGGGATAAAACTGAACCAAAAAGAAGTCATTTATCCAAAAAGGCTTACTTGGATCATGATTGCTAAAGCGTAAGTGCAATTTATAATGTTTTTACAGTAAAAAATATATATATATTTAGGATCCTACCACTAAATGTTCAACGGAGCCTGTTGCTGCACAAGTTTTGCTGGTCGTGAAAGCAGATGATTAATACTACACTTTTTGCACATATGTAAATTTAACTGTATTTTAAATATTTATAAAAATATAAAAGATTTTTGTCGCAAAATTTGGTAAGAAATGGTTGAAAAAATCTTTTTGCTAGGCTGATTCTCATCATTTTGTTTATTTTGAAGAAAAAATATAGCGGAATATGTCCACTACAGGTCTAAAGCGTAAGATAATTTTAAGGGATATATGTAGCCTTGTAACGCGTAAAAAAATGTAAAAAAATCAAATGCTTTTTTTCGATTCCGATTTTTTAAAAAAATCTAGACTCACATGTACAAGTACAGCCATAGAAATTAGCATCAAAAATCATTTGATAAGACCAGGGCAGTTCGCTTTTTCCACAAAATAAAGCGCACATCACTCGGGTTTTTCTTATCGCTCTCTTTTTGAAGAACACAACATTTGTGGTTAGACGAGACGCTCGTTGAGGGCAATTTTTTGAAGAATATTCGCTTTTTTGGAAGAATATCATTAATTATATTGGCGGCGTCTGCAAAGTGCTAGCTAAATTTTCCGAATTGGATATGTGGCCTAACAATAAGGTATCTTCAAAATTCATATTTTGAAGGAAATCTGAGGAAGTTTTTCAATTTTACTCTGATTTCTTCGGAAAAACATTTTTTTTACTATGTTAAACAAAAGCTTTCATCCAATCTTATTCGAATTTTGGTCAAAAAACTTTGTTTATTTAGACTTTGAGTCCCTATCAGTCTGTCGGGAAAATAATGAGCACAATTTCGCTGGGCCCATCGCTTCGCTGAAGTGAAAAGAAATTTGATTTTTCCGCAACACAATTCATTTTCTCGGAGGTGCTGCATTTTTTTTGATGCGATATAGTCCTCATTATTTTTCCGACAGATTAATAAAAAGACCTTTCAATATCTGTAAAATTTAGAATTTTTTTAATTGCCTCTTTTTTCGTCGCCTAAAATCAATTTTTTTGTCAATTTTCTCAGGCGCTCTTTTTATCTGAACGCTCCACAAAAGAGTGATTTCCCGACTTTACACCAAAAACGCGAACGTATTTCAGCTGATTCTATGATGATGAAACTCAAACCAGAGTTGTTAAACTTTTAAATTTGGGTGTAAAGCCGGTGGCTTCCGATTCATTTTGAAGTTAAAACGGTACACAGTTAATTAATTGGAATTCAGTGTTGTTGCGATCAAAATTTGTTGTGGATGAGGGTTTAGGGTATTGGAAAGTAATGAAAATAAAGCTTCATCAATTTTTATTTTTTTGAATATCAGTCTGTCGGGAAAATAATGACCACTCTGTCGCATCGCCGCACGTCAAACTGAGGTAAGCTAAAAAAGTCCGGTGAATGGATTGGCAGTTTGCCAAAAAAAGACACGAAAAAACGTTTTGTCGGAGAAGAAATGGGGAATTTTTGGGGCGAGAGAGTACGTTTTTGCGTCTCTTTTTTCTCTCTTTCTCTGCGAAATCAAGACGAAGTGTAAAAAACCGATAGCGAAGAGTCTATTCCGGTCACCGGACTCCTCAGTTTGACGTGCGCCGCGGAGAAAATGAATTGATTCGCGGCAAAGTCAAATTGCTTTTCAGTTCAGCGACACGATTGGCGTATCGACATTGTGCTCATTATTTTCCCGACAGACTGGTCATTGAAAACCTTGTTGTAAAATACGGCCCTCGTATTCTTTCCTGAATATCAGTTCGATCAAAAATTTCATTGATTTTTCCTCGTTGCGCCTATTTTTGTAAAGCATCGCAAAAACAAAGAGGCAATTCTTTTCCAACCAGACTCAAGCCATTCCAGATGCCCAACCGTCTTCTCGACCCCACGGACAACCCGGATCTCACGGCCGAACGAAAGAATTGCCAATTTGACACCGACGCCTTGGCCGCTCGATTTTATGGCGGCGCCGAGAAAATTCGTCGACGTCGAGAGATTTTCAAGGCAGTCGAGAGCATCCCCGAACTTCGAGATGCTGTTCAGGACACCTCGTTTATGGATCGAATGCAAAAATTGGAGAATGGGACCAGAAACGCGATAAATGTGGCCAAATACGCGGAAGAGATTATTTCAAGTCCTTTGGCACAAGAGGAGGCCGCTTATTTGAATTCGTAGGTTGGTTTGGAGTTGTGAAATACGCAGTGTGTTTTTTGACAAAATTTGAAAAAAAGTCATCATTTTTTTAATTTCCCGAAAATTGATCATTATGACATGTTAAGTTTTTTTAAAAACGCTCTCTTTGTCCCAGGACTGCTAAAACATTCTTAATTGCAGCCTAGTTGTGGGCAGAGATGGATTTCCCTTCATTATTCACTATGTTATGGTCATCCCAATGTTGATGAACAATGCCGACGAAGAGCAGATGGATTGGTGGTTTTCGAAGGCCTTCAATCGCGAGTTTATTAGCACCTACGCGCAGACAGAGCTCGGTCATGGGACTAATCTCAAGAAACTGGAAACAACCGCGGTTTACGATGAGAAAACAGAAGAATTTGTTCTGAACACACCTACAATAACGGCCACAAAATGGTGGCCAGGTGAGAAAATTTTTTATTTTTTTGTGATTATAGATTATTTGATAGTGTCTTGAATGTACGTTTTTTTATTTTTCTCATAAAAAAGTGCAAAATTATCGAAAAAAGCTATAAAATTTCAAAAAATTATATCATTCATGGGAAAATTCCAGGAAACCTCGGAAAATCGACCAACATGGTGATGGTTATGGCCTTATTATACACCAAGGGGAAGTGTCATGGAGCTCACGCCTTTATGATGCAAATTCGAGACTTTGAAACGCATAAATTATTGCCGGGAATCGAAGGTAAGTTAACATACTTTACCTGTTGAAACCTCAAATATCCGAATTATGACGTTTCTGATTTTTAGTGGGCGATATCGGACCCAAATATGGTATGAACGCGAATGACAATGGATTCATGCGTCTGAATAACGTCCGAATTCCGCGACGAAACATGTTGATGAAGAACGCGAGAGTGGAGAAAGACGGGACTTATGTTGCTCCAAAGCATTCGAAATTAGCGTACACTGGGATGATGTTTGTTCGTGCGGTCATGATTAGAGACCAAGCTCTGCAATTGGCTTCGGCTGCAACTATTTCTACAAGGTACTCTTGTGTCAGACGTCAAGGAGAAATGATTGAAGGGTAAGAGTAGTAAACAACGTGGAATGACGTTTGTAGGTCTTAAAAAATATTTTCTTCTCATCTGCCATTTTTCTTACACATTTTCGCCTCTCCTAAGACGTATAGAAAATTTTCCAATAAATTTGTGACACTTCGTCAAAATCAATAACGAAGTGTCAACACCCTTTTATACTGATTTTTAAGATTTAACATACTAACTACGGCAATTTTAGCGACGGAGAAGTCAAAGTTCTCGACTACAAGACTCAGCAATACCGCGTTTTACCCCATATCGCAAGATCTATCTGTTTCCTATTTGCGGGTGATTATTCAATGAGATTGTACGAAAGACTGGTTGATGACCTCAGCAAAGGTGATACAAGTCTTATGGCTGATCTACACGCTCTTGGCTCCGGGCTAAAAGCTGTTGTCTCGTTCCAAACATCTCAAGGAATCGAGCAGTGTCGATTGGCCTGCGGTGGACATGGTTATAGTGAAGCTGGCGGATTCCTAAGGCTTTATGGTATCGCTACGGGTGGGTGCACCTACGAAGGAGAGAACATGGTCATGTTGTTGCAATTGGCAAGGTAAAAGAAGCTCATTTTTTGTGGTTAACATCAAGAATTATGCTAATCTATAGGCAAAAATTGATGACTTTTCGAAAAAAATCCTTTTTCCAGGTATATTATGAAGTTGATTCCGCGAATCAGAGCCAACGATCTCTCATACAAGCCATCGCCGTTGACCGCGTACTATTTCCAAGGGCAATACAAGCCGAAATTTTCCGAATATAGCCCGGAAAATCCGCGGGAAATCAACTGGAGATGCATTCAAGACGGGTTTGAGTACGCCTCTCGACAACTGGCCTTTTATGCACATGTAAAATACGAAAAATTGGTAAACGGTGGAATGAAACCCGAGCTCGCATGGAATGAAGTGGCTGTGGATTTGGTGAAAGTGAGTTGTATGCGATTTTACGAGTTTATGACATCGTTTTAGGCCTCAAAATCGCACACTCGGACATTTTTGGCCAGAAATTTCATTGACAGAGTGAGAGAAGAACGAGATCCTGGTATAAAGAATGTATTAGGCGATATTCTTCATCTTTATTTGCTCTATGAAGTGTTGGATTGTCGAGCGGATTTGCTAGAGGCAAGTGGGAAATATTATAAAAAATTGACGAAATATCACAAAAATTATAGGAAAATTTTAAAATCATATCTATGGCGACAAAAGGTCCAAGAAAAATTCTCAAGGCTATAATAATGTCATAAATGACAAAAACACATTCTAGACGGGCTACATGACCCACAGCCAGCTACATTCCATCCGCGAAGACCTCAGCCAAACCTTGACCAAGATCAGAGCGAACGCCGTAAATATTGTGGACTCATTCGATATCAGCGACCGAGAATTGGTGTCGGTTCTGGGCCGAAAAGACGGTCATGTCTACGAAAACTTGTACAAATGGGCTCAAAACAGCAGCTTAAATCAACATGAGGTCCTGCCATTCCATCATGAGACTCTGGGAAAAATGATGAAAGACGCCAGAGAAAAAAGCAAATTGTAAAGGAATTATTGAAATGTTGGAATGAACTTGTAATATAGCAATAAATGATAAGTTGAAAGCTTTGGAGATGGGGTCAAAAAGCTAAAACTTTGTTTTTTATTAACAAGTGAAGGCTTTTGTCATATACTCCCCGTACAATGTTTTGACCCCCCTCCTAACTCGGTCCAAGGTGTACTAATTCGGACCAAATTTGGTATGTAGTATACTCACAGGTTAGTAACAAAAAATAACATGGCTGGACCTACCTTATAGTTGAATATCAAACTCTGGGGGCAATTTTCAAAAATCACCTTAAAAAATCGAGGAAAAAGTTTTGACCCCCCTTAACAAAAAGTTAGATATCGCCAGCGGATGCCACGCAAACTTATTGTAATCGACGTCCCATACCTGAATACAGATTAATATATGGTTTTCCGTTGAATGCTTCGTTGCATTTGAGGATTCAACGCGTTAAACCGTTTTTGATGTAGAGCTGCCCAAAATTGTAAAAATCTTGCCCTAGCGCTTTCCTAGAGCTCTAAATTGGGTTTATATTATGTGATTTAGACCTGTGTTAACCTTCTCCTTTCGATAAAAGTGCGTGGTGGCCTGACCGTGTAGATTCAGCAGATACCCTCTTGTCATGCCCAGCCTTGGTGAGCTATTTGCTCTTTGACTCAAGGTCGAGATGTGGTTATTAGGTCCTCAATGCAATCCTGAGACTCCTAGATACTCTCAAAGAAAAAATAAACTCCGGCTGACACGGTCTCATATGGTTTGCAGGCGCATCTTCGCCGATCTGCACCTTAACGGAAAACCCGCGTTTTTCAAATGGATTTTTAGCCACCAAAGACAGCTTTCATTTGATGGACCAGGTAATTTAAGACGCTACAGCACTTACCATACTCATTTGAGACGTATGAAATGCCAAATGGGAGGTGGTGATGTCATCGTACTCGGGGTCATCTACAGTAACGGCAAAGTTAAGATTAAGGTGAATGAAACCCATTACAAAACGTGTCAAATCAAAACATTTTAAATTGCTGAGAGTAACTAGGAGTCTCAGGATTACATTGAGGACCTAATGACCACATCTCGACCTTGAGTCAAAGAGCAAATGGCTCACCAAGGCTGGGCATGACAAGAGGGTATCTGCCGAATCTACACCGCCAGGCCACCATGCACTTTTATTGAAAGGAGAAGGTAAATACAGGTCTAAAGTACATAATATAAACCCAATTTGGAGCTCTAGGAAAGCGCTAGGGCAGATTTTTACAATTTTGGGCAGCTCTACATCAAAAACGGTTTAACGCGTTGAATCCTCAAATGCAACGAAGCATTCAACGGAAAACCATATATTAACCTGTATTCAGGTATGGGACGTCGATTACAATAAGTTTGCGTGGCATCTGCTGGCGATATCTAACTTTCTTTAAGGGGGGGTCAAAACTTTTTCCTCGATTTTTAAAGGTGATTTTTGAAAATTGCCGCTGGCTTTTGAAATTCAACTATAAGGTATGTCCTGCTATGTTATTTTTTGTTACTAGCCTGTGAGTATACTACATACCAAATTTGGTCCGAATTAGTACACTTTGGACGGAGTTAGGAGGGGGGGTCAAAACATTGTACGGGGAGTATAGATAAAAGAAATTTTTTGGCCATAACTCTCGCTATTTTCACTCAAAAAATTATTTTTTGTGGAAACATTACCCTCAACGGTAGAACAAGCTTTGCAACTTTCCATGCCAAAATTTGAAAAAAAAAACTGTTACATTTTTGCCAACTCTACCAAAAATATTGGTTGTTTCTGCAAAGCGCTACCTAAGAGTCTCGCGTATGTCTTGGAAATAAAATTATCTAACTTTGGGTAAAATTTCATCAAAAAAAACTGAATGTCATACTTTTCCATCCCTCTTGTATAAACTCAGATTTCAAAAGCACTTAGAGAGGGAAGCGTTTTGTCACATTTTTTATTCTTCCCGGAAGCAAAATGGTACGTTTTTCGCCACTGGATCAGGTCCCCCAATGTGTGAATATTTGGTTTTTATACATCGGATAGAATCTTTCGAAGTCAAAAGATTCGTACCATTGCAACTTTTGACGGTGCTCTAAAGAAGCCTCAATTTATGATGGAAAAACAACAACTTTTCTTTTCGAAACCTTTCTGCAATTCCAACCAGAATATAAAGTTACAATTAGAGCGCTAAAGTCGCAACACACAAAATACCAAACGGTAAATATTTATCTACCTTCTAGTTCTCTTTAAAACAATAGCCTATAGCGTACACATTCACACGTAAACCAGCTTCGAACACGTTGAATCCAAGTGACCTGCAACGAATATCCTGTGGTAAGTTGCATTGATAAAGAGGCCTCCCCCTCCAGCGGAACCACGATGTAATGTGAAAAGGTTTGTGTTTTGTATCGGTCAAAGAGCGATTCAACACCAGGAAGGAGCTTTTCTGTCTCGTATTTTGGTCGATAAACAAAGCATGCTCAACGAATGGAGTGTAGCTAGAGATATTGAGCCCTTGTCTTGCCTTTTGCACGTTGTTGTCCGCAAATTACGTTCATTTCCCGCAAAAATCGGCACGAAATCGGTGTTTTTCTTGCATCTGTTACGGCCAACAAAATACAAGTTTTGTACATTGGAAATCATCGATAGCGGAGAGGTTGGCGAAACATTTTCGCAAGCAGTCGATAGCGCAATGTGCGCTCCAGCCGTGGCTACAATCCTCGTAGTTGTGGCGGCTTTAAATGGGTGCTGCTTTTGGGGGAGCGTCTGCTAAATTGTTGGGGAAATGATCCACAGAGAGGTGGGCTAAAAGGATGGGCTGAGGATTAAAGGAGGGTTGAGCACGTCAGGTCTTATCTTGAAGTTGACGTACTTGAATGAAAGCTTAAAAGATGTCGAGCTCAAAGTTGTACAACGTTTTTGTATGCTCATTTTTCGCTGATAATAGCTTTACTCTTTGACACATTGAAATTGACACTTGGCCTAAGCATTGGTCACATTTTTCTAGCGCACTTGGCCCACGCATTGGTCAAACTTTTTTAGCGACATTTTTGGCTCTCGCATTATAGGAACCATCGACATTTTTTAGGTCGAAAGCTGGAAAAAAAACTGGATGGGGTAGTTTTCTACAGTCTCGCTTCAGCCAAAATTACCTGTATATCAGTCTGTCGGGAAAATAATGAACACAATGTCACTGTCGCTGAAGTGAAAAGCAATTTGATTTTGCAGCGGCACAATTCACTTTCTCGTTGGCGAAGCGATTTTCGATGCGACAGAGTGGTCATTATTTTCCCCACAGACTGAAAAACAATTGAATTCTCTTGGCCACTCTTCGAATTTGTGTCTTTACCTATGTAGCTAAGCGAATAAACCCTTTCCGTTAATCATGATTGTAAAAATGCTTGTTTTTTGCTCTCAAGGATGCATGATATTCTTCCTAGACTATCACTTCTATAGCCAAACTACTCACTACATTGAACAGGCTCCATTTTAATTGGTCTTCTTTACACAGTTCCACAAGTTTACAAACACTCCAACGCACAGTAACGTGCTTTTTTTCGTCTTTCCTTGGTCTTTTCACTTTTATTTCCACCCTATTTTTCTCTGCCCTCCTAATGCGCTAAATTAACATTTTTCCCAGTGCATTAAAAAGTTTTGCTGTAAATTTTTCTTGGTGTTCCAACGGAATCGACCACACATTTTTTGTTGAGTTTTAACTTTCTGTACGAAAAAGAAAATTTCCCTCAAAAAGTCACGAAGTTCCTTCAAATCATACGCAGGAAGTCTTATCACTGATGTGTTATATAAAAAAGAGGTTCGTTTGTGTGGGAGACAAATGTTTTGGAGATGTTTTGTGTCTACTATAATAAGGAGATACAACTCGAAAGCTGTCTAAAAAAGGTCGAAACCAAGATCCAGGGTATCCTTAATTGGAACTACATGTATCGTCGGGCGACTGAAAAAAACATTTTTTGAGGATACTTTTTATGGCTCCCTGATACTTTTTGAACTCAAAAAAAAATAACTAAATGTGGGCTTTCTTGATCTCTTATCACTTTTTTGGGAAGTATTTGTCTTGATTTTCTCTTTTATTTCAACTTTCGCATCTTTGCTTCGCATTGACATACATATTTTTTACCGCGTTCTCTTTGAACTTGTGTCACCTAAGTCTCGACCTTTCAGAATGCCGAACCACTGCTTAGAACCAAACCAGAATGAGGACCTGGCCTCGGAACGCCGACTCTGTCCGTTCAACACGCTGGAAATGACCGCCAGAATTTATGGAGGCGAAAACTTTGTCAAAAGTCGACAGAAGATCCAAAAATACGTCCAAAGCGTCCCAGAACTGCGCGAATGTTCCAGTGATTTTTCATTTTTGAGTCGATTGGAGACCCTGGAGAGAACGGCCAGAAACGCAGTGGTCCTGATGAAACACGCACCAAAAATCTGCGATCCCAACGAGCCTTTCGAATTCGAGTATTTGAGAAAGTAAGCGGAGATTTTAAACTTTTTTTTTTGACATTGCTACCAAAATTATATCTTGTTATTCGAATTTTCGGCCGTTTTAATAGTCACCCTTTCTAGGCAAATTTGTGGAGATGATGGCTACCCATACGGACTTCACAACTCCATGGTTGTCCCCATGTTGAAAGTCAACTGCTCCGAGGAACAAATGAATTTGTGGCTGCCCAAAGCCCTGAACGGAGAGTTCATCGGAACCTATGCGCAAACTGAGATGGCTCACGGCACAAATCTCAAGAAACTCGAGACCACAGCCACTTATGATCCAGAAACCAAAGAGTTTGTCATGAACTCCCCAACCATCAGCTCAGCCAAATGGATCCCCGGAAATCTCGGGAAATCCTCAAACTTTATCTTGGTTATGGCTCAGCTATGGACTCAAGGAAAGTGTTATGGCCCACACGCTTTCATGGTGCAGATCCGAGACCCCGTCACACACATGCCAATGCCGGGAGTGGAGGTGGGAGATATTGGACCGAAGATTGGCATCAACTCGAATGACAATGGTTACCTTCGCCTGCACAACATCAGAATCCCGAGGCTCAACATGCTCATGGGAAATTCTCAAGTCACCCCTGAGGGCAAATTTATCCCACCAGCACACGCGAAGCTTGCATATACCTCGATGATGTTTGTAAGATCAGTTATGATCCATTTGATGGGTCAAGGATTGGGTGCAGCGGCTTGTATTGCCACAAGATATGCTTGTGTGAGAAGACAGGGCGAAGTCCTAGAAGGACAAGGAGAAGTGAAGATTCTGGACTATCAAACTCATCAATACAGAATTTTACCGCAGATTTCCCGGGCCTATGCCTTCATCTTTGCTGGACATTACAGTAAAGATCTGTACTTTAGAGTCATGGAGGATGTCAAGAGAAAGGATGTAAGTGGAAGAAAATGTTTTTATTTTGATGAGTTAGATGTGTTATGGCTTTCTAAATACCTTTTTAAGTATTTTTGAATGATTTACCATCAAAATTAAATCATTCGATCTGACTTGCAACCAAAACTTTAACGTATCACATTCTAGACTTCCTTGATGGCCGATTTGCACGCTCTCAACTCGGGCCTCAAATCCGTTGTGTCCTGGCAAGCATCTCAAGGCGTGGAACAATGCCGCCTCGGTTGTGGAGGACATGGCTACACCTGTGCTAGCGCCCTCCCTCAAATTTACGGCCTAGTTGTTGGTGGATGCACCTACGAGGGAGAGAACTTGGTCATGTTGTTGCAATTAGCCAGATATCTCATGAAGTTGGCTCCACAAATTGTTGCCGGACGTCCCAACGGGAAAATCAGTGAGATCGCTCAATATCTCTTTGAGAAAAAGCCGACAAAATCTCGGCTTCAAAAGAACCAAAGCCGCGAAGCTCAGTGGGAAGCCATCCAAGAGGGCTTCGAACATGTGGCCAGACGGCTGACTCTTGAAGCCTATCAACGACTCTCCGATCTGAAGAAGAACGGAGTTCCTCATGAAGTCGCCTGGACCAAGGTTGGTCTGGACTTGTCGAGAGCCTCAAAGGCACACACAAGAACTTTCTTGACACGAATCTTTATCAACTCCGTGAAGAATGAGAAGACCTGGTCACTCAAGGAAGTCTTGAGTGATGTTCTTCATCTGTACTTGCATTATGAGCTTCAAGACTGCAGAGCTGACGTTTTGGAGGACGGGTATTTGAGGTAAGCATAGAGTTGCGTAAAAAATAAAAAAAAACAATGAAAAAATAATTTTTTTTAACAAAAATTTATTCTTTCAGCAACCAACAAGCCGAAATCTCCCGTGAGGAGCTCGCTAAAGCTCTTGAGGCTGTCCGTAAGAACGCTGTGAATCTTGTTGACGCATTTGACTTCCAAGACCGCGAGTTGAACTCGCAGCTGGGCCGAAAAGACGGCAATGTCTACGAGAACTTGTGGAAGTGGGCGCAGAATTCGGAGGTCAACAAATATCAAGTGCTGCCGTTCCATCATGAAACAACTGGGAAAATCATGAAAGACGCGCAACGGCAGCATAGTAAATTGTAATCATCCCTGTACTTTTTTTGTTCTGTATTTATATATTTTTGGTCATAAATTTGATATCAAAAGTTGCGACAGAGAAGATTGATTAGAGACTTACAGAAGCCGTATTTTACCAAAAAAAAACTATTTATTTTCGCAAAAAAATCCCGTAAATTATGTCTACTAAACTTCTCAAGACCAGCACAACTTCCCCAATAGGATACTCCTTTGCACGGCCAATGGGAAACAAGCTTTAATAGCCATCCAAACATTCAGTTTGGCCGGGTATAACACCTCTCTTTCGTTCAGTTTGATCGCTTGAATACTCCTTTCAATAAGGCCATCCAATTCTACAGCCGGAAAGGCTTGATGGAAATGTTGTTGGCCGTCCAACAGCGGGGTTTTCACATACCATGGGCAAATTGTAGTGAATTCGATCCCGTCGTGGCCAAGAATTACCATTTGATTGTAGAGTGATTCCATAAAGCCGCGAACACCGAATTTCGCGGCACAGTAGTCGGCAATTTCTACAAGGAGAGATGATTTTTATTCGGATCGACTTACCGGCCAGGCCAAGATGACCAGCAACAGAACCCGTTGCAACAATATGGCCTTCGTTGCGTTCGATCATTTTGGGAAGAAATTGTTTTACAGTCTAACAAAATGATAAATGTTTAATATTGCTTACGTAAAAATGAGAAAGAAGCATAACCCTAACGAGCCTTTCCATGGCGGCGGTGCTAGTGTCCAAAAAGTAGCTGTTGTTGACTAATCCGGCATTGTTGTAGAGAATATCGATGTCACCAAAGTTTTCTCGCAGCACATCGGCAGCTTTGTTGACGTTCTCTTCCTTGGAGATGTCGACAGCTTGAATATAGACCTAAAAAATTATATCTGTCTTTTTTGGTATTATCGTCTTGTCTCCATAGGTCATCTTTTCTCCTTTTTACACAGAGGTACAAATAGCTGCATAGTCAACCCGAATCGAATGTAAAGAGGTGTAAAGCAGAGTCAAATACTGGTGCTAAACAGCATTACCAAGTTAAACTTACATCAACCCCATATTTCTCCACCTCCTTTTTTGTCGTTTCCAGTCCTTTTTCGTTGATATCCCAAAGCGCCAGATGACATCCTTCTTGGGCCAATCTTTTGGCCATTGCAGCTCCAATTCCACTTCCACCACCGGTTAAAAGTACTCTCTAAATCACAAAGAACTCAATGCCGTATTATTAGAGCAAAAATACTGTGAGATTTTGCGGTCGAAGGAGGCTTTTTTGGATACTTTGTGGACGAAAAACGCCTTTTCTTTGACAATTGACGTATAATATTTTTGTAAATTTTCACAAAAATTATAAGATTTTTTTGGGAAAATATAGGAAACGAGATGACTGCTTTACCTTTCCCCTGAGATCCTTCTTCTTCTTCCACTCGTATGGCACCAAATTATTGTACAAACTTTGCCCAATCAAGTAGAAAATCCATCCCAAAAGCTTCGTAATATCCGTAATCTCCATTCCACCGATACAAAACGTACAAAACCTTTGCCTTTATACTCCAAAACAGTTTACAACCTGTTGGTAACACACCTTATCCGCAGCGACCGCGCGCGGCAACCCGAAATAGAAGAAAAATGTTTCCCGCCCAGTTTTGAGTTTCGTCCAAACGAAGTGTCAAAATTGACGGAAGAAATAAAATAATTCCGAGAAAAATATTTTTTTCGGTCGGAAAATCCCACGAAAAATTCTCTTGTGACATTTTGTTTGATTTCAACCGATACAAAATGGGCGGAGCGTCTAAAGGAGCCAGGAAACACTTCGGGTTGCCGTGCCGCGTGGCAATAAAGCAACAGGTCATTCGGATAGAATCTATAGAACCTATCACGTATAATATAGCGGTTCTTCGCGCGTTCTTTGCTCGTCTCTGGAGGGGTCGGTAATGCAGAAATATTCTTATCATTGAGGGTGTGTAATAAAGCCCTTTTCAATGGTGATTGTTTGGGTAAATAAAAAGGAGAAGGAAGTTACTTTACAGTGGAATTTCCGCAGTTTTTAAACGGTGAGAAAGCGCTGGAAATCTGTAGATGTTCTTCCAATTTCCAGCCAGCAATTTCAAATTTCTATATCTCCATGTTTGGACCGTAGCCTCAGGAGTATAGCTGACCTAATGTACTTCCCAATTTCAGGCTTGAAAAAAGACAGGTTATGTTGCATTTGTGGGGTAAAATTATTGAATTTCAACGTGTATTTCACCAAAAAAACTATTTATTTTCGTAAAAAAACCTACAATTTGTGCAAATTTTAAGACCAACACAATTTCCCCAATAGAATACTCCTTTGCACTGCCAATGGGAAACAAGCTTTAATTGCCATCCAGACATTCAGCTTGGCCGGGTATAACACCTCTCTTTCGTTCAGTTTGATCGCTTGAATACTCCTTTCAATAAGGCCATCCAACTCCACAGCCGGAAAGGCTTGATGGAAATGTTGTTGGCCATCCAGAAGTGGAGTTTTGACATACCACGGGTAAATTGAAGTGAATTCGATCCCATCGTGGCCAAGGATTATCATCTGATTGTAGAGGGATTCCATAAAGCCGCGGACTCCAAATTTCGCTGCACAGTAGTCAGCAATTTCTGCAGGGAGAGTAGATTTTTATTCGAATTGACTTACCGGCCAAGCCGAGATGACCAGCAACAGAACACATTGCCACAATATGGCCTTCATTGCGTTCGATCATTTTGGGAAGAAATTGTTTTACAGTCTAAAGAGTCGTAAAAGGTTTAGCACATCTTACGTAAAAATGTGAGAGAAGCATAACCCTAATGAGCCTCTCTATGGCTGCGGTGCTGGTATCCAAGAAGTAGCTGTTGTTGATGATCCCGGCATTGTTGTAAAGAATATCGATGTCACCAAAGTTTTCTCGCAGTTCATCAGCGGCTTTGTTGACGTTCTCTTCCTTGGAGATGTCGACAGTTTGAATATAGACCTAAAAATTACATTAGCGATGCTTTTATGATCCCAAGACTTCGTTGGATGTCTTTTTGATATCCAAATTGTCTGTTCGAAACAGTTCCTACGGCCGCATAGCTAAACCGATTCTATTCTATTATATGCTATGTATAAAAAGCAGGTGTAACACGGATCAAGGCCAGTCAGATGCAAGTATCCAAGAGTGTCGCAAAGACATAACTTACCTCAACCCCATATTCTTCAACCTCCTTTTTTGTCTTTTCCAGCCCTTTTTCGTTGATATCCCAAAGCGCCAGATGACATCCTTCCTGAGCTAATCTTTTGGCCGTTGCAGCGCCAATTCCACTTCCGCCACCGGTTAAGAGTAGTTTCTAAATCAAGAAACCCGTATTTTAAAAATTAAAGATACTGTGGGATTTTGCAATCAAATTTTTGGATACTTTATGGACGAAAAAAGTGTATTCTTGGGAAAAAACGTATTAATTTTTGCAAACTGAAAAAGTATACCTTGTTTTTTTGGGAAAACAGATGCAGGATACAACCCAAGAAGTGTTTTACCTTTCCTCTGAGATCCTTCTTCTTTTTCCACGCGTACGGCACCAAATTATTGTACAAACTCTGCCCAATCAAGTAGAAAATCCATCCCAAATACCTCGTAATGTCCGCGATTTCCATTCCACTGATAGAAAATATGCAAACTTTTGCTTTTCTACTCCCAAAACAGTTTATAATGTGTTTGTAACACGCCTTATCTACAGCTAATCCGCGTGTTAATAAAGTAGTAGGACGGCAGGAGTGAATCTGGCCAAAAGTTCAGTTCTAGCCTTGCTGCACGCCCCGCCCTTAACGCGGCCGTTCCCACGGGCGGGACGAAAATAAAGGAGCGGATCACGGCACTCATCCGGACGCTGTAAACAACCAGAGTAAGATACGACCTGTGGAGAAGGGCAGAGCAACAAAAGGAGATCCAAGGGGACGGAAAGAGGAAGAGGAGAGCGTATCAGACAGGACGGCCGATGACCTTTCCTACTGACGCGGATGTTGTTTTCCTGACAAGCAAAGTACTTTTATGGGGTCTGGTGTTCTCGTCTAGACATACATATTAAAAAGCCGAAAATTAGGGCAGTTGTTTAGATGTACTCTTGCGCAAATTTCATATCCAAAGGCGAAGACGCTAGTTTGTTTCAGCTCCAAATAAAGATTTTTAAATTGATAAAAGCTTGGTCAAAAAATATTTTGATGTCGTGAGAAAAGTTTTGACGCTTTTTTCTTTTGTCAGTCATGTATTATAATTCTTGGTAATATGTATATCTTACAATCTCTTACTTGACAAATTCTAGAAGGAGATGATGTTGAGGCTCCACAACAACATATACATATTATTTGTTTTACGGCGGCTGGGCGATCGCTCTGGGAGGCCAGGGGGACGTTTTAACGGGCCATAAGCTCTGGTCGAAGTCCCGCCTTCAACCGACAGCGAAACGAAAATATAGAGTCAATCGGACCCTGATAAAAAAACGTATGTATTTCTGTATCTAGTGGCCATTGGTATTGTGGTAATATGTAAAAAAATATACGGTGTGAGAAGCCGAGCAGTCGGGAGCTGGGGTCTTCTCGCCCCGAAAAAACAGTTTGTTACAGTTTTTTTCTGAACTTATTAAACATAATTAGCCAGCTCTTTGCGCTTGCTTTGTCGACTCTGGATGGACCGGTAATGCAGAAAAAAATCTTATCTTTGGGGCTGTGTAATAAAGGCCTTATCAATGATGATTGTTTGGGTAAATAACAGGAAAAAAGAGGTGATTTCACAGCGAAATTTCCACAGTTTTTGATCTTTTGATCCAAGGAACCCACTTAAAGTGGACGCAATGTTCTTGCCAATTTCAAGCTTACGAAATGTTAGAGTATGTTGCCAGAAAAGGTGTAAAATTTTTACATTCCATTATGTATTTCACCAGAAAATCGATTTATTTTTATAAAGCCACCCTACAATTTGTGTACGCTCTAAGACCAGCACAATTTTCCGACAAGGATACTCCTTTGCACTGCCGATGGGAAACAGGCTTTAATAGCCACCCAGACATTCAGTTTTGCCGGGTATAACACCTCTCTTTCGCTCAGTTTGATCGCTCGAATACTCCTTTCAATGACTTCGTCCAATTCCACTGGCGGAAAAGCTTGATTGAAATGTTGTTGGCCTTCCAGAAGGGCGGTCTTGACATACCATGGAGAAATTGAAGTGAATTCAATCCCATCGTGGCCAAGCATTAACATTTGGTTGCTGAGGGCTTCCATGAAGCCGCGGACGGCGAATTTCACGGCGCTGTAGTCTACGATTTCTATACGGGAATTAGATTTTCTTTTGAATCTATTACTTACCGGCCGCTCCAATATAGCTGGCAGCAGAGCAGGTAGCCACAATATGGCCTTCATTGCGTTCAATCATCTTGGGGAGAAATTGTTTTACAGTCTAAAGAGCCGTAAAAGGTTTAGCACAACTTACATAAAAGTGTGAAAGAAGCATAACGGAAACAAGCCTCTCCATGGCCGCGGTGCTCGTGTCCAAAAAATAGCTGTTGTTGACTAATCCGGCATTGTTGTAGAGAATATCAATGTCACCAAAGTTTTGTTTCAGCTCATCAGCGGCTTTGTTGACGTTCTCTTCTTTGGAGATGTCGACAGTTTGTATATAGGCCTGAAAAATTATGACTTTATGGGACAGTTCAGGTAGGCAAAAAAGGTCAACGAGCAAATTTGAGATATAACCAAAATGACTTATATCTGGCGGCAAGGTTGGCAGGCAGATGAATTTTTACGCAAAAATAGATCTTTCTGAAGCTGAGACCCGCTATTTTTAACCGACTGAATTTCACAAAAAATCTTGAATTGAACTTTCTGTGTTTTCCCAAAGTCTTGAGGTATTATTTTCGAGCCGAAACCGCTAAAAACTAAAAATTTTTTTGGGAAGTAAACATCATTGGCATGCCGACCTTGCCGGCAGGCATAGTAAATCACGTTGGTTATATAAAGACTACGAATATGAGAAAGATGACAAACATACGACAACGTGAGATATTTATTGAGCAACTTACCTCAACCCCATATTCCTCAACCTCCTTTTTCGTCTTTTCCAGCCCTTTTTCGTTGATATCCCAAAGCGCGATATGACATCCTTCTTGAGCTAATCTTTTAGCCATTGCAGCACCAATTCCATTTCCACCACCGGTTATAAGTACTTTCTAAATCTCGCAAAACTGGAGTCCGTATTTTAAAAATAAAAATACTGTTTAATTTTGAAGTCAAAAAGGGGTTTTTTCGAAACTTTATGTACGAAAAATATGATTTTGAAAAATAATCGACCTTTTTTTAATTTTTATATGAAAATTATCCGATTTTTAGGCAAAAAAGAAAACGGGATAGATGACAGCTTTACCTTTCCCCTCAAGTCCTTCTTCTTCTTCCACTCATATGGCACCAAATCATTGTACAAACTCTGCCAAATCAAGTAGAAAATCCACCCAAAAAACCTCGGAATGTCCGTCACCTCCATTTCGCTGATACAAATTAAACAACATATGCAAAAGCCTCGCTTTTCTACTCCCAAAACTGTCTACAACGTGTGTAGCGTACCTTATCTGCAGTGGTAATAAACTACAGTGGCCGGGCCGGATCACGTGCTAACAAAGGCCTTATCAAATTCGACTTTTTGTGTAAACAACATGCGAAGAATATAAAGAAGCAACTGCCACACAAAATACACATTTTACGTACTATTACGACCCTTGTGAAGATCGGAGAACCTCACCAGAAAAGCATCTGCATAAAAATTGCCGGTGGTGGACGATTGGGGAAAAAAGACGATTGGAAAACCAAAAAGTATTATTTTTCTTCGATGCAAGTGTTTAAATAAGGATAATCGATATCGCTGATTTCGAAAACGACATTCATTTTTTTGATTGTTACCTTTTCCTAGTGTATAATAGTACTGTACAGTAGTAATTTTTTGAATTTTTTAATACTCGATTTAGGGGTTTTCGATGAGTATAAATAAAACCTTACTTTTCTCACCCAAACTCATCACAACCATTCCAAAAAACCGCCTCAAAACTCTTACCAAGACAGTTTCTTCCGGTGCGCTGTACCTCGACTGCGCATGATGACTTGGGCCCCTCGGCGATGCAATTTTCACCCCCAAATTCTCATCCAATAAGCAGCTCTTGGGTCTGAGATGTCCGTGGACGATGCCGCGCTGCTCCAGGCAGGCCAGTCTGGCCGCAATTTCCGTGCAAAATTGGATGAGTCTTATCCGCGGCAGGCACTGATATTTCTGCATATTATGCCTCACATCTCCGTACGGGTAGTAATTCGTGATAATCGCGCCGTCCTCCGTCTGTGCCAGGCATTGATTTACATTGGCATGGAGAGTATCATGAGTTAATGCGATCTGGCTTTGGAGCGCACATCCTGTACAAAGAAAAGTAATCCAATATAAGGATGACGGCCATCAACCACCAAATAGGTGAGGTAGAGCATCGTCGAAGACATTTCTCTATACTAAGAAAAACGCTGCAAAAATATCAACAAATCGAAGTCATTCCAGGTCGTTGGCGACGTCACAGATCAAAATATGGGAAACGATACGATAAAGGTTATTTTCAAATACGGATAATAACAAAAATTATAAGTAATACTGAACTTTCAGACGGAAAACAGGATTACTGAAGTCTAACCTCATCGAAAAATGATTTATATTGGATGGCTTATGGTAATTGGCTGTCTTTTCGACTGTATATAAGGAATACATGTCGATAATATTTCCAGTACACATTTTCCGTGTCACATACCAAAATACCATGAGATTGATTCAATTTTTTGCTGTTTTCTTTATTGTGTTTGGAGTTGCAAATGCAGGCTGGTTTGGTAGGTGAAATACGCAACGTAGTAGTACATCAATTTAGATGGGCTTTTTGCAAGCAGCAACGTTCAATCTCCAGTTGCCGCTGACTCTCCGATTCGTGCAAAACGCTCGTTTGTGCCCAGTCCTGAGCCACCCAGTGAAGAATGGTTTGTACCGAGTCCCGTGTATGATGTACCGAGTCCAAAGCCACCCAGTGAAGAATGGTTTGTACCGAGTCCCGTGTATGATGTACCGAGTCCAAAGCCACCCAGCCAAGATCAGTTTGTACCGAGTCCCGTGTATGATGTACCGAGTCCAAAGCCACCCAGCGAAGATCAGTTTGTACCGAGTCCCGTGTATGATGTACCGAGTCCAAAGCCACCCAGTGAAGAATGGTTTGTACCGAGTCCCGTGTATGACGTACCGAGTCCAAAGCCACCCAGTGAAGAATGGTTTGTACCGAGTCCCGTGTATGATGTACCGAGTCCAAAGCCACCCAGCGAAGATTGGTTTGTACCGAGTCCAGTGTATTTTGTACCCAGTCCAGAGCCGTAACTCGATCCAGACGATCTCTAGCAAACGATGCACCAAAAGCCGCCCAGAACTAAACAACAAGAGAAATCGAGTCAAGAAAATGTCAATCATTTTCCAACTCGTTTAATGTGCATATTGCATAAATAAATAAATTATTGGCAACTATTGTGCATTTTACATAAAACCAGTCCAATAACGTAATCCGTATTTTTGGCAAATATTATATTTGGATAATATTCGTGTTCAAATTGACGATTTTTAACGTATGCGGATACATCCGTATCCGACAAAAAATACGAATACGCGACTCGCTGCACGATACGTTATTCAAAATTTTACTTTCGCCAACTTCTCTCGCCTTTTAAAAAGGAATCAAAAAAGAGAGAAGGCAAAAAGCCACTGACCCTTATACTAGGTTTCATATTGATTTCGGAGAAGGTGAATTGGCCTGATCAGCTAACAAGTCTTCGGATAGTAATAGGATCACAGGAATGTCCGTAACCATATTTCGGTGACACAAGAGATGCAAAACGTTTGCTTTTCTACTCCCAAAACTGTCCACAACGTGTGTAGCGTACCTTATCTGCAGTGGGAATAAACTATTTACATTTGCCGCGCCGGATCACGTGCTAACAAAGGCCTTATCAAATTGGATTTTTTGTGTAGACAACATGCACAGAAGCAAGTCCACACAAATTCCACACTTTACGTAGTACAGTGGCGGACCTGATCCAGTGGCAAAAAAGGTACCATTTTGCATCCAGGAAGTATCAAAAAATGTGGCAAATATCTCCTTCTCCAAGTGAAAAAACTCCGATTTGAAAAGCGCGCCCGCTCTTTTTGTGAGGTCCCTTCAAACCGGAGTTTTTTCACTTGGAGAGGGAGGTATTTTGCCACATTTTTTGATACTTCCCGGATGCAAATTGGTACGTTTTTTGCCATTGGATCAGGTCCGTCACTGTACACAAGATTCCTATAAAGACATCCGAAAAAATTCTCATATTTCCCTCAAATTATGAATTGAATTTTATTATTATAATTCTGTTTATAACAAACATGGCAATGATAACTGAATGGACGGTTTGAATTATATTATAATACGCTAAAGGTTTGCAATTTTACATCACATTACTTTAGACACTTTTGTACATATAGGCAGTTCAGCGATGAGAAATGTAAAAAATTTGAGAGGAACTGGGCGAGGGAACAATACAATCTTACAATATAAACTTCAAAACAGCAAAATAATCATCGGAGACGATAAAAAAATCGGCAAAAATTAGTCTTTTCCTCCAAAAATTAGCACAATTCTTTAGAAAAACCTTATTGCCTGAGGGAAAATTGCACAAAAATCAAAAAATAATATCCGATATGACATAAAATTTCTAGGACACATCATTTTACGGCCAAAACGGTGAAAAAATACCAAAAAAAAACAAAATATTCATACCAAGTATAATATCCAAAAAAATCAAAAACTAAAAAAATACCCCGGATTTGTTTTAATACACTGAAAGTCGACTGAAAATTTGGTTTCTATTCTCTACCTATCATTTAGGCCCCAAGATTTGACGTAATAAAGTCTAAATTAATATAAATTACAGTGAATTCTGAGAGTTGAGCTGTTTCCGCACAAAGAACACATGGATTTCATAGAACCCTGGTCGCTGTTCGGGGTGACTGGACCAGCAATCCCTTATTAGGTCGATTATTTCCTTGTCTATCGAGTTCATGAGGGTCTGATCAAACGGTGGGTATACCTGAAAAAAAATTATCGTCAAAAACATATGAAATAGGTTTCAAAAAGACCAAAATAGTCTCAAAAACACAATAAAAAGTCAAATTTATTTTACGAAATCCCTTACCGCCGCTGGCGAAGATTCCAATTGATTTCTGGCGTTCTCAAATAGGGCATTATTAGTGAGATCATGATAGGGAGGTTGAGTGCAGCCGTGCAGGATCTCCCAAACAGTCATGCCAAAGGAGTAGGCGTCCGATCGGTTGGACCAGTTATTCTAAAAAAAGGCCAAATTTTAAAAAAATCATAAAATTTCCAAAAATCAAAATCTTGTACAAAGAATACCAAAAAACTTCAAAAAATCTGTTTCAAACACAATAAAACCCCTTGAACAGCTTTTAAAAATCCCCTCAATCACTCTTCCAACTTTTCCCACTCAAAATCACCACAATCCCTCCAAAAAACCGCCTCAAAACACTTACCAAAACAATTGCTTCCGGTGCGCTGTACCTCAACTGCGCATGATGACTTGGTCCCCTCGGCGATGCAATTTTCACCCCCAAATTCTCATCCAATAAGCAGCTCTTGGGGCTGAGATGTCCATGGACAATTCCGCGCTGCTCCAGGTAGGCGAGTCCGGCGGCAATTTCCGTGCAAAACTGGATGAGCCGCATCCTCGGCAGGCTCTGATATTTCTGCATATACTGCCTCACATCTCCGTAGGGGCAGTAATTCGTGATAATCGCGCCGTCCTCCGTCTGTCCCAGGCATTGATTCACATTGGCATGGAGAATGTCGTGAGTTAATGCGATCTCGCTTTGAAGCGCCATTCTCGCCTCTTCCGCCTCTTGATGCTGGAATTTTATGGCCGCTTTATACTTCTTGGTGGCTTCGGAGACGTAGCAGGAGAAGATCTGAGTGTATCGTCCTTCGCCAATCTTCTCGATGAACTGGACATTGGCTCTGGGGATAAGTTTCGTCCGAGGCTGATGATGTTGATAGGGATGGAAGGCAGAATAGCCGGGATTGGACGAGGGGCGATCAACCGGGAGCATGGCGAAATTGGCGATGGCGTAATGTTGTTCCTCCTCTTCTTGACGGGCCCTGAACATATTTTAGGTAATTTTCGGTCAAAAAAAATAAAAAAAAAACCCAAAAATCGGACTAAATTTTTTTACAAACGATCCGAAATGGATCCTAGAAGGGCAAAACCCCAAAAATTCAGAAAAAATCGAAATTAAAAATCTCAAAAATTCATAAAAAATCGAAATTAAAAATCCCAAAAATTCATAAAAAAACTAAAAAACCAAAAAAAAACAATTTCCCACCTCAACGGCAACGTTTTATTCTTCCTGCTCAACGTGTTCTCCTTCAAATTCCGGGTCTTTGGGACCTGTCTCTTTTGCGTTCCACACCTTCTCGAGCCCAACAAAGGCACACTTGGCTCTGCGTAAATTCCCTCGGAAGAGCTGTTCGAGAGGGCCGGTTCCAGGCGGCAAGTTGAGGCGTCCGACGGTGGTGGAGGTGGGAAATGGATGTCCAGGAGGGATGGTTGATGGTGATCTTTGAACAGGGTGCCGGAACATGATCTCGAAGGGGGTGCCAGACCAAGAATTCTACAAAAAAAACATTATTTTAAATATCAAAATCAAGATTTCCGGAGAGATCACCTAAACAAAAAAAAAATCATAAAAATTCTAACCTCTGTGTCGACGCCGCTACTCTATGATCTCCATACAAATTTCCTTTTATTGGGCCGTACAGTCCATGATGTGGGGCGAAGCTATGACTATGAATGACGTGTCTCGGCTGGCCTCCATTTAATGGTAAGGTTGTAATTAACGTATTTGTGGGCTTCAAATCTCGCGACATTGTTGTCGCGGCGGTCGATCTGGACGATGGGGATCCCAGAGAGCTCAATTTCTCCGTCGAGCCGTGACGCTTCCTCCTGCGGAATATCAAAAGTCCGCACAGTGCGGCGGTCATGGCGACCAATATGATGATCATCACGGTGATAAACAGGTAGTAAATCTGCGATTGTTTGTTCGAATTGAACGAAAACTCCTCCAGAATTGATGTTGTGGCATTTTTGAAGTCTGAAAGGCAAAAATTAGATCAAATTTTAATTACACATGACGGCTAACCACAAAAAAGCATAAAAACCAATAAAAAGATGTAAAATACGAGTTATAAAAAAATTTCAAACATTAAAGACGACCATTTCACACATTAGGCAGTATTTCTATCCACTATATCACCAGTTATTATACAGTAGAAAATTTTTAAAAAGCAAATTAGCAAAAATTTTACGACATCCGGGTTAAAATTCAATTTGAGTTGTAAAATACGGTAACAAAACATTTTGGATTTTATAAAAAAAAACTATATTTTACAACTCATAATTACCGAAAAGCACCGTTTCTACTAACCGAATGGGCGAAATTCGTAATCATCTTCAATCACCACTGAAATTGGCGATGTTTCACCTGGAAATTGATCAAATTACTATCTTAAATGAGGTGTCGGACAACCAGGAAACCTTCACTATTCTTATTAGCATCTAATTCTCTAATTAATCCTGCAATTTTTTCAAAAAATGACAAAAAAAACTAAAAATCCCAAAAAATCATCACGTATAATATCTCAAGTCTCTGCAAAAGTGGTCTAGTGCAATCGTCTTCCTCCTAGTGCCATTAAAAACCTTCTTCACTGATAATTCTTTCATAACTCACCTGTATTGAACCTTATTTCGCTCAAAAACGTCGAATCCGTCGAAAACTTCATCAAAACCTGTACGAAGCCGGCTTTCCGCCCATTTAATGGCACTTTAACCGAGTACAGCTCCTGCTGTTGGTTCAGGAGATTCTGTGGGTAATCTGACTCCATTGGGTGTTCATAGATGTTGCCATCATTTGAGAATTCGACAATAATTTTTTCCAATGGCCGGCCATACCCAAAAATTTCCATGTCCGCGAATTGTCGGTCGGATTCAAAGTCAAACTGGATTCGGATTCGACCGTCCGAGTCGGAGCGCTTAAACGCAAGCCAAGTCGAGTTTTTCACCGGGAGATGGAAGACGGGGTCGATTGGGGGATAAGTTGGAATGATGCCATCAGTTAGGAGGCCGAGACCTCTGAAAAAAATTCAAATTTTAGTCAAACTAGCTATCGCAAAGACAAATTTAATAAAGAAAATGTAAAATCAAGGGTCTGAGTTCTCTATAAACCCCATTAACATCCTTAAATTAAACCAAAATCTTGAAATATTCAACTATTTTTTAAAAGACCAGGTAAAACATAAAGTACAGTATAAAAACATCCAAAATTTGCCTAATTCATATCTCAAACCCTTTATTCATACTCCTGGTGGCTTTATTCATCAAAAACAAGTCTCTTTCAGCCATTTTACTTTTTAAAAATCAAGTGTAATATTAAAAATTTCTCTAAAACAATGTCCAAATAATCTAAATTGGACATTGACTATGTCTAACCTCCATTCTCCCTTACTTTTTCTGATTCCCATCTGTCCAGCTGGTTTGTTCAAAAATTTCATCCTTGAATTCTTCAACTCCATCCATTTCCGGCTCCAAAATGCTATATCCCAGCAGTCCCTCTTGATCTTCACATCCATAAACCTCCATTCTCATGCAAGTTGTTCTGGTTTGCACCGAATAAGGGACCAATCTAATCTTTTGGGCAATGATTGGTGGGTCCAAGACTCGTTGAACTGGGGTAACTGTATCAAAATTTCCTTCAATAAGATCGGTCCCATTCCTCAGCCGATATCTTATCCATTTGGTTGTGCCTTGTCGCCAATAATCGAGCATATACTGCTGCGCAAACTCTCGACCAGTTCCGTTTCCGTAGCGGCCTTGTGTCTCAATCGCTCTGATCACATGGGTCTTATTGAAGGAGACTTGGAGGAATTCGTAGGATCCGTTTCGGATCTGAGACTTGGGACACCAGGCGCCCGATGCCTTTTCGGTTCGGATTCGGGCATTCTGCGGTCCCACCGACTGAGCGTCGAACGAGGAGGAGGCTGTGATCTGATCGTCCGATATCCGGCCGTCTTCCATGCCCAGACCCGAGATTGGGCATTTTTCTGCAAGTAATTATGTGATGCTTGATATTAAAGCGAATTTTAGTACAGTGAGGGGGGCACTTTGTCATGGACAATACATTTTTTGCTATAACATCGGAAAATTTGCGAATAAAAAGAAGAATGAAGGTGTGATTAGTGCAAAATTGATTGTAGAAATGGGATAGAGCTTGAAAATACGCAGTCAGATACAGTTGGGGACCTGATCCAGTGGCAAAAAAACACCATTTTGCATCCGGGAAATATCAAAAATGTGGCAAAGTGCTTCCCTCTCCAGGTGAAAAACTCCGATTTCAAAAGCGCGCCCGCTCTTTTTGTGAGGGCCCTTCAAAACGAAGTTTTTTGACTTGGAGAGGGAGGCATTTTGCTACATTCTTTTTATACTTCCCGGATGCAAAATGGTACGTTTTTGCCACTGCATCAGGTCCCCCACTGTATCTGACTGCGTATTTTCAAGCTCCATCCCATTTCCAACCTCAATTTTACACTAATCACCCCTGCATTCTTCTTTTTTCCACAAATTTCCCTATGTTACACCAAACAATTATATTTTCCATGACAAGGTGGCTCAAATTTTATCAAAACCTCAAGTTCTAATAAATTTCCTCAAAACCCCAATTTCAATTTTTGAAAACCTCTGGTCTAAGATATCGAATTACACATTTTGCGCGGCTCATCAATCAAAACTTGAGGTGTCGCGATCTGGCTGTCACCTCACCTGTCCGGCCTAATCCGATAAATTTCCGGGGTCCTTCTCCAAAACCAAGGCCAAAAACAATAACAGGATCTATTTATAGAGCCTAGTACGACTTCTAGATCAGTGCTTAACAATATTTTTTTGAAATTTTACTATAATTTGTGTCAAGTAACAGGTAAAACAAGGTCAAAAAGATACAAGAATTCGTTGAATTTTTGATGTGAAATAAATTATCAAGAACGATGGACGTATTTTAAACATTACTCAGCTGATTTTAGAATAAATTTAGTCCTTTATTCAACATTTTTTCCTTATTTTATTCATAATTACTCCAAATCCCCTAAAATTTCCAAATTTATTGTGCAAATCGCTTTTCCGGCAAAATTTAAACTCCATGTCCCCGATAACGAGCCGTTCCCGGCAATTTCCCAGCCCCTGCAATCTTCCAATTACCCCACAATCGGTAATTATTTTCGGGCCAAGATAAAAAATGACGGGTTTTTGGCGGAAGAAATATTAATATTATAATTTCTGAAGGCGGCGAGGGAAAAAAGAACTGTCCGCCGGATTTGTGGACTCATTATGGACTCAATTAGCAGCGGAACTGACTCCGGACCATATGGGAATGAGTCAGACCGGGGGTTCTGACATGTTTTCGGAGCGAAAAAAATGTCAGAATCTGTTGCGCAATTAGTGGTAATTAGGCAAATTTTGTGTGGAAAATATGTTGGCACGCTCTCTTCGCTCTTTATTCAGTCATTTTATCCGTATACTGTAATTTTTTTCGATTTTTGCCCATTTTTTCTCAAATTTTAACCTTGTTTTAGGCCTGAAGTCTCAAATTTATCGATTTTCAAACACCTTCTCTTTTTTATACCACCCAACTTGTCCGACAAAGCCAATTGTTAAGCAATTTTTAATTCCTAGCCACTTAAATTAATTTAGTTTTGGATCGATCAGTGTCCATCAAAATCAAATAAAATCCGAGAGAGGATCGGTTTTATTTCGGCAAACAAGCCGTTTTTGTTTGATTAACAACTGTTGTCAAGAGTTGTGAGGCTTTGACTATCGATAAGGGGACATTATTCAACGAAAAAATTACAAATTTAATTCCGGACCAAAAAAATTATAGTTTTAGGTAAACAAGGCCAAATTAGTTCAAATAAAGGAATCTCTACATGTCCAAACATCCTAAAATCAGTCTATAGGCCCTTTTTTACATTATACTCAAGCTTCAATTTTAAATTTTATGATTTCCACTCAATATTTATATTACTTTAGACATCAGCCGATCAAAACTCAAAAATAATTAATACAATATTCAAATTAGCCTACATCAACTTTCTCCCACTGAATTACAACAAAAGACGTTCAACAAGGTCAAGCGGAATAATAAACGCAAGGTTATGGCGTCTAATTAGAGGTGTCTTTTGGAGATCTTCCACTAGATAAGAGGTGCTAAAGTTTATGGCTAAAACAAGGAGAAATTACACTAAAATCGACAGTGCGTCCTAAACTAGACACTTTGAGAGTTGTCAGACACCTTGCAAGATGTTTCTTGCGCAACAATTCGACGATCGGACAGCTGCGCGAGCTGCCTTCGCCGGAAATAATTCTCCATTTCCCATGAGAAATTAAATCGCATAACATGTCTTGAATGCCCCCAAAATGAGACGGGTTTTATTTTCTACGCATCCCAACATCCCTGCAGTCTGTTTTACCCATATCTATTAGCATTCCAAGCCCGAAACTGGGCCGAGAAATTCGATTAAGAGTTCGGGTGGTCACTCTTCGAATTTTTTCGCTACTGCTCACTCCGTGAACTTCCCAGATGTAAATAAATGGACTCAAAAGGAGCTCAACTACATAGTCAAACATTTCAAAATAAAAGCACTCACCGAGGTCCAAAGATTTCACCGGGAGAACCGAAATTCCAAGCAATAACAATATTATGTACATGTTGTTCGTCTGGCGTCGAAATCGACCGATTCTTCTTCGATCCATCGACATTTTACATCTGCATTGGAGAGCCGACGGCTTCAGCATCTGAGGTAGTGGAATTCATAAGAAAGTTGAGGGTTTCGGCAAAAATCTCGGCTGATCTTGTACGATGCGGAGAGATCAGAAAATGGGCGGAATCTAGAAAAATTTATCGTGAAATTTCAAAATTTTTGATCGATACAGAGAAATAACACGTAGGATCACGCAAGAAAACAGTAGATTTTCGTTGCTTTAGGGTCAAAGAGTGAGTATACTGTCAAAAAATTGAAAGTATAAGATCGAAATACTGGAAATGAAACGAATAAATAAAAAGCTGGTAAAATACGCCTAAGCCTCCCTCAAGAATTACTCCGACAAGTTTCTTGGACAAAAAAATTATCAAAAACACCAGGGGTGGCCACCGGGCCGGGCCGGCCCGGCCCGGCGAAGCCCGGCCCGATCGGGCCTAAACGGGCCGGGCCTGGCAAATTTTGAAACGGGCCGGGCCGGGCCTGCTTTTTACCGGGCCGGGCCGCGGGCCTGAGCCATTTTCAGGCCCGGCCCGGCCCGGTTTTGTCGAAATGCCAAGCGTTTGGCATTCAATGTTTTCGCGCCGGAAAAATTTTTGGATAGGTTTGTATTTTTAGTATATCAAGTTCTACAATAGTTTATTACTTTATAGTACTTTTTTGCATATATGTTATAATATAAGGTCCAAATTAGAACATATAATACATATACGATAGTTCTTAGCAGATTTTAGCACACTACAGAGGCGGTAAGATCAAAGGAAAATTTCCAGCTCGCGCCCTAACCGGGCTTTTACAGGGCCGGGCCGGGCCGGGCCTGATTTCTACCGGGCCGGGCCGGGCCGGGCCTGCAAAATTTTGAACCGGGCCGGGCCGGGCCTGGGATTTTGCCGGGCCGGGCCCCGGGCCTGAAATTTGGAAAAAGAGGCCCGTTTGCCACCCCTGAAAAACACGACAAAAAGTTGTCGGGAAAGAGTTGACCCATGGTTGACCCAAAATGGGTCAACTGTTTCTCTTGCCCAAAATGCCTCAAAAATGGTAAAATACGGCAAAAAAATGGAATCGGATGATGTCTCCTAGCGATACAACCATCATTTTCGCAAACAATATTAGAAATGCCCTCAGGAAACGAACTCATAACTCTTCGCGACTCCCCAAAACACTTGAAAATTCTAATAAAACTCGAATAAACAAATAATCCGGATCAAATCCACGGAACATACGACAAAGTAAGAGCATTTTCGAGGGCCGGAAACCCGGGGTTCGCTCTTCATTTCTCGGCAAAATCCATTTCTTTCGGCGTCGGCCCCGCCCACCGAAAGGAATGGAGAAGATGACCGATGTGACGCGAGTAATTAGATGAGCAAATGAGTTCATTATGTAATAAAAAGAGTATGTTGGGCAAGCGGGTTGAGTTACAGGTCAGTGGGCTTTTATGCGCAATATTTGGCGACATTTTCCATGCTTATCTAGTGTAAGGTAAAGATTACGTAATTTTGTGGGGTTTGGTGGGAAAATGGAGCCGACATGGAAAACCGTAAATATAACATGACAAAGGAACTCATATGGGATCAGTTTCAGACCAAAACTTTCCCAAATATCCTAAAAAATGAATGAAATTTAACCACTTTCACCTAGTGTAATATAAAAAAAATCTTGATTTTGGCCCTGGAAATGCCTTAATATGAACGATACGAACCTCTAAATACCATAAAGTTTCATTTTAACTGTCGGAAAAATTGCATTCCAATAATAAAATCCAACATTTTTTACACTATCTACTATATATGATATAAAATTTTCCTGAATTTTACCCATAAAAAAGTCGAAACTATCCTTTTTCCTCAGGCAATACGAAAAAAACCAAAAGAAAATTTTTTTTTTGATAATAATTTCGAACCACTTGAACGCCCGTCACTAATCACTCACTCACGATCAGGTTTATCATTTAAACCCCTCAGGACAAGTGCGGTTTTGAAGAATGCCTCGAAGTGATTGTTTTGCCAAAAAGGTGGGAGGCTAATATTCTAAAATCAATTTAGCGGTCGAAAAGTGGCCAAATGTATTTTTTGTAATAGTAGTCTAGAAGTTTTAATCAGAAGATAAGTTTGGAAGGCGGAAAGAGGTCAAACTGGCCTAGATTAAGTGTCAAAAAGTATCACAAGGCATCACAGAGGCATAAAAAAACTATTGGCTCTAAAACCAAACACTATGAGACCCTTAAACAACGATCTGCTTCCATAACTAGTGATTTTGAAATTTGCCATAGGCTGTTTTATGATAAAAATGTCTTCCACATAGCAATCTACCTCTACAAAAATTATGACCAATCTGCTACTTCACGGTTCCTCAAAATCCCCCACTTTCCCTTGCCCATACCCATCACCACTGTTCCCTTCCTTTGCTTACTTACGCAACCCCTTCTTTCCGCCGATAATCTCCACTAGATATAGTGAAGAGAGCGCCCGCCGAGATTTGCATACTTTCACTTGCTGCTGAAGCGAAAAACTTCAGCGCGCAAATATGCCCTGAGGGCCGAATGAGTTTTATTGCACTCCTCGCAACACAAACATAAACATTATTTTGTTTCATACGACCGCCGGTTTTTTATACGAAACGCACAAGGAATGGGCTTCGTCATACAGTGGAGAAGCGGGGGAGAATGCTGATTCAAAGACGGGCATAGTTTTTGGCTGGGGTCAGATCATGAGGGTAGACACAACTTGGCGGAAGAAGGAAAATAAAAAAAATTGCTGATATGTAATAGTTATCCACAACCATTTTGGGAGAGTTATCCAAAATCATTTCGGGAGAATTTGGCTACTGTATGATGACAATAAATATCAGTTATCAGTATGTCGGGGAAAAATGAGCGCAATGTCGCAATGCCGATCACATCGCTGAAGTGAAAAGCTATTTGATGTTGTCGTGACAAAATACAATTTCTAGGCGACGATGTGATTTTTGGTGCAAAAAAAGCATTATTTTCCAGACAGACTGATATTGAGACCTCATTTTTAAGCGTTTAATGAGGGAATTTGTTTAAGCTGAGATGCCCAAATTTTCTTGAAATCTGGTTTTACATTTAGGATGTATTATTTTCGCAAAGGTCTTAGCTTGCGCCCTGTAGACGCAGTCGAGATATTTGAGACGTTTTTTGTAGATGGGAAACTATGGACAATGATGCAAGACGAACAGTTAATCTCCATATATAACAACCTTCCTATAACGACCCAACTTTTTACTTTTTACTCTTCTCCTAATGCTCTTGCAGATGACCCATACCATTTTGTAAATCTAATATTTTCTCCCCGCCGATTAGTAAAACCCCCTCCAAACAGAGTAAAAATCTCCCCCCACGCTTCCGCGGCTGTAAAAACGCTTTAACGCTAACAGCCCTGCGGGTAAAATTTCTCCCGCAAAATTCATAGCCCTAAAAATCCGCGAGAGTGCAAAGTGCGGATTTTTAAGAGCGGAACATACGGAAATCCGACGATTCGCGCCCTCCGGCGCGATTCGCAAAGGTGGCCTCGGTTGGGGGGCTTTTGACAAATGCGGGAAATTTGCCTCCGTTAAATGATTTCGATTCGCCCCGTAGGCAATCGAGGGGCATAATGAAGTGCGTTTGAAATTCAATAAATTTCGAAGGATCCGCAACGCGTCGAGACTGTGGAAATTAGGAAATTCGCGAAATTTATGGGTGATTAGCGTAAACAAAGTCGTATCATCTGGTGATAGGGACAGAAAAAGGCAAATCATAGATTTGTAGGGAGATTGACAGGTGCTTCGATTACAAATTTGGTTAGTATCGAGTGTTTAGAGAGGAGCAGTTCAGCAATAAGGGCAAAAGGTATTTTTTGAGGGTAAAATACGCTGATTGGAAAGCTCAAATTCCATAAATTGTGGTGACATTTGGCATAACTTGAGATTACAGCGTTCTACGGCATATGTGACAGCTTTGGCTGATGCTTTGCAGATAATTTTTTGGTCAAAAAATAACGATATAAGGGATATGCAAATTTTGAAGAAGCTTTTTATGAAGATGCCTTGTTGCTGTACGAAGCTTTTCATAAATTTAGACATGCCTTTTTAGATCAAACATCAGTCAGACACTTAAAAAACGTCTTATATACCTTTCTACCCCTCTAAAAACTTTTCCTAAGCATTTAAAGCCCTTCGGATTTCCTTTCCATTAGCTCAAGACTCCCCAAACACCCCCTACTCTACTCCTCTCCTCCTGAAAAGTCAAGAAATCTGTCCAAAAGAGGACCCGAATCTCCTTACTCCTATTTAAAGCCACCTTCTTCTTGAAGCAGCCTCCCAAAAAAAGTTTGCAAAGGAATGCGTCGAGAGTGACCGCGCATAAAATCTCGAAAAGAATGGGCCGCAAAAAAACAACAAGGGGGTCTCGGTTACGAAAATGAGACGAAAGTCATACCTTCAGGAAGAAAATTGAATTTCGTCTTCCCCTGGAAATAAACAAACAAAAAACGGCTGACTGGCCGCGAAGGAGAGCGGGGTGAAGAAAGGGGGCGACCGTAGGGCGGTTTATTATTGAAATTGCGGAAAAGGTCGACCTTTTCAGCCGGTGGACAATCAAAAAAAGGTGTGATTTACTGCGGAGGATCTTGTGAATGGAATTTTGTGGAAATGTAAACATTAAGAATAAATGAACAATATTTTTGATGATTTTATACTCAAAAATGCCAAATATAAAAAAGGGCTCAAATTTTCATGAAAATTGGCACAAATCAAGATTAGAATTTTCTAATACATATGAAAGATTTTTAGCTCACACTTTGGAGAAGTCACCGAGATTTTAAGGCAGAAAAATTAGAAAAAAATACTATTTTTTCAATTTTGCATTGAAAAATGGCATTCAGCTCAAAAATCCTTGGTAAAAATGTATTTGAGTGCACTTGGTATCGTCAAATTTCAGGATTTTAAAAATTGCGAAATGTCAAAAAATTTATTGGAAAAAATTTGTTTAAAAGAGCTCTCAAAAGCTGTAAAAAATGATGTTATCGCTCACATCAA